CCTCCTGCTCAGCAACCTCCTGCTCAGCAACCTCCTGCTCAGCAACCTCCTGCTCAGCAACCTCCTGCTCCGCAACCCCCTGCTCAACAGCCCCCGGCACAGCAACCTCCCGTTGAGCAGCCTCCTGCTGCCCTAATTCCTCCTGCAGAGCGGCCTCAGGCACAGCAACCTCCTGCTCAACAACCTCCGGCTCCATGTCCTACATGCTCCGAGTCGGTTGTTCAACAGCCTCCTGCCCAGCAACCCCCGGCACAGCAACCCCCAGTTGAGCAGCCTCCTGTTGCCCTGATTCCTCCTGCAGAGCGGCCTCCGGCACAGCAACCTCCAGTTGAGCAGCCTCCTGCGGCCCTAATCCCTCCTGCAGAGCAACCTCCGCAACAACAGCCCCCGGCACAACAGCCTCCTGCCGAGCAACCTCCTTACCAGCAGCCTCCTGCCGAGCAACCTTCTTACCAGCAGCCTCCGGCAGAGCAACCTCCTTACCAGCAGCCTCCGGCAGAGCAACCTCCTTACCAACAGCCCCCTGCCGAGCAACCCCCTGCTCAGCAGCCTCCAGCTCCATGCCCTACATGTTCTCCTCAGCCAACTACGACTTTAACGGAGACAGCTAAGGGGCAACCGTACGCACCTCCAGGAAACGCCCCTGCTTCGCAACCACCCGGTCCTGCAGGGCAACCCCAGCCGCCTTCTCAACCTCCGGCCCAAGCCCAGGCGCAGCCCGGCGCTCCGAAGGCTGCTGAAGGTAAACCTGTTGAGGCCCAGCCTGCTGGAGGTAAACTTGCTGGAGGAAAACCTGTTGAAGTTAAGCCTGCTGAAGTCAAGCCTGCGGAAGGCAAGCCTGCTGAAGTCAAGCCTGCGCAAGGTGAACCTGCGGAAGCGAAACCCGCTCAAGGCAAACCTGCTGAAGTCAAGCCTGCTGAAGTCAAGCCTGCTGAAGTCAAGCCTGCTGAAGGCAAACCTGCTGAAGGCAAACCTGCTGAAGGCAAACCTGCTGAAGCTCAGCCCGTACCACCGCAACCTGCCGCTGCGAAACCTGCAGAGGCCCAACCCGCTCCCGAGCAGCCGCAGAAGCCCGCTGAAGCACGACCTGCTGAAGCTCAGCCAGTACCGCCGCAACCTGCTGCCGCGAAACCTGCTGAAGCTCAACCTGTTCCCGAGCAACCTCAGCCTCCGCAGAAGCCCGCTGGAGCACAGCCGGCTCCCGAGCAACCTGAGCAACCTGAGCAGCCCGAGCAGCCCGAACAGCCACAGAAGCCTGCACAAGCACAGCCGGCTCCTGAACAACCTCAGCAGCCCCAACAGCCGCAGAAACCCGCAGCAGAAAAACCGGCTGAAGCAAAGCCGGCTCCCGAGCAACCTCAGCAGCCCGAGCAACCTGAGCAGCCCGAGCAACCTGAGCAACCTGAGGAACCTGAGCAGCCCGAGCAGTCCGAACAGCCACAGCAGCCCGCAGCAGCAAAACCTGCTGAAGCACAGCCGGCCCCGGAGCAACCTCAGCAGCCCGAGCAGCAGCCACAGAAGCCTGAAGAAGCGCGGCCTGCTGAACAGCCCGCTCCTGAACAGCCCGCTCCTGAACAGCCCGCTCCTGAACAGCCTGCTGCCGCGAAACCCGCCATGGCCCAACCCGCTCCTGAGCAGCCTCAACAGCCCCAGAAACCCGCCGAGGCCCAGCCCAACGCTCCCGAGCAGCCCGAACAGCAGCCCGAGCAGGCAGCTCCATCACCACAACCTCAACAACCGGCTCCGGCCCAGCCCGCTGCTCCAACGGCTGAAATCGGCCCGCCAGCAGAAGCAGCCGCGGCACCACCACCAAACGAGCAGCAGTCGCCGCCGCCGCCGCCTCCTCCTGCTGAAGAAGAAGAAGAAGAGTCACAACCACCCGGTACCAGCCCAGCACCTCCTCCGCCGCCGGCGAAGGAAGAAGAAGAAGAAGGAGAAGAAGGGGAAGTAGGAGAGGCCGTGCCCGTCGAGGAGGAGGGTGGTGTTAGCCCTTCGACGACGATGGAGACGGAGACGTCGTCGCCGAGCCGCCCGACGTCGAGCCCGACGACGGAGAAGCCCAGGCCGAAGCCGAAGCCGACGGAGGTGCAGCAGGGCGCGGCTGGACCGGCGATGGCGAGGCCGTTGGATGCGAAGTGGCTCGTTGCTGTCGTTGCGGGGGCGGTGGCGTGGGGTGTGGTTGGGTGATTGGGTGTTGTTTTTTTTGTTACGAGGTGAGTGAGAGAGTAGAGATGTGGAAAGGGAGGGGAGGGAATGGGGTAATTGTAGTCGGCTCCGTCTGGTATGACAGTGAGAGAGAGAGAGCCGGATTGGATTGCCGTTCACTTCTCCAGAGCCTCCCTTTTTATTTTTTTTTTCTTTCGACATCCCTTTATTTTGCCTGTGTAAGTATTGGTGTTGCGGGATGGTATCTATGGATGCGGGGAGTAAGAGCAAGAGGGATCGGTGTAATGTCGACGCTTCTGGTGCTCCACTTTCAGTGTGATGTGCGGAGCTATCATTTGTTTTCGGTGCCTCCTATTGGAGTGGGATGGAAGGTGGATGATTGGAGGACGTTGCTTTTGAAAAGTGTTTTAGCTTGGAAGCATCCTTATTTTGTAGAACAACGATATTAATATAGGTCACTCATTATTCTTCTTCCCTCACAATCCTTTTGAATAGTACTAGTGATGTGAGTTACCACGAAAGCGATGCCAGGCACGGTTGGACTGGTCGACGCGTCCGAATTCGAAGAGCCGACCGCCCAGGCGAGGATTCTTTATACACGGATAGCGAACGGAACTTGGTTGACATGCTGGATAAAGTGTCATCATAGAATCTTGTCATTACATCGCTGAGCGGGAAGGTTCCGGAGCAGGTGTTTCAACCAGTCAAGGTAACGGCTACTCCTTGACAACTTGACTGGGTAATGGTGCATGCCATAAGAGACCGGAAGGACCCTGCGGCGGGTCAGTGCAATATGCAGGGTTCAAGAAAAATACCGCTGTGTGACCGGTAGCCGTCCCGTGTGGAGCTCCATGCCAAAATTTCTGTTTTAAGACCAAGGGGCTATCGCAGCGCATCGGCTCGTATTATGGGCTGCAGTGATCCGCCTCATTGGTTTTGAGATGTGTTCGGTGGCCAGCCAGTCGATATTCACCAGGTTTTTGGGAAGTGTCGTATTGGACGGAGCGGGAGATTAGACTCTGGGGGCCTTCTCGCTGTATGGATGTGAGCTATCAACCACAGAATCCAGCCGTCCAGTGAGACAAGGGACCAAGGAGACACGGGGTTGGCGTGGAAACGATTTGGCGATATTGACAGTGCGGTTTGAAACAATGCAGGCATGCGGCGTGGAACAGGTCTCCAAAAAGTGAGAGATTGCGTTTCTTGATGGGAGAAGAGGAGCGAAAAGAAGCGCTCCTCTGGCATCTTTCAGCTCTTATGTGACTGGGGTACCGACTGGAGGTAACCCTGATCGGCGCTTGATAACAACGAAACCGGAGTCATGGGGGGCAGCTTCACACTGCCCTTCAGACTAGCGTCTGGGGGCAATGGGTACCGGATGATCATCGCTTCAGAAACCATCTTCGATTCCTGCACCCGGTTGCAAGTCGTTTCTCGGGGCGGCCAATAGGTCGGGAAATTGTCGTGCAACGTTGGCGGCAGGCCAAGAGGCTCCAGCACAGACGAATAGTGACGAGGCGTTTGTTCTGCTTATCTGCGGCTCTCCCGTCCGGAATGCAACGGTGATCATCAAACGACTGGCCTTGGACTGGCACTTTTACATTCCACAAACGACACTGGAAGGTGACAGTGGTTTGAATCTGAGCGATAGATGCAAGACGATAAAACGGCATGAATGCTGCCTAGAGAGTGCAGTAGATAAGGCGAGACGCATGTAGTGAGCAGAGCTGAAAATAGAGCAGGCAGGCGCTGCGGCCTGAGACGACGCGCATTACGAGCTTCAGGCATTGTGTCTCATCACACGCATCAAGCGGCGAGAAGAGGCGTGGTTTGAAACTTTTTCAGCCACAGGCGGCAAGCGACATTGGCCGTGGGATGGCGCACGTGGGGGTGTGCCTTCCCGTGGTCGGTCGGGCCTAGCGCAGACCAGTGGTACAGAAGTGATGTGGCGGCAGCGAGACCGGCGCGGTACAGAAGGTTGCCGCCCTCCTTTCCCATGCAGCCGGTTCCGGTGGTTGAGCAAATCAAGGGCTGACAGGTGCTGCGAGATAACACTGGACAGCTGTACGTCTAATTTTGCTTTGGCTGAGACATCTGATAATGATGACTTCACGGCAGCCGCGGGCGCAGCTCCGAGTGGCCGGGCGAGAGTTTTGGCCAGTGTCCAGAGCTGGGTCGCGGCCCCCCGCCCTCAGCCATTTTGTGAAGCGGGAAGATCTGGAGATCGTGGAGTCCGTGTCAATGGGGGAGTCTGGAGGCCCGCAACGACGAGATATCCAGCAGTAGAGCTTGAGAATTTTGTTCGCAGGCCGAAAGAGGTTTGGCGCGGCGAATCCCTGCTCGCGTCTCGGACCGACTACTTTTCCTCTTGTTGACCTCGCCAAACGACAACCCAAACCTCCGCCGACGACGTCACCACCCACCCGGTGCCGCGTGCCTTATCGACGCTTTCCGCTGCCCTCGGGGACCCCGTCACGATGCTAGCGGGCCCCGGCGGCGACGCGGAGGCCGCCCTCGCACACTTCTCCGATGCCGCGGCCGACGGGAAGCTGAAGCACAGCGTCAGCCTCATGGCCGAAGCCGGATCCAGAGCTCGACCCACCCGGGCCTTCCATCTGCCCTGAGGCTAGCGAGTAACAGGCTCCCGCTGACTAGAGCATGGACCCGCACTGACGGCCTTCAGACACGACGGCGCGCTGTTGCGATCGCGTCTTATCTCACCGAGTCGGAACTAACCGGGTTGCGCAAATTCGCCCACGCTCGAGCGCCACACTCCACACGAGCCTGTCCACCGAGCTGAGGACCGCGAGGCCGTTGCGATGGCAGCGGCGCGAACGACCACGCCCAGCGTCGCACAGTACGGCGGCCGCGCATGTCGTCAAGGATGCGCCATGCGGCGTCTGCATAGGGCTGCTTTCTGTGCTGTCGGCTGGTTGCGCTAGCCGCGTCGGGAAAGGCGGCACAGGTTTTCGTGACCGCCTGCCAGAAATTTCGGGTCCACGACATCGGCCGCAGAGCTGTCCGCCGCCGGAGGGCAATGCGGATGCCTTGCGAACGGCCGCGCTCTCAGGCCGCGACGGGCCAAAAGGGACCAAAGCCTCAGCGCGCGGCGGGAGGGCGCGCTCTTTATGTGCCCGTTGTGCGCCGTGCCAGTCATCTCGCCACAGCATCGCGGTGACAGGCCGACCGCGCGCTACCCGAGAGCAGTGGGCCTGCGGATGCCTGGCGCGCCGCGATTGGGCCGCGCTGAGCGAATTCGCCGGCGGTTGCTTGCAAGATCGGCGTTGTGTGTGCCCGGCGTTGCCCTTCCCAATGTGCCAGAGCTTGCGGCCACGGACCAGCCAGCGCCGAAGCTCTCCCTCGCTTTTTTCAATCCGGCTCACAAACTCTTCTTCTCCTTCTCTCCGACTCTTCATCGACCCGTCCATTCGAAGCTTCAATTCATCAACCAAGCTTCAATTCCATCAACTCCATCACAATGGCTGCTGCTCGCATCACCCCCAAGATGGCCACCCTTACCAGGGCCGCCCGCCCCGTCTTCCGCGCTCCCGTCCAGCAGCGCGCCTTCACCGGTACAGACTGACCTTCACCCTCGCTGCAAAAGTTTTCCATCAATTGTGCATCTCGTACTGAGTCAATTCCATCATGAACAGTTGCCAGCCCTGCTGCCAAGCGTGTCACTCCCTTCCAGGCCGTCAAGCGCCAGCAGCCCTCTGCCATCCTCAGGGCCGCTCAGTTCAACAAGCAGACCGCCCGCCCCTACAGCTCCGAGATGGCCAACGCCCTCGTCCAGGTCTCGCAGAACCTCGGCATGGGTAACGCCGCCATTGGTCTTGGTGGTGCCGGTATCGGTATCGGTGTCGTTTTCGGTGCTCTCATCCTTGCTGTCGGCCGCAACCCCAGCATGCGTGGCCAGCTCTTCTCCTACGCCATTCTTGGTTTCGCCTTCGTCGAGGCCATCGGTCTTTTCGACCTCATGGTTGCCATGATGGCCAAGTTCGTGTAAACGTCTGTCAGGGGATGATGGCATTGGCGACTGGGGTTCACGTTGGGTATCTCTGATTGGCATATCGGGCCTCGTGTGTCCGTCATTCGTCTTTGCTTTTCGAAACGAGAACAGGGGATGCAGTCATCGTGGTGGAATGGACACCCCTCGGTGGTTTAGAGCGATGGAAATGTACCTGTACGAAAAAATACCGCATAGAGCCATCGAACATCTTCGTGGTATTTGCTCATAGAAGGGATTCCTTTTTTCCATTTCCACTCGGCCGCATGTACCTTATAATCATGTAAATCAATGCCTCGGAACATGCGCAAAAGACAACGACGCTCCGACCACGCTCAATGGCCCGGCTTCGACCAAAGCTCTCAACCCCTCCAACCCGGCTCCGAATCGAGAGAGCTTGAGCTCGGATTGCGCAAGTTGAAGAGCTTTCCCCATATTCCTTCAGTGCCCCTTCCCCCGCAAAAATCGGCTCTTCTCCGCAATCGCAGTAGTGGACTGACAACATCCACCTACCCGAAGCGTTATCCTTCTATCTTCTGTCAAGTGTTGGCCCGTATGCCACCGATTCGTGTAACATGGGCACTACGCGCACTCAAAACATGCTAACGTGGCTGATCAGACACAACAGGACACCTAGACATACCGATGCGAAGTACCGGAGTAGCTTCATCAGGCAAATCGTCCGTCACCACTTCGTTATCTTCCACGAGCCAGATTGCTTCAGTATGCGCCGGGCTCGTCCTCTCCCTAGCGCCCATGACTTCAATACCTTTGGAAACTCAACCGGGGCTACGCAACGTGACCCCCTTGTCGATGTTTGTTGTGTGCCCAGCTTTGCTCGGGCACGTGGACGTATCGACGATGGCACACTAGAGCAGCCAAGCGACGAGGAGCAGGTTATCGTGACTAAGGTCTTGCAGCTGGGCCCGTATGTCCGCTACTCGCACGTGCGAATCATCTTGCCTGTCCGGACGTTCTGCTCCGGAACCGGGCGACCAGGCCTAATGATCCTCTGCGGCGTGGAGTGGCGTGGTGAGTGGGCACCAAGACGAAGCAGTTGGCTGATGACGACTCGACGACGCTCGCCCCACGTGTCAGCTGTACCTTCTGAGCCCCATAAATATCTTTTAAAAAAATAAATAAATAGAACCTCCATATTTAAAGCACTTGGCCGACCACGAGCAATACATTCAAGCCGTGTAGAAGCAGCATCGCAGCCCCCCCGACTGGCTCGGAAAATGACTCGCTGGCATTCCGTCGCTCGCTCAACGCAGTCAAACTCGTCATTTCGAAACACTACGCCTATAGGCCCATCGCTTTCCGAGATAACTTTGTTTCGCAGAAGCTCCGTTCCCTTCGCCCTCGGCTTGCGGTAGTCCGACAGTTCTCCGAGATTGATCCGAAGACGATTGCAAGGTCATGTCGTTGAAGAAAGGTGTGCTCGGCAGCAGGCATTATCTGCACGGTTAGACATGGAATAGCGGCGCAGCCGAACCGGCAGCCTGGTAAAGTTTATCTGCTCAACAGCTCTTGCAGCGCGGCGTGAAAACCGTTCATGCGGCAGAGCTGGGCCGCTGTAGGGATACTTTCGGCGGCTTTTAGGACACCATGATGGACGACGCTGGTCGACTTGACGGGACTTTCACGCAGTGCAACCGCAGCTGGCGTGCGTGCATTCGCATGCGATCGTGTCAGAGTCGCGGCGCTGGCATCATTCTGGGCTATGAGAGTGCTTGCAGCTTTGTCAGTGCCGTGTCTTGATCTATTTTCGCCGTTTACGCGTCGCGTTCACAGTGCAGTGCATCATTTCCTGTTTCTAGGAGTCCGAAAGTATGTCCCTCCTCATGCCCCATGTCCGAGCCTGGAGCTATGAAATCAAGGAATACGTCATTTCTCATCTCACTTCTGAGGTGCAGCACGCTTTCGGTCAAAGCAAGTCTCAGGGTATCAGGGTCTGGGGGTCTCAGGGTCTACGGCTGTAAGAGCAGGGCCCTCACGCAGAATGCCCCTGCCCTGGACACCACGCTGCTCTGCAGAACGATGCGGAATCTGCGACAGCATTACAATACAAGCCGTCTGAACTCGCTCCTCAGCAAAGAAAAGCGCCGCACAGTGCCAGGAGCTGCGAGGCGGAATGGTTGCGGGCGGGCTTCTGGCAGTCCCCTGAAGCGCTAGGACCGGAGTTAATCGGTGGCCGCATCCATGAACGCAGAACACCACAAGTAAATCGATATAATATGCCGACTGCCAATCACTCCTCCAATCTTGCGCCTTGCAACGCCGGATTGCGTACCACACTCCGCGTGCGCGCACGTGACGTCGCGATCTTACGTGTCCTCCGGCTGCCGAGTGAGAACGCAACAGTTTAAACCCCGAACTATCCCCCACACGGCGATTCGCCCAGCCGCCCCCCCTCTCTCCAGCAATATGGATCTCGTCAAGCAGGGAATCTCCATCGCCACCAACCCAAAGTACGCGCGATGGCTGTGCCCCCTGCTGCTGCTCGCCGACGCCGCCCTGTGCGGCCTCATCATCTGGAAGATCCCCTGTGCGTAACAACAACCAATTGCTCTCTCTCCCTGCCCAGCCTTGCCAAAACTCTTGGGATACAGAAAAAATGATGCTTGCTTGGCTGTTTTCCCTGTGCTGACGCCACGGGGGTTCTGGCAGACACGGAGATTGACTGGCAGGCCTACATGGAGCAGGTGGCGCAGTACCTGGCCGGCGAGCGCGACTACGCCCGCATCAAAGGCGGCACCGGCCCGCTGGTCTACCCGGGCGCCCACGTCTACATCTACCGCGGCCTGTACGCCCTCACCCACCAAGGCCGCGACATCCGCCTGGCCCAGATCGCCTTCGCCGGCCTCTATGTCGCCGCCTTGGTCGTGACCATGGCCTGCTATAGGCTGGCAAAGGTGAGCATCTCCCCTTGCCCAATTGGGATTCCAGTATAGTCCTATGCATGTCGAAAAATACTCTTGCGAGCCTTTCATCCTCACATGCCCTTCAAATCTCCTTTTCTTGCTATCATGATACTCTTGCCTAGACTCTTCCCCCCAGTATTTCGTTTTGCTCTTGTCCTCCCTTCTGCTATGGAGCTAATGTGAGCACCAAAGGTCCCTCCGTACGTCTTTCCCATGTTGGTCCTATCCAAACGGCTACACAGCATCTTCATGCTACGCTGCTTCAACGACGGCTTCGCCGTGTTCTTTTTCTTCCTGGCCATCTACGCCTACCAGAAGCGGATGTGGACCCTAGGTTCCGTCTTGTACTCGCTGGCCGTGGGCGTCAAGATGAGCGCCCTGCTCGCGCTGCCGGCCGTGGGCATCATCCTCCTGCAGGCCATCGGCAAGGATAGGGCAATCACTCAAGCGGGCATCATTGGCTATCTGCAGGTACGTCTGATGATATCATTCATTGACTCTTCTTCTTCCCTGGACTAATCATAATTGGCAGTTGCTCCTCGGCTTCCCCTTCATCCAGGTCAATGCCAAAAGCTACTTCTCGCGCGCCTTCGAGCTCACGCGCGTCTTCCTCTACAAATGGACGGTCAACTGGCGTTTCGTGCCCGAAGCCACCTTCCTCTCCCAGCCCTTCGCCATCGGGCTGCTCGCGCTGCACGTCGCGCTGCTGGCCATCTTCGCGCCGACGCGGTGGCTCAAGCCGGCGCAGCGGCCGTTGGTCGACGTGGTGCGCATGGTCTTCAGCCAGCCGCACGACCAGGTGCACATCGGGCGGCGCATCAACCCGCGCTTCGTGCTGACGACGATGCTGGGCAGCGTGGCCGTGGGCATGCTGTGCGCGCGCTCGCTGCACTACCAGTTCTACGCGTGGATCGCGTGGGCGACGCCGTTCCTGGCGTGGCGCGCAGGGCTGCACCCCGTCGCGCAGTACGCTCTGTGGGCGGCGCAGGAGTGGGCGTGGAACGTGTTCCCGTCGACGCCCGCCAGCTCGGCTATGGTTGTGGGCGCGCTAGCCGTGCAGGTCGCCGGCGTGTGGTGGGGGACGCGCAAGGATTTCGAGGGCAGGGAGCAGCATCAGCATCAGCATCAGCACCAGCATCAGCATGCCGAGTAGTTTGTCGTGCGCGACGTGCACACGCAGTTTACAGGCGCCCTTCTTTCTCTCTCTTTCTTCTTCTGAGCGGGGGATTAATAGGATACGTTCTTTGCTCTTCTCCCGGGTCGCCAAGTATGTGCTTCGCTTTTTCTGTTCACTCGTCGTCTTCAGAATCCGAGGGCGGCATCTTGCCAACGGTCGACTCCTCGTCGTCGCTGTCCTCGGGGTAGGCCGACTGCTTCTTGAACTCGGGCGGCCTAGAATTGATACAGGGTCAGCCGCTCTGCATCTCTCTTCCCCCGAGTTGTATCCATTCCCTTACCAGTAGCTCATCTTCCGCCACGCCTTCTCGTCGCGCACGACGTTGATGATCTCGCCGCCCAGCTTGTTGTTGCGCTCAGCCAGAGTGCCGGCGTCGATGACGACGTAGGTGCCGCGCTTGACCCAGATGGTGCTGCGGAACTTGGCGTTCAGCTCGGCCAGCGTTGTCGTCTTGTCGGGAAGCTCGACGGAGTAGAGGTTGTTGCCCTCGGCCTTGGACACCTTTGCGATCGTCTGCGCCGGCGTCAGGGCGTCGGGCGGCGTGAGGGTTTCGGCCTCGACGGCATGGAGGTTGCGCTTCGGACGGCCCATGGTCGTAGAGAATCCTTTTTTTCTTCTGGGTGTGTGGAGTCGGGATGTGACGCGGTGGTTCGGTAGTTTGTTGTGGGTAACTTTTTTTCTCGAAGGTACATGGGGTGGGATCGGCGCCCGGGCCATGTCTCCCCGTCCGTCTCGCGTAGGCCTTTTCCTAATCGGGTAATACTTCGCACCCTGACTGCCTCCTCCTAACCGCATCCAACAACGCGCTCCGGCTCTCTGCATGTCATGATGCATCCCGTTGCCCCGTTATCTCTGCGTCCTCTCCGCAAATTCATATCTGACCAGTCCCGCCCAGGTCTGCTCCACCCTGCCGTGCCACAGTCCACCTCGATTCCAGACCTCCTGTACACACCTGCCCACGATTTTTGCCATCAGGCGGTCTATGATTCATAGTTGACTTGTGGCAACGCATGCTTACTCGGATTGCTAAGCAATATGCCTGCCCCGCACATCCCCGGATTATTTCTTTCGCAGTGTCCCTGCAATGTCTACAGTCCATCTGATATAGGAACTTATTGACTTTCACCCCTGTATCCAGCAAGATGGCTCACGCATTGGGCAATCTCTTCGACATTGAAGACCCCAAATGCATCACCACACCTCCCCGCTCACGCAAGAAGTCTGTCTCTATTCGCACGCCTCCTTCCGACCAAGAGCTCGACGATCTCATCTTTGGCGACCGCCTCTCGGCTCCGCAAACCCACCCGTCAACTCCCAAAAGCGGCTCTGAACATGCCACTTCCAGCCGCCCGGCTAGAAGCCACGCAGGAGTGCAGACGCCCGTCACGCCGAGCGAGCTCGAGGGCGCGATAGCGAACAACAACATCAGCACACCCACAGCAGACGGCGGCCCCGCCCACCCGGCCATCCAAACCTTCTGGAACCCGCCCATGAACAAATGGCGCGTCCTCTGCGCCTGCCTGGTCTACTTCGGCAACGGGCTGTCCGACTCGGCCCCGGGCGCGCTGATCCCCTACATGGAGACCTTCTACAGCATCGGCTACGCCGTCGTCTCGCTCATCTTCGTCGCCAACGCCGCAGGCTTCGTCAGCGCCGCCTTCTGCACCGACGGCCTGCTGCTGGCGCGCCTGGGCCGCGCGCGCACGCTCGTCGTGTCGGAGCTGATCATGCTGGCCGGCTACGTCGTCCTCGTGTGCACGCCGCCCGCCTTCGCCGGCGTCGTGGCGGCTTTCTTCCTGCTTGGCTTCGGCTGCGCTATCAATCTTGCTCTTAACAACGTCTTTTGCTCCACCCTCGCCAACTCGACGCTCCTCCTCGGCCTGACGCATGGCAGCTACGGCGTCGGCGGCACCGTGGGGCCCATCGTCGCGACGGCCCTGGCTGGGTCGGGCGTCTTGTGGAGTCGGTTTTATTTCTTGACCATGGGCGTGCGCGTCGTCTGCGTGGTGTTCAATGCGTGGGCCTTTTGGAACTATGAGAAGGAAAACAGTGGTGGTGGTGATGATGATGATGATGATGATGATGATGATGTTGTCATCGCTGGCGCCGGCGCCGCTGTCGCTACGGAGGCTAATCTGTTGACGGAGCTGGAGCAGACTGCGAGCCGGCGTGCGGCTGCGGAGACTCGTGCGGAGGGAGGGGAAGATGTACGACAGCAGCAGCAGACGACGACACCCAAACCGACGAAGCGAGAGCTGCTGAAGCAGGCGCTGCGGAACCGGGTCACGGTCGGCGGCGCGCTGTTTATCTTCATGTACCAAGGTGCTGAAGTCGCCATCGCAGGCTGGGTAATTTCCTTCCTGATCGACTACCGTGGGGGCGACCCGGCGCAAGTAGGATACGTGACGGCTGGGTTTTTCGTAAGTCCTCTTTTTTCTCCCTCACTTCTTTTCCCATCCTTTCCCACCTTTCTCCCCCTAGTCTCAAAAATATTTCATCCATCGCCCTTCCCTTTACCCCCCTTAAAACCGGCACCCAAATCTGACCCCTCCAAACAGGGCGGCATAACCCTCGGCCGCTTCGCCCTCGCCCCCTTCTGCCACCACCGCCTCATCGGCGGCGAGCGCCGCGCCGTCGTCATCTTCACACTCGGCGCCCTAGCCCTCGACCTCCTCGTCTGGCTCGTCCCGAACCTCCTCTCCAACGCCGTCTTCGTCGCCCTGTGCGGCCTGCTGCTGGGGCCCGTCTACCCCTGCGCCCAGACCGTCTTCGCCCGCCTGCTGGTCGACCGCCGCCACCTCATGACCACCTCCGTCGGCTTCATCTCCGGCGCTGGTAGTAGTGGTGGCGCTCTCGTGCCGTTTGTGACCGGTGCATTGGCGCAGGTGAGGGGCAGTGGGACGTGGGTGCTGCATCCGGTTTGTGTGGTGGCGTTTGTGGGGATGGTGGTGTGTTGGTGGGCGATGCCGGGTGGTGGGAGGAAGGTGAAGGGGAGGGAGTGAGGGGGTTCTCGTGTTGGCCATTGTGCGTGTGCAAGGGGGGGTGCTTGTGAAGTCAAAAAGGAAGATTGAATGAGACCCAAGACCGAGGGGGCATGGGAGAAGGAAAAAGTATTTGTGAAGGTTGAGTTAAGGCAGGGGGGGAGAAACCAAGGATACCCTGCCGGGCAATCAAAAGATCAAAAGTAAACGCGGAACTTTGAGTACTCTTGATACGGTGCGTAACTTATTATCTTTAGGTTTCTTTCATCTTCATCTTCAGTGTTGCAATACTGAGTGAACTGAGCTCGTAACACAAAAAGAGCTATCCTGACGTACAGTCAACTTACCTACGTCTATTAGCGTTGCTTCCACTCCTCAAGAACACAAAGAAAGCCCAAAAATCATCATACCGCATCGATTAAAAGGATATCAAGTATTACCAAGGAAGTGACCCGAACACCGTTCCCCAAAGACCAGCCGTGTCCATACAACCTAACCGCCTGCATCACAAGGCGACGGCAACAACCCAATCGTCAAACTTTCCCGTCCGAGAGCCAAAGAAAAAAACACCAAGTAAACACCCCTACCAATCCCAACCCAGCAAGACCATCGTAACGCATATCCGACCATCAGCATCAACACCCACCACCACCACACCCACCACCACCCCCTCCTCCCCCACCGCCGCAACCACCCGACCCTCCACACCCACCACTAGCACCACCTCCGCACCCACCCGCACCGCCGCACCCCCCACCACCGCAGGTGCCCCCGACGCCCGCACAGCCGCCACCGGCGCCAATCATGCCCCCGCAGGTGCCCTGGCAGCAGCCGCCCGACAAGCCCGAGCCCGTCTCGGCGAAGCCGGGGTCGCTGCCGCCGACGTAGCCGACGCCGCCGAGCGGGTAAGGGCCGTAGGCGTAGCCGATGAAGGGGGCGCAGGCGGCGCCGTAGTAGTAAGCGTTCGAAGAGTTGCGGTCGTCTTTGTTTTTCTTCTTCTTGTCGCCGATGTCGAGGTGCGTGTTGGCCTGGGCGGCGTAGTATTCCTCGCGGACGGGGGGCTCGCGGCCTTCTTTCTTAGCGCGGCGGACGGCCGCCGCAAAGGCGCGTTCGAGGTGCGAGCGGCGCGCCGCCGACCAGGCGTAGCTGTTGTTGGTGCGGACCGAGCTGTGCGACGAGATGTGGGGGCCCGAGCGCGGGTCGCTGGGGTGCTCGACGCCGTCGGCTTCGTGGAGCGAGGCCGAGGCGGAATGGTTCGTCGTCTTGAAGAGGCGGGACAGTGGTGACGTGTGGGATTCGCGGATGGCTTCGCAGTACCAGCAGGTGCACTCGGAGTAGGGCTCGCCGAACATGCGTTGGTACGTCTTGCTGGTCCATTCGAACGACTCGTCCAGCTTGGCCTCCTCGACCTTGTCGTCGTGGTCGATGAAGACGCCGTTGCAGATGGTCTGGCAGAAGTTGTAGTAGTTGGAGGGGAGCGTCTGGTGCGTGTGCCAGGCGAGGTCGACGTCGAGGGTCGGCACGGCCATCTTTTTGGGGTGAGCTGCCATGATTCTGAAGAAGTTTTTATACTTCTTGAGCAGGCGTTCAGAGGTGGAGTAGACCGTCGGCGAGAAAAGCCAGCCGATGTTGTGCATCTTCTCGATGAAGGTTCCTTGCCGAATCACTGCGCCGATAAGGTTGATGCCGAAGACAGAATGGTTCTTCCAATAGCGAGACATCATTCGGCGGACAGACACGAGCTCACGCGGGGTAGGACGACCCCCAGGGCCCTGATCTTGTTAGCAAACTCTCTTCTGAACTGTGGTCGTGGCAACAAACCGAGCTCCATGTTGACGTCAAGTTCTTCTGGGACAGTCCTTCTTCAAAAACGATTCTCACTGAGTCGAGGCTCGCGCTAGGGTCGCGCTTCAAGTCCGTGGCCTCGAGCAGCTTTATGTGAATCGGGGATTGTTTGATCCAGCCACTAGCAAAGAAGGTTGGGGGGTTGAATGACTTCTTTCCGCGGTATGGTGGCCGGCCCATGTTATCCAAAATGGTACCGCACATTGGCACGTCTTCCCTCATGAGACGTGAGATGTCTTGACGAAACTGCCACACCTCAAGGGTGTCATGTGTTATAGTACACTTGCAGTTAGGGCAAGTCTTGGCGAAGCTGCCGTCAGAATATCCATCTCCAGGAACGAACTCCGAATCGGGGCCGTAGGGAAAGCCCGCACCGCGTGACCACGGAACGGACAAGAAGGTAGCTTGTGTGCAGAAGGGGCAACGCAGGTCCTTGTCAATCGGATCATCCAGGTTATCCCACGAGAGTTGAGCGCTGCGCCTCCACATGGCCTTCACGGGCTCACCGACATCGTAATCAAAAGTAGTGTTGTCGATACACGTATTGATGTCCGCCCAGGGTAGACCAGTAGCCCAGAAGTCCAGGCAGCCATAACGCAAGCAGTCCTCGAAGAAGATGCGGGGGTTGAGCGTGTGTGCATGCCAGACCATGAGGACGTCAAGCGGAGGAAGATTCTCCGGGAAGAAATTGCGAAGTCGCTCGCCCAGGGAGCCGGCTGTTTCGTGCAGCGTCGAGTCTGCAAGCAGCTTTGTAGAATACATGGGGCCCACCATCTCGCCGCCGGTAAGCTTGGGGATGCGCTCAAGGAACCACTGCTCGTAACGCTCGACGGCACGCGAGACGTAGACTGCCCATCTCTTCTCGCGGACCTGCTTGATCTTGTGCTTCAGCTCCTCGTCGACGGCGCCATCCTCGGCCTTAGCATCCTGGTCGAGAGCCTTCTTCTCATACTGCGGGGCGGCGGTGGCGGGCGTGGGGCTAGCAATGCCAAAGATACCCTCGGTGGTTTCGATATCCTGGCGGAGGTTGTAGAAGGCCTCCAGCAGCTTGAGGTGAACGATGCACTCGTCGGCAGCAGGCACAGCTTGCCTACGAAGCGGGTCGATGTTGAGACTCTGCAGGCGGGAAGTGAAGTCTGGTGGCAAGGCAGGGGCCTCGTTTGACGGGCCGTCGGTCTGCTGTTCACCATACGCAGGTGGCGGGGCGGCGGCTGAGGAACTGTTGCGTGAATGGCTCGAGACAAACGAGTCGCGGGGACTCTTCTTGAGCTTGTTGGGAAGACTCATGGTGAGGAGTAGGACTGAAGGGATTAATCCATGGATAGGTCTTTGAGGTAAATGTCGTGGGAAGGGCGGAAGCAAGAGGGCGGTATTAAATGCTGTGCAAGTCGCGACTGCCGTTTTAGTGGCCGGGATGCATCGTTTACGCGAATCCTGAAGGAACGTGAGTCCGGTGAAGAGAACGGCGATCGGGTGGCTTTGGGGGCTGAAACAGAGGGCCGCAGGGCAGTTGCTGCTAGCCAGCAAGGCTTAGCCAGGCGCACCGCGCCGATCGCACCCAGTGAGCCCTGTGAGCCCTGCCAATTTTAGACCCACAACAACCACTTCGGTACACCGGTACATGTCGACGTCACTGGCAACGGCGCGTGGCTTAGCTGAAAATGTGCATTGCTATCTCGTCTACTACACAAAGGTCCACCCCCGAGGTCTATCAATCTCTAAATGTCTCAGCAGACATATGACCGGATTCCCAAACGCCGCGCTGTACTTCAGCTTTACCCCACATAGCTGGGCATATGCAATAAAATCTCATACACTGAATAAACGTGTCTCGCTTCGAGACGGGGAATAGAAAACAACCACATCCACCTACTCCTGCTTCTTCTTGCTGGGCTTCTTGGGCACGCGAGCCAGCCAGTAGATGAAGATGGCAGCGAAAACGTTGAAGATGACATAGACCCACATGATGCCGAAGTTCCTCCAAGCATCCTTCCAGTAGATGTCGACCGACGCGAGGAAGGAGTTGGTCGAGTCCATGGAGCAGAACTGGCAGCCAGTCGTCGCGTCGGGGTTGAGCATGTAGCCGCCGCCGGTGAGCTCCGTGTACGGCTGGATGTACTCCTGGCACGTCTGGTTCGCCATAGGCTCGAACTTGAGGAATTCGTTGGACGCGCACGAGGCCGGAGCGTTGGCGACGGCCGTGGATAGCATACCCGATATCAGATATGTGAAAGGCGACAGGTAGTACATGAAGATCCAGAAGCCGGGCAATGCTTCCTTGGTGGCGAGAACACTGCGACAACGTTAGCTTTAATTCACTTCACAAACGACTGCGAATGATGACTTACCCGCAAAAGATGAGCGTCAGCATGAAGAGCAGGTTGGCAATGTTACCACCAGTCTCAGCCGCCTCGATACCCGCAATGACCATGTCGGTAAAGGTGCTCGTGAACATGAGGAAGGCCCAGATCAACAGGAACATCAGCGCGCCACGCTCAGTGACATCGTTGGGCTCCGCGTTCCTCCACAGGCCGATGGGGTAGTACCACGTGAAGAAGAGAAGAACGGCAGCCAGCGAGTTCCAGGGCAGCTCGACGACGATCTGGGAGAGCATGAAGGCCTTCCACGAGTACGTCTTGCTGGGGCGCTCGCGCACTTCGTACAGCGCGCGCTGAGTGACAAAGTGAGGCATGATCTGCTGCACCAGGTTGCCGAAGATGGTCATGAGCATGAAGATGGCGAACATCTGGTTCTGGAGACCTTGCTGCGTGTTCTGTGCCTTGAAGAAGGAGAAGCCGACGAAGAGACCGGAAGCAATGACCAGGACGAGCTTGGAGTAGATGTACGAGGGCGTGCGCCAGTACTGCTCGAAGACACGCTTGGTGACCTCCCAAAGCTGGAGACCGAACGGCGCGGCGAATTCACGGAAGCTGGCCTGCTCATTGCCGGACGAGGGCTGCGACTTCTGCGGAAGCTCCGCCTTCATCTGGGCAAGCTCATCCTTGACAGACTTGTACTCGGGACTGTTGCGCCAGGCCTGGTGCCAGTCAATGTCCGTGTGCGAACCAGGAGCTGCGCCAATGACCTCGAGCATCCATTCAGCTGGGTTGGCCTCGGTCGGGCAAGGAGGCGCGCCGTTACGCTCAAAGTAGTTGGTAAGGACCTTCGAGTTCTGGCCAATCTCGCCAAAGTAGACGGTCCTGCCACCCCTGGCCAGGAAGAGAAGACGATCGAAGCGCTGGAAAAGCATGGCCGAAGGCTGGTGAATCGTGCAGAGGATGGCTTGGCCGTTCTTGGTGAGCTTCTCCATCAGGTCGCAAATGGCCCAGGAAGTCTGAGAGTCGAGACCGGAGGTGGGTTCGTCAAGGAAGAGCAGGAGCTGAGGCTTGGCCGCCAGCTCGACACCGATAGTAAGACGCTTGCGCTGCTCGACGTTGAGACCTTCACCGGGAACACCGACAACGGCATCGGCATACTCCTCCATGTCAAGAAGCTTGATGACCTCGTCGACGTACGCGAGCTTCTCCTCGCGAGAGACGTGAGCAGGCTGGCGGAGCAGAGCGCTGAAGTTCAGGGCCTCGCGAACGGTCGAAGTCTGAAGGTGCAAGTCCTGCTGCTGGACGTAGCCGGTCTTGCGCTGGAACGAGGCATCACGCTGGCGACCATCGACAAAGGCATCACCGGTAATGACACCCATGGTGACACGGGTTGCGAGCACATCCAGAAGCGTAGTCTTACCGGCACCAGAGACACCCATGAGAGCAGTGAGCGTGCCGGGCTTGACCCAGCCGTCGACGTGGTCGAGAATGCGGCGGTCCTCGCCCTTGATCTTGATGTCGTAGCACATGTCCTCCCAGTGGAAGATGGCAGTCTGCTTCTGAATGATGGCAGCCGAGTTGTCGGTCTTCTCGGAAACAGGGGCACGGCCAGCGGGAGCGGATTCAACGTCACTCTTAGCGGTAGCGGGAACGAAGCCGCGGCGGAAGACGAGGACTTCACCCTTCGACTTCTTGGCCGAAATGAACTCGGTAGCAGCGAGGTAGGCGGCACACAAACCGATCATGAAGGCGAACTCGATGCCCAGGTTCCTCCACTTGTGCGAGTGGTAGTACTCGTACGAAGAGTTGATGTACGCATCTCCGTTGACGTAGCCCTGGCCCGGCTGTGCGCCAGTGGTGCCACACACCATGTTCAAAGGACCAATGTTCTCGTAGCCCGGAAGCTGGTTGCTCGGGACGAATTGCGAACAGGTGTAGTTACGGTTGTGGAACTCGTTGATCATCAAAGACTCGAATCCATACGAGATGGGGTCCAAGTAGTTGATCCAGCGAGACCAGCCCAGCATGTAGCGTGTCGGAATGACGAAGCCAGTGTAGATGACCAGGGCAAGGATGAGAACAGCTGCCGGGGCCATGGCCTGGGACAGGGTGCGAGAGACGGAAGCGATGGTGCGGAACATCATCGACATGACCAACGTGAGGATAAACGAGATCAGGAGGAAGAAGAAGAAGGCTCCCGGTTCGCGGCGGAGATTGGTCATGAAGTACAGGATCAGGTTGAAGCATATCGCATTGCCGATCTTGTACGGTAGATCCGTAAGCATCGATGCATAGGCCTCAGCCGAGGGATGGTACAGGGCATATCGAGCGTGCTTCTCCACAATCGGACGTTGGGCATAGAGAGTCAGGATTTCCAGAGCAGAACCAAAGGCGTTGAACAGGACGGCGAAGAACAAAAGGGCACCGCGGCGGTAGAAACTCGATGTGTCCTCCGGGAGATTGTAGAAGACAGAGCCAAGAATGAGCGCCATGACGGTGTTGCCGAAGATTTGGGTGATGGTCAGACTAGGATCGCCGCGAAGACGCTGGAAACCACGCCACAGGCACAGTCTGATCTGGCCAGCGTAGGAGAGAGTGTAGGGAGACTTGACGCGCTGGTGCTTGGACTGTTGTGCCTGGCGAGACTGCTTGAACTTCTCGAGGTATTCGCCACCGATAGCGTACTTCTTGTCGTACTCATCGATGTCCTTGAGCAGCTGAGCGCGAGCCTGGCTCTCCTTCCAGCGAGCGGCGAACTCATCGGGGGTACGGGGGACCCTGTTCTCCCAACCGGGGCGAACGACGCGCTCCTGCGGAGACGTCATCGAGGTCAGGAAATCGGCAGTGGTCTGGCGATCAGGGCAGTCGAAGCCCATGTCGACAAAGTACTGCTTAGCCTCGTCGCAGCGACCGAAGAAGATCTGGCGACCCTCGTAGAGCACGGCAACCTTGTCGAAGGTGTCGTAAGCGGCTTGAGGGGCCTGGTAAATGGCAACGCAAGCAGTGCATCCCATCAGATCAGTCTGCATGCGCAGCGTCTTGCAGAACTCAATGGCGTTGGCCGAGTCGAGACCACGGGTCGAGTTATCCCAGCACTGCAGCGGGGCCTGGCTGAGGGTGGCCTCGGCGATGGAGACACGCTTGCGCTCACCACCAGAGACACCGCGGACGAAGTCGTTACCGACACGAGTGTTGATGGTGTGCGAGATGCCGTACATGGCCATGACGACATCGCGCATGTGCCTGGCGTAGGTCCAGTGGTCGACGTCTCCAGGCGTGTTGCGGGGAGCTCTTGCGCGAGCGGCGAAGGCAAGGGTGTCGCCAACAGTCATGTTGGGGAAGTGAACATCGACCTCGGCCGTGTAGATGGCCTCGCCACGGAAGTGGTTATGCATGTCGTGGGCCGAGATACCCTGGTAGTTGATGTACGAGCTGTCGTCGATGTTGAAACCGTGCGTCTCTCCGGAAATGGTCTTGAGCAGGGTTGAGCATCCGGAACCAGGGGGACCCAGGACGACAAGCATCTCGCCGGCCTCGACGAGGCCGTCGAAGTCGCGGAGGATGTCGATCCTGCGCTGGCCCCTGCCGAGAGCCTGGTTCACAAGGCCGGGAATGTCGATCAGGACATTGCCGACGCTCTTCTGGTAGTCGGTGGCATTTCCGTAGCCGAAGACATTCAGGCCCCTGTAAGCAATGCCAGCGGTCCGCTCGGGGAACTTTTCGGCGTCACGGGAGCGGATGTGGAGCAGGGCTTTGGCCCATGCGCGGGCGTTGAAGTTCTCTCCGTTGGGGTCCAGGGACGAGTTGGGCTCGGCCTCAGTGAATGGGTTCTTGCCAATGGCCGAGTAGCGAGAGGCATTGGTGTACTGGCGGGCTAGAGAAGTGACCTGGCGTATACGCTCGGCCTCGGACTGCTGGCTGTCACTGTCCGAATCGTGCTTTTCATCCTCGACGGGCTTGTTCGAGGCGGCGGTGCGGCCGCGGGACTGGGATCGTGTTCTGGTGGTGGCGAGGGTTGTTGCTGAGGCTCTCTCGAGGTTTATCTCCTCCTGCTCGAGATGCTGAGGCGTAAGTGTTGATTGCTGAGGGACGCCGTTGCGCTGCTCTGTGCCATCGTTGCTGCCAAACGCGCCCATGAACGACGACATGGCGGCGATGGAGCTGGGGGAGCTCCTTTGGATTAGGTAATTAGCGGTAGGGTAGTGGGATTAAGGCGAGTGGGAAAGTGGCGGTTTATGTATGGTGGATTATGGGTTAAGTCCCGAGGATAATGGGTTAAGGCCCGTAGGATATGTTGGATCTGGGGTACAAGAGAGGCGATTGTATTTATTATTAGGAAGAATCGTACGCCCACGCGCCCCATCAGCGGGCTAGGGAGCCCGCCAGGTCTCGGGATGTGCGAGCAACGGTCTCCGGGCTCGTTCCATTGACAAGCGAGGATGCGCAGCGGCTTGGCGCCGAACGGATGGCGGAATCAGGCCTCTCCGGAAGCCCGCTAGCCCGCGAGCAGCAGCTGCTAGGCCAGGCAGGGCACGAGCCCGAACCACGCCAGAAGTTTCCTAAGCACACATCCCAGGCGCCCATCGCCGGGTGCCCTGTGCGCGGCCGGTTGCTGCACTTCCGGGTCCGCTGCCAATCTGCCCGTAAGGCAGCGCTTGCGAGGAAAACGCCTCACCGACGTCCAAGCCGGGCCGTCTGCTGCACCCTCCCTTATCACCGCGTGTCACCCTGCCCCACGCATTCCTCCTTCCGGGTCAGCACGACCCGGTCCCGGGCTGAATCATCAAGACTGCATGCAACTTCCATCTCACTGTTCCCGTCAGCCCTGGGACATGGTCTTCAGCTCGAGTGTCCTTTCATATCGAGCACCTTCTCATTCCGTCCGGGAGTGCGCTGCGTCGTCCTGGCCCCGGCACCACCAACATTGGGGCGACTGTAGTCGCGAGAACCGACGTCGTCCCGCGTTTCTTTCTTTTAAGCTTGTCTGCATCCCGCTCTTGGCGAGTCGGACAACCCGAGCGTCTCGCTTTCGCGTTTGCGATCCTCTTCGCTTTGGGTTGCATGCGAATGCTGCACGAAAGCGGCGGGCCAAGGGGGGCTCCCCACTCAAGTAGCCCTGAGGCCAGCAAGTCAACTGCAGCCGCACAAAAGTCCGGGTCCAGATCTGCCCCGTGAGTCAGTGCGCTGGCGTCCGAGCTCGTACTTCCGCGCGTCTCATTCGCCCGCGGTGCGGCTGCGCGCTGCGATGCTGCTGTTTCTTTGACCGTTTCAGGGCATCGTTTCGAAGATGGGTGAATCGTCAGAATGACTAACCACGCATCGCATTGTGCGCACAGTCAGCAGCATGAACCTGCAAGGCTGCCGAGGCGGCTCTTTCACGATGATGTCAGCCCGCCGCCACTCTAAAAGCATCCGGCACGCACGGATCGGGTTCCGGATAAGAGTCTCGAGATCTGGTTGCCTCTTGGCTCCTCCGCAGTAACGGGGACAAAGAGAGTTTGTTCGAGAACAAGCACGAGAAGGGACACCGGCGGCGATCCGGTTTTTGCGGCGTTAGGGGCCCGGGTAGATCCTGCGCGATACGCTGCTAAATGACGTGTGGTCCTGTGGCGTCCGGCTGCCGGACCGCCGTGTGCCGAGCGGTGACCCCAGCGGCCTCGCCCATGGCATCTTCCGACCAAGTCCATCGCTTCCGCTCTTCTGGGATCCTGGGGTCCTTCTTCTGCTGTCTCGACACCTCTGACTCGACGTCAAAAGTAGCCGTTGGCGTGTGCGACAGCCGTTGCGGTGACGAAAGGGGTACCTGTTCGCCCTACAGCACACCAACAGTGCGCCAATTATTGAATTGACCCTCTCCAACCCACCCACACAAATACCTACGTGTGCAGTCGATCGTAAAACGTATGCTTCTCTTTTGCCAGGGTGGGGGTCCCTCCGTCTTCTCCTTCCGTTCCGGTGTACATACGTGCGGACAAATATCTCCGGACGTGCAAGCCTGCCCAGAGATCTGGTTATGAACCTCACCGATGAACCAGCCTACCTAGTCAGGGGAAATGCCATCTCACCAAGCATTGGAAACTTCCATGAGCCATCACTTCGGCTCCGGCTGCTTCCTGGTGCGCGTACGTATGCTCCAATCAGCCTGCGAGGAATATATTACTACGCCGTAGAAGTGGACACTGAGCAACCTTGGCTACGACATCCACTACTGCTTTTTAGTCAAGTTGAGACAGGAAGAGTAAACGGCGGCAGGTGCTAGCTGCCCAACAAACCGGAACCTGACTCCGTACTCCGTTCCGAGAACCCCTTATCCAAAGCAGATTGCCCTAAATCTTTCGAAACCCACAACATACACAAGACCCTACCAAGAGAAATGATGCAAGAACACTTCCCGTCCCTCAACTTTTCTTTCTAATGGCTTCTCATGAGAACTAGCCCTCAGACATACGCCGCTTTATTAGTAACCTTCGCCGAAGAACCTGCTCGCAGCTATGATTTCCTGGTCGTTGTTGGCAAAGTCCCACCCGACAATCGTCGGGTCTTGACTACAGCAGATGATGCGTCGAGAATCGAACTGCAACTTGAACACACGGGAGTTGCTGCCGGTCGGATTCACTGTGCCGCCTACAAGGGGAACGTGGTGATGATGGTGATGGTGGTGCCCATGCTGCTGGTTACCATTGTGAGCCGGTTGTGCAGGTGCCTGAGCATTGTTGCCAGCCTGGGCTGCTTGTCCTTGGGGTGCTTGCATGGCCTGCGCTTGTTGCACCAGTTGCTGAGCTTGTTGCAGCTGCGCAACTTGCTGCTGGATCTGCTGGATGTTTGCCGGCTGGTTTGGTGCAGCCCCGTTCTGCTGTTGAGCCTGATTCTGTACTGCTTGCGATGCCGCAGTCAGCGCAGCCATTTGCTGCTGCAGTTGATGGTTCAGGCGCGCAGGCCCAGGGCCACGTCGTCTACCACCAGCACTGGCAACCGCCTCGCTCTGTAGCAGACGTTTGTGAGCAACCCATTTCCCATCCGGAGCTTTCTTCCAGATGATTATACTCTCATCATAGGAACCAGAAACGATGCGTCCCCAGCGGCTACCCCCTCCTCCCGGTGGGAGTTTAGCGCCGTATGCGAAGATTTCCCTGGGATCGCGCGAGCCCGCATTCCTCCTGCGACGTTCCTCGCGTGTGAGTTCTGTCAGCGCACCTCTTGCCCTAGCTTCGAAGTACTGCTGGTCAACAGCACGAGCCTCGGCTTCGAGCTCTTCCTCATTACCCGACATGTCGCCAAATTCTGCTTGCACGGTGCGGACAAGGTTGGCGTGGCCTCGGAGACAAGCTACTTCCGCCCCAGTCGCTCTGTCAAAGATACGTACTGTCTCGTCCGAACTGCCGGTAACAATGCGACGACCGTCAAACTGGACGCATGCGATGCCTTTGGTATGGCCGGGAATCGTCTTCAGGCAGGCGCCTGTATGAATATCCCAAACCTTTACTGTTCGGTCACCAGAAGCAGACACAATCTGGTCTTCGTAACACTGTATGGCATTGACTGCGGCACTGTGGCCGTCGAGGGTCATTAGCAGACTGAATTCTTTGAGCGGCTTGAAGTTCAAGTGCTGGTTTTCGAGTTCCTTGTCAATGTTGATAATGTAGCTGGGAAACCGAGCACCGCCACTGCTCATTCTCGGGTAGTCGTTGTCAGTAGGAAGAAGCTGCCTGCGGTTCCATACTTTGATAGTTTTGTCTTTGGAACAAGTGATGAGGTAGCGATCATCAAACCGCAAGTTGAGAACCGATTCGCTGTGCGCGCGCTCCATCTTCTTGATCATTTGTCCGGTCGAAAAGCGCCAGATGATGACGTGGCAATCGCTGCCACCAGAAACCACAAGATCGTGTTCGGGTCTCTCGTCGAATTGCAAGCAGAGCACAGAAGCGTCATGACCTGTCAGCGGGGCCACAACCAATCTCTGAGTCTCCAAGTCCCAAATGCGGATGGACTTGTCCCGACTACCACTGACGACGTGCTTGGCTGAATGCTGTATGGTGTAGACGCATTCTTTGTGCGATTCATATGGGTGTGATGGGTGGGGCAGTTGGAAGTTGGTGAACCTGCCAGCGGCCCAGTTCTCTTCCAGTCGCCGTTTCTGCTTGTAGAGATACTGCCAGTTGACCATGGGATCCCCAAAAGAGGATAAGATCAGGGAAGGCCTAATTGGCGGGTAGAGAATGTCGGCAGGAGGTGGTGAGGCAGCGTCCTCGATGGCAAACTGCGGACGGGACTCCAACCGTCGAGCCAGATCGAGAACTCTCTCCTCCGATGGAGACTGCCCCGGCGGCTGGTTTTCGTAAGCAATGTCCTGCATACCATCTTCGCTTCGGGATGAGCTATCATCAGCCTCCACAGCGCCATGTTGTTCCGCCCAATCCTTCGCATCGCCGTCAGCCACTGTAGCGACAGGCCCGCTTTGTGAGCCGTCACCAAATAAGTGCCGCTCCCTGATCCGCTTCTTGGTGTGCATCCGCTCAAGATCGCCATCGCCGCCGCGGACACGCGTCTTGCGTTCTTTCATTATCGACCTATTGGCTTTCTCATGCTCCTCAAAAGTCCTGATTTGGCGAATGTTTGCGGTCCAACCTTCGGCACCAAACATGCATTTCCACAACTGGCTGTCCAGGGCACGTCCCCGCCATGCTTTAGACAGAGTCGACGTCTTCAAAAGCGTTTCCGGCTCCAGATAGGAGAATATTTGGAAGGTGATTTCAGGCGGAAGGTACAAGACGGGGTCGAGATGGAGCCGCGAGTTCAGCCTCTCGACAATTTCCGCTATGGATGCAGTGCGCAGCGAGCGCAGGATCTCGAGGGCGATTTCTGGGAGCTGTTAGCGTTGGGCAGACTTGGAGAGCACAGACGTGGTGTACCTGATCTATCATTTTCCGGGAGACGCAGTATCCAGTCCGGGAGCGGCGCGCGGGAGGTGGTCTCCTCGGCGGGCTCAGAGAGCTGGGGCTCGCTGCGCATGGCGGTGTCGACCTCGCTCTGGCTCCGTGTGTCCTCGGAGAAGCCCTCGTCGAGCTTGAAGGGGGTTCCCATCTTGGCGTTGGGGTAGTCGTGGAGGTACGGGGTCTGGGAGGCGAACGGGCCTTGGTTCGGTGTTGCGGGCTGGTCAGCCATTGTTTGGGGGGAGGGCGGTTGGGATCAGAGGCCGCCTAGTGCCCTGGGCTTCGGTTCGTGCAAGCGGTTGGGGACGACGCAGGGCGGGCAGGGTGGACAAGCAGCAGAGCGCGACGTCACCGGGGCGCGGCGCAGGGCTGGTGGAGGAGCGGGAGCGGGCGGGCTGGCGCGGCGATAGTTGGGTGAGGGAGGCCTCCGTGCGTGGTCGAGGCCTGAGGCAGCAGGGCTGGGTCGGGGGCTAGCGGGCAGTGTCAGCGGCGCCGGGGTGGCGCGACGGCAGAGCGCGGTGAGCGAGCGAGCGAGAATTGCGGCGCGTGAGGGCCAGCAGGCGGCAATGGGCATGGGCAGCAGTGGGCGATCGCCGAGTCGGATGAGGGCACGCACGAGTCGCATCGGGCAGAGAGCCGCTGGCTGACTACGCCCGGCGGCGGCTGGGCTCTGCTCGGGACGATGGGCGGCGAGCACGCGACGGGGCGTGTTGGGCGCGCGCACACCTCCTCGCCGTCGCAACCAGCGGTCTGCAGCAGCTTCACGCGGCCGCCCACCATCTTTCGCCCTCGTCGCGCGCGCTCTGCGTCGTCTGCCGCTGTCTGCGCTGCCCGCGGCCACTGCCATCCCACCCTCGCCTTGGCGCTAGCGCCCCATCGCACAGCTTTGATCCCTCGGCGGCTTGCACTCCCAAGGGGCACGCTGAAACCGCGGCGCTCACCCGTCCAGGCCAGCACCAGCAGCACCTCATCCCCTACCCTACCGCTGCGCTCGTCCATCACCACCTCGCCGCCCGCCCGCCCGCTCGCACCCACGCGCCCTGCAGCAACCTCGACCGCGCGCCTGCGACCCCAGTGCTGCCAGCGACCTCACCGCATCCAAGCCTCCAACCTGGCGTGAAGGCGCTGCCCCCGGCGCCCCTCCGCTGCGAGGTCTCACCTCACCACCGCACCTCAAACCTTCCATTCCTCACCCCAGGCTCGGTGATGATGGAGGTTGGAGTTCATGGGCCTTTGTCTCGAACCCACACCACTCCCATCCCGACTGCACATTCCCGCCTCCACAGCGCCGGCGGGCCCACACCCCTCATGCCGAACTCAAACCATGCGAGCTTCTCGACCTATTCCTCGCGGACGTCCGACTCGTCCCAGGGCACCTCGACCTCGACCCTGTTCCCCCCGCCACCCCTGCCCACCTCGGCTCCGCCCGCCAACGGCGGGCCCGTCGAGGCCGCCAACAATGTCATCAACAAGCGCGGCGACAAAGAGGCCTCGCTGTTCATGATTTGCCTGACATTGTCGCGTCGCCTGGGCACCGTGCCCGGCTTCGCCGAAATCCTGCGCGAGGAGGAGGAGGCGGCCGACGAGGACACCGACCCGGTCACACTGCTGTGGAGGACATTCCGCAAGGGCTATCCCTTGATGACCATCTACAATGCCCTCGATCCCGACGTGCGCCTCGAGGTCGACAAGAACAAGGTGTCGGAAAAGAAGCGCGAGCAGGCCGCGACCTACAAATTCCTGTCGGCATGCATCAACCAACTCAAGTTCCCCTCGGAAGAGTGTTTCGTCATCAGCGACCTCTACGGCGACGACACGACCGGCTTTGTCAAGGTACGTTGCTTTTGCAGGCCCCGCGCATCGCGTGGCGTGATCTAACATCTACCAGGTGGTCAGGGTCGTCAACCGCGTCCTGGACCTTCTCGTCAAGGAAGGCATTATCAGCAGCGAAATGGGCGGCGGTGATGGTGCCGAATCCGATACTACCACTACGACCAAGCGGACGCAGCGCCAGCACATCATTGACGAGCTCGTCAAGACTGAGCGAACCTACGTGCAGCACCTCGAACTCCTGCAGGAGTTCAAGAAGCTGGTGGAAGAGAGGGGAATAGTCACCGGCGATGCTGTCCACGCCATTTTCCTCAACTTGAACGCTTTGCTCGACTTTCAACGCCGCTTTTTGATTCGCGTCGAACAGACAAACGCGCAACCCGAATCGGAGCAGAATTGGGGCAGGCTTTTCGTGCTATACAAGGAAGCGTTCAAGGTGTACGAGCCGTACATTGCGAACCAGAAAAAATGCGAAGAGACGGCAATGGCGGAGTTTGAAAAATTGAAGGAAACCGGCGGCCCTGCAGAGCTTCGACAGATGGTCGAATCGCCCACCAATTTGACGTCATTCTTGCTCAAGCCTTTCCAGCGCCTTGCTAAATATCCCTTGCTGTTGAAGGTACGTAATTTGTTATCTCTTGGTTTGGGCAAAACACTTATTGTTTCACAGGAGCTTAGGGACAAGGGTGATCTCGATGAGGAAAGGCGTGACGACATTTCTACCGGTATCGAAGCCGCTTCTTCCGTGCTAAAGAGAACGAATGAAGCTATCGACTTGGAAGACCGCAAGGAAGCACTCGAGGAATTGAAGAGCCGTGTCGAAGACTGGAAGGGTCATCGCATTGAAGGATTTGGAGATCTCCTGCTTTATGGTACCTTTACCGTGCTGAAGGGTGATGGAGGAGGTGGCAAGGACCAAGAGCGAGAGGTGGGTTGCCTTTCCCGTGGTACGCTGGGACATTGCGCCCGAAAGTTATCGCAAGAAACTTGCGATATTTCTGCACATGTCCCGGGTCATGCTCGTCTGCTGCTAACAACGGTGAAATTAGTACAAAATCTACCTATTCGAAATGATTCTGCTCTGTTGCAAGGAACTCAACCCCAACAAGCAGAAGAACAAATTGATGAGCAACAAGCAACTGTATGACAAGAGGGGAAAGCCCAAGTTGCAGCTCAAAGGTCGCATTTTCATGCAAAACGTTACCGATGCGATCTCAACGGCGAAGCCAGGTAAAGCTTCCAGATCCGAGAGGCCTCTTGGCTGTCAACTTACGCTTGATTTTTATTTTAGGTTCGTATACTTGCCAAATCTTTTGGAAAGGCGATCCCGGCATTGAAAACTTCGTCATTCGATTCACCACTGAGGAAACCCTTAAGAAATGGGTGCATCAAGTCGATCAACAGAGGAGACAGTTCAAGGACACCCAGAGATCGAGCAGTACCACCAAACATTCGACGACGTCAGCAACAGAATTCACGTACATCAGAGATCAGGGTCCCATCGAAAACCCTTATGCCGAGGCCGACGAAGACGACGAAATAGACGTCGCCGAAGTTACGAGCGGTTATCCTGGGCAGTCCGACTATACGCTTGCGCAGGGCGAAGCGACTGCCACGGGCAGAGCCCGATCTGCTACTGGCGAGAGTGGGGTCAACCCTCTAGATACTACTCGGCCTTCAGAGCCATCAGGTGCGAACCGCGCCCCGCCACCTCGTTTCCCCATGGGCGCTCTGCAGAATCCGCCACTCACTCTTCGTACCCAAGCTCTTCAAGCTGGCCACATTTCGCCTGGCAGCGGTGGACCCATGGACTCGTACTTCTCACCTAGCCTCGAATCTCCTATGTCAACTCGCACGAGCTCTTCTTCCGGCATGTTCCCATTTCCACGCCAGCAGATTCCAAACGGCTGGCACGGAGACGACAACAACCGTTTCACCGCGCCCGCCATGGCTCGACACGCCTCTCGCGACGCTTCAAGTGGGTCTCACATCAACGGTCGCAATGCAGTAGGACGACCATCTCTGCTACCAAATGCCGCTTCGCAAAGTGCTATGAACTCACAAATCCGCCTTCGTTCAGCTAGTAGTCCGGACATTCATAACCACCTTTCCGGCCCACAGCGGCGTATTCCAGGCGGCTCCGTACCAGACGTTCCCCCCTTCCCCACCCATTACGCTTACAACCCTGGCCTGGTGAACCGGAGCCAGAGTAATTCCCCAAACATTCCCACCTCCATGCCCCGCCAGCAGTCCCCGAGCATTCAAAGAGAAAAGCAAGCGCTACGCACCCCCGGTTCCGAGATCAACCTCCACTTCGATTACCCCGACGGCGGCGCGCGGCAGGATTCGCGCATCACGCCAGGGTCGTCGAGAACCGCGACGCCAGCATCTTCATTTGAACAGCAGAGGACGCAGACGCCCGCGGCCGACAGACCAGCCTCGCCGACGCTGCCGTCAGCGCAGCCATCTGACCTTCCGATACCCTCGCAGTTGAAGGTCAAGGTGCACTGCCCGTCTGCAGGGTCAACGATGACGCTGGTCGTCAGCACCAACATCAGCTTCCAGAGCCTCAAGGATCGCATCGATGCGAAATTGCAGCGCAGTACCAACGTGAGTCTCAGTTCTGGACAAGTAAAGCTTAAATATCTCGACGACGAGGATTACGTCAGCATTCAATCGGATGAGGATGTCCAGATGGCGTTCGAAACCTGGAAAGAGCAGCAGCGAGACCAGCTTCTTTCCGGCCAACTCGGCGAGATTGAGCTTTTCTGTCAGAAGTGAGCTTCTCGGGTACAATAGGCACTCTTCGCTTCGATCGATTCCCCTGTGCGCGTTGCTTTCGTATCCGCGATCCGCTACTCATTTACCGGCGTCTGGCTTCGGGTGGCTGCGATTGCGAATTGCATCATTTTCTGGCGCTCAATCGGCGCCTTGCGGTTGCTGTTTTTTTGTTCTGCGGTGTGTCCTTTGCTCTCTTTTTCTTCTTCTCCGCCAGCTCGACAATCTGACTTTTTCACGGGCGCACGTCGTCACTCCGCGACTGGTCGATCTATGCGGGAAGATCGTGGGCTCATTGCATGAGGAAGGGAATTGTGTTCCAGGAAATCCGGATTATCAACGCAAAAAGAGATACCACTTATCCGGACATGAAGTATGCACGGGGATATGAGAGCCTTCATCAGCATCTTCCGCTTCATTTTTTCGCTTCTCGACGCGACCTTCGCCCTTAGTCGAAGTTTGCTTTCCTTCTTTCCGACACGCCACGTGTCGGGCTGCCCCCCGCTTATCAGGTCGCGGCTTCCATATGGTCTCTGTCTCTAGTGCTGGCCTCGAGGGCCCACCCACCGCTGGACGTCATCGGGGACGTTCGAATAAAGAAAGTCTTGGATTCCGTGGGTCGAGGGAGGATACAGAAGGTAGTCGAAGGCACGGTGGAGGTGGGGGGCGAGGCGATTCGAAGTAGGAAGGGATTCGAAAGCGGGTGCGTGGTGGGCTGGATAGGCCCTTACGGAAAGCGAAGAAATCGCACAGAGACACGGCCATTAGCGGAAAGCTGTGATGAAGTGATGATGAGATGAAATTCATGGGTGTTATTTGCCAGACTCCGGCGTCGCGCGCATGTCTTTGTCGTCTTACCCCCTCGCTTTTTTCCACCGTTAGACCCGTTCTACGTCATCACCCTTGGGTGGTCGTCTATTCCAGAATGGCTGAGGGTTTGTGGTGTTCGGTGATTTTTGGTACTTGGCCAGTTTGTTCTTCTATTTCACTTACCGGGATTTTTGATTTCTTTTGGCCTCAAGGTGAGAAGATTTCACAAATGCAATGTATCTGTTCATTTGAACCCACGTAGAGGCTTAATAGTTTGATTTAACATACCTTTTACTGTTCCCCCCTAACTGCCCGTTGATATGCATCAACATGCCCCATCATAGAAGAAACATCGGTACCCGTGACCGGCTTCGGATAGCAGCGGAAGCCGCGAACTGTTGTCACGGGAGAGACGAACCGCCTTTTCCGTTCCACGGCGGGGTCCTAGAGCCAGGATGGCCGGACAACATAGCCCGTACCAACGAAGCTGACGTGTTGTCCAACAAACCCCTCTCTACTGTTCAGCCGGAAAACGGATGCTCGCGCTGCCGCGGGCCTTTCCGGGGCTAGGGCGCCGATGGCGTGCGTTTTATTCACCTTATCGCCCCCGAGAATTCGAGTAATATCGCGCATACTTCTCGTCAAGCATTTCCACCCTGGACTACACAGCCACAATCGAGTCCATTGTGGGGTAGTTGAGGGAACATGACAACGGAGCTCTGGTGGGCATGGAGATACGACAACAGTACTGGTCCGGAGGGATGAAGAAATTCACTTCTCGCAGTTCTTTGCATCTTTTCCGTTGGAATAATAAGATGGTACAGTACGCTTTCATTTATGAGCCTACGCGTGCTAGCCGGAAATAAGTCAAGTGTCAGGGGCTCATATGGTGCCTTAATGTCCGGTTCGTCCGGATCAACTGCCACTACCTTCTCGACCAAGTAAATGAAGAGTCAAAGTGAAGAACCAACACCATATATCATATACTGACGACAGAAATTCGCTCGCGGAAAGCACTATGTACCTAAGCAGTCAACAGGCCGGCCACCAGCGTAGCCACCGATGTTCGCGTGTAGCCCTTCGACCAGCCTAACCAGCGCTCTATGATAACCTTAAGAATTCAGGAACCACCATGAAGCTCTCAGAAGGTTAAAGAGTCTCGGGTTCGGGTCTTGTTTCTACTATCTTGCAGAACTGCAGCACGTCCTCCAAACCACAATCCTACCTTAAGAGCATCCATATCTGCTTGCATAGCCTACTGTGCAGCATCATGCCTGCGTTTAGTAACTTGGGGCTGCGTTAATCCTAGCTTTTTTACATTACGACGCGGCTTGGCAGAAAGAAGAAGCTATTCGAGCAAGAAAAGGCCTTCCGAGAAGAGAAGTAGTGACGCGACCGCCACAGTGAGGAGAAGGTGGAGTTGGTTAATCTGCTTTCAAAATTCCCAATGAGAGCAGATAAAACATCAAGCTTTGCAGTATCGTGTAAGCCGTGCAATTGGTTGTACGGATTCATTCCAGATTTCCGGACTTCATGTGCTGCTAGCAGCTAAGGACGATTGAAAGTATGAGTGAATGCTTGATGTCCAGATACGGCAACAATTCTCCGTCAAAGTCTATCGAATGAAGACTTGAACTTAGCTGAGTGGATAAGTTAGCAATCGTGCTGCTGGTAAGGATTAGACCCTTTGTCAATGAGTATACGCCTCATCTCCCTAGAGCACCTCGTCGACGACCTCTCTTTTTGGAGTCCTTGGAAATGAATTTTAAGCAGGAACCTTTATTTAGCTGCAAGCCAGGAACGGGTCTAGACTGTAAAGGAGGATGGCTCTTATCTGCCTTGACCTAAGCCGGACAACTTTATGCCTTGGTGATATTTATAGTGTCGGATTGGTATACAAAGCGCTGAGGGAGTCAAGAACGATGCATTATTTTAACAATGTAGAGCCTGTAGCTGAGGGTGTATATAATAGGGGTCGAAGTCGAAGCCTGGAGCTCGAGGGCTACAATAAGATTCGGATCACCTAGAAATGTCAATAATCCAACGGGAGGTCGTAGGTGCGACTTAAAACATGGACAGTATTCCCGTGTTCCAACGGCAACCTTGACAGTGTGGCATCAGGCATGGATTTGGGTCAGACCGTTCTTTGTGTTCAATTGAAGGTCCACGCCCAAGGCTCGGTTTCATGAAAGTATTCCAAAGCGAACACCATGTGTAGGTCGCTGGGGTCAGGTAGACAGGCATGCCAGACGAACCATCGATCTCCATTTCCGTCCAATCCGGCGTAGTCTCCGTGAAAATCGTCACTGCTCGGGGTAATCGTAATTCAGGAGGGCCCCCAACCAAAGCTCTGGCGAAGGATACCTCAAGCGCTGTCCTGAGGTTGCGAGCTTTACTGTGGTCGGAGGTATAGCTTCGGTGGCGTCTGTGCGAGGCAAACTGCGAAGATCGATTGGTCTGGAGACTCCGTGCTGTGAAAACACTCATGCATCCCACCATGGTAGGTGAACTCGGATCAAAACGGCCTAGCGCTGATTGGCACACACGTAACCGGATCCTGATATCCTCCAGATTATCGCACGTGCTCAGGGTGGCTTTAAGGTGCTGCAGGGACGTATTGAGTGTGTCAAGACCTGCGTCATCGAAGGTTGTGCACGCGGAAATATGACCGCTACATAGTTGATCGCAAAGGTCGATATCCAGCTCCAAGATGCGAAGGTTCCTCAAGAAGAGAGGTAGTGGCGTCAGATCGAGGCGGAACGAGTCTTCGAGGAGGGCGGCCTGAGCGTCGCGCATGTGTATGGCTAGATGGCTGAGTAAACCGCTGGCGAATTCTTGCTGGATCCGAGGGTCCATCTTCAGGACGACGAGAGGGAAGTAGACGAAATCCTTAGGGCCGATTCCAATAGACCATTGCCAGGACTTTATCAGAGAAGTCCTGGAATCCGCCGCGCAGTTGAGGTCCCAGAGCGAGCGTCCACGACACAGCTCAGCCATGTTCGGACAATCGATGATTTCCACAAGGTGCCGGTACACCATGTTGCGAAGTTTTGCAGGAAGGCGCATGAACAGTACTGGCTCCCTCATGTTCGTTGTCGGAAGTGTGGAAGTAATTGTTAGACCGGTGGGAAAGGACGACATGCTACCGGAGCATGCGAGTGAGGTGTACTCCATAATGGAAAAGCGTTCAGGATGGAGTACCTGAGCAATGTTAGGTTCTTTCCAGAGGAGGAAAGCTGAGATTTATATGCATCTACCAGTTTATAGTCCAGATTGATTCATTACTATGACGTACACAGCCCCGTTCGACTGGAAAATTTTCATATGGAACCTTTCATCAGCGGGGAATCCGTGGGTGAATTGGACCCTTGGTTCAAGAGTAATCACGGCACAACTATAAAAGCAGCGAGTTATCTCGCTTTACCTAGGTGTAAGAGACAAAAGCGGACAGAGTTTCTTCAGCCTTGTTCCAAAACATGGCCATCCCCAGCCAATCTTCCAATAACATCGACGTTGAAAGCAAAGCTGGCTGCGCTGCTGACAATTGTACGTGACTGTATCTATGTGAGAAAAAGCTTTCGTTGACTTTCTCCTAGCAACTGACCCCAACGGCTCCGCTATGGCAGACAGTATGTATCCACGAGCTTGAAATGAGAGTATCCGCTGAGTCGAGTAGCCACTACAGAGTCGATATCTACTACTCAGACGACGAAGCGCATGGCTGATAGGCCACTCACGATCTTCTCACTGCTTGCTTGGTTGATTGCCATCATCGTAGTAGAAGGAATCTGCATGGCATTGATCCTCAGTCGCGAGGCAGATGGGGCAGCCAAAATAAACTCGCAGTGGGGCGGCAAGCTGGTCAAGTTCATCGCATTTTCCTATGCTGTGGTCGTATTTTCGAAGGCTACTGAGTTCTGTCTAGAGGAGTGGAGGATGAGCAGATGGAAAGGCCTCGCTTTGTTGGCTGTGGCCACCCTTTTTCCTTTTCTCATTCTTCTTATGCTCGACCCTCCTAACGGCAGATGATGCCTAGCACCAATCATCATATCCTGGGATATTCCACAGCAAGTCTCGGGAGGGATCGAATGTTATAATTCGACAAATATCCTTAGCTTCACTCTTACTGGAAGCGTGGGTATCCCATGTACGCAGTCAGTTAAGTCCATTGTTTGTCCGCATGTATATAGTTCAGCTACCTATACATGTCTTCGCTACTGCTCCGTAACACCTGGTTCTACCCATTATATCATCATCTGGCCGTTTCCTCCACGCCTCTAATTTTTGCCCTAGAGGGCATGATTCAAGTACCGTATGAGGAACGGGTAGTGGGCTGCATATGGTAAAAGATGCGCATGTATTTGTCTATAGCAAGGATCTAGTTCTACATCATCATTGTCTTCGTCTCCTTCTAGTATTCTATGCTCTTGAAATCGAGGTGGTATCTTCCATCTAAAATTCGTCTGGACAGAAATGAAATCTAAAACCACCTTGCCCTTACAGCCTGGCCCTATACCGCTCGTTCTCCTTTCTTAGCGGCTCGGCGTCGTCGTTGGACTTGGCAGGGGCGCCGGGCAGGTGGCTCTTCCTCGGGGCGGAGATGTAGCCGCCCTTGACGTTGTCGGTGTTGAGGACAGCGCCGGACTCGTCGCGGACAATGCCGAGCTCGAGGAGCTTGTGGAAGACGTTGGTGAAGTCGGCGAAGAAGGCGTCGCGGTCCTTGGAGTACTTGTCGACCCAGGGGCGGAAGCCGGGGTCGTGCAGCAGGGCGATGTCGGTGGGAAGCATCATCAGCTCCTCCTCCGAGTCCTCGTCGTAGTAGGCGAACTGCTTGATGCCACTGGGCAGCGTCTTCTCCTTCCACTCGACCGAGGTCAGCAGCTTAAAGTACTGGTTGGAGAAGCGGGTCGGGTTGTTCACCCAGGCGCCGTCGAAGCCGGAGCGGTCGGCGTGGCAGCGACCGAGGTTGTGGGCGCCGGACAGGGCGACGATTTCCTGGTCGTTGAAGCCCATGCGGTAGAAGATGTGGCGCACGTGGTCGGCGCCCTGAGCGGCGTCGGGGAGACGGCCGCGTGGCGGTAGCTTGCTGTCATCGACGAAGTCCGTCCGTCCGGGCTGCCAAGGTATCGCCGGTCCGCCCATTGCCTCGATCGCCACCACGCCTGCCAGCGTCCACAAGTCCGAATACGTTATCCACGGGTGTGCCTCCTTGACAGGTTCGAGGAAGACGCGTGCGTGCTGCAGGCCTGCGTTGGCCGGGTCGCCGCCTTCGGCTTCGTAGCGCATGCCGGCGCCATTGCTGCCGCCTGTGTCCGTCTCGAGGTCGTATGTGCCAGCGGAGTGCCTGTGGCGGATTTGTTAGCCTTCTGCACGTGCGGAAGAGAAAAAATTAACGACTCTCGGGAAACCTGCTGCCCCTGGAACTAGGCTGCTGCAGGGTCTTGAGCCGCAAGACGAGGATGGTGACCGGGAAACCAGAATGCGGAGGGTCGAGTGCATACCATGCGAGGCGCACGAGGACAGGGCCGGCGGAGCCATCGTCGTACTCGGGCTGCTTGAGCAGTTTCTTGATGTCCTCGCGGACGGCGTCATAATCACCAGACTTGGAGGCCATGGTGTTCGGCGATGTGTTGGCGATGTCTAATCTAATCTCTTGGCTTTCTATTGGACGAGAGCGAAGGGAGAAGCGCAAACGCAGGAGTCTATGAAGAAGAACGAGACACAAACGGGGGGGCAGCGAGCAGAAGAAGAAGAGGCAGTCGACGGGAAAGGAGAATCACAAGCGGTGGTGCGTATAAGAAGTGGTCCAGTTGACTGGCTCGGGCACTGAATCCCGAGGCGGCGATGGGTTATCGTGAGCCTCGGCTCGCTGCAGCTCCTTATCGGCCTCAGGTTTGCCGACCGCCGCGACGCAGGGGAGCGCGACGAAGACGTCACACCACGCACGCATGTGAAGGCGACATGTTGGAGCCCCATGGGTGCCTCAGGCAGCGCGCATTACTCAGCGACGGGGTCCTGGGTCCTCGGCCCTGGCTCCTGGGTCTGGCCTCAGCCCTACCGCTACCATCAGCCGCTAGCGGCGAGATCTGGCGTGCCGAGAAGTGCTGCAAGGAAGACGCGCAGCAGCGAGCGTGCGGCTGGAGCGGCAGAGTGGCGGTGCGGCAAATAGTTCTGGCGACGTCGCGTGTGCGCTGCGCACGCTGTAGCACAAGCTGTGTGGTGGAAAAAGGACTGCAAGCTGAAAGGGACGAGGAGCATCTTGTGTGACGGATCGGCGAGGTGGCACGGAGCGTGGGCGCCCTTGGTTCCGCCGGGGCCGTGGCAGTGCGAGCTAGGAGCAGAGTCCGGCTAGGCGCGGCCAGACAACACGGAGGTTGCTCGCCGTCAACAGGTTTCCCCGGCTGCTGTTGCTGCGCAGGGTGGACCCGGCGTGGCTCTCCACTCCATCACCCTGGCCCTGGTAGTCGGCTGAAAGTTGAAGCGCTGCACATGCTGCGTCGTGCATTCTGCATCCTGCGGCGCCAGTGCTCGCGGAGGAGGCGCAATTAGGCGAGGTGTAGCTGCAAATTATTGGCCCAGAATCTGTCGCGCCGCCCAACCGCGCGCCGTCTTTGGGCCCGCCTGCTGCGGCGGCCGCTTTCCATGACGGGCCTCCTCACGGGCCAGCCCGCTCAGCTCCTCAAGCTTTCGTGCAGCTCTCTGGACTACCGTCGTAACGCTCAATGCTGCATGTCCCCCGCCGCTCTCCTCTCCGTCGCTCCGACTCCCCGCCTCCGCACCACTGACCAGAGCCATGGGGTCGCCCATGCAGATCGTCGAGGTCGGCACCCTGCGCACTCGTGAGAACGAGGAAAGCAACTTCTTGGGCAGCTCTACCGGAGTCTACTTCGTCAACACCGTCCGCCATGCCTTCAAGGCCTCCAAGGACCCCGGCGCCCAGTCGACCGACTCGCCCACCTTGCTCGACCCCGAGCAGGAAGGGCCCAACCCGCTCGAGGACTTTCTGCTCGACGAGGGCTCCGACGACAACCCGGAAACCCCCTCAGCCCTCGCCGACTTCCCCATGACCACTTCCTGCATTCCCCGCGGCCCTTCGTACGATGCCGCCCCTCCTGGTATCGGCCGCCCCCCGGACCCGCAAATCTCCAAGAAATTGCTTGTCTTGTACTTCAAGTTATGGCATCCGCTGTTCCCCTTCGTCCACGGGCCTTCGTTCATCAGAGAAGTCGAATGTCTTTACGACTCGTCCAAGCCCTCTCCTTCTCCCCCAGGCAGCGAGCCCGATCGCCACAGGTGCTGTCGCGCCATCATTGCCCAGTGCATCTTCAATGTCGCCCAGGCAGGAATGGCCAAAGACTACCTGCCGCGCCACTCGCGCATCGAATCGTCCCAGAGCCTGATCTTCTCCTTGAGCTCACTAGCTACAAAGCAGGATCTCCACAGCCTGCAAGCTCTGTTTGCTGCACAGCTGTACTTTGTCTGCGCTGGATCATTCAGGTCGGCCTCTGCCGTCGGCGGTATGCTCAACAAATCCCTGTTCCACGCCGGCCTCCATCGCTGTCCCAATCGTTATTCCCAGCTTTCAGGTCATGAAAGAGACATACGAAAACGTATCTTTTGGAGCGCATACATCCTCGATCGTTATCTGAGTCAAGGTCTCGGCATTCCTCTCGGCTTCCAGGACTCAGACATTGATGTTTGCATGCCTGGGAGGGAGAACCATAAGTCTCCTTCGCTAAGGTCCCACTCATCCAACGCGTCGGATGGCCTTTCGCGAGAACATTCGTCCTCAAGCTCTGCTCATGGACAAACGCCTCCCAACCATGACAACTATGGGAACGATCGTCCTCACTACGCCATCACTGCAACGCGAAGCGACACCCCAGCCAATCCCCACGAGCCCGCCCACAAAGATGTTGTCCTCGTAGGCTTGGTGGGGTACAGCCAGCTCACCGGCCGTGCCATCGAGCTCTTCCATAAATCCATCCATGTTCGCTCAGTCGATCATTCCAAAATTCTCTACATCACTGCCGATATTCATAGCTGGTACAACTCCCTGCCCATGAAACTCACTTCCGCAGATACTGTCGTCTTTCCTCGTGGAGAGTCTTCCGATGAAACCATCCCCAGCTTTGTTCCTCTGTTCACAGTACTCTACCAGCAGCTATTGCTTCTTGTGAACAGGCCTTGTCTATCATTGCCAACCAGGTCACCCGAGTTCCTTGCAAGCATGCAGACGTGTATCGGCGCGAGTCGGACAATCATCGGCGCGTTGGAAATGCAGCTGCAGCTCAGACAGCCGTTTTTCCTCCCCGAGCTACTCTCGGCAGGTTGGATGGCAGGTCTCATTTTGGTGTTTGCTTGCCAACTCAACTTCTACCCTGTAGAAAAAGGCTTCAAGTAAGCATTATATTCCGTGCGTGTCTTTGCTACTAACCTCGTTCCCAGGGAAATTTCTCAATGCCTCCGTCTCCTCCGTCTGATGAAGGATCACTGGAAGAGCGCCATGACGTACTATCAGACATTGACAAGGCTATTTTCCGAGCTCAAGCACGGACACAATGCCAAACTTCATCCAAACCCGGCAAAGAGGTCGGGGTCAGACGACTCAGATAACAGCAAGCGCGCCCGGTTCTCGAGGCAAAATATGTTCAGCGAGTACGTTGCAGAGCTGACCGCCGCAGTTTAGTGATGGCTGACAATATCACATAGAGGATACCCACACCAACCACACCACCAGCCATTCCACAGCATGACAAGCAGCCGTAACCTTCACAATATGCCAGATATCGGTTCAACAATGCAACAGAACCGCTCTCACCACTCTCCTGACGGCTCTCAGCGTTCGAGTTCGCAAGGGTCGACCCCTCAGCAGCAATTTGCCCAACCATTTTCGGCCAGCCACTTCATCTTCACGCCTCCCGGTGTCGAGCCACAGAATTTTCCGGCCGATAGCATCTTCAGTAATCAAGAGTACACTGGGTTCTCGGATGCTCAGCTTGAAGATCCACTTCTAGATGATCCATCTGTTAACGAAATGGACCTATTCGGCTCGGTGGCCTGGGGAACGTTGAATGGTAAGTCAAGAATGACTTGATCAAGTCGTATTCATCTCTTTCTGTCTCCATGCAGATTGCACAAGATCTGGAGGCGGTACTGTTCCATCGTTTGCGTATGCCACGAGTGCTGACCCATCTCTCTGCAGGTGACTACTCATACAACGGATTCACTGGATAAGTCGTCTCCGGACACGGTCAGCTCTACAAGAGACATCAAAACGCACCGATCTTGTTGTAGTCCATATCAGGTCGCAGTCCGGACTCCCAATGCGGATATTACCAAAGCGGTCGTTACAACTTATTCCAAAAGAGTAAGCTTTGCAAGGAAAAAGTCTCAAATTCCATCGGAATTGAAAAGGAAAATCATCAAGCAAAACTGATGAGCGCAATGGGCAAAGCCGGTGCTCGTCAAGAAAAGGCCATTGGCATATATGCGATGGGGGAGATACTTTATACACAATGCCGGCTAATAGTTGACGCTTGAGGCCAGGGTCTTCACGGATTCCACGATATCTTTTGTGCTTTCGGCTAAGGAAGGACCGCTGCATCGAGCATTTCTAATGCTTGTCAGCATCGGGGACACTTTCTTCCGTGCAGCGTGAGGGTTGTCGGCTCAACGATGAGGCGGGGCAATGCTCGACCCCGCTGTCCAATGGCAGGGGCCCTCGCGCACGTCATGCCGAACCTTGAAGCCGGACGCCCGGCTGGTTCCTCACGACATATCCAATCTATATAACCCCAATGTACTGCGTTGATCGCGCAATCCGGAACATTGCATAAACGACGCCGCCAAGGCCAATCGACTCAGATCAACCTTCCTCATTGATCCGCCAACGATCCCTCCACATCATGACGACAGACACGTTGTTCCCAGGCTTCACGCCCTTTGACATAACAACAGATGCCACGAACAACATCTCCATCCACGGAATTAAGGGCGGCGAAGGCCCGCCTCTGCTCCTAATCCACGGCTTCCCCCAAACGCACGCCATCTGGCACGCGGTTGCGCCGCAGCTGACGTCTTCGTACACGGTCGTTGCCATCGACATCCGCGGCTATGGGGCGTCATCGAAGCCACCGCCAACGGCCGACCACGCGCCCTATAGCAAGACGCACATGGCGCACGACTGCATCGCCGTCATGCAGCACTTTGGCTTCTCGAACTTCTTCGTCTGCGCCCACGACCGCGGCGCACGCGTCGCACACAAGCTCGCCGTGAACCACCCCGACGCCGTCAGGAAGATGATTTTGCTCGACATCTGCCCCACGCTGGCCATGTACGAGCAGACGGAAGCCGGCTTCGCGACGGCGTATTGGCACTGGTTCTTCCTCATCCAGCCCCACCCGGCGCCTGAGACGTTCATGAGCGCGTCGAGGGCCCGCGAGTGGCTGGCCATGTTCACTATGGGCGCGAAGAATCCTGAGGGCAAGGGCATGGCATTTTTCAAGCCCGAGGCTTTCGAGGAGTACGTGCAAGCAGCCCAGAAAGAGGGGAGCGTGGCGGCGTATTGCGAAGATTACCGTGCTGCGGCGACAGTGGATTGCGAGGAACAGAGGAAGGATAGGGAGGCTGGGAAGAAGATTAAGTGTGATTTGAGAGTGCTGTGGGGAAAGAAGGGTGTTATTGAGAGGTTCTTTAAGGCGCTGGATGAGTGGAAGAAGGTGAGCGAGGGAGAGGTGAGCGGTGGGCCGGTGGAGAGCGGGCATTATATCCCGGAGGAGGCACCGGAGGACGTGCTGAAGAACATCAAGGAGTTTCTGGTCTGAGGAGATATGACTGGAGGCAAGTTTCTCTCTCTCTCTCTCTCTCTTTTTTGTCCATGTTGAATTGTATGAACTCGGCCTGTATTAAGGCTCCCATTTCTCTCTCTCTGACGTCTGTAATGAATCTAAATCTCTCCTCCGTTCATGATGGGGCATATCTGCTATATTGGTGTGAATGGGCACAAATCATTGAAGCCACTCTGCTGAAGTCTTTGGAAACTGGAGGATCTGCTAGTCAAACGCAAATAGACCGTCGCTCACTCACCAGACCCTTTGTTCCTGGACCGCACCAACGGTATTAGCGCAAACCCCCCCGCGTTCCACCCGCTGCCCCTGTCAATTCTCCATCCACTCGGGATCTTTTAACTTCAGCCCTACATACGTCACATTCCGCCTTCGTCGTCCACAAGGCATACCAACCAGATTGCGACAACAAACGGCGCCACTTCCGCAAAACCGGTATTGCATGCACGCATTGTTCCTTCCCCTGCCAGTTCCGCGTGACTTCGCGCTCATTCGTAAACGTGAAAACGCGTCAGTCGCTGCTGCCAAGATGTGCGACATATGACATAATTCTGCCGTAGCATGTACGCTCGCGCTTTCTGCCTACGCGCAGAGGCGACCAATAGTGCAAGCATTTTCTCTATATTTCACTCCGCATTCTTCAGCTCCTCCTCGCACCTCTCAACCTTTCTCACACGCACCCAAGAGCAACCCTCGCGGCCTAAAACCAAGCATACCACAAACTTCAGATCCTAAACAAAGATACCCTTACTAAAACGACGACAACATCCACCATGACGGGCATCGTCCAGTCGCTCGAGAACCTCGTGTCGTCCTTCTTCGCGCTGATCGGCAACGCGCTGAACGGCATCCTGTCGGCCTTCCAGTCCGTCCTCGCGCTCATCTACACCTTCTTCCAGCAGCTTGCCGGCCTGCTTCAGGATGCGATCTCGTTCCTGCTGCGTAAGACCACTTGATTCTCCCCTTGCTGATGAAATGTGTGCTTTTGCTAACGTTGTTCGCTTGTGGATTCCAGACAACATCGTCATTCTGGGCATCATCGCCGCCGCAGCTTTCGCTTTCCTCACGTTCCAACAGCGACAGGGCGGCAGGGCTATCGGACAGAAGAAGCGCGCTTGAGACGCTGGTACCGAAGAGGCTATGCAGTCATAACAGGGTGATGCTGTGGGCGTTCATACAGGATACCCAATGAATTCTTTTTCTTATTCATGACATGCTGCATTCATGCTTATGGGGTTTCTTGCAATAACCAAAGCAACCCTCTTTTACGTACCTTTTTGATACAAGCAATCCCAGCTCCACTCCTCTGAAGCCTCAACATATATGTATAGAAAATCCTCTCTACTGACTCTCAAGCACCTTCCTCGCGCCGTCGACAATGTGCTTGACCTCCTCCTGGCCCTTCTTGGCCGTCTCGTCCATCAGCTTCTTCGCCTTCTTCACATCGTCCGGCCGCACCTTCTTCTCGACCTCGAGCGTGCGCAGCTTCTTCTGGTGCGCCGCACGCGCATTCTGCACGGCCTGCAGAGCCGTCGTCTCGGCCGCCTTGGCCGCGTCGAGCGCCTTCTTGCGCGACTCGCCCGTCGGCGGCGGGATGGGCACCGTAATGGTGGTGGGGGCGTCAGATTTGGGGGGTTGTGGCGTGAGCGAGTAGGGCGAGGCCTGGATGGTCGACATGAGGGGCTTGATGTACTGTTGCCGTTCAGAGATTTGCACACGTCAGCTTCAAACCGCTTTCTCTACATTGCACACACACATCACAAACGACAGCCTCCCCTGCGTGTACACAGAAAAAGGGCCTCGAAGATAATCCAATTCCACTTTCTTGGGGGTGGTCTTACCTCCTCGTCTCCGGCCACGACGGTGATGATGCGGCCCTTGGGGATGACCTGAGCCAGGTCGCCGAGCGGGTGCGTCTCCTTGCCGTCCAGGGCGCTGCCCGTCGGCTTCAGCGTCACCTTGAGCTTCTCCAGGTGCTCCGGGTTGAAGCGGCCGCCGGCGCGCAGCTCCGACAGGTCGTGCGTCAGGCGCTCCATGGCGCGCAGGATCTGCGACTCCATGGTCGACAGGTCGTACGCGTCGTCGGTGGGCGTGGCCGTGTGCGCATTGTTGACCGGCGGCGCGCTGTCGGAGCGGGCGTGCGAAAGGTTGGCCTTGCCCGACTTCTTGCTGAGCCGGGGCGAGGTGGAGAGCAGGCGGCGTTGCTGCTGCTGGGGAAGGGCGTTGGTGGTGGTGGTGGTGGCAGTAGTAGTAGCAAGGTGGTGGTATGATGACGTCGCGGAAGCTCTGGGCAGGCCGATGTGGGCTGTCAGCTACCGCGAGTTGGTGGTGGTGTGGGGATGGACCAATTGGTACACGCACGGGAGGCGTGACGCCGTGCCTGCTCGGGTCTGCAGGAATTGGGGCAGCTGCTTGCTCCAGGAGGTCGCAATGCGTCGAGACATGGTGGGCTGTGGGGTTTGTTGTTGCTGATGTGCGAGGTGTGTGCGGGCTGGAGAGAGCTCGTGGCAGCTCTCGCATTGGCCGTGTCCAATCATGCCAAGCTTGTGGAGGCGATCGTCCGATACAGATCGTCGGGTCGCAACTCAGCTGCGCCATTACAGAGGGGTATTGCAGCTGACGGCTAGCGTGGATTTCTTTTTCGCTCATGCCATGGGCAGTTGAAGCTATCATCCGGACGTGAATGCATAATTATTAATTCCATAATTACATCCGGATGATAGCTTCAACGACCCATACTTGTTCTTTTTCTTTTTTTTTTATTAAAAAAAAAAAGACGGGCATACTTATGCTATGTTGTAGGGCCCTACTGTTCTTCGCGCTAGCCATCGGCTGCAGTGCCCCTCCATAGTTGCAACTCTTGGGCGGCGGCTGTGCAGCTCAAGAAGCCCGCACGTCCAATCACCAGAATCCTCCGTTATGCGCTGCTGCCTGCTGATCCTCCTGCCAACTTATATCAGTATTCATACCCCCGCATTATTAGTCCTTGGCTCCAGATAATGCAGCTTAGCCTTACACCTACGTTTGCCGATCCAGTTCTCTCTTTCTTGCCTGACATGAACCATGGCTCGCTTTGGGAGAAAGGCGACGCGGAACAAGGAGAAAGAGCCGGTTACAATATCGGAGGATTCTGGACCCTCAAAGGCTGCACACGTCTCTCGCACTGCATCGGACCAAGTTTCCATCTATCACATCTACCACAAGGGTGAATTCCACCATTACCTTACCCCGAAGCGTGACGAGTACAAAGACAAAGTGTGGCCCAGCTGTTCCGAAACGAAGGCGTACCAGCAAGAGAAGCGTGAAAAGAAAAAGCAGGAAAGGCTACGTCCGCCTGACGATAAGGACCCTGAGACAGACGCGCCAGGATTCTTCGTCCACAAGCCTCGTCTTTGGTTTGGCCATCCGCCACGAACCCTTCGCCACGGCCAGTCAAAACACGGCACCCCGATTTGTCTCATCCATAACTCGGGGTTCTGGCGGAGGTGGCGAATTCAGTTCTGTGATGGACTGGATGAGCCGGGCGTCGTGGACCCCAGAGGCGTTGTCGGCGCTGAGAGTGGCTACGCGAGCAAGCAAGACTCTATCCGGCAAGGTGGACATAAGCCTAATGGCTTTGTGCAGGGCTATCCGGTGAAAAAGTGGAGGTTTTGGGGCGATACGGGGAAAAGGTACCACCAAGACGTCAACAGGCGAAGACGAGAGGACGAAAACTCGTCTTTGGGTCAAGGAAAACCACTGGAAGTTTCGACCGCAATCGACCTTGTTTGGCATTCGCCGTTCTCGCCGCGTACCCGTAGATACAACTTTCGCTACGGAGACCTGGACTTCTGCTGGAAAGGCACCGGAACCGTTGAGCATCCAGGATTTTGTGGGGCATTTACCCGCTTCAACCACTTGAAGCTCGTGGTCCACGTTCCTGCTGGTGAAGCCCTTGACACGGAGCCAGCTGCTGGAGTCGGCCACACTATGGGAATGGACCAAGGGACGGATGGGTTCGGCAGTTACCAGAAAACCTTCCCTCAAACAAGAGAGATTTCCCTAGCCACATATACATCTTCACCAGCACCTAGAAAGTCCGGGGTCCTCGAAGTTCGCGACAGCGAATTCCTTTGGCTTTTGGATTCATGCTTTCCGAAGGAGCGTACAGATGTTGAAACTCGGAAGGGACTTGGAGATGATATCGCGGGAACCAGTCTTGGAGGTGAGCTGCCGGGCCTAGCACAGTTGGCAGAATCACAGCTATATCAGTGCATTATTGCCACGGCAATGTGCATGGTTATAGCAGAACATCAGAAGAGAGAAGTGGTACGGCTAGTTCTTGAACTTGCCGCTGGTGAAGCCGGGAATGCTGGTGGTTAGAATGGGCTGGTGCCTGCCAAAAGATCTGATCAGCTATCGCAACAAACTTCTATCAGCCCGTTACGTAGGTAGCTGAAACTATCGTCCGGACAAAGATGTATATTTTCAATTCTACATTTACGTCCGGATGGTAGCTTCAGCTACCTACGTAATATGCGGGTGGTCATTTCTCCGCTGCGCTTTCCTCTTTGGTGCGGCGTTCCTGTCAAAACCCGGTTTGCTTCGGAACTTCCAAGCCCAAATTCCACTTGTTTGCAGCATGACAGCCGGCAGCGCAAACAACTTGCTGTCTTTGTCCGTGCTCTAGTTTTCTTCGGAGGACGCGCCACTGGACATCGCGGACTCATTTCCCCAACCTCCAGCATCACCCATCCGCTAGCCTACCACTCTTGGACCGCTGTCACCTCCACCAACTTCAACCACGGCTGTTCCACCTGAATTCATGTCGCTGATCCCATCGTCCTCTGGAAATACCAGCACGAACGACTCATCCAGCCCTGAACGTCGCAGGCGCCACGGTCTTGTGAAGGTACCTCCAATGGATACTCCAGTTCGGAACGGGGGGCTCCGCCTGTTCGGCAGACGGGACCACGGGTCTTCGAGCGGAACCTCAAGAGAAGTTCTGGCTAAGCTCGACTCGCTATCCGCATACTCTACCCTGAAACTTCTGGCATCGAAATCAACCCTATCAACTCTCGAACCCGGAAACATCCTTTCTTCGATATCGGCCTCCATCGAGATGGAAGATCTCGCGTCGACTTCTCCAGCACTACACAAAATGCTCTCCTCGCTGTTGAAGAACTCGCCGGCCTGCCAGGATCCTGTTCCATTCATGCGCTTGCCACCCGAGATACGTGTGATGATATATGAACGCACGTGGACTGTAGTCGACTGCCCTTGGATCATGACCGTGCGAGCGGGTCGACGTGGAAATGGGAACAGGCATGCTACCAGCATCGAGTACTGGCTGGGACCTTCTCCAGAGCGTCAAGTCCAGTACCCAAAGGTCATCATGTCGATGGATCCTCGCATCAAGAACGAATTCGTGCACGAGCTCTGTGCCAAGTTTCCTGTCCAGATGTACGCCAGTGGCCTCTTTACTGAGCGTATCCCCGGTCTCAGCATTCATGAACCGTCTGTCTTCCTCAACCACCTTCAAGATTTCCAGATTCGGTATTTTCCACGCTTTCTAAATGATCCCGGAAGTATCAACAATGCGTTAAGCAATAGGATTATCTTCCGCGCGGACCTTACCAGGCTTGTCGGCCTCTCTTTGCACTTCCCGTCCTTGAAGAGAATGGTTGTACACATACCACTGGACTATGCGGCGCTTTTCTCTCGAGGAATTAATGCGACATATATATTGAAGACATTGGACGCGGCTATCAATGAGGAAACTAAGTCCGAGTCCGAGTCTGAGTCTGACGAGTCGTGCTGGCATTTCTGCACCTGCACGAACAACATAACCATCATGGGATGGCACACTGGCGAAGTCTCAGACCCTCTCGAACACAGCGACTTATATAGGATCTGCACGGCTCTAAGCATGAAGCCTCATGATGCTGCAAGTTGCACATCCGTTAGGTGTCAATGCACTGTGTTGATGGCCGGGCCGCGTCGATCCCTCACAAGAGCCCGCGCTGTCGGTATGCGCCTCTTTCATCATGCTTTACAGTGGGTCGAGATATATCTGGAAGAGATCATCACACTTGCAATCATCACCGCTGCTTTCCTGATCTGGTTGTACCGTGAGAGTCTGACGACACTCTTTCAGGGAGCTTCATGACGATATTTACACAACAGGTATGGGTGCTTTGTAAAAATGGTTAGTGATGGGGCTCCTAGTAAACAAGTAGCAAATGAAGAAGTACAAATTTCTTTGCAATGCATGATGGGTTTAACCAGCGAATTATGGTCGAAAGCGGCCAGGACTTTTGACAGGCGCACCAGCCACTTATGACGCGGGTAATATCAGCCTTAGACCGCAGATCATCGGCAACGCGTCCGCCTGAATCGAGGTCGCAGCATCGGAGACAAAGCAACCGCAGGCCCGCCGCGCGGACTTGCACCCTCTCCACCCAAACAGCATGTCCCGCGTGTCCGCCTCGTACAAGAAGCAGGATGGCGTTCTCTCCGTGTCCCAGGACAACCGGACCGTCCTCTGGACGCCCGCCGCACCCCCGGGCGCCCCGCCGTCGCTGACCATCGCCGTGTCCGACATCACCAGTGCGTCTTGCCCTTGACAAAGTGCTGCCGGCGGCGGCGGCGGACGCGCTGTTTTGGTTGCGTACTGATCTTGGCATGCAGACCTGCAGCAGACGCCGGCCACGAGCGCCAAAGTCTCCATCAAGATCGTCGCCACCGAATCATATGTCTTCGCCTTCACCTCTCCGACTGCGCGCGATGACCAGGTCGCCATTACCAACACTCTTCGCACCGCCATCGAAGCCGCCAAGGCGCGCAGCGCGGCGGCCTCCAATGCCCCCACGCCCGCCCCTGCGCCCGACAACACCGGCCAGCCGTCGGCCATGGCGATAGCGAAGGCCGTGTCGGGCCAGACGCCGGCGCCAGCCACCAGCGCGAGCGGCGCAGAAAGAGGAGACGACGACGGCATGTACACGGACGAGCGGCTGCTGGGGGACGTGGAGCTGCAGCGGTCGCTGCTGAGCAAGGACCTGGGGACGCAGAAGCGCTTCTACGAGGCGCTCAAGGGCAAGCCCGAGTCGATCTCACACTCGCAGTTCTCGAAGCAGTTCTGGTCGACTCGTGTGCACCTGCTGCGGGCGCACGCCGTGCAGCTGAGCCAGCAGCACGGCCCGGTCAACGCGCTGTCGGCCATCAAGCTTAAGATCCGCGACGACGGCACGCCGCAGACGACGCTGACGCGTGGCCAGATCCAGACCATCTTCAACCAGCACCCACTGGTGCGTAAGGCGTACAACGACTTGGTGCCACCCATGGGCGAGGTCGAGTTCTTCGCGGCCTTCTTCGCTAGTAGGCTGTACAAGAGGCTGAAGGGAGAAAAGATCACGGAGATGGACCCGACGAATCCCAAGTTTGACAAGTATCTTAATGATACCGAGGAGAATGAGAAAGCGAAGGCATTGAGCGTGGAGCAATTTCCTCATTTCTTGGATATTGAGGGCAACGAGTCGAATCACAGTCAGCGCAAGGGCAACGCACCAGACATGACCATGCGGCCAAGTGGGCATGATAAGGTCCCAATTCTGAGGAGTTTGAACCGAGTCAGTGGGCACATGATGGCAGACGTCACGCCGGCAGACGTGGATCCCCATGCACCCGCAGGCGTAGATGAGTCGACTTGGGAGCAATTACGGTTGAAAGATTTGCAGCGGAGTGACGAAGACAACCGCGTCATGCTCAAGATCAAGGATCAAAGGCAATTCTTCGCCCGTGACAACAAGTCATCTGCGGAAGCGCAGTTCTACGCAAAGCAAGTGCCGTCGGATGTCCTCAAGACGCTTCGCCGTGAACTCGATGGCGGAAGCCTACAGGTCGGCGGCAACGGCGTCAACCTCCAAAGCGTCATCAACGTAGATGACAACAGTGACAGCGACGAGGACGCCAAGAAGCCGGCTCCCGAGCGCGTTGGGACAAAGGCTGCGCGCGGCGCGGCGACGACGCAGATCCTCTCGGCCATCAAGCAGCGCCGCGCGCAGAACAACGACTACTCGACGCCGCTGGGCACGTTTGCGGTCGTCGAGTTCGGCAAGACGGGGTACGGGCTCAGCGAAAGCTCCATCAACGCGCTGACGCTCACGCACAACACGACGGTCGAGTTCCTGCACTACTTCTGGGCCGTGTACGGCAGCGGCGATGCGGACCGCGCGGGCGAGCTGGGGACGCTGGTCGAGACGCTGGAGAGGTCAATCGAGCGGGTGAAGGCGGTGGCGGAGGAGGCGGAGAAGGAGCGCCAGCAGATGATGGCAGACGCGAAGAAGCGCATCGAGCAGCAGGCGGCGCGCACGGGTCGCCGCGCGCGGTTCGACGAGCGCGCGTTCAAGGGCGGCCGGGCGGCCGTCGAGAGCGTCATGCGCCCCACGGTCGAGGCCGTCAAGAAGGCCGTCAACACGTACAGGGAGGAGCTTAAGAAGCAGATGGCGCTGGCACAGCAGGCGGCTGCCGCGAGCGGTGCGACGGCGGCGTCGTAGACGATTGCGTGAGAATTTGGGACGGTTTCTGGGATTTGCTGCTGCAGCCAGCCGCGCCTCGACGGGAGTACCCGTGTTTCGAGCGCAAGAGATGGCTTGGGAAATCACCTGTTTGCGAGTTTTCTTCTTTTCCTCGTGCTCGCACCTGCGGGAGTGGCGCTTGCGAAATGGGAAGGTGACAAAAGGTCCTGCATGGTGGTCCTCTTTTTTTTTTTTTCATATTAACTACCGTCGAGAGGAGAGAAAAAAAACACTTTGTGATGGGTGGCCGAATGGATGCATGAACGGGGTTTCTTTCATGGAGGGGCTTTTTCCTCAATTTCCCCTCCCCTCTCCTTTGCATAGCGTAGGCGTTAGGTCTCCCATCATACTTTTTGGTTCAACTCATCGTAAGACCGTATGCCGAAAAGAAAATTACAGACACAGAGGGGAACTGTTGGTTTTATTTCTTTTTTCACTTTTGGTTGGCTCATCGAATGGTGTAAGTGTGGTAGCATGCGCGAAAGGCGCTTAATATCATCCGAAGAAGATCGATTGGTTTTGAATTTGTAATCACCATAAGGCTCGCAGTCAAGCTTTTGTTCTTCTCTAATATTGCCTGGCGGCGCTTCCCGCCATAACAGGGTACAGGTAGGATGGCTGTCGGTTGTGCAACGTCTGACGACCGAAGGACTCTTGCCCTCACGCTGCCACAGAAATTCGAAGGCCTTGACACTTCGTTGAGCCGTGCATATGGGTGAACATGTTTACTTTTGTTTGGGCGTCAAACAGTTCCAGACCATGAATGGGGTGAGATGAGCGGGCGCGGTTGCCTTTGAAAAGTAGCTGACCTAGCGTGAGGGCTTGAGGGAAAGTAGAATGGCTTACTTAATACCGGACACTTGGTCTTCGTTCAATTGGCTTACGGTTATACTACCCTCTACCTTATCTAGTAAAGATTTGCGAACCATACAGAATCTGTATTTCCTAAAATGGTAGTCATATACTTAATAGTAATGTTAAGTTATAAGAATAGAGGCGCATTTTCTTTGAAAATCCATTACCCTTGTAAACCAAAGACACTTCAGTTGGGCAAGATCTCGCTGTGTAGAAAGGGAAGAACGGCGGGATGGATCGTGATGTGGGACGAGCCATTAAAGTCGCCATGTTGGCCAGGGACATGGGGATGGTCTAACAAGTTGACTGCTTACACACGGGCTAGTACAAATTAGGATAAATACTTGCGAGAATACCCCATATACCGGCTTACCTTATCATATCAGAATAGGTAGCTGGGACGATATAAAGGTTCCTAACTGTTCATTTGGTCTATTAGAGTCAAATTGTCTCTTCCATTACTTGGCGATTTCAACAGAGATCTCGACTTGTTACTATCCTTTAGCTACACCGTGCCTATTTGGCTTTCCTAAACGTAGTTTATGGACCTCCTTCGTGAAAAACACACCTCTTATTTGAACTTGGGTAGCTAAACGGCCTGAACACTCGACTCTCTAGACAAGTGGTGCAGCCGTAAAGACCAATAGAAGGGTGAAAGAGTAAGGGGAAAGCAAGAGGTGTGCTCCAATGAGGCATTTGTGGGTGGCTGCTGTTCCAATATTCAGTTTTTTCTTGGCTTGAAAAGTCGTTTTGGCCTCATCAAGTTCTATTGGGTCTGGATAAAGATAATTCGCTATCGTCCTTTGCATATGATCAGGTGACTCTAGTGTTCTTCTAGGGCCACCGGGATCGGGCCGTAATTCGGAGGAAAACCTGATACTGTTGAGAGGATGCGAAACTTGATTGCTGTAAGAAGGACCTGAGAGAACGAATCTTTCGTATCGAGAAGTGATTGGGCAGTCGACATGAAATATTATGAGGAAAGTCGAAAAATCAGAGCAAATTGTCGACTAGGAAGTGTGCTAGGCCGTTATCAAACACAAGGTACTGCAAGTTTAAGCAAAACCAGTGAAGCAGCAGCATCGTATTAATTCATAGATGGGCGGCATTGGCTAAAAGATCTGGTCGCACCGTTTAGCTGATGCTTGCACGACAAAACAATTTGAAGACACTCAAAGCACCTGCAGAGACCCCTGCAACAAGGGAGTCAACGAGAGAGTGGTGACGCCGTTGAGCTAGGAGGAGAGATCGTTCCTGGTAAGAAGGATTCCAGCGACCCACATAATGCAATCAAGTCAGAGCAAGGTGGGACCATACATACAGCCAGCAATGGGTCACGCGGGCCATGATATCCTATCTTGAGTCATAGCGGCTAATAGAAATGAGCATATGCGGCCGGGAAAAGATGAAATTGCTACTGGGTATGGGTCCTAGGAATGTCAACGGAAAGCCATGGCAAGGGCGGGGGCTTGGGATGTTACAGAGTCTGACTCGGGTTTCGCTGTTCTTGCGCCCTCCTAAACCTATTTCTCTGGGCGCCTGACCAGATTACGACCATAGAGGCATTGGACGCCGTGTCATGAAGCGCGTGCGTAGGATTGCTTGGCGACGAGTTGAAAGCCTTTCTTGGGAGATCTTGGCCTGTAGGCTCCCCAATAGGTACAAGTGGCGTAGCATGTGTCCTGTGCTGCTTCGCTTACGAGATCTGGCGTCGCTCGCTAAGCGTCGATTGCTGTCTTCATTACGGTCGGTGGTAGTTACAGCAGGTTTTCCTAATCCAATGGGGGCATAACATGCGATCTACATTGCGATCAGCATAAGGAAAAACTGACAGGCATCAGTCGAATGTTTTAAGAGTTGCGAGGCTCATCCTTGCGCGAACGGATGGGTACGGATGCTGGGCGAAACAACGACGACGGTCACAGGGGGCGGTGAGATAGATCCGTGGGCAAGGTGGTACGGGGTTGATTTCGATCCCCAATGGTGGATAAAGTATGATGCGTGTCCCACGAGCGAGGCACAGTAAACGATGATGACCCCACCGACTCTGCGAGGTACTGAGTCGCCAGATGCACGGTGCAACCCATTCCCTGCCCATCATGTCGTACGGCATGCAGCCCCAGAGGACACTACCAACCACAGATCTCACAAAGTGGTGCGATCTAACTGCTTTCAGTCGTACTTGGATACATTCCATTTTTGGAAACTTGAGCCATGGTTGACATCCGTCCCACAAGGGTAAACATTCAGCAGCGCATGTTGGAGAAGATCCACGATGGATGTGCGCAGTCGGCCGTGGACGCCAGACGACATGTGCGCTGTATATTACACGAGGGGGTCGATAAGTGGGCTCAGGCCTGCACAAGTGGCTCGATATAATGCCTTTTTCAGGGCGGAACGAGGGCTCGGAAGCACGGAAAGGGCAATGCTGCGTCATCGAGAGCAGGGACACAGGCTTCTTGGTGCGTCGTCTCGCTTAGGCATCCGCGATGTCGTTGTTTTGTTGTTGTCAAGTCAGCAATCGGCGATGTGCCGCCACGTCGGCCCGTCGCAAGACTTGCTGGGTTAGGCTCGACCTGTGAGGATCTGCCCTCACGCAGTCCGAGTGACCTGTTTGGAGGTGGCACGCGATGGTGATCAAGCAGCGGCTGTCAGGGTCCAGAAGACGGCGGTGGAGACAACGGTTTCGGTAAGTTCGGCGTTGAGTAGGAAAAAGAAATATCAAGCAGATACCCCACACCCCCTGCGTGGGTAGCCCGCGCTAGCTTTGGGACAGACGCCGTGAGTGCGGTCGTCTGCCGTCACTGTTCGATACTGACGCCAGCAACGGGGTGCGCGGCAGCCATGACGTGCGCTCTGGACGACGAGCCGGGCCAGCTGGACGCCTCGCCCAACGGCGGCTGCACGTCTGAGGTCATCAACCGGGCCCTGAACGTGCAATAAACCCTGCGGATCTCGGATTGGCCGCCATGTGCTGGGAGCTGGCGTCGGAAGTGCTGGAGGCGGCCCGGGGGCCGCAGCTTCGGGTCGCTTCTCAGGCGATTGTCATGACGCAGCGGGAGCGGTCTGCCTCAGCCTTGATTCCATGCTACTCCAAGCGTGAGAGAAGGCGTAGAGCTGCGTCGCGTCCTTGTCGGCGGGCCCTGGCCTCGGCCAACGGAGAGTGGTGAAGCGGCCGGATCGGACTTAGGGAGCATGGTTGGGCCGCCAGTGGCTGCGGGCAGGATGCAGGCAGGCGCAACGGCTGGGGCGAAGGCGGACATGGGCGAGCCAAATGCCAGGCTGCGCGTGGCACCCCTGCCGCGTTCTGACCTGCATTGCTTCTGTACGACGCCTGGCTGGGGTGCTAAGCTTGGCATGCCTGGTGACGCCGGCGGCAGCGCTGTCGAGGCTGCAGAGGTGAAGTGAACGGGAGACGCATGGCTGGATGAGCGCATCGTGCGTTGGGATGGCCGAGTGTGCGCGCGAAGAGGCGGCGAGGGCAGGCGCGGCGTCCAAGTGAGGCAGGCGCGGCGGGTCTGGCAGCTGATGGGCTCCGAAGAGCGCCGGCTCCAGCAGTGTGCACGTCACGAGAGCTGCCGTGGCCGCGAGGAGCACAGCGGACCTGCAGGCTGCCCGGCCGGTGCAGCGTTTGGGCACGCGTGCCTGCCTCGCCGCGACACAGCTGGGTTGTCGCCCGTCACTGACCACTATCCCGGCCTCACATCTCACAAGCCACCGGGCACCGACGTCAGAAGCCCGCCATCGCCTCCAGTCTGAGTGTTGAGTGTCCGTGGCACAGCCAGGCTGCCCACCAACCTCTCGACCTCTCCTCTCCCACGCTCAACCGAACCCTTCACCCGCTCCCGCCAGGCGCGCCAGGCGCAGCCGCCCCGGACCAGAGCACCGCGAGCGCCCTTGCGTCGTCATGGCACTGCGGGCCCTGGCGCGCCGAAGTTGATTTAAGCTCGGTGCCGGGCCCTCAGTCCCCTACTCTGAGTTCAGCCACGGTGGATCGCCGCCAGGCCCGTCCGCCTGAGCCCGCCGGCCCGAGTCCGCCTCCGAGCGATGCAGCTCTCGCCATCTGCTGCTTTGCTTCAATCCCAAACATCCGACCCAGGCGCTGCTTCGTTCCGTGTTAGACCAGCCCCCGCCGCCCGCGCCAGCGCCCACCGGAGCATTCCCTCGCCCGCGGCGCCGTCTCCCCTGCCAAAGACAGCCGCCAGCCGCGCCCTTCCGGTGGCCGTGGCCCAGTGATGCATGCAGGAGCACGGGATTCGAGCGAGACGAAGATGGCCATGCATTCGTATGAGCTCCTACGCGCCATGAAAATTCGCCTTGCCGTAGAGATTGTGCCCGACGAGAGTAAGAGAACGACCGCAAGGAGACAAAAGAGAAATAGAAACAGGAAAAGGAAAGTCCTGGAACGCGTGCGCTGCACGCTCATCCCCCGCCGCCACAGCAACCCCCGCCAAGCCACCTGCCCTGCCCCCGCCCTGCCCCAGGCACGTCGCATCCCAGCCCGCAGGCCTCACAGATCTCGGACGGGGTCATACATCTCTGCTTCATGCGTTAGCTGCGTTGCTTGTTCCGGGCGCCGGGCGAAACGCGATCATGTACCCACCCGTTGAGCCCCCGCCGTTGTTGCCGTCCGGAGATCCGCCCTGGGATGGAACTGCAGCACCTGGGCCGTCAGTCTCGCTGGCAGTCACGCTGGACGATGCGCCACTACCTCGGTGCCGATTTCTGTTGTCACGGTATCGGAAGACGTGCCACAGCAGCCAGCGGATGATCCAGTTGTCTTCGTTGCGCCCGTCCATGTAGTGGCCCTGCTGGTAATACGGCCGCGTCCGCGCGCTCGCCGCGTGGTACACGTTCAGCACCTCGCGGTGCATTGCTGTCTCCGTTATCTGGTTCGACGAGTATGGCGGCTGCACCGTGGGGTCGGAGCGGCATTGCGGCACCAGATTCGATGGGTCCTGGCTCGTACGCCTCCGTCCCTCGGCCGCCTCTTCCTGCACGTCTGATGAGTAAGGCTCCCGCCTCGCCAGGAACCCGTCCGTGCGTTGCGCACCTTCATCAGCTCGTAGAGCTCCTTGTGGGCCGGATTGTCCTCCGACAGACCCAACCTCTGGAAGAAGTCTGCTTTCGTCCTGCTGGGTGCGAGCCTGGCCAAGGCCATGTTGCGGTACGGTCTGCTGGGCGGAGCGCTGCTGCTGCCAGGCCCCGGTGTGCCGAGAGGGTGTGGTTAGATGGTGGTCTGCTGTACCTCCTGGCGAACGTGCAGATGCGAAGGCACTCGCTCGTCTCACGCTTCAACTTGGGCGTGCCACCCTGCGCTTAAAAACATCCGCCGGGCAGCAACGGGGCAGCCGCAGCCATATTGGTCAAGCACGCATATGCAGATCCGCAGATCGTGACCATGCAGTATCTACCACTCCCGATGGCCAACGACCATCATGGCCACTGGGATGACATCCAGCTGATCCAAAGACATGGATGCATCGGCGCCCAAGCTACACATCGAGCAGGCTACCAACCGCGCGGTCCGTGCCGCCCCTCCAAGGTGGCCTGATAGGGTTCCATGACCAAGAGAGCTCCAGGTGTGACGCTCACTAGACGAAGCATTGGTGGCTTGCCCAAGATACATCGCCCCTGGGTTACGTCTCCGTGGATGGGCCATTGCGGGCACGCGAGATTCAGTACCCCACCCAGGAAACAAGCTACCAGTGCCCCGGGACCCTGTGGCTTTCACTGGTGTGTCCACGTAAAGCCCATGCCCCTTGCCCGCAGCTGCCCTTGTCATCATGCTTTTCAGGATCTTCAAGGTTCGCCGGGGAGCGAATGAGCGGCGGCCATCTTGGGACAGCCGCGCTGAGCCAGCTCGCGCCCACCGGTGCGCTGGCGGAAGGCCCTCCTGCAGATCAGATCGTCCCGGCAAGCGGGTGGCTGCTCCAGGATCGGTGTTCCCCTCAGTTCCACTTCTGACACCGCAATCAGAGAAGTGTGCTTTGGTCCTGAGCATGGCTTCCGGGCACAGACCAGGTGGAGACACGCCGAACGGCTGTGTTGCCACGCACACGAGACTATTGGGGGGTGTCAAATATGTTAACTGCGCATACAAAACAAAGTGTGCTCACCTTTCCAGGGGCTGGATCAGCCCAGAAACCAATCTTGGAAATGGGGGGGCAAAATTCGCCGATCGTCTTCGTTTCCCCGATAGCGCGGTGTGCGCTGTAATCCGCAATGCAGGTTTCCTTGGCCGCGCTGCTTTCTTCACATGGAGCTGCGGGGATTGGAGGAGGCCTCCATGTCAGAATCGTCGATGGGCGAGGCTTTCTCAGGGCCATCTCGGCTCTAAGCGGGCAGCCCGACGGGCAGAGGAAGAGACAGCAGCAACGGGCGACGAATCACCGGCGCTACGACGCCACCCTGGACCACGGCTCTTCTGGAACCCTGCGTAGAAAGTGGCTTGTCGCGCCACAGTCGACGAGCACGGAAACAGGCGCAGCTCACAAACGCACCTGGTAATCTCGGGATCATCCGCGCACCTCGGGCGCCAAATTGCGTGCCAGGAAGCCTGCCTGAAAGGGGATTGATACAAGCGCAGCCAAGAACGTGGGCCTGTTCCTTTTCACTCGTCAACGGCCAACGCACTGTGTTTCACTTCCCTCCTGCATAAAGCTGACGGCTTCCCCCAGCCGTATCTCATCTCGCTACGCCCGGGGGTCGATAGAGATCTGGGCCCGATTCCACAGCCCCGGACCCGCCCAAAGCGATGCGCCCAACATACTCGCATCCACCGTAGCTTCGACTGCAGCCCGCACAGTGTGGCTTCCACGTGGAGATTGCGGCCGTACGTCTCCGCATATTCGCACGAGATCAATGACGTCTACATCACGCAGGTGGTAAAGAAGGCACCCGTGCCGGCTGGACCACGCAGCTGCTCCACAACATGCGACTGCCACGGGAGGTTGTTGTGATCCCTGCGGCTGTCTCCTGCCATCCGCGGCTGAGCTAGTCTTCTCACCAGCGCTGACGGTGGGCCGTTATGCGCAAGTCATCGCTCTGATCCATGTGCGGCCGTCAGTTGCGAGTAAAGATCGGCGGTCGTACCCCGTCGAAGGCGCGGCTTCGCCGGTGCCAACAACCCAGAGATCTACCGTCGGCTGTGTTGTTTCCTCAATGCAGCTCGGAACCAGACTTCTGTAGCACGGCCTCCCAGCAGCCGCGCCACTCCGCCGTCAGAGCTCCGGGTGCGGCGCCAGCGCACGTGGAAGGCACAGAGTCCGATACACGGACTATCGCCCCTACAGGCTCCAGATCGCACTTCGGAGAGCGGCACTGCCCCAGGCGCAGAGTCCCGGCCTGAAAATGCGGTGCAACGCGGACGTCGCCTCCACAGGTTTCAGGAAATCGCTTCTTCAAAGCACAGCGGGCGGAAGTGGCTACTGGGCCTGCCATGGGCCCTCGTGGGGGAGCTCGTGGACGGACGAGGATGGCTGCAGGCACACGTCTTGGTGGCGGGCAGTGGCCTGATCGCTCGCGCCCGCAAGGCACCCATGCGTAGAGGCTTGTCTGCGGTTGCAAGCTTCTCGAGGTCCGCAAGTGCAGACAGGTCGCTTGTGGGCGATCACATCTTCGGCTACGGACGTCGGGCCATGATTCGCGCAGAAGCAACGGGCCAGCTGCAAGGCTCACCGCTCGGACCGCCATGCATGGGGGAGATCTAAGATCGCGGCAGACGGCAAACGATGCGCGGCCCCGGCTTCAGGCTGCGGGCTTCGCGGGTACGGGCCGCGGGACGATAGCCCCTCCACTGCTGCTTCAGCTCACCATCTCAACCACGGCCGGCGCTGCTCTACGGGGAATCTGGTCGTTCGATGCTCTTACGACGGCGTCCCTCCGGCACACAATGGCTGCGCCCGCTCCACGTGTGATAAGGCAGGAACCAGATTCTGTCACGCGCTGCGCCTGCCGTCCTGAAGTGACGCGACACGGCCACAGCTCCCCGACGAGCCCTCCGGCCGTTAGGCGAGCATGTGGCGTTCCTGAATGCCAGCGGGCAGTGCTTTTTCCCCCAGTCGCATTCGCGTTGTAGCCCTCGATTGCAGGCGGTCAGAGAGGGCGCACCTGCTTGGAGCTGAAGCCATTAACGCTGTGCATCTCCAACGAGGCCCGGAGCGCCCGGCAGGCGTGCATCCCAAGTCGTTCGGGCAGGACGGAGGGCAGCTGCTGCGCTTGGCCGCTGGCGCCTTCCGCCCCTGGCTGACGCCGCCATATGCGCGTGTCTCGCAGCGGAACAATCATGCTGTGGCAGCAGCAATGCAGTAAGCCAGGCAGCCCTACCGCCGGCAGCAGTCGCTTTGGGCGCTGCTAGACCTCTTCAACGCCCGAACGAGCCAGTAACTTAATTCACCGCCTCTTTTTTTTTTCTTTGCTCCCCGCGTCCGGCAAGCCTGATTCAGAAGATTTCAAATCGCGCATCATCATGGCAGTATCCACCATCTCGAGCACACCTCCGCTATTCGATCGCAGCAACACTTTCCTAGACTCATTCGTCCCTAGCAATCGCGAACCCCGCCAGCCAGCTCCCAAGCGGCAATTGTTCCCGCAGCTAGACTCGTCCGAGGCCACGCCCAGCGAAAATGGGTCTGTCTACGATGCAAAACATGTCTGCTCGGAAGATGAGGCGGATGAGCCCCCAAAGAAGAGACCTCGAAGCAGGAGGCGGTCGCATTCCCGCTCCCTGTCCGGACAGGAATGGCCGCCCTCTGGCATTGCGAGTGAGTCAAGCTTTGTCTAGACCTTGGAGGAGGAATGGACAGCACTGACCGAAGGCTTGTTTCAGACGGGCCCGGCGTAGCAGTCCGATTCATCAACAGACCGGACGCAACGCCGTTGACCACCATCATCGAGCAAAAGTCGATTGCAACGCTCCGCTCTGCTGTAAACGGCATTGCCGCGACACGCGTCAACCGCTGGGCGGAAGCCCCGGAACAAAAGCAATCAGGCGGAGGCCACGCGGGCAGGCGTCAGGCGGCTCTCACCATTGATGAAGCAACGCTTCGAGAACTGCACGAGATCATCGATAGCCAAAGGCCACCGGACCAAAGGGTCTCCTCAGGATCAGGCACAGGCTACGTCAATGACGTCGAGCATCCCGCACGTCCAATTTCGCCGCCGCAGTCGCCGCCCGTTCGGGCTCAGACGCCGTGCGGCCTGCCCCGCTGGCCGGGAGATTTGCCAACTTCGTTTGGAGCTCCGCACCGCAGGGTCTCACGCGTGAGGAGTTTTGGATATGCTCTTCGCCATTTCTTCCGCGGCCCTCGGGGAGGTGAGTTTGCGCGTGCGTGGGGGAAGTACGTATGGTCCGACCGATGTCGTACCAACGTGGCGTGCACATGTTTGACACTTGAAGCATGGGCTAATCCTCTCATTTATCAGAGCTTGGAGGACGAGACCCCGGCAATCAGACCGCAATGCGCGGGGTGCATGAAGTGCAGCAGTGGCGGCAATGGCCCCACGCCAACCAGGCCGACCGCGCTGCCGGGCTCGCATTCTGGGCGCCCCCGAGCAGTGGACACGGGTCGAGCAATCCTCCGGGCTGGCATATCTTCGAGCCCGACGTGCATGAGCCGGTGACTGAGATAGACGCTCCCGACAGCCCGGCACCGGAAACACCGTCGCGATTCCACGCACGGAATGGGACACGAGGCCAGGACTCTACACAACACGGACCGCGGCAGCTACAGGATCGACAAGGACCGATGCAGGCATCCATGCCAGGATCCGCGCCGCCAAACGTTGCACAACCCGTGCGCGGTCAGGCCTCCAAGCGCCCCTTGACCCCGACTAGGCGTCGGCAGGAGCGTCTCCCCGCTGAGGACCCCGGTCGAACCGAATCTCCAGATTCGGTTTACTCAACGCCCACACAGACCAGCAGGCACTCTAGTCATCCGTTGATACCTGCGCCCCTGTTCACGAGCCCGCCTCATTCTCGCCGTCGTCTCGACCCGCGCATTCCCGTTTCCCCGTATGACCGACTTGCCGATGTGTTGAGTACAGGCCAGCCAACATCACGAGATACGCCATCTCGCAGCCACAAAGAACGCAGCAGAGATGACATCGACGTGTGTTACACTGCCGATGACATTCCCGTTTACCGCCCAGACGCTGTGAGTCTGAGAAGCCTGGACAACAAGCACGCCGGTGCCCACCGCATAGTTTCAGTTGCGTCAAGCACTCTTGCTTCCACATGTCCTACTCCTGCTGCAGCTTCGTCCGTGACCCAAACGAGTACTCCTGCTACGCAGTGCACCAGTTTCGGCGGGTCATCTGCTTCCACCATCGTCTCCGCTTCGCCTCTCATTCTCAAACCCGAGTCTCAACCCCAAACAAAGCAATCCCCCTCCGACTCTGCTCTGGACCCCTCGCCTCCCTCGATGAGTCTTACGGTAATTCGTTCTGCAGCACTCCCGATCCTTCTACCTCTCGCAGCTGCAGAAGGAATCGTCCGCCCTCGTCTCATTGCTCGCCCTGTGACTCCTCCCCCAGACGCCGAAATGAGGCCCACCCTTGGCACGCACAGAGCCACTCGTCGCTCTTCTGGCGCTTCGATCAACGCCTCTACCCGTGCATTACGGGGCAGCAGCGCGGAGGCTCACTCCAGATACAGCGGCAGCAGTAGCGAAAGCTTTCACACGCCCTCGCAGACGCCCCGAACAAGCCCAGCATGCAGTTCATCAGCGCTTGGCTCCGCTGCCCTAACTCCCCTAAGCTTAGATCAGGTTCTTGCGGCAAATTCTGCGCCGCATGCACCCGTGCCGCGCGGAGCGCAGATGGAGAGTGAACGCAAAGAGCGGGGCAGCGGAAGCAGCGGCAGCATCAATGAGGAGAAGGGCGTCGGTGAGCAGCTTGGGTGGCTGCTGCGGGTGTGTTTCTGCCAACCTGTTGGTGGAGTCGAGGACTGGGAGAGTGGTGGGGACAATGCACGTCGTCATCGTTGCGTGCAACGTCGAGTGAGGCAAGGCTCAGAGGTGAGGCGACAACAACACCGGGCGGCTTAGGGAACATAGCGCCTCACTGGTGCCTCCCCATACCGTGCATGTTTCTGTTTCTCATATGCAGAATGCATATTCACTTCCTTGGCTGGGATGGATGTTTGAGCCAGCATCTGTATGGCTCTGGCTTCCCTGTGGGCCCGATATTCCTTGTGGTGGGTACTTTTTTTCTTTGCCCTTCGTCTTCTTCCTGCCCTAATAAACAGTGTAAGTATACTCAAACTCTTTCCCAGGGTGAGTGCCCGGGCATTTGGGCATTGAACTTTCTTCCTTCTTCTCCTTTTCCTTGGACACGGAGTGTGCTCCGCTTCTGCCGCGTGCCATTATCTCTTCTTCTCCACTGCTGCGCCGCGCCCCACATCAGCTGTCGGTCTTACCTGCGTAATTTCCATGCATGTTCCAGGCTTTTTTGCCTGAACGCCCAGATGCGACCGAATGCATGTACTCGTCTACTTGCCTAATCGGGTATTCCCCAATATTGCGGCCCCCACTTTCTAAGTCGCATTCCTGACCAAGCTGGGCCATGAAGATGAGGATCCGCACTGCATGTGTGTACATGCGCAGGAAACCCAGATAAGTAGGTATAGGAGAAGACCAGTGGCGATGAACCTTGTCTTTCCGTGTTGAGGCTTGTATAAGATTTGTCAAAGCCAATATTTCTCCAAGGGTCAGCCAGCAACAACATCACTTCTGTAAGCGAAATTCTCTTTTTCTCAGTGGAATCAGAATGGATTTCTTTTCTGGATACTGTATTGGTATGCAAGAAAGGCGCACCAGTCACGCCGCAAGTGAGCAGTAGCTGAAGGACAGCACGTAGGTTATATTGATATCCTATTTGTCATGATGAACGAGATCTGACTAATGTTCACTTTTATGCTTGTGCCTAATTGCAGGATGCGGGGGCCTTGTAAAACGCGACTCTCTGTGTCGCGGTTCATTCTTTGGTTCGACCCAGGCAACAAGACGGGAGATCAACCGGGCCGACGCGCGGACTCCCGTCGTCGTGTAGCACTCATTGACTACCTGGCGCACATCAATGCCGAACGGTTACACGCATATCGGCCCCGTTTCGTTCTCCCCTCGAAGGAGCAGTTGGCGAGTTGCGAATTGCCGGGCATTGTAAAGCGGTTATTTTTATTCGACTCCACGTTCACTTGCGCTGTCTTTCTGGCCCCCCTTTCTCACATATTGCCAAGGTAAGTTTAAAGGTACGCGTAAACCTACAGGAAAGGTCCATTGGGGTGACATGTAATGTCGGGGTTCCCACCCTATTAGCAGACGGCTGATTTGCTTTTCTAATCTCCTTATCTCCGTTGCTGAACATGGTCGGCAATAGAGATTTTCGGTCCAAATGGAGAATTTGTTGCTTCCCTTCCTTGCTCTTTATCTGCCTGACTTATCGTTTCATTTCCGGGGCTCTAATACCTCACTTATAGCCCTACCACCGCGTCCTAGTCGAGAAACGTTTTTTCTTTTTCTTGTGCGCTCGCACTGCAGGGCCCTTTCTGGCAGAAAGTGGTATACCGGGTGTCGTTGTTGCCTTGGTTTCATGCGAGGCGCATCCTTACGTTACAACGAGTCACTATCACCTTGGGGTTTCTCGGAGCCGTGCTGCTGAGAACACAGTATGCAAGATGGCACCATCGCATTGCCTCCTTTTGGAAAGATGGGGGCTGAATAGGTAGGGCTTTTCTCCTCGCTCTACCTCCGCCGTTCCGGGCCACAGAAAAAGAAAGCAAGAGGGAAAAAAAAAAGGCGGCAAAAGCAATGAAAGGCTGGGGTACGAATGTGCGAGGTTAGGAAAATAATCAGCTGTTTTTCCATCCCACTATCACATTTCGCGTCTTGGCCCCTTCTTTCGCTACAGCACTTGAGCGCATGCATGCATGTCGCCTTCTCGGCTCGCTTCTCCCGGTTTGAGGTGGCCAGAGGGAGGAAAAAGAAACGATGGTTATCAGGAATCGCGAACGAACGACTATCATCTCTATTGGGACAAGGCAGTTGGGGCGGATCGATGATTCCGATACGGAGAGAAAGCGAAGGAGGTTTCTTTTTTTAGGGATAAGAGGGAAAAAAGAAAAGAGAAATAGAGACAGGAAACGCCGGTGATCCGGGTGAAATTTTTCCCCCTCATGGCTTGAGGGAGAAAAACTTGTTGCGCAGCGGTTTGTGTAACGTTGTGCTCCCTCCGGATTCGCGCGGATGCGGGTCGGTGGTCGTCGATCTTCCTTTTGCGTCCGAGGGCGACGATGATTGTCCTTAGTGTGTGGGGCGGCGGAGCTGAACTCTGAGGCTGAGCTGCGGGGCTGATGAAGCGCGATGAGGACAGAGGCTGGCTGGACGACGGGTGAGATGGGGAAAAGATTAGAGCTTACCATTCCACAAAAGGGGGGTTCGTTGTTGGCTTCCATGGAAAGAGCAGGGCGTGCTTGTCTTACTATGCGGGGATGATTGCCGGACGTGCTGGCTGATCTGATGGCTCAGCATCGCGGGGATTTCTATGGTGAACGAAGTAAGTTGTGAGTGGTGATTCGAGCTGGTCTCAGGACGTGGTCACTCGTGCTAACGACTCGACGAAACTTTTCAGGAATCCTCCTCGAAATCGTCCACCAGCGAGCTCGAAGTCACGCCTGAGTAGTCGGTGAGGCAGATGGTCTCGAGCTGCAGCTTTGTTATCTGATGTAGCCTTTGAATCGGATCCGACTGTCCGACGTGTACGCGGATTTTGCTGTGGTCTCCAAACCTTGCTACGAAAGTAATAGCTGAGGAAGACGCTACCATCATCAGGCGAAAGTAAGCAAGGCCGGAATTCCAAAGCGCAGTTCATCGCTCAAAGATCTAGGAGCTTCATTCCCGGCTCCTCAGCACACATCCTTGGATACCTCCGTCCTTCGTTGGGATGGACGTCTCCCTCGTGTCCGGACGTATCCGTAGCCGCGGAATCATCCCGCCGGCAACCAAGCCGAGATACCCGCAGCACTCAAGGGAACATCCAGCAGGGCGTTTTTGATGAGTCAAACAATACAAAGATTATCCGGTTGGGTGGATAGCGTGTGAGATTTTGTTGTCTGGATAAGTGAAGTGCCGTTGTTTGAAGGCAGCTTGTTTGTTTTGGGAAGCTGCTCGGCCTCCTGTTTACGGCGCCGAGGAGCGTTATGCCGAAGGATGCTGGGCGGCGGGTAGCGTCGGAATGGCTGCAAATGCAAGTAGGCGACTTCGGAGGATAATTATTGTCGGAATTGATTTGATGGAAGGTAATGTAGAGCCTGTCATGCAGTCTGAATCAAGTTGAGGGCTGTGGTAATGCCAAAGGTCGCGGTTTTCAGCCATTGAGGCCAATTCAAAAGCTACATCGCACAATTACTCAGTAATACAGCATAGGAATAGCAACAACAAATAGAATCATCTACGCGTTTAGCGAGCATCAGATGCTTATACAACGTAAAAATGGTCAGATAGGTGTATTAGTGCAAACATCAACCAAATATAGAAAGCCCACTTAGACCATTCATTTGGATGGGTCGTAGCTTCAGTGTATCTTTTCGTAGATGATGTAAATTCGCGCTTACTATCCCTGCGAGCATCACGGTTACTTGGTATTGATATACTTGGCAGCAGCCTTTCCACCCAGGGATGACTGCGACTAAGAGCTTCCTTGACCATAGTGTGGTTGTTAGGCAGAGGGCTGACAGACAAAAGGTTGACACCTTCGTGGGAAGATAGCTGATAGCTGTTATGTGGTTATCCAGGGTCAACCCGGACTAAGACGATACAGGAAGAGTTCAACGACGCATTACGTTTGCAGAGGTAGATGAGAGGCAGATCAGCCGTGTCACAACAGCAGGCCGTCTTTGTAGGTTTGCAGTGTCTCAGGACTTAGAAACGCATCGAAAGTCGATTGCACACGAATCTGGTGTTTCTCCTGTACGAGCGACGTCATCGGTTCGAAAATTTATGCACGTTTTTGCGGGGTGCCGTGGCGGTCTTGGCGTGGCTTGCGGGAGACGTTTTTTGCTCGCAGGGCTTCAGATTGCACTCGGCCGAGGGAGCATCGTGTTTGTTGTTGGGATAGGGAGTGGCCGGAAGCAGCGTCGGCGTGGCAATAGCCGACGCCGCGACGACAACACAGCTGGTCGGGCGGCAGAATTGCTTGACCGGCATCTGGGCGTTTAGTCACAGGGACCAAATCGGGGTGCTGTCACGGAAGGATCGGTGGGGAGTGACAGCAGGGTGGCATGCGGAACAATGGAGCTACGGTATGATGTAGCTGGTTGAGTCTGGGGAACACCTGTGACATAGCCGAGGCCCAGCGCCAGGCCTGGGCCTGGTCATGACGGACTTGACTCGGACAAAGCTTCACCTCCTTTTGCGCGCATGCAGCGCACGGGGAGAGGTTGAGGGGGCGCATGGCTCAGAAGCTGCGACGGCGCGGCGTGCCAGGTCAGCGGGAATGCTTCAGGTGCAGTATGGGCGCGCGGTCAGCAGCTGCGGCTGCGGCATTTAGAAGCGGCGGCGGCCAATGGTGGCGGCTGCTGACTTTTTCGCGGCCGCGCTAAGCCCTGATCGGGCCGGATAATCCATCCCCCAGCCTGCCGTGTGCCCTTCCGCGTCGGGCGTGTGAACGTAATGCTTGGCCTTGAATCTGCGCCCAGCTCTCACCAACTCCGCCTCCTCCCTCTCTCCTCTCCCTACATCTGGCTTCACGCCGCCCCGTTTGGATGAATTGTTAATTCTCGCGTCGGCACCTCCACCATGCTGCGCACCACCATCCGCCAATGCAGCTCGCGCCTGCCCGCCGGCAGCTTCGCTGCGCGGACGAGCTTTTCCACCCAGAGCGGCGCGCTCGCATCAAAACGCAGGGCGCTTGCCATCGCCGCCCAGCGCGTGCAGAAGAGGCACTATGCCGTCTCCGCTGAGGACACTAGCAAGGGCGTCGTGAGTTTCCCCATCCGCAACCTCCGAAGTGAACCCTAACAAGGAGCTCTCCCAGGATCCCTCCGACTCCTTCCTCCAGGGCAACACTGCCAACTATGTCGACGAGATGTACGTGCAGTGGAAGCGTGACCCCGACAGCGTCCACGTCTCGTGGCAGGTCTACTTCAAGAACATGGAGAGCGGCGAGATGCCTGTCTCCCAGGCCTTCCAGCCCCCGCCTACCATTGTCCCCTCCCCGGTTGGCGGCGTGCCTGCCTTCGCCACCCCCGGCCTCGGCATGTCCATGGGCCAGGGCTCCGACGTCATGAACCACTTGAAGGTCCAGCTCCTCGTGCGCGCTTACCAGGCTCGTGGCCACCACAAGGCCAAGATCGACCCGCTTGGCATCCGCGGCGAGGCCGCTCAGTTCGGATACAGCAAGCCCAAGGAGCTTGAATTGGAGCACTACAACTTCACCGAGAAGGATCTGGACCAGGAGTTCACCCTGGGCCCCGGTATTCTGCCCCGCTTCAAGACCGAGGGCCGTGAGAAGATGTCCCTCCGTGAGATCATTGCCACCTGCGAGAGGCTCTACTGCGGCTCGTATGGTGTCGAGTACATCCACATTCCCGACAGGGAGCAGTGCGATTGGCTGCGCCAGCGTATCGAGGTCCCCCAGCCCTACAAGTACTCGGTCGACGAGAAGCGCAGGATCTTGGACCGTCTGATCTGGGGTACTAGCTTCGAGTCTTTCCTGGCCACCAAGTACCCCAACGACAAGCGTTTCGGTCTGGAGGGTGGTGAGAGTTTGATTCCTGGTATGAAGGCTCTGATCGACCGCAGTGTCGACTATGGCGTTAAGGACATCGTGATTGGCATGCCTCACCGTGGTCGTCTCAACGTGCTCAGCAACGTCGTGCGTAAGCCCAACGAGTCCATTTTCTCTGAGTTCGCCGGTACCGCCGATCCCTCGGACGAGGGTTCCGGTGACGTAAAGTACCACTTGGGTATGAACTTCGAGCGTCCCACTCCTTCCGGCAAGCGTGTGCAGCTCTCGCTTGTTGCCAATCCCTCCCACTTGGAAGCCGAGGACCCCGTCGTCCTTGGCAAGACTCGTGCTATCCTGCACTACAACAACGACGAGCACGAGGCCAAGTCTGCCATGGGTGTTCTGCTCCACGGTGACGCTGCTTTCGCGGGCCAGGGTGTTGTGTACGAGACCATGGGCTTCCATGCTCTGCCCAAGTACCACACCGGCGGTACCATTCACATCATCGTCAACAACCAGATTGGTTTCACCACCGATCCTCGCTTCTCTCGCTCTACTCCTTACTGCTCTGATATTGCCAAGGCCATCGATGCCCCCGTCTTCCACGTCAACGGTGACGATGTTGAGGCTTTCAACTTTGTCTGCCAGCTCGCCGCCGACTACCGTGCCACCTTCAAGAAGGATGTCGTTATCGACATGGTTTGCTACCGTAAGCAGGGCCACAACGAGACCGACCAGCCTTTCTTCACCCAGCCCCTGATGTACAAGCGCATCTCGCAGCAGAAGCCAGCTCTCGACAAGTATGTCGACAAGCTTCTCCAGGAGGGCACCTTCACCAAGGACGACGTCAACGAGCACAAGGCTTGGGTCTGGGGTATGCTGGAGGAGAGCTTCTCCCGCAGCAAGGACTACCAGCCCACCGCAAAGGAATGGCTGACTTCTGCCTGGAACGGATTCAAGTCGCCCAAGGAGCTCGCTACTGAGGTCCTGCCCCACCTGCCCACCGCTGTTGAGAAGGACGTTCTGGAGACGGTTGCCGAGAAGATCGGCGGCGCTCCCGAGGGTTTCACCGTTCACCGTAACCTGAAGCGTATCCTGCAGAACCGCACCAAGACCGTCACTGAGGGCAAGAACATCGATATGGCTACGGCTGAGGCGCTCGCTTTCGGCACCCTTTGCCTGGAAGGCCACCATGTCCGCGTTTCTGGTCAGGACGTCGAGCGTGGTACCTTCTCTCAGCGCCACGCCGTCCTTCACGATCAGGAGAACGAGGACACGTACACCCCTCTGGCCAGCCTCAGCCAGGACCAGGGCACTTTCATTATCTCTAACTCCTCGCTGAGCGAGTACGGAGTGTAAGTAATGACCAACTCCCATATCACTATTCAGCTAACATCCTGCAGTCTCGGTTTCGAATACGGCTACTCTCTGTCGTCGCCCAACGCTCTGGTCATGTGGGAGGCTCAGTTCGGTGACTTCGCCAACAACGCTCAGTGTGTGATTGACCAGTTTATTGCTTCTGGCGAGACCAAGTGGCTGCAGCGTAGCGGTCTGGTCATGTCTCTTCCTCACGGTTACGACGGCCAGGGTCCTGAGCACTCTTCAGGCCGCATGGAACGTTACCTCCAGCTCTGCAACGAGGACCCTCGCATTTTCCCCAGCCCCGACAAGCTCGAGCGCCAGCACCAGGACTGCAACATGCAGATCGCCTACCTGACCAAGCCTTCCAACATGTTCCACATTCTCCGTCGCCAGATGAACCGTCAGTTCCGCAAGCCGCTTGTCCTCTTCTTCTCGAAGTCCCTCCTGCGCCACCCCATGGCTCGCTCGAATATTGAAGAGTTCACGGGTGAGTCGCACTTCGAGTGGCTTGTCCCCGACCCGGCCCACGAGACTGGCGAGATCGCGCCCAAGGAGGAGATTGAGCGTGTCATTCTCTGCACTGGTCAGGTCTGGGCTGCGCTTGTGGCTCACCGTGAGGAGCACGGCCTGAAGAACACTGCCATCACGCGCATTGAGCAGCTCCACCCCTTCCCGTGGGCGCAGCTCAAGGAGAACCTCGACTCGTACCCCAACGCCAAGAACATTGTCTGGTGCCAGGAGGAGCCCCTCAACGCGGGTGCTTGGTCGTTCACCCAGCCCCGCATTGAGACTCTGCTCAACGAGACTGAGCACCACAACCGCAGGCACGTCATGTACGCGGGCCGCAACCCAAGCGCCAGTGTGGCGACTGGTCTGAAGGCGGTGCACAAGAAGGAGGAGAAGGACCTGCTGGAGGAGGCTTTTTCGGTTACGCAAGATAAGCTCAAGGGCGAGTAAAAAAGTTCTTTTCGGTCTTGGGTAGAGGCGGACTTTTGAATTGGAGGAGACTAGGGTTGTAGATGAGGGGGGAGGACTAGTGCATTTTCTCTGTACATCAGCATCACGGACGAGCTTAATTTCCTTTGTATTGACGGGGAGGGACCCCCCGGGAGCGTAGACACATGCGGGGATCAGGAGCTCCCGAATTGGATCAATTGCATTTGTAAGGTTAGGTGTTAGTCGGTTTGAAGACGCATAATTCAATCTGCTATCCAATTTTGAGCGGCACGATGGAATCTGGGGTAAGGCTAGGATGTGCGTCCGTGATGGTGGGCCTCAGTTAGCGCCAAGCCACGCGGGGTGGCGTCATCCGCCGTCCCCGAGCTCCCACTGCACATCAATCATCCCCGCCCGTGCTCACCTTTTTTCTCTCCATCTTTATCGGGACGCCATCAATTCATTTCCCCCCGAATGCCTGGGCCAACCATCGCATCGTCCTACATCTGCCCTCGCTGCCTGCGAGCTTCGCAGCGCGCCTTCTCACGCACGCCCACCACTATCTCGCCCGCCGCGGGACCGAAACGTTGGCTCTCTGCGTCGCCACGGCTCCTCCGATCGTCTTCCGCATCCGCACAGGAACAACACCGCGACGGGCACAATGCGTCCACAATAAGCGAGAATCGAAACAACCCCGACAATGGCCATCCGACCGCAAAGAAAGAGGCGGGGGCAAACGAGGAGAAGGAACCGGGCGCCATGTCGCGCCGCCTCGAGTCGCTGACGGAAGAAGGCCTCGTCTCGGGCGGGCGCGCCGCGCAGAAGGCCGCGGTCGAGGACGCCGGCTTCTCCGAGGAGCTGAAGAAGCGGCTGGAGGCGCGCATCGCGGGCGCGAACTTCAACAACGAGTTCGCCCAGTCGCTCGCGCAGGCGGGCTTGCCGGCCGCCGCGGGCAAGGGTACGCGCGACCTGGCCGGCGCGCGGCCCTGGGATGGGACCGAGAGCGTCGAGGACGCGAGCTTGCGGATGCTGGACGATGCGGTCAAGCCGCTGCGCGGCGGCGGGAAGGTGCGGTTGCCGAATGCGGTGAGGCTGCCGAGCAGGATCGATACGGGGTCGAGCGCGGCGAGCGGGAGGGGGGAAAACAGGGGAGTCAGGCTGTCGGAGGCGAGGGAGCGGACGGGGATGTATCACTTGCAGAAGGATGGGGCGGGGATGAGTGAGGAGGAGAGGGAGAAGCTGCGGAGGGAGATGCGCGAGCGGTTCCAGCCGGCGGGTCGCGGCGGGCCGATGAGCATCAGGGCGCTGGAGAGCTTGGCGAACGAGCGGATCGAGGATGCGATTGCGAGGGGCCAGTTCAAGAATATCCCGAGAGGCCAGAAGATGGAGCGCGATTACAACGCGAGCAATCCGTTTTTGGACACGACCGAGTACTTTATGAATAAGATCATCCAGAAGCAGGAGATCGTGCCGCCGTGGATCGAGAAGCAGCAAGAGCTGGTTACGGCCGCGGCGCGGTTCAGGAGCAGGTTGCGGGCGGATTGGAAGAGGCATGCGGCGAGGATGATCGCCAGCACGGGTGGTAGTCTGGAGACTCAGGTTCGGAGGGCGCAAGCATATGCGGAGGCGGAGAAGCTGGTCAATCCGAGGAAGAAGAAGCAGGAGAAAATCACCACGGTGAGTGAGGAGGGGCATTTCAGCCAGATCACGCTGTCTGGCGAATTGAGGGTAGGCCCGGCCACACCGGAGAAGCGTAGCCAGCCGTCAGAAAAGATCACCGTCAAGGCCACTCCTGTAAGCTCTACCGACGGGAGCTCCTCCGCCTCTCCTCTGCCAGATGCGGAGGAGGTGCTCGAAGAATTCATGGTAGGGGACGCTCAACCTGCTACGACAGCCGAAGATACCGCCTCGTCCTCCTCCTCCGCCATCACCCCGGCCCCTTACCCCTTCCGCGACCCGGCCTGGGTGAACGCCGAACGCTCCTTCCTCGAGCTGTCCATCAACTCCCTCAACGCCCTCACGCGCTCCTACAACCTCATGGCGCCCGAGCTGGCCAAGAAGCCGTACTTCTCGCTCGACCGCGAGCTCGCCGCCGCCTTCGCCGACGTCGGGCCCCAGCTGCCCAGCGAGATTCGCGATAGGGCGCTGGAGCCGAAGGCCAAGCCGACCGGGCGTTCGCCGGGACACGGGGCGGCGGGTGTGATGGAGAGGTTTGGGACGAATCAGGAGGTTAATATTTGGGACGAGACGGGCGAGAGGTACGGGTTGAAGGAGATGTGGAGGGATTTGTTCACGAAGAAGAAGGGGGCGTGAGATATCGTCAGGTTTGAAAGGGTGTTTTTATAAATGCCTTGTGGATATTCGAACAGAAATAAATGTGGTAAGAAGGTAGCTCAGTTTATTCGCTAGCTGATCTGGTAATATAGTAGAGAACGTAATGATTCTAACAACTCAGCTCAAACTCTTCAGCATACTTTGGTGATCGTACCTCGCATTGCTTGGGATCGTAGGCCTGTTTCAGTTAAACGCGGCCCCTTAAGCTGATGACAGGTCATTCCTGAGTCATGCTTAATGGTGACGGGGACAGAGTGCGAATGCTTGACTGGCTTTCTGTCCTCACAATTCCGCCAGATTCATTCACTGATTCCTGCTCTACCCGAATGCCGGCTCCCTTTGACGTTTGTTCTTGATGGATCGTAGTTATCTCGCCTTCTCGCGCTCCAGACCTGGAGGGAATGGGCGAGGGGATTTCGGTCAATGTTTCATCTCCTGCTTGGTGCGGCCCCGAAGAAGAATAGTAAGCCGGCATTGGTATCGGGCTACCGGTTTCCGTGTCGGTGTTTAGGGAGAGAGTCGACGTGGTCCTTGTCGATTCATCCGTGACATGAGCTGCGAGTTTTGGGTGTTCAGGATCGGTCAGATCCACCATTGCCAGCTTCTCGTTGGGACTGGTGATGGGGGTTTCATCGTCCGCCCGCTGCCAGGTCCCGAAGCCAAGCTCTTCGTGGGCAAGGCGTTGCAGTTGGAGGGTCTCGTTGATGGTCCATTCAAGACGTTGGTAGGTATGCGTGTTTCGACGTCTTTGGACGAAAGCGACGATTGGTTCGAGTGCGTATGATGTTACAATGATGACGAAACCGATCCCGAGGGTTAGTGAGAGGCCGAAGACGCTGAAAGAGGCGAAGTTCGTACTTCTGACTTTCTATTCCACCAAAGAATCAGTGTGAGTTGATAGGTAGTAAAGACAGGCCGGGTGTGGAATGGCTTTGCGAATGACCCCATATTTTTAAGACACTGGCGCTTTGCTAGAGAAAGCGCACGTACCTGATTTCGACACCGAGCCCATTCTGCATCTGTCTTGGGGCGAATGGAGTGCTCCGCAATGTATTCACTATTCGGTCCCGTGGCCTGTTCGAATATTTGACGTTGGAGGATGGCCAAACTCGTATTGAACCAATACTGTACGTCCTGCTGCCACTGATCTTCGGGCAACTTAGCTGAGTAAGTCCCTTCGATGTTGCGGCGAGATAGGAGCGAGAAAGCTCCAAGATCTTTGATAGTACTTGTAATGTCACCGAGGAGGTATCTGCGGGAGATGTATCCAACGGACGCCCTCTGTTTGTCGGTTTTCCAGATGTCACTGGAAGTCACTGCATGGTCAAGGCCATGATCCAGACCGCTTAGAGGAGTGCAGCCAGACTCCGCAGGTAGGTTTGGGTTGCAAAATTGATGTTGTGAGCTGCATCCAAGCACTGTGATGAATTCGTCTTTCATGTATACAGTGGTATTAAGCACATCACTCTGATTGAAAAGCGTAAGCATCGGCATTGAACGGTGTGCAGAGTACCAAGGGTCGTCCACTGGCTCGATGAAAAATATTCCCGGAGCTCCAAGGAAAAAAAGTTCCGTGATAGCATCTACGGTTTGAAGTTCTGGGATAGGGTTAAAGTTTATGGCAGGGCTGTATATCAGGTTAGCGGGCTCTTATGAAGAATTCACACGGTAATGTTTTCATGCTAATCTCAGGATAAAGCCTTGCTGCACATCTTTTGCTGGACAATGAACGATGCTGTTCGTTATGGGCGATTGTGAATCGGTGTCTTCGCCATAGTAGAAGTTGTGTATCCCTTCACACCCGTCGTTATCAGAGGCTGCGGGCTCCAAGACATGATAGCAATCTGTTTTGATTGGGGCACAATGCGTAATCATCCGGTAAGTGAATCTATCGTGAGGTGAGGCATTGATGCCAAAGTCGTTGTGGCTGCTCATGGGTCCAGTATCAATCCTGAGATTGGAGGTGTTGCTCAAGCAGATCCCACCGTGGAAAGGGCAATCGGCGTTTCGTTCGATGTTTACTGGAAGCGTTGCTCGGACAAAGGATTTGCAGTCTTCAGATGCTCCTTTGTCACGATAACATTATTCAGTAAACGTAGACGCCGCCGTTATCGTGCCGCTGATCCACGGGTTTACCTGTAGGAGGCCAGTGCCAAGATCGGTATCATAGAGGTCCTGCGTGGTGATACATTTGTCTCCGTTCAGGAGTACTTCATTGCCAGTAAGAGTTGATATCCTTGATGAGAAGATACTGGCCACGGCGAATCCTGAGGTTACCAATGCAGTAGCCGCGAGGAGTGGAAGGATACGGGCATAAGCGTGATCTGCCGTCCTCCGCCACGCCAATACCGCTGCTAAGAGCTTATATATGCCGCCGACTCCGCTTGCTGTATTCCGTAGTATAGCTTGCTGTTGATGATAAAGTCCATCGCGTGGCCGTGGTGTTGAGAGGGAAGAGTGAAGTACAAAACAAAAGATCCTCCAACAGCAGGCGCCTGTTGCAGTCACAAAAAGAGCAAGAAAAGCAGTGAGAAGGCCTCCATTTTGGTGGTCAAGGGTAATAGTTGCACCAAGGATGGCCCCACGAGACCAGTTGGTCCAGAACCCCGTGTGAACACCGTCGTCGGCCACAGCTTGTGCTATGGAAGAGCTCATGATAGTAAAATTGAGAAACTGAATTTTCGGGTGGTGGAGGCCTGAGGGCAGAATAGGCCTCTTTATGCTACAGAAATATGCGTGCCGTTTTGTTGGGCCCAGTATGCACTTCAGCAGACCTTCTCGTTCTGGACATTAGTCTGAAGCAATGACTCGGACGTAGGTCTTGCAAATGGTCTCACTGAACAGAATTAGCAATGCTCGAACGAATAAAGAACAATTCTGGATGAGTGTGAAGGTGTCACGACATCGACGCGGTGAAACACGAGATGGCACAAGACTTCGCCACCCGTCTTCACAACCTAACCCATACTCGACATTACCAGCACACATTTCATATTTAAAAAAGAGTACAAATATCTCAAGGTAAGACCCTGGCGCCCAAACTCGAGTGATAGAATGCCATGAACAAAGTAGGGAAATGCTTTTTGCAACAATTAGTCTGATTTGGCTGGGCATAGGTGGTGTTACAGCGGACCTTAGCGAAGAACCATTGTGTCATGTACTGTATAAATAGCCCCTCAGCTTTGCAGAAAAACAAGGACCATTTACCACTAGCCTGCCAATGAAACGCTGTTGCTGCAGGGAACTCGAGTCACAAACCAGGCCGTCCCCAGTCTAAGCCCACTGAATACAAAAATAGAAGGGGAGTTCGCAGCTTCCTGGGCGTTGAAAACTTGAATGGCGAGCAAAAAGAGGGGTAAATATTATGATTGCTGTGGTGCTGCTGAGGCTGACAGGAAACTCTTGGCCTCCTCGGGCTCGATCATTGTTTGGATCTGGTTCTTCTTGAAGCCAAACTTGGCGAGACGCTTGCGAATCTCTCTATCTAGCTCTCCTTTTTTTCTCTGCTCATGCCTTCCACTGTCTCTTCCTTCTGCTTGCCCTCGAACTCTTCCAATCCCTCCTTCTCCCTCTTCTTCTTGTCCTCGTGCTTATATTATCAAACTACTTCTTCTCAAATTCGGTGATAATGTGCTTCCATTAGTCCTCGGCCTCCTTCGCCTCACTCTCTATCTTTAGCCCATACTCTTCGGCCGCTGTCTTTTTAGCAGCCGCCTCCTTAGCTATGCGCTCCTTCTCCGCCTGAACAGCCCTCTTTCTCAGCTCCTCAAGCTCTTCTTCTTCTTTTTGGCGCCTGCGCTTATCTTCCAGCCGCTTGCGCTCGTACTTCTCGAGGATGCGCTCTTCCTCTTCTGGCCGCTTACGCTCGTACTTCTTACGGATGTGCTCCTCCTCACGCTTTAGCCGCTCCTCCTCCTCGTCGCGTTCCTGCTTGTCCTTGAGAATCCCCAGATCCAGCCGCTTCCGGAGCAGTGCCTCTTCGTCCTCTTCGCGCGCCGTTTTTTCCTTGAGCACCTTCAGCTCTAACCGCTTCTGAGCCAGCAATTCCTCCTCCTCACGCACCTGCTCCTCATTTAGCTCCATCGGATCCGCATGGTAGCCCGGTCTGAGCGAGGTTCCTAAATTATCGTGGCTGCGAAGATCGTACTCGGTGAAATCAGGGTAACTACGCTCTATCGATGGAGGTTTGTACGGCGCGTCGTCGTCGAGCGCCCGCGCGCCGTCATCGTCGTCAGGAATAATGCGGCGGCGGCCTTGCGAGCGTTGCAGATGGTCATCGTCCTCGTGAACTCGTTCACCTACTCCAGCATAGCCGAGTTCCTCTGCCGGGATGTCCGGGCTACGGCGGCTATAGTCACCCTGGTCTGCCGGATTCACCGGAGCGGAGCTGGAGGCAGCACGACGCTCGAAATCCTCAAACTTCTTCTTGAGCTTCCTGCCTGCAGAATGGGTCAGTTGGCGAGCTTTCGAGGGTTGCGGACCGCCGACGTACGATAGTTGCGCTGGGCAATGCGGTTCTGCATCCGCCTGCGCTCTGCTAGCTCGGAGATCGTGGGCCGGCCCTCGACGGGGTAATTCTGCTGCGCCTGCGTAGCTTGCTGTTGATGTATACTAGGGAAGAAGCCCACCTCCTGGGGCTGATCGAGATCAACGAAATCTTCGTCCTGGCCCTCGTTCACCACTGAACTGTTGTCATCACTGCTTCCACTCGCTCCCAACTCGACATCTTCATCACTGTCGTGCTCTTCGGAATTCAACGGGGGAAGCGCGAACAATGCTAGCTGCCTTTGATGATCACCAAGGTGGTTTCTCAGCTGAAGCAAAGATGAGCAGTTTTCTCCACAGAGACAGCAATCTGCCAACGTCTCGATACCGGGAGTGCGTTCCGAGCTTTCGACGAAAGCATCCATAGATTCACGAATGTTGTGCTCATTCATGATGTGATCTCTGAAAGCATGTTGAGTGTTGAATCGCCGAAGACAACCTTGTTGGCAGATCCAGTAGCGCCTGTGCATTTCTCGTTCATGTTGAAACCATTCACGGCGACCTTCGAAGAGCTTATGCGCCATAGGGCATCCCGGAAATGTGCACACGTAGGGATGGAGGTCCTTGTATACGTGTCTCCTAAATCATGATTAGAACCATCATTATAGGTCATTCCGGGGCGACAGCCATACTTCCATGATTTCCTCGTCCGTATTGAAACTAACATGAAGCAGAAAGGGCACTCGAAGGGTTCCTCTGGTTTGGCTCGCCTGGGAGGTGGTGGGACTCTTGGGCCCTCAGTAGAATCGCCCGTAGAGGTTGCGAATGAAGTCTGAGATACCACAGTATCAGAATTTTCTTCTGTTTCAAGGTCCACGAGATGTGGCGTGTTCTTGATGGCCTCTGGAAGAGATGAAGCAATCGTACTCTGTGGCTGATATTCGGTTCTCCCGTCGTACTTCGACATAGGCTCGTAGGCAAAATTTCTTGCGTGATTGCTTCTGTACCTGAAGTACTGCCGGCGTCTGGATATTGCTGTCGCAAGCCTTCTCACGATTTCCTCTTCAGCATCTGGAAACCTTTCGCGTACGTGGCGGATGTCCCATTCCTCGAAGTGGGAAATGTCAATATTTGCGGAGTTGAGCAATCGATCATGGGAGGCAGGCATTCGAATGGCCATGGAAAGCCGCATAAGTAAGGTAATCCGAGCATTGATACTGACCATCACTTGACGTAGTTCGGTTTCATTATCCAAAGATCCATCACTACTGCTATCACTCGATTCGCTGTCTGTCGAATCGGAGTCAGAATGTGTGTCCGGCGGCAACTTTTCCCATGCCGTCTTTTCGCCTTTGACGATAGCAGTTCCTCATATCATGTCAGTGGGTCGATATCCAAAATGGTACTACAAGCTCACCGTCTTTTATGAAGTCGATCAAACTTTGAAGCAGTGCTTGAGCCCTCTCACGGATGTGTGAGGCGTCTCTGAGCCGATATTCCAAAGAGCTTCGGCCGGTTTTATGAGCCCTGATGTTGCTTCTCCAGACGCGAAAGCGTCCGATAGTATCAGAAACTTCGGAAGAAGTGATCTCGTGTGACAACTCTGGCTCTTTCTCGATTATCGAAGCCAGCATCCTTTTGAAAGAGCTTAAGCACGTCGAGACGAGACTTGGAATGGCAACAACTTGCACCGTGCCTTTGGGGGTTTGGCTGACTATTCCATCTTCCTCTTGGGCGTCACCACTGCTGGTGATGGCTGTGCCAGGGCCTAGGCTCATACTGAGTTCTGGTGCCTGACTGGCAGGCAAGTGAGGATTCCAAGGTTGCACGGCACAGCTTCGAGGTTGCTTCCACTATACCTCGCCGTGGTTCGGAAGGGAGGTTAGACACTTCGTGGGAATGCAGCTAAACGCGGCATTGCTTTGGAACAGAGTAAACTACAGTTCCCCGCTCAATCCCTCATCAGCAAAAGTACATCTATCTCATTGGTGAAATTATTAATAGCTCACCCCGCTCGCCCAACGTATTGTGTAACCTGGAACCCCACCCTCTGAATCATGACGCGGCAGCGCAACTTCAGCCTTACATCTTCTTCAATTGCCTGCATTCTAGGTTTGCAACAGACATGTCCGGTGTTGAAGCGACAAGTCTCGTCCTTGGCGCATTTCCTCTAATCATCGAAGCGGTCAAAGTGTACTCGAATGGCGCTTCAACTATCAGGCGCTATATAAAATACCAACGTCCTCTGAGTAATCTTTGTGACGAACTCACTGTCGAAAGAACCCTGTTCGAGAACGTCTGTGAGGAGCTGTTGGATGGCCTGATCGAAGATCACAAATGGAAGGCTACTTTGCTAAAAGATCCTGGGGGAGAAGCTTGGAAGGAGAAAGTGCTTGAAGAGAAGCTGAAGGCCCGTCTACATGGCTCGTTATACGAAGTGTACTTGAAGGTCATGAGAGATATGAAGCAAGCTGTTGCGGAGATCCAAGAACTGTTGAAACTTGGGGAAGATAACAAGGTACTAACGGCTATTACTCTCCCAAGTATCCAACGGATTCGCTAAGTATCGCCAGGTTCAAATAAATGCAAACGACCGTTTCGACAAAGCAAAGAAAAAGTTGAAGTTTAGTATCAAACCAAAACACTACGAAGACTCGGTCGCCCAGATCCGTCGGAGCACGAAAAGGCTGAAAGAAGCTACCCGGCTTGGCACAAAGATAGAAGCTCGTACAAATGTACCACGGATATTGCACAATCCGCTAAGAGGGACGGACTTGGACTTCAGCACCATACAAAATGGTGCTTCTCGGGTTTACAACATCATCCGAGGTCAACTCAAATGCAGTTGCAGGTCATCTCATGTTATCAACCTTGAACTAGAACCGCATAAGAAGCTTGCTGCGCGAGTCAATCGTGATACCGGGAGAGAGGTTCAGCCTTCATTCCGAGTATTGTTTTCATACGGCGTCAAGAGCTCTCCTGCGGACACCCAACCATGGAAAATGGAAGCCGTCGAAATCTTCCCTGATGAAGAAGAACCAAACAACTTGTCCTTTCCCGGAAAGAATTCCCCTGAAATTCCTACTTCAGCCACAAAGAAAGTGCAATTCCTTGATGAGACTATTGTGAGCGTCACCAACACGAAGAAAGTAGATTTCGCTTCGGACCTGCTTGGCAGCCTCTGCATTAGCCCGTCAAATATTTGCCTACAGCAATTGTTTCAGGGACCACACGCTGTTCTCCTCACAGAGAAGCTTTTGAGCCCAAAACCAGAAACGTCGCAGTCAACAACCCCCCTTCACTCATCGTCCAGCCCGGATCTCCTCTCTCTACGGGAAGTCCTCCTCTCAGACAGCACCGGTCAATACCGACGCCGCTTTAGCAATCTCGTCAAGCTCCGCCTGTCTGTCACCTTGGCCTGGAGTCTCCTTCAATTACACAAAACCCCATGGTTCTGCAAAACCTGGACCAACATCGACATCAACCTTCTTGACCTTCCTCACTACCCGCGGCTCGACCAGCCATTCATCAGTCGGACAGTCTCTGAGGAAAGCGAGGCGCATCACAGCCAACTAACACACCAGTCCACATCAGCGAGACCGCGCAACGGGGCATTGTTTGCCTTGGGCGTGCTTCTTATTGAACTGTGTCTGGGCGCGCCTTTCGACAAGCTTCGTGAGCCGCAAGAGTTGAAAGTGCTTGGTCTGCCGGATACATGCTCCGACTACGAGGTGGCGGATTGCCTCATAGATGAGGTATACGATAAGTTCGGCGATACTTACGGCGATGCGGTGCTGAAGTGCATCCGGTGCGAATTTGGCTGCAGGCGGAACAGTCTCGATGACGAGCGCTTCAGGAGAGCTTTCTACACTGGAGTGATCGTATTGCTAGAGCAGAACCTGGAAGTGTTCCGTAGCCAGTAAGAGTTTCAATTTCCAGCAACCGTTGATGTAGGAATGCATGGAAGAGTCTAGGCCATGACGAGATGATTGTCTTAATTTTCTTGCAACATGAGTTGATGTAGCTGGCAGTACACTAGCAATCTTTTTGTATCTCTTCATCCAATTCAATGAACCGGCGCATTCACATGTAAGAGGCGGGGTGGTGAGCTAGCAACAAAGAGCGATTGGATATCTTCGTGGACAATACATACAAATATTCATCAAATCAAACCCCCAAAGCTAGTTCAAAACATCATCCATAAACATCATTGACAAAATCTTTAAACCCAGTACATGATCTCACACCCCCAACATCCTACGGCGCCTCATGCACCTGCTGCCCTTCACTGTTCCTATATACCGGCGTCCCATCAATCTGCGGAACGTTCGAATTCCACTGTTGCTGCTGCTGCTGCGGCGGCTGCGGCGGCCCCTGCTGTATCGGCGACGGAGTATATTGTGGACTGGGGCTGATCGGCGGCGAGTACGGACCGGGCGTGCCGGGCACACTCGACACGGTATGCTGCGAGTACTCATACTTTACATCCGACTCCGCGGCTCCATGCTGATGCTGCGGGGGAGGGGATTGCGGCGGTGGCGGCGGCGCGTAGAAGCTCGCCGTGTTGCCTGGCTGCTGCATCTGCGGCACGCCGGCCATGGGCGGCGGAGGCTTATAGTCGTTGGGGCCCGGGACGGGACCGCCGTACGGCATCGGAGGCGGGGGCTGATGCTGGTGTTGCTGCTGCGGAGGAGGAGGGGGAGGAGGACCGGGTTGCGCGGGGTGGAAGGCCGCAGCTGCGGCGGCGTTGCGCCTGTCGCGGCGGCGCTTGAAGAGACAGAAGAGGAGGACGCCGCCCGCCACGGCGAGGACTGCGAGGCCACCGACGACGCCGCCGATGATGGCGCCGAGGGGGGTCTTCTTCGAGTCGTCATCGCTGCTGGATGAGGACGAGGATGAAGAGGAGGAGGAGCTGCCGCTGGCAAGGCCGGCGGAGAGGATTTGGGTTTGGGTGACGAAGACGGTGGGGAAGCTGAACTCGGGGATGGAGGTGAGGTAGGAGCTGATGTCGAAAGTGGACTGGCCGCTGTATGTGCGCTCGACGGTGCCAGTGAAGGCGGAGACGTCGCAGCCGTAGCCGGCGAGAGTGGTTGTGATGAAATCGTACTTCCAGTCCACGCAGTAAGGTGCTGAGGCATCGGTACTGTAATTAATCGTCAAGTCAGAACACATAACCAAACAATGGTTCGATAGCATTGGGGATCTATACCATTTAGCCACTGCTTGATCTAGCAAGCAGTCTGCTGCTGTACAGCTGGCAAGCTGTGAGCTCGGAACACAGGACGTGTAGAGGTAGCAAGAATCAAGACTGAGTGGATCGCAGCATCCTGCAACGTCCAAAAGGGTGTTTGTGGCGCAAATGTACGTTCCAGCGCAGGTCAAGGCACTCTCTATGAGGCAGCTCAGTAAGGAAATCTCGTTTCCGTCCACAAGAGAGGCTTACCATAGTCTCCATTCACAAAACCACAGGTTTGGTCGTAGTCGATATAGCGCTTCAGCAGCTCAATAGTTGGGTCCTCAATGCGGGCTGCCCCAGTGATTTTCGGACTGAAGCCGTCGATTGGGTCAGGAGACACTGGTACAGTGGGAGCGGGGATAGCATGGCGACTGGCCAGCACTACTGCTGGTGCCAGAATTGCGCCAATATATCGAGAAGCGGGCATGTTGTTATGTAGAAAGTCGATATATCCGCAAGGTCTGCGGCAAAAGTGAAATGATTTCCAACCAGCAGGAAGCTCGCTGGCTCGAAGAGAGAAGACCTGAGGGTAAATGAGCACCGGAGAAAAGCGGTATGCCCTTGCCCACGTTAAAGTAACTTGCGCTGCCTGGCGCGAGGCTGAATCCCCACGCTCGGCATCCACGATCCTTCGCTTGTCCAGGCTGGCTGGTGTCGGGCTGAAGGCGCCGAAGGCGCTATTCTACCCTCTGCCGCTCCACCAGTCATCCAAACCCGCCAGGTTGGCCGCAGCTCGTAATAATCTCATGAGACCAGCCCATATACAGTATGGTGGTACAACGGTAAGCTCATGCCGCCAGTGGCTGCGCCATATTAATGCGGAACAAACGTCGGGTGTCGATCGGCCTTGCACACCGGATGGCCGTGTTGAGATGGCGTGGGCGAGTCAGGGCCATCTCCGCACTTGTTTTACGCGATGTTTTGCGTGCAGCATGTCAGGGTCCTGAGTGGTATGGGGTTGAGAAGCCAAGCTGTGGCGCCTGCGCTGGCGGCCCGCTAGGGCGTGTTTGTAAAGTGCCAAGGAGCGGCTGAAATGCATGAGCGAACTCGATAGGGGAGTCACAAACGAAGGAGTTTAAAATTGGAAATGGTTCAATCCATTTGCGTGGTCTGCCCGATGGTTTGGGTGCTTATGATGCTTGAATTGTAGTCGCGTGCTACAAGCGGCAGCTGCCGAGAGCCCAGTCCCTCAAGGAATGTCAGGTCCTGGTCTGAAAACACACAGAGGGCTGACCATGCTGGATGGATTGCGTTCTTTGTCTTCTGTTTAGTCGTCTTCAGCTACGCTCGACCGTCGAGAAGACTGCTCCAGCCGCGCGACATCAAGGCTCGCTTTCGGCTCGACACATTGCTCACCGGTGCCTGGACAGACAGGGCGCAGACCCTTCGGCGAGTTCTGCCTTGCCAGCGCAGCCACGGTGCTAGCGTCCTGTAACCGCCAGACCCAGGATCCGCCGCTTTACCACTTCGGAGACAGTCTTGACCGTTAATCCGGAGCAACCCATGGAGCGATATTTGTATGTTAACCGCAACTGATTGCTGTTGACTGGTGGACACTGATTTGCGTTGCAACTGTCTCTGGCTCATTGTGCTTCGAAACATATAATCTGAGCGAGCGCATAGCATGCAAGCCGTCTGCTTACGATCTACCGCCGAGTCAGCACCTTCTCCGGGCAAGACGATCCGCCTTGGGGGCCAGTAGATCATTCCTTTACGGGTAGTCCACCACTCAAACCGGAGCCTCAACAGCCCACCAGGCTGCCATGCTCCGGCACTTCCCTTGAAAAAAGCCGGCCAGTGATCCGCCTACCCGAGCTTGTAGCGAGGCTGTACGTTTCGTTGGCGGTGAAGACAGGCGCAGCGGCATTTGAAAGGAGACTTTCCAGGGAAGCTACCAATAGCCGATGCCTTTCCGTCCAAATTGCCGAGAATGTTTATCTCACAACTTGATGACAAACACAAAGGCCAATTCTTTTGGGAGGAGTTCAAAGGCGATGCGACTTTCCATCTCATGTCCGTAGTCTTGGCACCAGGAAACCGAGGTTCTAATCTTATCACACCACCAGTAGTAGCTTCTTGTTGCAGTCGACAATATGATTCTTTGGTATATCCATCCGAACGCCAGGTCCAATTGTTGAACATCGAAAGCCCCGCCCCTTGTGCTTCTTCGTAGTCGTTTCGTTTCCTCCCCACAAGACGCGTTATACACAATGTTGTACAAAGAAAGCCCATTGGAGAGCTGGAGGATCGATTTCTTTACTTCCGCTTGTGCGGACCGACGATCTTGGGGTACATACGCGACAAATGGTAGTTGATGGCGTTCTTCTTCTGAGCCTTGGGTCTCTGAATTCCCACACATTAGCATGCCGCATGCGGAACACTGGGATATTGTGACTAACCGGCGCATCCATGCAGGCCCTCAGTTGCTGCTCAACGGCCGCACAGCCGCCAACATTGTATCCTTGAGATGCCCAGCAACCTGAAATCCGCCAGTCAGCAACAATGTTCATGTTCAATCTGTCTTCATCGTGCGCTGCCTCCTCGGAGAGCTCGTGCGCAATGCCATGCTCTGCCGTCTTCTACAATCCTCCTCTTTATTCCTCAATGCACCACCAAAACTGCAGTTCTCCTCCTCAATAACCATATCGAGCTGCACGTACCCAGAACGGACGTCATTATACCAACGCACGGGTTGCCCTCGGTCTTGTTCGGGTTTCTGACACGCAGCTTGGGAAGAGGCGGCAGCGGGCGGGCGGCGACCTTGGTGGCACCGGGGGGCTTTGGCGGCGGCATTGCGACGGGCGACACGGAACACGGCGTGAGAACAAGCAGCGAGCGGAGGTGGTGCGGGATGGCGATGGATTGCGACTGGACATCCAAAATCTCAGGCGGGCGGCGAAATGCTCGGCGCGGCGGGAACGGACGAATCACGTGTCGACGCATCACACCCCAGCATCACTGTTTACACCAAAACACACACCGAGATAAGCACGCGCAAAAGCACGACGACGGCCGACTCCGGACTGCGCGACAAATAATCTCCAATCGTGGAGATACCTGCATTGCGCCGCGCTCCGTTTCAGGCAGTCAGCCTTCGAAATGGCCGACGCACCTTCATCTACACCGCCGCCGCAGCAGGAGCAACCCACGCGACCAGCTTCCTTCGAGGCAAAATGGAAGGAGTCCGACGCGTCCTTCCTCCAGCCCAGCAAAATCCCGGTCCCAAAGGCCCACCGCGCATGGGAGCGCCAACCGCACTCGCCGTTTACCCGCAATGGAAAGTTCCGCAAGGTATGGAAGCGCTACGAGCTGCGCTCCCAGCCCGACACGGAGACCAACACCGCGAATACCGAGAAGAATAGCCCAGCGAAGTCGCCGAGGAAGGTAGTCAAGAAGCGCGCTTTGGAAGCCCCTGCGGATCCCACCGCGACGCCTGGGAGGAAGGCGCCGAAGAACAAGGCTTTCGCCCCGACGCGGTGGGAGACGCCGAGGAAGAATAGCGGCAGGATTGCTTCCCGTATGTTGCCAAACCTCCATTTTGCTATGATGACAGCGAGACTGATCTTCTAGTAGGCAAAATTGCCCAGCCGATCTTTGCGAGAGAGCCAAGCCCAGAGCCAGTCCACGCCGACCACTTGAAAGCCATGACCATGGTCAATAATGAAGATGGCAACACTGAGGAAGATGCAAAAGAATATATTCAGGCAGACCAACCCCCGGGAAACAAGCAAGATAAGCCAATAGTCACAGGCACAGAAGACACGGAAGCAGTTGCGGAGTTTACTACGGACACGAAGCCAGAGGATGAGACAACAGCTGAAGGGAGCCAATCTGGGGACCGTCACGGGAGTATCATTCAGTCGGAAGACGAATCTCAAAGTCTTGATGTGGAGCGAGAAGCCGATCTACGAACACCCGAGACAACTGGAGAACCCAAGGATGCTGATCTGGATGTCGAAACGCATGGATTGTCGTCTGGTTACGGCGCGGATGCAGGAGCCGGAGCTGAACTGCGGATTGAGGATGTTGTTATTGATGGGGGATCTGTCTCTGACAAGGCGAGTCTGGATGCTGTTGGATCGGCGAACGAGGCAAACGAGCAGGACGAAGAACGACCAGGCCAAGAGCAACCTGAGACGGATATCACTGCGAACCTCGAAGCCTCTGTTCTGGTTGAAAGGGAATTAGGTCAAAAAAAGGAGAACGAAGGTGTGCAAGAGGGTTGCGAGAAGGTAGAGGTTGATGCAGATGCCGTCATGGGAGACCAGACACCATCCAGTCTCCTGGAGCCTCGACCTTCCGAATCATCCGTCCAGGATAATGCGGCTGATGAGAAGGTTGAGGCACCAGCTGCTCAACCAGAATCTTCTGACGTCACTTCAACGGTAATTGAAGCGGATGCGATGACATGCAACTTGGAGCAAGTGGGCGCCGAGATGCCCTCTACTGATGAATCTTTACCGAAGGAGCTTGTAGCCATGCAAGATGAAGATGACCTGAGTCTGGAACAACGACTTCAAGCAGATGCAGCAGAAACTCTTGGCTCCGGCTCTACCCTGGAGGAGGACGAAGTGCTTTTGAGTGAGGAAGAGACGGATGAGTCAGAGCATCTGGAAGAGGATGATTTAACACTTACGGAGATACCTGAGAGCGAGGAAGATGATCCCGCCAACATTCCATCACCTTCTCTTTCAGCGGCAGAATCCCCGAGGTTTTCTTCCATTGCAGATACCTTAACTCTCAACCTACCCGACAGGACACCTCCAAAGAACAGAACCACCAAAGAGATCGCAGAAGAGCCTGCTTCACCGCTCGACGAGGATACCGCTTTCTTGAGGGATTTTCTGTCGCGTGCTGACGCATCAAAGGCAAGCCGTGAGGCCGCTGCCACTCAGCTTGAGACCATGACCAAACGTCGGGACTCGGATATAGTCCGCCAGGTACTCGGCTCACCTCGTGTTGCACTTGAAGTCAAGGACCCAAATTCACCGAATGCCGCCAACACCGACTCACCCTCACGAAAGAACAAAGCAAAGGGCACCGAAGATCCATCAAGCACCACCGCTCCGGATGACAAGAAACTGGACCTTGGCGACATAACTTCCGATCTCACTCTCGAAAAGCCCGCGGAGGAACCACCAGCACCCGCACCAGCTGCAACAACGCCCAAATCGCAAAGCCGGCGCAGCTCTCGCGCACGGCAGACGCGCCTTCCGACCACACCCACCGCCTCCAACGCCAGAGGCCCCAACCGCATCCAATTCCGCGGCGCCAACGGGGCGGACCCGGTCGTCCTCAGGAAGTCGGAGGCGCAGGAACTAGCCGCGGCCACGCGCACCAACACGCGGAAGAACAAGGGCGGCGCCGTCGCCGCACCGATCCGCCTCACCAAGCTCAAGGCGGAAGCCCTCAAGACCGGCACCGCTCCCGACGCACCGGCGCCCGACGGCTCTCTGCCCGTGTTCGCGGACCCGCAGATCGACGTCTGGCTGGCCAGCAGGCTTCGTTGGGACAGCCAGCTTGTGTACTTCCAGGAGCAGGGCAACCTTGCGGGTTTGACGAGCTTGTCCGATGATGAGTCAACCGAGCCGGCAGAGACGGAGTCTGCTTCTCAAGGCAAGAAAGAAGAGGGCAGCAAGAAGAGGAAGGGTAAGAGTGAGGATGCGGCTTCTACGCCTGCGCGGACGAAGCGGGCCAAGGGCCTGGGCGCTGGTAACGGCACCCCCGCGAAGGGTTTGTTGATGCCCGCGAGCCTGCTGCCTACGGACGTACAGGCGGAGCTGGAGAAGAACGAGTCTACAGAGGAGGAGATCAAGGAGAAGAAGAGCGGTAGTGGGAAGAAGGCATCCGTCCTGCCGCCATCTATTTCGTCCAGCAAGAGTACCGGCGTTGGTTCGAAGGGAGGGAAGAAATCGGACAAGGCAGCAGTCAAGGAAGCACAGCCTGTCGAGGCTGTTACCGAGACTGTCGCCTCATCACAGGAAAGCAACAAGAGCGACTCCGCGCCGCCTGCTCCCACCACCGCCCCACCACCGCCGCTGCCGCCTTCCCAGCTTCCCACCCCAGCCGCCTCCCGCCGCAGCCGCCTCCAGACGCCGCGAAAGGTCAAGCTGCCCGTGCCCGTGTCTTCTTCCATTTCTGCGTCGACAGGCATCCCGGCTGTTTCTTCTCCTGCCATCAAGGCGGCGCCGGCGGCGCAGGCGCAGAACAACAACAACCCTCCTAGCAGACTCATCGGCTCCACGCCGCGGAAGATGGCGGGCATCACGAAGCCTGCCGTATCTACAGGCGACGGGGGTAGTGGTGGTGGTGGTACTCAGGGGCTCAGCGCTGGCCGCAGGAGGGGTGCTGCAGCGGCGGCGAGGAGAGGCTGAGAACTCTCTTATTCCTACGGATTTTGATTCTATTTTGTTTCTTGTTGGACTGGACGGAGATACCCGAGGGCGTCAATGGCGTAGCGGTTGGGTTCTTTCTTGTTCCCTATTGGGTAAGAGCTCGTAAGGTGTATAGATAAGGCATTGGGAAATGCTTGGATTTGTTATTATGCGACCATGAAGCAGGTAAAAGGCCTGGTTAATGCAACTTTGGGTAGAATGGCATTCAAACATTCTACACACTTTCATAAACGACTAAAACGGTCTTGGAAATCTTTGCTTTGAGCTTGATTTGTATTCGAAATCGCGTCTCCCCACGTCCAGCTGTTCGAGACGATTATAACTAAAAACAAGGATATACTTCATGTAGCGGAGGCCGCCAAACAAGGAATAAAACAAGCAAGCTGATGTACCACGCGCCAGGGCGGGAATGTAGCAATAACGAACAAAAGGCCGTAAAGAAACAAGAGCAGTTGGTTGGGTGCCGCTGAGACCCTCGGACCAAAAAATTGCTCTGAAAAAAAAAGGGGGATATATAGACCAAGAAAAATATCAAAAAGGCCCAAGGCCAATCGGAAAGATTCTATACACAATCTCGGTTCTCACACACGCGTTTTTCGTTGAAAAAGGAGAAGAGCGTAGAAGAAGCAGATTCATCATATCATCAACAATGAAAAAGAAAGAGGAGAGAGGCGGATGGGGGTGGACCAGCGGTCTCCTTTAATACGCATCGCCCCAGTCGACATCGCCGACCTCGTCTCCCTCCTGCAGCGGACTGCGCAGGCCCATCTTGCGCTCGTCGCGCTGGCGCTGCTTGCGCTCCTTGCGCGTGACCAGGTGCGGCGTGACGGGCGTGATGGGCGTGAAGGGCATGTACGGGCTGTAGGGCGTCATGGGCACGCCGGTGGCGGGCGTGCGCAAGCCGCGGTCTCTCGGCGACAGGAGGTCGCGGCCGCGGTTGCGCGCCTCGATAACGGTCGTCTTGGTCGAGGGCGACTGCGCCGAGTCGGGCGCCATACTGCGCAGCGGCAGCTCCGACGTCGACGACGTGGCGGACCGCGCCGAGGCGCCGTGGGGCCCGCGCGGGGGCGGGGGCAGGTCCTGCGTGCGGATGGCCGGGGGCGGGCCGGAGGGCGCGTCGCCGGCGCGCATGGCGATGTCGATGGTGTTGCTGCCGTTGCTGGGGCGCGGCGTGTGCGAGCTGTGCATCGAGTGGGCGTCCAGCGTCCGTCCGCTCTCGCTGCGCTGGGGGTGGGCGCGCGGGAGCGGGTGCGGGCGGCCCAGATCCTCGTAGTGGAAGGGGCCGAAGGACTCAGCGGTGTTGGGGGTGGTTGGGGTGGGTGCGGTGGTGGCCGAAGGTGGGGATGGCGGCGGACCAGGGTTGTAGAAACGTGGAGACAGCGGGGTGCGGGCTTCTTCGTCGTCACGCTGACCCGGATACTTCGTGATCGGGCCGCTAATGCGAAGGTTACGGATGCTGCGGCGAGACTTGCTACCAGTGGAGCCAATTGATGCAGTTCGGTCCTTCTTTGAGAGGATTCCACGTGGCGACGATGGCGGAGGGCTGGCGTAATTCTGGCGGCGAGCAGCGGCCATTGGGCTCTCCGGAGGGTAGATGGCGCGGACTGGGCTGCGAGGGCTGGCGGGCGAGATGGGACTCGCAGGATTTTGACTGCTGGGGACTCGGAGAGAGGCAGCAGTGTTGATCATGGGCGGGCGGCCCTTCGGTTGCACGGGATAGTGGCGCTCCTCTTCCTCCTCCTCAGGCGATTCTTGGATCTCCTCGGCGGACGAGTTAGCGACCTTCTTTTTCCTCTCCTCGTCGTGTTCCATGACGGCAGCGTATAATCTCTCCATCTCTTTCTGTCTCTCCTCCTGTTGGTTCTTTAGGAAGTTCTGGTCGAAGGACGACATGCTCTGGCAGCTGGGGCTGATGGGGCTCGTAGGCACACTCTGCTGCTGGCGCTCGGCAATGCTCGTCTGGCTCTTCTTGAAGGCATGCTTGAGCTTGCTGGGGCTGAGGGGCGAGCGCCAGCGCGAAGAGGGCGAGACGGGAGTCATCTCGAAGCCATTGGTGCCGTTCGCCTTGACGACGTCGACGCGCTGGTCGGTAACAGCGCGACGCATCTTGCGTCCGTAGGTAAGGAGGGCAATGCCGACGACGAGAACAGAGAAGATGTAGGCGCCAATAATACCGCAGATCTGGGCGGGCAGATAGGCTTTGTCGCGGAGAGCGTGTTCAGCGACAGGGGCGGGATTTTCGTCGAAGTCGACGTCAAAGAGTCCAGGAGTGGCAAAGACGTGCTGGGCGAAAAAGGCTGCTCCGACGGCGGCTAGGGCTCGTGGAGCTCGCATGGTCTTGTAGCTACCAGGCACCTAGGGGATCAGAAGCTAGGAAAAGGGTCGCGACGCAGATGCGACAATATGAAGGTGACTCGGGACATTCGGGGTAATGCAGCGATCCACATGGTGGGCTGCACGACAGCGATGAGCGTATATATTGGGCTGGGCCTGAGTGGCGGTGGTGGTGAAAGCTCGACCAGTCAGGCCTGCGAACGCCTGTGCGGCACGCTGATTGGCCGCAAACTGCGGGCTGTAAGCGCCCGCCCATGTTTTTCACATCCGCCGGCTGTGATGTTATCGCGCCACGCTGCCAACACCGGCTGTGATGATGTGTTCGCACATGCATGCGCATGCTGTGAAGAGGTATGCCGTGGCCGCTTTCCCCGCCGTCAGCACGGCAGAGCGTGCGTCGTTCCGCAGCGCGCGATGAGACTTCGAGGTGCTTGTCCGCGAGGCCGCTGTCGAGGCCCGGCCGACTAGCCCCCAACAGGCAGCGTGATTGCCGTCTGCTAAGCGCCCGCCGCTCGAGCCTCGGCCCAATCAACAGCCTGCGCCCTTGCATCGCGCGGCCGCTTCACCGGCCTTGCACGCCTCGACGAGCTTAATCCGCACGCCCAGCCAGCCAGACGCCTGCAAGTATTTGAAAGTCACGAGCCTCTGTCGGTGACCGCTCCACCTCGCGCCCGATCCACTATCACATCGCTTGGATTCCTCTCCTTTAATGCTACTACCTCGTCATAGCATCACAGCCCGACGCCAATCGGCTTTCCACAGCCTTGCTCACACCATTGACAATCACCTTCTGTCTGTGCCGATCTGCTTACCGCCTCATCTTGTGCTTGATCTCGCTTGTACGCCTCTCTCTATTGGCCTCGATGCTTTGCGAACGCCTCCTTGACAGTGCCGCCGGCCAAAACGTCGGCCATGCATTTCTCATCCGCATCCACCAGCTTCGGAATGAGCTCTAGCACCGCATCTACCTTATCCTTGGGGATCACCACGGCACTGTTCTCTGCCGGGTCCAGCATAACGACGTCTCCCTATATGGTATCAGCATCCGCGAGCTGGACTGACGTTGCGAGCGCGAGTCAGGGTTGTTTGGAAGGATTTGGGGCCACTGGTCTGATCATCCTTTTCGCCGACGAATGATATTTTGGGCAACAAACTGTAGACGTCGTCGGTGGAGCACTCAAAATGCAGGGACTTACCGACACGACCGTCACCTCACCGATCTCGACCGGATATCCAACGGCGTAGGCCTTGGTTTGAGCTCCTGCACCCACGCTGCTTGTACCCTTGCTCCACACGGGAATCTTGAGGCCGTTCAGCGTATCCAAATCCCGTACTCGTCCCGAAACCAGTATGCCTTTCGCTCCCAGCTGTTCCATGCGCGCGCCGTTTATGCCTCCCACCACTGCGCAAGCCTGCCCTTCTGGCTGGGACAAGACGACAATTGTTTCAGGGTTGACAAGGTCGGCGTAGGGCGTACCCGGAGCGATCTTGCTTGCGTTCTTATCGGCAGGTTCTTTCAGCTCAGGCTTGTCGCCAATAGGGTTGGGGAATGAGCTGGTCGTTTTGGGAGAGAAATGGACTGTGCTGGCCGGAGCGACTACACGGGTGGTTCCGGTCTTGAGCGGACCTGTCCGGGTTCAACGTCAGCGACTTGGCTTTTGTCGCTTAATTGAAAGCTGCAGCAAGTGAATGACGCCAGGCGCTGAGAAGCCCTAGGAACGAGGAGGCTAACGAAAAGGCTGCATCTACCTATGTCTGGAATAAAGCCAGCACCGGGAACATCGAGCTTGAGAAGCGCGTCCGAGACCTATGTTGCATTAATTAGCAGCTAGGTCTTCGTTCGCGCGGTTCCCGGGGCTCTCAGAACAGCTCATCGCAAGCTATAGCCAATTCAGGATGCGAAAAGGCAGCAGCTAACATACGTCGCAGGCAGTGTATTTCGCAAGCAGATCAAGCTGAGCAGAGGACATGGTGAAAGGATTGAGGCGTCGCAACGTAGCAAACATGGCAACAAGAAGGTGTTGGACGAAGGGGTTGCGGAGTTGGAGGGGCAGCTCCAGTCAGGGACTTGAGCTTAGTGTTGCGGATGCATCCGATGACGCATGCGGGGAAAGTCGGCGCCAACGCTGGGCAACTTTGCCGCGGTCCCTCCGTCCGGCCTCCCTACGACCCTTCTCTTCCCCCAACGCCCTCGACCGTACTACAATGGCTTTCAGACTCCGCTTCCGCGAGAAATACTCAATCCATTCAATCTCAACCTTAAAGTGGTGACCTACTCATCGCATCTCGCCAACTTGTCCCAAAATCGAATCCTGCTGATGGATGCCACTTTTTGGATTCAACGAAAGATTATTTCAAACGACCTTCATTCCCAAAATTACCGTCACCGCATTCGCCGCTCACTTGCATGGCCTATATCAATTCCGCCAATATCCTTGGTCTAAATGAGCCAGCTAGCTACAGCCTGCACCTTACTGAACATCCATTGCCTGCACTTGCACCGCTACAACCAGTGATGCAAGCCAGATGAAGATGAGTATCTCTCCCGCTGAGCGCAATACTCCGGCTTCTGTACTTAATTGGATCCGGGCTGTGGTCTGCGCATGAGGGATGTATCCCCGACTGAGTTGCTTTTTGCCCGTTCTCAATGCTCCCTCGACTATTTTGAGCCTTTCGCTAGGACATTCAGTGTCTTATGGCCACAAAGCCATTATACCATTAATTCTCGATTGGAGAACAAGAGAAACGGTGGAGATATCCGTTGAAGCCAAGGCATAGTTTTTTGATGCCTTTGAATTTCCTTAGAGTCCTCTTGTTTCTCCCGCCGCTCTCTTATATGAAACATTCAGTGAATGAGAAACGATACATGGCATTAACTAAATTTCCTAGCAGCCGACGTATTCCAACTCCAGTAGTAAATGCGAAAAAGAAGTCCACAAATGCTCGGATGCCCACACGGTTGGCATGCCCACATCCCGCTACTTTTCGGGCTCTCGGCATAATGTTGCAGGCAAAGCTAAGGCAGGGGTAAGTACAATAGTTCATTTTGTTAGTGATTCCATCACTAATCAGGCGATGAACTGTCGCTCATGCACTCCGCAAAATCGCTAAATGTGGAGTGTATTCGCAGCGTTTTAAACAGCTCATGACCACGCATGCATTCAACGTCCAACGCCACAGGTTAATACAACTTCGAAGCTTTACACCTCTCCAGTCGTTCTAGTTTATACACAAACTCCATTACAAGATCTCCTCAGTACGGTCCACGTGTGTCACCGGCATCGGCAGGTTGATAAAAGACAATTATGACGCGTCCGGAACTACTGAGACGAGTCAGCAACTCGGTTGATATCTCACCGAGATCGATTAGTACAACGGGCACACTACCCATAAATGGTGAAAGAGTGACGCTGCGGAGCTAATCAGCTTCCGAGGAGCGGTATGATGAGCTGCCACCCTGCCCGAGCTCCGCTGTCCATGTAGCACACCATCAACTCGCGGCTATTCCAAACGGATAATACATGCGTAGTTGCAGCCTCAGAGATTCTAGTGTAAGTAGCAAAAACGAACACGAGTACGTATTCCCCGCACTCCACAAAAGCCGCTTCCCCACAACTCGTACATCTACCGTCGGCTATGGCTCGCTCCTTCGCCGAACCCCTGCCGACTCCATGCGGAATGACCGCAGAGCGGATTTTCCATAGAACTATTAAAACCTGTCACACATCCAGAGCTTGGGCTACTATGCTGCTACCAAAGACTTGAGCTTCCTCCTGTCGCTCTTTGCTCGCGCATTATCCCTTTGTTTTCCAGCCAGGGGATTTGTCTGTCTAAGATGGCACCGGCAATCTCGACTTCAGCATGCATCTTGCTGGCAGCACTTGTCCCTGCAGTATCGGCGGCTCCAGCAAATTCCTCTACGTAAGTGTTAACTTTCAGATTCAGTCTACAATCAGATGCAGCCATGTATATCTCTCCAAGATAAAAAAAAAAGAGAAAGGAACAAACGAAATTGCCCTGCGCATCAGTTTGGTTCGGGGGTATGTGCGGTTGAAAAAGACATTGCTTCGGGAATTCCGAGTTGGGTCTCTCGGCGCGCAACAAAAAGCCGAATCGAGAAGCAATGAAGCGACCTTCCTTGCCATGACTGCGCAATTTCTATACTATTCTAACTTTTTCCAGCACGTCAGATGTCTATCCAGTGGCATACAACTTCGCCAATACGTCGACTACGTTCAATTTCTCCTCGTCAACGTGTGTGACTCTTACAGCGGCGAATCCAGTTGTCACGTTAGACTACGTTTGGGAAATTGGAGGGTTCCCATTCATTGAAGTCACCGATGTCCCCGCATCTGGCGTTCAGGTCGAAAGCAGATACTCGGAGGCAAAGACCAGTCTTGACCTCCCGCACGCCGATGGGCCATGGACTTTCTCGAATGGGTTGAGCAATTCCTTTCGCGTGGAGACGTTCAATGTTTCTTCGCCCGGGAGGCTTCAGTCGTTCTTCATCCAAGGCGGGCAAAGATGGCAGGCGATCAAGCTGCTGAGTGCAGGAAGCTTTTCGTTCTGTGGCGCAGGAATGGCTTCAGGGAATGACATCAGGAGTATCGAAGAGCTGCCGGGGAATTTCCACAGCTCAAACGATCTGTACAACAAGATCTGGGCGCTTGGTGTGAGGTCCGCCCAGCAGTCGTGCATCGAAAGCGGTAGTGCTCCTTCGACATGGGAGATCACTGACGATGGAGCCTTTATCCGCGGCCAAGTTCCTGCACAATCGTCCCTCGGAACGGGTTACGGTAACTACACGTTGACTTTCTCGACGAAGATCGTCCGCGGCGGTACCGGCTGGCGAACTGTGGCAGCTCTTCAGGGCTATGGACAGTACTTCGTCTTGACGAGCGAGTATCCGGAAGGCACTTACCTGAATACAAACCGGACCCTTTTGCCTCCAAACACTCTGATCACAAATTATGGATGGAGCATTGTCAATCAGACTACCCTGGAAACTGGACCAACGATCTACTTCCCGTTGCCTTTTGACGTCAAGGAAGGGGAATGGTACAATATCTCGACAACTATCAACGCCACCGGATACGCGGTTTCTGTAGACGGTAGCGATCCAATTTTCGTATCCAACGAGTATACCCCCAGTGGCACCCAGTCAACTTTCATTTCCGGCGACAGGACGGCAGGTACATGGGGGTTTGGTCCATTCCAAGACCAAGAGGCTTACTTCACCAACGTGGTTGTCGAGGCCGAAAATGGCACAGTCCTCTACGAGAATGACTTGAAGGGCGACATGGTTCTAGAAGAGTACGGAGTCGCCGCCAACACGCACAACGTCTGCCTCGACGGAGCGAAGAGAGACCGGCTGGTCTGGATGGGCGACTACGCCCACACGCAGCGCATCATCGGCGCCAGCACGAACAGCTCCGAGTTCTCGACTGGCACGCTCGCGTACGCCCTAGAGTGGCAAGCGTCGTCCAACGACTCGAAGTACCCGGGCTTCTCGGGCATGTCGGCCTCGATGGGCGCCTCTCCCGCCTTCGGCACCGCCCGCGCCGGCTACGCCCTGATCGACTACCAGTTCGGCTATCTGATCGCCTTCGCCGACTACTTCCACGCCACGGGCGACCTTCCTTTCCTAACGGCGCACTTCCCCCGCCTCAAAACCATCGTTGCCTCCCTCATCGCCAACCTCGTCGACCCGTCCACCCACCTCGTCTCCACCGGCTCCATCCCTGGCATATTCTTCCTCGGCCCCGCCGCCAACGGCACCGCGCCCGCCGCCATGTTCGCCTACGCCCTTGACCTGTCCGCCGGCCTCGCCACGGCCGCCGGCGACGACGACTCCGCAGCGGCTTGGTCCGCTGTCGCAAGCGACGTCGCGGCTGCCGTCAACGCGCTGCTCTGGAACGAGGAGACGGGCACGTATGCGGTCTCCCTCGACGGCGGCTTCGCCAACTCGAGCATCACCTCCACCGCCTTCCCCATCCTCGCGGGTATCGCGCCGCTGGACCGCGCTGAGGCGGCTATAGCGGCGCTCGAAGGGCTGCGGTTGGGGATAGGGTACAAGGCGTACTTGTCGGATGACGCGCCGGCGAATGAGACGGCGCTGTCGCCGAATTTGAGCGGGTTCTTGCTCGAGGCGCTGTTGAAGGCGAGTAATGAGGCGGCGTTCGCTGCGGCTGGGACTAATACGACCAGCTCTGGTGCGATCAAGACTGCTATATCGGTGTTGCTGGATCAGCTCTGGCCGGCTATGGTTACGGATGATGACTATGCTACCGGGTCTAGTTGGGAGTACGTCTATGGCGATGGCCGCCCTGGGCTCGACACGTACACTAGCCATGCTCACCCCTGGGGCGGCGCCCCGACGTACGTGCTGTCCGAATATGTGCTTGGCGTGCGTGCGGCGACGGCGGGATTCAAGACGTGGGTGTTTGAGCCGAGTGTGGCTGTGTCGCGGGATGTTGATGTCGAATGGGTGACGGGGAGGGTGCCGGTGCCGGGAGGCAAGGTGGAGGCGGGGTGGTGGAGGTTGGAGGACGGGGGTGTGAGGGTGAAGGTTTGTGGGGTGGACGGGACAACGGGGACGGTGAGGGTGCCGGGGAAGAGGGAGGTGGAAGTGATTGGTGGAGATTGTGTGGATGAAGTGTTGTAAGTGGGAGCATGTCTGTAGAGCAATGATAATAGAAGTTGATTCTGCCGTGAGTCTGAAATGCAACATTTGCCCCCTTCCCGGATATTTTGTACTGTACCGTCGCTGCTTAACGTCTTGGTAAGTTATAAGTAATCACCCATGGGTACTTGAAGCTAAGATCCGGACGCAAATGTCTAATTTTTTTTTGTAACATTCTCGTCCGGATCTTAGCTTCATGTCCGCACCGAAGTCAATTTTGTATTGATGGCAATAATAAGCCATGAATCTGTATATTTCGCTTGTGCTTTTGGTTCCAGTGTTATTTCCCACACTGATAGTGTCTCTGCACAGCTTCTTGAACTGCATCGAGCAACGGCATTTTGTAGAGGCCAAGAACGAATAAAAATATATAAGCCAATATGTCCGGACTTGAAGCTATGATCCGGACGCATTTGTACAATTAAAAAAGCGACAAATTCGTCCGGATCATAGCTTCAGGTCCGGATGGTTGGGAATAAAACCGTGCTTCCGCTGTTCTGCGGAAGCAAGATTGGTCTGCGGAGCACTTCTCGAGCACGGCATAAGGCCTTGTTGTGTCTGTTATCTGGTCATTTATTGGTCCTATGTACGCCTTTGTAGGCAAATATGAGTGTTCTTGATAGTAAGTAGTTGATAAACCAGATTGTAGTCGTTGCTTGTGTCCCATAGCCCCTTTTTTTGGATCCATGACGCCATTTTGTAAACCCAACGCCAGAAATGACTTTTAGATCAAACCACTGATATCCGTTCAGACGCTCAGAAAGCCAATCAAACCAACCAACCCCATGAGAATCGCAATTTCACTCCAGAGCCATCGCCTCCTCCACAAAGGCCAGAAACTCCTCCTGCAATCCCGCCTCCCGCATCGTCTGCTCCGACCCATCCAGCATGTCATCCAAGTCTTGGTGGGTCTTCGTGGCGAGTTCTATCTCCGTCCTCGCATCAGCCGCGAGAATGCCTGCCGCTGTCGTGAGATCGTTCGCACTCTTCTCGATCCTGAGCATCGAAGCATGATGCTCCGCAATATCATGCTGCTGATCGATGGTCCTGGCATAGAGCTTCAGGGCAAGCTTGCGGAACGCCTCCCCTTTCTTTCTGGCCACTTGGAGATTCGTATTACTGCCCATAGCGGCGCGGTGGTAGATTGCAGCCCGCTCGCGGAGGCCGTTCATCTCAGCGTCCCTCTTGTCCTCGCGCTCACGCATGTCACGCAGTTCCTTGCGCAGCTTGGAAAGCTCGGAGTCGCGGGCTTGGACGTCGGAAGGGATGGTGTACGGGGTGATTCCCATGCGATGGCGCTTTGGGGCCGGGTTGGCGAGGTTCTCTGGGGAGGCGGGGCGCTTGGTAGACTGCACGGACGAGGCTGGAGAGGGGGGCGCCGTGTTCTTCAGAGGTTCAGTTGGTGCGGACGGTGGCGGCGTCTGAGGCTCTTGAACAGGCTGAGGCTCTTGAACAGGCTGAGGCTTTGGAACCGGCTGAGGCTTTGGAACCGGCTGAGGCTTTGGAATCGGCTGAGGCTTTGGAATCGGCTGAGGCTTTGGGATCTGCTCCGGGGGTGAGACCTTTTCAGCCAGTGGGGTCTGCTCTTCAACTGGAGCCTTCTCAGGGGCTTGGTTCTTCGTTCCGTCATTTGTCGTCTGTTCCGTAGGTGCAGCTGCAGTACTGCTCTGAGCAACCACCGTCTCACCGGGCGGAATAGGAACTGAGCTGCTGGATGCATCATTCGAAGGAGCGGGGTGGCAGCCATGGAACCAGTATTTCTTGTCCTTTTGCTTCCGAATGGAGGCGAAAGTCTTGCCGTCCTGCTCATACGCGGGTCGGCCTCGATGAGCACGTTGGGAGATGATGCGACCCTGCGGTGTGAAATCGAAAGGCCAGTATCGATGCTTTTGGTTGGCCGTCCAAGTCTTAGAGTGCAAGATGTCCCAGGCAGCCTTATCGTCAATATAAGAGAATCGAGGAGGGTTGCTATCGGTGGGTTGCTTCGGGACATTGCGTCCCGTGTACAACTTCCAGGTCGGGTGACCGCCCTTCTTATTTCTGAACTTCTCGACAAGTTCAGGCGAAGGATCGCCGTTTCCATCGGACGGACGCCATATCTCCCTCTCTACCTTGCCATCCGAGAGAGTGGGACTTGTAGTAGTTGGAGTAGATGTATCCTTCTTTGCCTTCAAGACTTTAGCCCGTGGCTTCGCTTTATTTGTGGTAGTAGCAGTCGGTGGCTGAGCAATAGTCGGCTTTGGAACGGCCTGCTTGACAGGTGGCTTGGCTCCAGAAGTCGCGGGCTTGGGCTTTGGCTTTGGCTTGGAGGCAGGGCCGTTCTTCACCGCCGACTTGGGCACCGATGGCTTCTTCGATGAAGCCGATGCAGTCGGTTTAGCAGCCTTGGGTAGTGCCGCCGGCGCCTTGGCCGCGGTGCTTGAGCTTGCAGTCGGAGCCGTCATCCTTTGCAAAAAAAAAAAAAAAGTTAGATATGGTGAGGTCAACCGTACTGGAGGGTGAGTTGCGATAAAGGGCTTTGCGATGGTGTCATGTGATGAGGTGAGGGTACCTTACCTATGGAAGGCTGTTGAGGTGCTACTTGTGTGTTGAGATGTTGGACAAATCTTCATGCAACATGTGGACGGGATAGTAGGAAAGTGGGCGGAAGGGATGAAGAAGATCTGGACGAGGAGAAAGAGAAATGAAGGATATATATAGGCTGGAGAAGGGCCCTTATGGACCCTTGCAGTATGTTGAGGCAAGAGCGTAGCGTAGACGCGTGGCTTCTGCAGATTCCAAACGTGAAGCAGACGATATATATCTCCTCCGCCCTGCAGATCCACTACCACCTCCACTCGGCCTATTTCTTTCCTAATTTAGAAAGATGCTAGATTCCATTCCTCGCTAATAACCAACTACTCATGGTGTTGGATTTATCGTCTAATGGATAAGCGTCGATAAGAGCCTTTAGAGGTGGGAGTGGAGGAGATATGTTATCAGTCTCCAATTGAACAAATCCAAGGATTGGCACGTTGAACGCATGCGAGAATTCAATTGAGAATCGAAAAGTCTTAGGCCAAGAAAGCATTTGCAGTAGAACCAAAAAGGTGGCCTGATACGTAGATTGAATTATATTGACACTGAAATGGGTCAGTGTAAAGAACTGCTCAGGTCGGTATTAACTGAACGTTGTAAAGTTCAGACCCAAAACAATGAATCAGTATTCTGAATGGATTTAACAAGGAATACAGAAGTCCATGAGCCAGTCCAGACGAATGCATTCGTCAGCATAGTGATTAGGCCGAAGCCGACTCTCCAATGGGCGTTGGCTGAATAATCCGTGCGCGGGGGAAATTCGGCTGGTTGTTCCAGGTGCTGGCGAGGACGGCGGAAAATGTCGGGTTCCATTGCGAAGTAATCGTGGCGAGGCGGCAAGATGGGTTTGGTGAGGCTCTTAGCGGGCGGACGCGAGAGGAAGTGGTCGCGATGCGGTGGTCTATGATGTGGTGGAGGGAATCGACCAATGAGCGGCGCCGCTAGTCTTCTTACGAGGCCATCCTCAACCCTCGGCCGTGCTTTGCCTGCCAACCTCGACCCGCTCCAGCATCGCATATCTCCACTCCACCCGCCCGCGGGCTCCTCCACCAACCGCTTGCATCGAGCAGCTCGACCGCTTTCACCATGCTCGCTCGGCACGCTCCCGCTACCCAGGTAGTCACCGGTGCCTCGCACCGCGTGCTGCCCTCCGCCTCGGCCGCGGCTCGCCTCTCCGCTACCACCTCGTCCGCCCGCCGCCAGCAGCGCAGGAACCTCGCCACCGTCCAGGACACGCCTGTCCACCGCCACGGCGGCCTCAAGGACCAGGACCGCATCTTCCAGAACCTCTACAGCCACCATGGCGCCGACCTCAAGAGCGCCATGAAGTACGGCGACTGGTACAAGACCAAGGAGATTGTCCTGAAAGGCCACGACTGGGTGCGTTATCATCCCCAATGGCTGGCCTGCCTCCCAGTGCGCACTTGCTGATGGCTATGGCGAACAGATTATTTCCGAAATCAAGGCTTCCGGTCTGCGCGGTCGTGGTGGTGCCGGTTTCCCCTCGGGTCTGAAGTGGTCTTTCATGAACTTCAAGGATTGGGACAAGGACAACAAGCCCCGCTACCTCGTCGTCAACGCCGATGAGGGTGAGCCCGGTACTTGCAAGGACCGTGAGATTATGCGCAAGGACCCCCACAAGCTCATTGAGGGCTGCTTGATTGCCGGCCGTGCCATGAACGCGACCGCCGCCTATATCTACATTCGTGGTGAATTCTATCACGAGGCTACCGTCCTTCAGCGCGCTATCCAGGAGGCTTACCAGGCCGGCCTCATTGGCAAGAATGCCTGCGGTTCCGGCTACGACTTCGACGTCTACGTCCACCGTGGTATGGGTGCCTACGTTTGCGGCGAGGAGACTTCTCTTATCGAGTCGCTCGAGGGCAAGCCCGGCAAGCCCAGGTTGAAGCCCCCGTTCCCCGCTGCCGTCGGTCTTTTCGGCTGCCCCTCCACCGTCACCAACGTCGAGACTGTCGCTGTCGCCCCCACCATCTGCCGTCGTGGCGGCAACTGGTTCGCTTCGTTCGGCCGTGAGCGCAACTCGGGTACCAAGCTCTTCTGTATCTCCGGCCACGTCAACAACCCTTGCACCGTTGAGGAGGAGATGTCGATCCCGCTGCGCGAGCTGATCGACAAGCACTGTGGTGGTGTTATTGGTGGCTGGGATAACCTGAAGGCCGTCATTCCCGGTGGTTCATCGACTCCCATTCTCCCCAAGCACGTTTGCGACGACCAGCTCATGGACTTTGACGCTCTCAAGGACTCGCAGTCTGGTCTTGGTACCGCTGCTGTCATCGTCATGGATAAGTCCACTGACGTTGTCCGTGCCATTTCCCGTCTCAGCAAGTTCTACAAGCACGAGTCTTGCGGCCAGTGCACCCCTTGCCGTGAGGGTTCCAAGTGGACCTACCAGATCATGAACCGTTTCGAGAAGGGCCAGGCGCGCGCACGTGAGATCGACATGATGCAGGAGCTCACCAAGCAGGTCGAGGGACACACCATCTGTGCCCTGGGCGAGGCCTTTGCTTGGCCCATTCAGGGTCTTATCCGCCACTTCAGGCCTGAGCTTGAGGCTAGAATACAGGACTTTGCGGCGAAGAATGGCGGAGAGGCGCTGGCTGGTGGTTGGGCACACGACGCCTCGAAGAAGGGCCAGCTTATTGCTCCGGGACAGTAAATGTAGATTACCGGGAAACTTGACGGAAGGGGATTTTTGAAAAGGCCAATTGGTAGACGAGACGGATATCAAGTAGTGGGAAGGTACGCTAGCGGATGGTTCGGGCTGTAACAATGACACCCTATATTTTCCTTGTGTTAGATTTTAGCAAGTTTTTAACTTTTCTCGGCTGTGTGAGTCTGTACATATGGTAGAAGCTTGCATTGTTGGACTCTTTCTGTGCTCATCAAATCGCCTCCGTGAAGTTATTATCTTGCTACTTTCCCGCTCAACGCCCGCCCAGAACAAACGCCTCCAAAGTGCAATGATATAAGAATAGGGCACAGCACGCCCAAAACGGGTATTCCAAACCGGTCCTTGCCGCACAAGCATAACGCATCCATGTGCTCTCCTCGAGAGCGCCTCAGGTCCGTTGGCCCTCTTCTTTCCTCTCAACCCAAGCATATCCCCACAAACTCCTCCCTCCCAATCGCGCCGTCTCCGTCCAGATCGAACTCTTCGATCATTGCCGTCAACTCTTCCTCCTGCAATCCTTCACCCAGCTCTCGGGCCACCCGCCGCAGGTCCTGCAGCGTGATCTTGCCCTTGCCTCCTTCATCGAACAGCTCGAAGGCCCGCATGATTTCGTCCCTCGGGTCGCGGCTTATGATGCGATGCGCCATGATGGCCTGGAAAGTTTGGAGGGGAAGGAGTAGGCGCGTAGGGCCGGTGAAGGCCGGGTTGCTGTTAGCGGCCGCAGGGGCTTTGGATTTGCTGTTGATGTTGTTGGCGGGGATACTGAAATGTTGTCGTTAGTTTTTGCAAACCATGAAGTGCAACAGTGGTAACATACCCGTTAACGCGGAGGATGTTGAGGATTTCTTGCTTGGGCAGGTCGAAGCCCAGGGCTTTCATGGCGACTTTGAGCTCATGGTAGTCGATGTGGCCGTCCTTGTCGAGGTCGAAGAGTTGAAACTAAACAAATCGAGCATGTTAGGCACCAAGCTGCAAAATGGCCAATTGCATGGTTTTAGCTTACTGCTTCGTTGATCTCCTCTCTCTGCTCGTCACTCAGCTCTGCAATCTCGCCCCGCCCTGCATCCGCCAACCTCTCCCGCTCTGCTCGCTCCGCCCGCTCGCGCTCCAAGCGCTGCGCTTCCCGCTGCTGATGCGTCGCACCACCGCCACCGGCGCCGCCGAAGGTGTTGGAGGGTCCTGCGCCCGATGCGCCGCCGCCGCCACCGCCGCCGCGACTGCCAAAGCCTCGGCCTGGGTAGGGTGTGGTTGTCGCCATGGTCGGAGCTGCGTTGTTGGTGTTGTGTCTGGTGCGGATGGGAAGGCGTTGGTCAGCCAGCTTGGCAGCGCGCGGGTTCGCTTTTTTTCGTTCAAGCGAAGGGATGCGTTGAGTTTGGCGTGGGGAAATTGAGCGGTGGTTGCTGTTTCCAATCTGTTAAGCTATCAGCGCTGGCGAAAGCTTGGGAAGACGCGTCTGAGGCGCGCGTTGGACAGCACCCCGGCGCCTCGCTCGCTTAGGCACGGCGGGGATGGGCGTGGCGATGCAAGGATGTGGCCAGCAAGTGCCGGGGAGCTGCTATAGCTCCAGCGGGGCAAAAGTAAGTGACAGCAGATGAATGGCTACTGTCAGGTTCCAGCAGGATGGCGAGGGTCACATCATTGTCGGTAAATCAGACCTTGAGACATCCTGTCTTGTTGCACTTGGGTGGGATTCTTTGTAGGGCTTAAGACAGATGTAAACACTGGCTTGTTTGCACTAGAAACCACGCCAACAACATTTGCAGATGGATGGTGGCTCTGCCACGGCAGCCCTTAGTAACCACCAATGGGGCCTTGAGATTCTTTCGTGTTGCTGTCTCGACTGTAGCGCGGGCCGGTCTGGCTAGTCGCAGGCATCTACAAAAGACGCAGGCTCCCGCGGCGGTGACTGCCTGATCGCTGCCTAAGCCTGTCTCCTTAAAGCGCACGCATCCAGCGCCCGCCGAGCATCAACGCATCCATTCTTCTTTGCATCAACGGGGATATCAGGCAGATAGACGTGGATAGCGTGCATTACCGTGAGCAGAAACGGTTGCTCCGTCAATGTGAGGTGCTGGTCCCCCCAGCCGTCCATCCATCACGTGTGGCTGCAGTGACGTCCGTGCACCGGGTACCGCGAAATATCCGCCCAGCCAACCTCACCACCACAGCTGTCCGCCATCGCCCTCTGCCCACTCCGTTGCGCGCAGTTCCACCCCCACCCGCTCGGCCTCGTCCATCCGTCGCGACGAGTCGAGCTTCGCTCTCCTTTCGGCCGCTCCGTTCGACGCGACCCATTGTCGATTTCAGCGCGTTTGCCAGTTTCCTTTTCCCTTTTCCTGGCGCGTCGTCGCGACGCTCCAGCCCCGTCAAACCCGCGAAAGACGTGACGCGCACCTGTGCTCACTTTCGCACTCCCGACAACCCACAACTCGCATTCATACAGCCCTGCGCGACGAACGCGATTGACACCCCCTCACCATGTCGGCTTTCGGCGGCGGCTTTGGGAGCGGCTTCGGCTCTAACAACCAGCAAAGCACCGGCTTTGGCGGTTTCGGCTCGAACACCAACACAAACACTAACACGAGCGGAGGTAAGCAATGAATCTCGTTTTATTTGCTTTGTCCTTGGCCGATCATCGCGCGAATCGACCCTGGAGCTCTCGACCTTCCGTCGCCCAGCGCCACAGACAACCACGACGTTGACATTGCCTTTCTCGCGTCTTTCCAGGCTTTGGCTCCACTGGCTTTGGCTCCAACACCGGCGGCAGTCTCTTCGGAGGAGGCAACACAAGCGGCGGCGGCGGCGGCGGCGGCGGCTTCGGCTCTGGTGGAGGTACGTCTGAGCTTCTGAACTTGCAGCTATTCTACCTGCTTGGGCATCTCGAGCAAAGTCAAGCGCTTCCGCGTGAACGCGCCTTCTGGTACCCTGGTCTCCAAAACGCGCGCAACGACTTGCAACCTTGCGCTTGTCATCTACTCATCGCGGCCTTACGGAGCCCAGCTCAGAACAGGCGAACTGGGAGCACAGCTCCTAAGAGCTTGCTTAGAAGCTCTACTAATGCATATTCCACAATTGGACAATCGCTGACATGAAGTACTACAGGTTTCGGGAGCAATACTACGAGCTCGCCATTTGGCGCAAAGCCTGGAGGATTCGGTGCACAAACTACAAGTAGCGGCAGCTTGTTCGGCGGCGGTACTGGCACCGCCACCTCGGGAGGTACAGGCTTTGGCGGCTTCGGCAGTAACAACACCCCAAGCACTGGCTTCGGAAGCGGTAACACTGGTGGTGGGCTCTTTGGCCAGAACAAGCCTGCATCCGGGTTTGGTGCTACTACGGGCACAGGTGGTGGCATGTTCGGCGGTGCCAACACTTCAAACACGACCACCTCAGCTTTCGGAGCTGGCGGCGCAACTGCTTTCGGCGGCGGCCTGAACCAGGCGGCCGCAAACAACGGTACGGCCAATACTCCTTTCAACGCCCACATCGAGAAAGATGGCGCAACTAGCCAGAATGCCCATTACCAGACCATCACCTTCCAGCAGCCTTACCAGGGCTTCTCGCTTGAGGAGCTGAGATTGCAGGACTATGCGCAGGGCAGGCGCTTCGGAAATGCGAATGGCCAAGCTGGTGCTTTTGGCGCCAGTACAGGATTCGGTGGTTTTGGCTCGAACACCAACACCAGCGCCCCCGCCACTACGGGTGGATTCGGTTCCAACACTTCGTCAGGAGGAGGCCTCTTTGGTGCACAGAACAACACGTCCAGTCCGTTCGGCGGAGCCCAGAACAACACCACTGGCGGTTTCGGCTCCAACGCTAGCGGAGGCGGTCTTTTCGGCGCTAAGCCTGCCACAGGTGGAGGTCTTTTCGGCAGCAACACTGCCTCATCTGGTCAATCCACCGGTGGCCTCTTTGGCACGGCAGGTAACACTGGAACCTCGGCTTTCGGCGGCGGCAACACTGGAGGCTTTGGGAGCAACACCAACGCTGCTGCTGGTGGTGGCGGTCTTTTTGGAAACAACCAGCAGCAACAGCAAAACAAGCCTGCCTTCGGCGGATTTGGCTCTGGTACTAGCACTGGCTTCGGCGGCTCGACGACCGGCACCGGATTTGGTGCGAACACTAATACCAACACTACTGGTGGTGGTCTGTTTGGCGGCAACACGAATACCACTTCCGCCTTCGGCGCAAACAACCAGCAGCAACAGCAGAACGCCTCGAACCCCTTCGGCGGCTTTGGGCAAAACAACCAAAACCAAGCCCAGAACCAGCCGAGCGGTGGCGGTCTTTTCGGCGGCTTTGGGCAGAACCAGAACAACCAACAGCAGAACAAGCCTCTTTTTGGCGGTGCTACTCCTGGCTCTACTGGCGGCGGTCTGTTCGGTAACAACCAACAACAGCAGAACCAGACTGGAGGCGGCTTGTTCGGCGGAAACAACCAACAGCAGAACCAGGGCGGCGGAGGTCTTTTCGGTGCAAAGCCGGCTGGCACGACTGGTGGTCTTTTCGGCGGCGCGGCCAATACCAACACCAACACTGGCGGCGGTCTCTTTGGCGGTGCCCTAGGCCAGCAGAACAACCAGCAAAACCAAGCTGGAGGCGGTCTCTTTGGCGCGAAGCCTGCAGGCCAGACCGGCGGTTTGTTTGGCGGAGCCACCAACACCAATACGAACACTGGTGGCGGACTTTTCGGTGGAAGCCTTGGTCAGAACGCTTCGGCGCCCACTGGTATTGGCGGCGGCCTATTCGGAGGTGCTCAGCAGCAGAACCAGCAGCAGCAGCAGCCGCCACTTGGTGGTAGCCTTTTCGGTGCGACCATGGCATCGCAGGGCCCGAACCAGGCCCCTCAGTTGACTGCTTCGATGAATGGCAACCCGTATGGAAACGAGCACCTGTTCGCCAGCCTCAACTCCCCTGGCCAGAGTGTTGGTCCTCTGGCGACGCCGCTTTCTAGCAGCCAAAAGCAGAAGAAGAACGCCATTCTTCCGCAGCACCGCATCAACCCCGCCGCGTCTTCTCGCCTGATTACTCCCCAGAAGCGTCTCAACGGCTACGGTTTCTCATACTCTACGTATGGCACTCCCGGCAGCGCTATGGGCAGCGGAACCCCCAGCTTCAGCGGCAGCCTCATTGGTGGTGGTGGTAGCTTTTCGAAGTCCTTGTCGAAGAGCTTCTCTGCAAGCAGCCTCAAGAACACTTGGAACGCGGAAGACAGCATCCTCTCTCCTGGCGCTTTCAACCCCTCTAAGCGCCCCGCCTACTCAAACACTGGCAGCATGAAGAAGCTTACCATCGACCGTGCCCTCAACGTCCGTCCGTCCCTCTTTGGTGAGGAGAGCAGCAGCAGCCCTGCTTCTCAAAAGAAGCGGGTCAGCTTTGACGCCAGTGCCACTCTGAACGGCAGCCTGGACGGTGCTAACGGTGCTCTGGTTCCTGCTGACCGTGAGTCGACGACCCCTACCGCTGAGGAGCAGGGCTTCCTTCGCTCGTCTAAGAACGGCGAGAGGCAGACGAACGGCACTGCAGCTAACGGGGACAAGGCTCCTGAGATGGAGCAAGTCAAGGGCAATGAACTCGCCGTCGTCCCCGAGGAGCCGTCCGAGGCCGACAAGATCCTCAAAATCGCCAACGAGAAGGCCCGTAAGGCCCAGAGGGATCAGACTCCTGGAAAGTACTGGTCCGAGCCCAGCGTGGATGAGCTCAAGACCATGAGCAAGCAGCAGCTGAAGTCCCTTGAGAACTTCAGGGTTGGTCGTGAGGGCATCGGTGAGATTCAGTTCGAGCACCCTGTTGATCTGACTGCCATCGACTTGGATGAGCTCCTTGGCGAAGTGGTCCAGCTCAATGTTCGCAACGCCACCGTCTACCCATCCAAGACTTCTACTCCTCCCATGGGCAAGGGTCTCAATGTTCCGTCGCTCATCTTGCTTGAGAACTCGTGGCCTCGTGCCCAAGCCGGCAGGGTCGCGGTTCATGAGAAGGGCGGACCTCGCTTCCAGAAGCACATTGATCGTTTGAAGAAGGTCGAGGGTACGGAATTTGTGTCCTACGATGCCAAGACTGGCACCTGGACCTTCCGCGTCCAGCACTATACCACCTACGGTCTGGACTACGACGAGGAGGATGAGGAGGACGACAGCATGCTCACAGATCCTCCCATCGATATGCAGTCGCCTACTCCCACGGCCCGGCGCGTCCCCGCTCCTCTGTCGGCTTTGTCCCGCGCGTCTCAGGACGACTCCACCCTGATGAGTCTGGCAGAGTCCAGCCCCGATGACACTTTTGAGTTCAAGAGGGGCCTGGTCAGGAGGACCAATGTCCCTGGCAGCTTTGATGATGAGGGCGATTACTACGAGGATGACCTGGCATATGGACAGGATGACACTCTGAACAGCACTCAGTCTTTTTTAGATGAGCGCTCCGTGGGTCCCTACGAGGATGGCAGCGACATGGATGACGCTGCCTCCTACCGCAGCGGATCTGATTCGGAACCTGAGCACACCATGGCAGGCTCTTTCCCCATTCCGGATCTTACCACGGAGCAGACGCCCGCCAAGAACACTGTCTTCGATGCTTCGGGTATGCCGAAGTCAATCCTGAAGGCCAGCCGGGCAGGATTTGGCACTCCAACTAAGGGCGCCTTTGACTTTGAGGGCGACTGGGCTGCGCAGCTGCAGCGGACTATCAGCCCCAAGAAGCAGGATCGCCAGACTCTTCGCGAGAACCAGAGCAATGCTCTGAGACAGTTCGATGACGACGTCGAGGAAACGCCCAAGGCTCCGACTTTTGCGAAAAGCACCAACAAGCCTTTCTCTAACAGCATCGACCTTATGAACTCTTTGTTTGGACAGAGCACTGCTCGTAGGACCGCTACGGCCAACGGATCGCCGGTTAAGAAGGGAAAGGGCCTTGAGGTTTGAACCACCTATCCTTGTTTTCTGCACATTCTTTCCCATTTGGGTACGGGCATGGCGTCTGGCTTCTCCCTTCGGATCCGGTTGGCATCTTGATTGGATTTTCGCAGGGGGCTGCTGGACGTCGCGCCCCTGACTCATGTACGTAGCATAGCACAGATTGAACAGCATACTGAACAAAATGGTGTTAACAGTGGCCCTACCAAAAGCGACCTAAGACTGGTGAAGAACTTGACGACCCGACCGAAGCCGATAAGGCTTTCCACGACAATGTCAAGCCGACTTGGACTCATGACGGCACCCTCACGTACACTACCCCAGGCAGCGCTCCCAAGATGCAGGGAAAATTCATTGCCAACCTCAAGAACTCGATCGTCAGCCAACACAAGGATGTCCGGTTTGCAAAGTTCTCCACGCCTGAAGATGTAAGCTTCCAACCTTTGTACGTGCAAAGGTTACTACTAATGCCATGTAGATCTGGCCTGCGACCATTGTTGAGCAAGCTAGCGCAAACAACACGCACCTGATCGACGGTTCGGATGACGAGCCTCCTCGCGCTGAGACGTTGGAGATGAAGTTCGCCGATCTTGCCAACGCCGTTTCTATCGACACGCCGGCCGGCAGGTTCGAGCAGGAGGTGTGGAAACTGGCCAGCATCCTTTTCGACAGCCTTAGTGCGGACGACATTCCTGATGGTGTTCCCAATGATCTCCAGACGTTTGAGAACCAAATCCGGACCATGAAGCTGAGCGAGTTCTGGAAGTCGATCGTGCTGCCTGAAGCTGATCGTCAAGCTCGCCTGGCCAAGTCTGCCGAAGAGAAAGCAATCGCGCGTTTGTCCAGCCACAGCATCACCGAGGCTTGCGATGCTCTCATCGAAGGCAAGGATTTCCGGCTGGCTACCCTCATTGCTCAGATCGGTGGCCCGCAATCCTCCCGTGAAGCCATCGCTACGCAGCTCGAGGAGTGGCGCGCTCAGAACGTGCTGTCCGAGATAAGCGACCCGGTCCGCGCTCTTTACACTATTCTCTCAGGCGAGTTCACTGTTTCGGATGGTGCTCCTGGCCCTGCTGCTGAGAACAGGGCTGAGGACATTCGCATCTCATCTCGCTTCGGCTTGGACTGGCGTCAGGCTTTCGGTTTCCGGTTGTGGTACGGCCGTCAGACCGACACCGCTGAGGATGGACTGATCGAGTACGCCGTACAGCGTTTCGAGGATGAACTTAAAGAGGGTGATGAGAACGTAAAGCCCGTCCCGTGGTTCGTTCGTGCTGGCCTCAAGACGGGTTGGGATGATCCTACTCCTCAAGAACGTCAGGACATCCTCTGGGGCCTCCTCAAACTCTACAAGGCCTACCGCCAGAACGATATGACCTTCTCCGTGGCCGAAATTCTGACTCCTGAGAACACAACGGGCAACCCGGTCAACGCTCGCCTGTCATGGCAGCTCCTAACGCTACTACGCGCGCGAAACATCCTCCCTCGCGAGGTAGTGACAAGCGACATGATCTACGACGGCCCGCGCGAGGGCGAACACTTCAACGCACGCCAGATCACCGAGATCAGCGACGCGCTGACGCAGACGTTCTCCATCCCGCTGCTCACGTCCGAACACTGGACCCACGCCACGTGGGTGCTGATCCACCTCACCGACGACGACGAGCGCGCGGCGGCCGTCAAGGACCAGCTCTCCTTCAACGCCGGCCTGATCGGCGAGGACGCGGCGTCGGACGCAACCTTCGCGCACCTCACGACAGCGCTGCGCATCGCGCCCAGCTGGATCTACGCGGCCAAGGCGCAGCACGCGCGCGCAGTGCTGGGCGACCCGGTCAAGGAGGTCCAGTACCTGCTCGCGGCCGGCAGCTTCGCCCAGGCCCACGAGGTTCTGTGCCGCGCCGTCGCGCCCGCCGCCGTCATCGCCAACACGCAGCACGACCTCGACGCCCTGGCCACGCTGCTCAACGGCTTCGCCGGCGCCCCGGAGAAGGACGTCATCGAGTGGCACACGGGCGGCGCCGTCTACGTCGACTACCTCGCCCTCTTGCGCCTCCACGGCGCCCACCACCATCATGCTACCAACCCCTTCGCCTCCTCCATCACCTCTCTCGGCAACAGCACCAATGCCCGCCCTAGCTCCGCTAGCTCCAACGTCATCGGCGGCCTCCACGACAGCGCTTCTTCCTCCGCCACCACCACGCTGTCCAAGGCCGAAGAGACCAAGGCCGTCCTGCAGCGCCTCGCCGCCGCCCTCGCCAGCATCGCGCCGCAGCTCAACGCCCGCGAGGTGCTCGAGCGCGCCGCGCTCAAGGAGGTCGCTCGCACCGTGCTCGAGGGCGTCAAGAAGCAACAGCAGCAACAAGTCCAAACGTCGGAGATGGACGGCTTGGAGGGCGCTGGCGCTGCTGACAGGATTGCGGAGAAAGAGAGGAGGAACGTCCTGCGCATGAGCGTTACCGAAGAGGCGAGCTTGTGGCTTGGTAGGGGCGTGGGTGTTGAGTATTGGAGGGCTGTTGTTGCTGGGGGACGGTAATTGGTTGATTGATTGATGATGAGAAGACGGTTTCTCAGACGGGAATTGCAAATGTGTGTGTGTGGAAAGGAGAAAAAAACGGGGATGATGGTTGATAAGGCGAAGGAATGGGAGGAACTTTTTCTTGGTGCATGAAAAGAGGCAAGAGAGAGAGAGAGAGATGGTGTGGGAGGATTCAAGGTTCTTAATCAACGAGCGGGCGGCTGGTGGATAGTTTTATTTGGCTTTTCTCTTCTTCTTCTCCTGCTTGTTCTCTCTGTCTCGGCTTTTGGCGAGATGTGCGTTGCTTGTTTCTTCTTCTTTTCTCATTTTTTTTTTCGGCGATTGACTTTTTTTGGGGCATCATGACGGCTCTCCTTCCCCCCTTGCTTCGACTTTCTTGGAAAAATCGAAAAGGTTGTTGTTGATGACCGCAGCGAGGTGGTGCAGAGCAGGGCAAGACAGAAGGGAGTTGTAAATGGCGAGAAGTTAGAGCGAGCGAGCAAGCAAAAAAAATTCCATAGCATTCAAAAGGGAAATGAAAGTTGGAAATGTGCAAAAGTGACTTTCGGCCTCTTAGCTATGATCTACGTTTTCCTCATGCGTTTTGATGATAAGTGAAGTAATTAGGTGACAGCAGCACAACCACCCATCGAAATGGAAATCCTCCATCAATTTGTTTTCACATCGCACAGCAACACTAAGGAAGAGCGGAATGTTTGAGAAGCACTCAGTGCCGTATGAGTTTGCCTATCTAATACAACAAAAAGCCAGCAAAAGCACAACTATACAAAGCATCCCCAGCCGACCACTACTCCCAACCTCTCGCATCCCCATACACATCCCACTAAAAATATCTACAACATCGCACCCACCTTCCCACACGCCTGACTTTAAGGGTAGAAAGCAAATTTGAGACGAAGGAAACCGCTCACTCATGCTTCATCATACAGGCCGAGGAGAAAAGCTCTCGGTCGAGCAAAAAAAAGAAACGTGCTTTTTTTTCTTCGTTTACTCGACCGGGTCCTCCTCGAGCAGCGTCTTGAACGAGAAGGGCTCGAACGGCACGCCATCGCCGATGAAGTGCTTGCTCATAGCCTCGACCCAGTGCAGACGCAGCGAGTGCAGCATGGCCGACGTACCCTCCATGATGCAGAGCACGAAGACGGTGAGCACGAACCAGAGGTAGAAGAGGCAGACGACGGCGATGATGCCGACGACGCCCGACATGCTGAAGGCGATGCCGATGGTCATCTGCCACAGGACGATCGAGAGACGCTGGTGGGCAAGCGACAGCGCCCACAGACGCAGGTACGAGGCCGTGTGCGAGACGCAGTTCAGGCAGAACTCGATCGTGTGGATGACCTGGTGAATCATCTCCTCGGAGAACTCAAACTCCTCGTGCTCAGCCTCACCCACGTCCTGGCTAATGAGCGCGACACCCTCCTCGTCATCGCCAAAGCTCTCACGGCCACCGTTGAGATGGCCATGCTCATCGTCATCGTCCAGCGCGCTGACGCGGCTGTTCTCGCCGATGCCACGGTAGCCGTGGGCGCGAGCCTTGTTGTGCTCGTGGCGGAGATAGAAGGGCTTGAGGAAGAGCATGATGGGAACCTGGACGACGGCCAAAAGAAGCAGGATGATTTGAAGGGGACCTTGACCGTTGTACAGCGGGTCCTCAATCGTACCAGGGGACAGGAACATGTAGATGAGCATGTTGAGCAGACCGGGAGGAGCCTGGCCAATGGCGTACCAATCGACGGACCACTTGTAAATGATGGCGAAAACGAGGTAACCGAAGATGGACTGGAAGAAAATCATGCCAGGGATGAAGTTACCCCAGATATCGATGGGAGACTTGAAGTGCTTAGCGTTGACATAGGAAAGGCAGAGCGAGTAGGTCATCTAAGAACTTATCAGTATCAATCACTCAATCGTGAGGGAAAGCGACTTACGTGAGCCCATCCGAGCAGGATACTCAGCTTCATCTTGTAACTGTTGGAGAACAGGAGGTCGTTCTCCGTGCTGTGCCAATTCCAATCAAGACCAAAGGCGTAAGTGTGACCCTTAATGCGAGTAGCCTCAAGCGCGTCTCCAGCCTTGAAGTCCTCGGGCCACTCCCACATGGACTTGAAGAGGGGAAGGGGCTTCGAGAAAGCATCACAGTAGATCAGACCGGTGTACATGGAGAAGATACCCATCATAAGCATGATGTAACGACCAAAGAAAGCCATGCTGAACAACTCGTCCAGCTTGCCGCGAGACAGCTGCTTCTCCCACTTGATCATAGCAAGTGCGGCGAGAGTCATGATAAAACCGTGACCGAAATCACCGAACATGACGGCGAAGAGGAAGGGGAAGGTGACGATGGTAGGGAGACCGGGGTTGACTTCCTTGTACTTGGCAGTACCGTACGCGTCAATAATAGTCTGGAAGGCCAGCGTAAACTTGTTGGTCTTGATATAAGTCGGCGGGGTCTTCGTCGTCTTGATCTGGTTTACGATGGTTGGGACGGACAGACCAGCGCGGTCGTTGACATCCTGCAAAGTAGACTTGATCAAGCCGAGGGAATTCGTAGGCGCCCATGCTTCCGCAATCAGCGTCTTACGCTGCTGGTCGTACGAGAACCTGTTAAGGGTCTGGTAGACAGCCTTCTCTTTCTTGATGATGACCATCCAGGCGGCCAAGCTGCGGCCAATAGCCGTGAGCTCAGCATCCAGAGTCTGCTTGGTGTTCCTCAACACGGCAGACAGGTCGTTCAGCCTGCTGTTGACCTCATGGATCTGGTCGCGGCGAAGATCGCTGTTCTCATCGACGGCGTAGAGGTCAGCGCCGAGAGACTCGGAAATCTTGCGGATCTTGGCGATGATCTCCTTGCCGTGGGCGAAGATGACGAAGACGTTCTTGTTGATGCCCTCGTTGTTCTCCGGGTTGATGATGGGCTCGGGGATCTCGGACTGGTTCATGTAAAGGTTACCACGCAGAGTACGCCAGAGAATGCGCTCGAACGCGGCGATCCTGTCGCGGGGGATGACACCAGAGACGAAGCCGATGTTCATGACGGAGAAGGAGCGCTCAGCATCTCCGTTTTGGCCGCGTTGCTCAACGTCTGCCAGAAGCGGAGCGTCGTCGTCCGGGTCGTCCATCGAGTGGCGGATTTCCTCGGTCTGGCCACGGGCCTGTATCCATGTTAGCCGCCAGGTCTATTCTGCGCCCACCGATATGCCATACCCTGTCAAAGAAGCCGCCAGCCTCCCTCAGCACCCATCTCCACTCGGTGAGCTCGACCTCACGCTTCTTCAGCGTCTCATAGCTCTCGTTCAAGCTCGCGATCCGGTTCTCGAGGCTCTGAGCGCGGTCGGCGAGCTCGTCGATCTCCGAAGCAGAAGGCGCGGCCAAAGTGTTGTTAAACTCATAGATAGAGCGCATCGGGATGCTCGACTTGTCCATCTGGGCGTGGAAGTAGCCTGTCCGTCCCTCATCAGTTCCATCCAACCTCAACGAGCCAGTCTCCTGGTATCTTACGCAGCTGGCGTTCCACGTTATCGAGCCGACGGATCTCCTGGGTGAAGGTACGCTGGAAGGCGGTGGTCTCGGCGTTCAGCTATTTTTTGACACGCGCATCCGTTAGCCAAACCCATCCATTATCTGCAAGATATCCTGTTCCCTCATCTCCTGCGTATCCTATCGGCCACTCACATCGCGGAAGTCCATGACGCCGAGCTCTCCCAGAGCGCTGACGACCTCTCGCCCGATTTCATTGGAAATGTAGAGCTGGGTCAAGGACATGTCCGCCGAGCGGAACAGCGTGTCCTGAGGCGGCGCCATGATGGCGGCGGTGCGGGGTCAGGATAGTCCTCGAGGGGAGAATCCTGATGCGGCGAGGGCGGTGGAGTTGGCGGTTGTGATGACGGAAGTCGGTCTGAAGCTCGAGGTGGTAGCTTGGGCGTTGTTGCAGATGATGCGGCCACGGCTTGGCGCCGCCAGTCACGTGGCGCCCACTCCGAGGTGATGCGGCCGCGTCATGCCGAGCCATGCATCAACAAGGACACTACGAACACATCTCCTATCAATTCGAGCTTTGAACATTATTATTATATATCTCCTCGAGAGTTTCTGTCACAGCAACTTTAGTGCGCAGTCCCGTCGCCCTATCCATCGAAGCATGTGCATGCCTCAACCCATCAGAGCGCGTCAGATCTTAACCTTATCCGTACCACATGTTGCATTATCGATTCCCAGACCATCATGCTTCCCAGCGTTTACCCCTAGGTCCCAAGACCATGGCAACACCTGTTCACCCTTCCCAGAATAACATATCCCGCCTACTGCAAATGCAGCAATAGTAGTACTCCACAACCGGCACTGCGCTGCAGCAAATGCGACCCGAACCCATTAAAATGACGCATAGCAGCAACCACCCTTCCCCGAGATCCGATAGATCCTGCAAATGACTTTTTGTTCCATCGAAATACCCGGAATATGAAAAGGTTCCAGCAAAGCAAGAAACTCGACACCAGAAAAAAAATACCCTAGTAATACAGTCGTATGAAAGAAAAAGAAAAATAGGCCGTCGCAGATCGAATTCAAGTGAACTTGACGTAGGCCGCATATTCCTGGATGAGCCACGGATCGACGTCCTCGAGTCCAGGAGGAATGACAGGAGGCGAAGGTTCCTCAGGGGAAAGGGGATCCGGATCCGGGTTTGTGCAGCGGAGTCTGGATGAGGTTGTCGATTGCGACCGGACAGACGATGTGTCCAGTCCTCTAAGAGGCTTCCTTGCGATTCGGCTGGAGCCAATGGAGCCAATGGAGCCAATAGAGCTCGTGGATCCACCAGCACTGCGTGGTGGTTGTGTGCTTGTATAGGATCTCTCCTGGAGTGCTGGCCTGAGGCCGCCCGACGGATGCTCAGGAGACCACGACCTGCTCGGCTTGAGGCATGGAGCTGCTTCTCTCTGAGGTGCCAGCCTCTGAGGATTGACTGGCTTCGCCATCTTTTGTTGTTCTCGGGCCTGCTCTTTTTTCCTTTCCGCGGCGCGTTGGTCGGGGTTTTGCTCCAGGAAGGCAACACCAGCCATTATATCCGCGAACAAGTCTCCATCGCCGTGAAACATGTACTCATCATCTTGCTGGTAGTAAGACATGTCGCTATTGGTCTCGTGTGCCTGAGTCGATGGTTCCGGGTTCTCAATCGGTTCGATATAGTTGTTCTCGCTTGTAATAGGTCGGTTTGTTTCTTCCTCTTTCTCCTTCTGGAGGAATGATAGACGCAATGGCTCACCACTTCTGTAGGAATGCCTGGGCCTCTTATTGGAGATGTCCATTGAAACAGGGGTAGTTTCAGACAGGGCGCGCTTCTTCTCGGCCCGAAGTTTCTCGTAACCCTGGTGTGCTTGGGGCACCGGCTGGCTCTCTGGTCCTGTGAGATCCAAGCGTTCGACGTTCCGCGGTGTTCCAGAGTCCATGTTTGGGCCGCGTTTGATTGGGTTGAGCTTAGTCTGCGTCTTCCCACCCGTAATGAGCTGTTTATTATTAGGACACTTCTTTCCCCGTTGCGTACTGTTGCCGGCCTCAGGACCAACAGCCTTCGCTGGCTTGGGCGCCTTGTCCAATCCTTCCTTGCAGCAAATATGCTTGCATTGCTGCTTGTTCTTGCACTTGTGATTGCACGCCCATTTGCCGTTGTCTAATTTCTTGGGCGCCGGGTTACCGCGTGCTTCCGTCCGTCCATCCACCACTTGTTCCGTACGACCTGTTCCTGTGGTGTTTTTCATGGTTGTCTTTAGGGAGGGACGGAATCCAATGGTAGAGTTCATGGAGTCAGGCACCGGCAGCTTATCAATGTCAACGAATTCATCGGTGTTACATGCTTCCTCTAGATCCGAATCATCGATACCGCCGTCTCCAAACTCGTCATTGTTGGAGCTGCGAGATGGTTGTGATTGTTGAACTGCGCTTTCCATACGTCTCTTCGAGATGTTCATCTTCAAATGTGCCTGAAGATGAGCGGGTATCTCTGGCTGAAGACTTGCATATTTCACTGTGCCAGCTACTTCTTGTTCAATAGCCAGACCATTGAATTTCGTAGGTTCGAACTTACCAACATCATCACACATCACATAACAGGTAACAACCTGGTTCATGCTGGTCAACTCAGCACAGAATAGGACATCCTGGCCCTTTCCAAGCTTTGCTGCACTGTTACGAGTCAGCGAAGGTCAACGAAACGCAATGTCTTCTGAATACCTAGTGCGCCGGAAATGCACCATTTTTCCATCTGACGTCTCCGCCATGAGACAAACGAATAGCGGGACCCGTGAAGGCCCACGTCCCAGTGTCAATGGTGGCTTCTCATTGATGAAACCGATTTCGGCCTTGAAATTGACGGTCACAGTCTGCGCCGATCTCCTTTCCTATTTCGTATTTAGCAAGACGGCACTAAGCTCATCGACGAGACGCCGACTAACCACACCCTTCATTTGCCTCAAAGACACGCGGAGCTTCGGGAACTCTTTGACCTTTGCAAGCAAAGAATTTCCATACGGCGGATGCTTTCCCATAATGGTTTCGAGACGTTGAGCATCAACGAGTTCAAGATCTTCAATGCTCCTGACTCCGGCATTCACAAGCTTTCGAACGCCGACCGGGCCAACGGATTCGACCTGTTTCATTGTCAAGGGCGAGTCGTCCCAGACTCTCGAATACATGCTCCTCGAGAGGATCAACGCATTCCGAACCATCACCGAATCCTCTTTGTGTATGGCACAGTCGACAACGCATCGGATCAAACGACGAGTATGCTGAAACACAAGGTTGAGCTCCTGATTGTACTGAGTGCGCTGGCGGGCCAAATCTTCGTCATTTGGCAAGTCCGCGCCCCCAAGAACAGCTTGGATGATGAGCGAGATCTTTTGCGGGGTTTGATCCAGGTTGACAGGAATTGGGAACTTAATCGCAGGCGATGAGTTTAGCGTCTTGTAGAATCGCTTCTCATTTTGCCGGAATCTTAGTTCACGGAACTCGCTAGCTGCACAGATTGCAGAAAGCTACCTTCAGTGTCAATACGTGAATAAAGAACTCTAGAATGAACAAACATACGATCTCAGACAACTTAGCTCGTGGTTCAAGTGCGATGAAGTGTTGCATGGTATCTAGACGCGCCGCGTAACGGGCCATGATCTCCCCGTATTCTGTGAGCCGGATTTTTTCCCTTCCCTCTGCAAGATCGGAGCATGCTAAGAGCTCCAGGCCACTGGCGCATATATGTTCTAGACGTTCATCAAGGGTACTTCCGGGAATATCTCCCTCAATCTCGTAGTGGGTTGGATTTTCCTGCAAGCGCACATAGAGGAAAGTGCTCTTGAGCCATTTCTTTGCCGAGTTCAAGTCACATATCGTACCGAGACCTATCTCAGCATTCTGCACACCAGTTAGTGTGCATCATACCAGATGGCTGAAAGTAAATATTCACCAAATGCTCAACCAAATTAAGATGTAGGCTGCAGATTGTCAGCATGCAGAACGGAAAATGAAGAGGGGTGCCGTATTATGGAACGTACCGGCTCTCTAATATCTCCTTTCCCGAGACCATCAACTCGTAGCGCCTGACCTTTTCGTTCTTCGTGATGATGACTGCAACAGCATTGTCGTCGAATTGTGGCCGACCAGCTCGACCGAGCATCTGCATGATCTCGAGATCTGAGCACTCCCGAGTATTTGGGTGCACGTATGTGATGGTGTTCTTGATAATAACTAAGTGGCAAGGAAGGTTGACTCCGACGGCCAAGGTCGATGTGCAGCAGATTACACTGAGCTCCCCAGCAAGGTAGGCCTTTTCGACGGCCTGCTTGTCATGCAATGAGAGGCCTGCATGATGATATGCCACTCCGTTAATCGCGCAATCTGAGTGATAACGTTAGTACCGCATGCGAAGTATATTGACTTGAAGAATTAAATCATACCACGCAACGTTACTTCATCAAATATCGGCAGTCTCCTTGGCTGTTCCCAAAATCGTTGTCTGGGACTACTTTCGTGCCACCATTTTGCAAGAGAACGTGCGGTTTCTTCACAGGATTTCCGTGTGAAGCAGAACACCATGATCGGTTTCTTTTGAGAGTACTTGGTGATAATTCCCGGCAGCCTAAAGAGATCAATCAGGTCAGGTCTGTTCGTAACAGAGTTTGGAGAAAACTTACTTATCGCTAAGGATTTTGTCAAAAGCGAAGTCGCTTATAGTATTTCCGCCGAAGCCGATGACATGCTTCTGCAGCTTAACTGGCCTGAAATCTTCACCAAACCTTTCCTTTCGCGCAGGTATGTCCTGGTTCGTGGGGCACTTCCCCAGCCAGATTGCAATGTCTTCGAAATTTGGCACTGTAGCAGACAGAGCGACGAAGCGAACGTCCGTACCGACGGACTTCATGCGTGAAACGACGGCTTCGAGGGTGGCGCCGCGATCTTCCTTCAGGATATGGACTTCATCGATAAGGAAAAGCTTGACCATCTGCACCAGACGTTCATGATCCTTCCAGCGGCGCGTCATGCTATCCCACTTTTCCGGTGTGGTGATTATGAGGTCTGCTGTCTGGACGTCATGCAGCTGTTCGTTCGTCGTGTCACCTGTGAGTTCTTTGACCTTCAGACCCAAAGGCTGGAACTTCTTCTCCCAATCTCTCTGCCGCTCGCAGCAAAGTGCCTTCGTGGGTGCTTGGTATACGGCTTTGAAAGAGCTGCTGGTGTGGCTATTGACCAGACGTAAGATGGCCAGCTCGAAGATCACCGTCTTGCCACTTCCAGTTGGTGCGCTCACGACGAAGTTGTCGTTCGTACAGTAAACACTATTAAAGCATCTGGATTGCACCGCGTTGAAGGCCGGGAATGGGAAGACGGTACGGAACCGGTCAGGTAGCTGGTGAGTGGAGACAAGCTCAATACCCTGGACCAAGGGCATGCCACCTTGCTCAGGCTGCCGTAGAGACTGCTCCCGGATGAAATCCGGCTTGAAAGCTTTCGAAGGCCCAGCTTCAACCATATTATCTTTGTCATATGGAGCATGTTGCAACTCTTGCGGCTTCACAAAGCTGGATCCTCGATCAAAGACTCCCCGCTGACTGGCCCTAACGCTTGGACTGGAAGGCAGCGCCCGTGGGGAAGAGCTGCTCTGGAACATGAATGGGGTGCGTTGCGAGCGAGGTTGTTGAGTGTCTTGCGCCTGGTGTGCATAGTGCAATCCAGGTTGACCTGCGCGTCATCAGCCCGGACCCTACTTTTTGCTACCGTCCACCTTGCAGTCTCTTACCGATTTCTGTGCCATTATAGTTTCCACGATGAGATTCGGCGGTTCTCGCGTATTGCTGGCCGCTGGCTGCCGGCAGGAGCGAGAGCCGAGCGCGACCCTCCTGCGCCTGCCTGGTTCGGTCGTCATCATGCTGTTTCAACAGCCTCTGGTCTACTCACAATTAGCGAAGATCTCACAAGTTCACATTTGACCTGCGTACCGAACTCATCAAATGTGACATCATCGTCAAAACTGTCATAGTCGTATGCATGACGTCGCCCAGTGTTGCTATCGCGTTCGCGGTGTGACAGCTCATGTTGGTACAGGCGATACTGGTGGTGGTTCAAGGCGGACTGGAAGCGTTCATAGCCTCCATGCGTATTTGAGTTCCGTGAGTTCTGCGTGAGGTGTTCGTTGTCATGCGGACGAGCGTGGCTCTCAAAATTGTCCAGCATTTCGAAGATGGATCCGTCCATCTTCAGTGCGGACGTCAAAAGCAGGTAGCTGAGAATAGTAATGCAAGGAGAATCATATGCCCACGCGGGCGGAGTGAGGCGGAAAAGGGTTCACTTTGTGGGGTGTAAGGTATGAGGCGTGAGGTGGGGGAGAAATGGCAGTGACAAGAAGCGGAAGTCGCGAAGGAAGATGCCTAATCCACCAGGCAGAACACCATTCAGAAACGCCACGAACAACTTTCTCAAACATACCGCTTCACAGAAACAAGGGCTCGAAAAAAGAAAGTTTGGGGAATAGAGAAAAATAATGATTCGATGCTCATCAACCACGGAGAGCCTGCCCTCTTACCGGCGCTTGCGCGCATGCTTCATATACCATTTACCCTCTCTTTTCTCATCAGTCTGAAGTAAAAGTAATGAACGCATTGCCGAAGTACACTTTCCACGCGTTCAAAAGCGCGGTGACCAAGTTTTTCAGGTAGGGAACGCCAGCCAGTGGCACGCCTCCTCCGAAGTCTTTCTACGCCATACGTCTGAATCTCCTTTTCTCGAAACAAACTCATCGCTCCTGGTATCTCGTTACTTCATCCTCCAGTTTTGCATGCTTATTCGTTGCGCTTATCAAATCCTTTGAATCCTTGCCTCTCCATGGTGGGAGTGGTGGGCCTGCTGCTCGACAGACCCTGGTCTACGCGCGGCGTCTTGAGCAGGTTGCCGCCGCCTGTTCCTGGCGTCATATCGAAGAAGCCGTTCTCTCTATCTACAATCGTCTTCTCGAAGCTCGCGATCTTGATTGGTGGTGGACGAGCCCGGTCATTGCTCGTGTACAGATATGTCGAGAAGAGCACAATGGCGGTGCCGATAACATACTAGAAAAGTCAGTCGAGCAGCAATGTTGGGGAGGGAAGGACCCGCTTACCTGTCTTGAGATGGTAAATTCGAAAAACCATACACTCGCGAGACAAGACAACAGAATGCTGATGCTAGTGGCGAAGTTCTTTGCGATGTTGTCGGCATACGACACAACCATGGCGACTACGACGCCTCCGAGGGCCTGCAACCCAATAGCTGCCCAGACGACCCAATTGTAGCCGACGAAGAAGCCGTACTTGGCTATTTCTTCTCCGTCAATGAACATGACACCCAGGAAAAGCGCTGGAAAGAGAGAATAGAATGATAGCTGGACGTTGCGGACCCATAGACTAGCCGGCGTGTGCGACTCTTTGAGGATCTTCTCAAAGTAAACGCCCGCCAAGCCCGAGAGCACGCAAGCAACCACCACAGCAATCAGTCCAATGGAAGAATTGAGCTGCGGGTGCTGAAGCGCCACATCCTCCTCAATGCCCTCGTAGGTTGCAGATCTCTTGACCATGTGATGCGTCGTGCGTTTCATGAGCTGTTTAGCAGTCTCGCTGCCGAGATCCCGCAGCTCTTCGATGCTGCGCGGCCAGAAGAGACGGCTGCTCTCCAGCCTCAAGCTGTCCATGCTCGTAGGATCGTTCCCAGAGGGCATCTGCACGATGGCGACGCCCGCCATGAGCAGGACGAGGCTGACCCACTTACGCAACGTTAAGGTCCGCCCCAGCAGTGTTACGCTGAATATGGCAGTCGTAAGGATCTTCATTTGGTATGTGACTTGAAAAGTGGCGGCATCTAAATTGCTGACCGCCACATATTGCAGGGTGTTTTGAAGCGTGTAAAGCATTGCGGGTATAGCCATCTTCCAGCTGTCGCCAGCAAACACGGCGGATGAAAGCGCTTGGAATAGTGTTGTCGCCGGCGTGGACGATGGAAGGGCCGAGGATATGTCGTATAGTGCCATGGTGAGAGATATCGAAAGCTTCAGCACTTCATTCATGAAGACTGCGGTGCTCGTGAAATATCGATGCGGAGTCGTCAACGGCATGATGCGCGAGTAGTGCATTACCTGCCAGCGAACGTCAGCATGCTGTTCCCTTACTGTGATTTGATGTCCAATGGGGACAGGTTCCCGGAGCTCCTCGTCGGGTCATCAACAGCTACGAAGTGCTAAATCGTAACCATGAAAGTTCCCAGACCAAACTAGTGCCGCCAATGGGTATTCCGCATGAACAAGGGCCGATTCGAGCTTGGGAGCGGTGCGTACCAATATGAGCGCTGAATTCTGGAATGTCAACTGGGGCGGAAATCAGCGCATGCTCAAGAGTAAAGTTGCGACAAGACCAACCGTGATGAGGGAAAGGGTGCGGAGTGGAATGCCAGCCCAAGAGGCTGACCGACGATCTGAGATTACGCCCATGGTTGTGCTTCCCTTCCGGGATGACAGCAGCGTGTACGAACAAAATGTCGGCGGTAGTTGCGCCGTCGAGGCGTGGAGGCTGGAGCTGGTGGATAGGGGAGCGGGCGGCGCAGCAGGGTCAGCTCTGGAGCGGACGGCGTAGCAGGGTCAGCCGAGGGGCACGGCGCAAACGAGAGGCGCGAGGGTACGGCGTTGGTGGTGACAAGCAGACTAAGAGTGGCGGGAGTACGCAACGGACGCGCGGAGCACAGGGAGCTTGGACTGGCGCAGGCGTGGTGTTGCGATTGATGTGGAGCGCGCGCGGTAATCAAGGATGCGGCAGCTGTACGCGCATCCCAGTTGTCGATCTACGCCCTCAGTGTCGCTGCCAGGTTTCGCCTTGATTCGGCATGTCAGCGCCTGTGGCGCCTACTCTTCGGGGCCAATACCTACCTACACCTCGGCGCCCCGCAAATCTGCGCGCGCCCGACCAGCGGGCTTTGGCCTTTTCCCCGGATTTGCGCGCGCGCGGACAGGTGCCGGCCGCTTCACGATCATGTGTGCGTGCGCGGCTTGCAGGTGCCGAGCCGTGCCTGAACATCATTTGCTGGTTCTGGCCTGGAGCCGGCACTGCCCAACTCACGCGCACACCGCCGCAATGCACTTGTTCTGCGTTGTGGCTGCGCTCGCTGGAAACAAGGAAGCTGTCAAGCTTGTGTCAAAAAATCGGGCTCGTGTCACGTCGCCCTAACTTTGTTTCGCTGCTTCGTTGCGTAATCTACTGCGCTACTGCTTGATTCGTCGCCCGCCATCTTCGGTCGCTTCGACCTCGACCTTCTTGCCCTGCTTTGCCGCGCGCTGTACTTCCTCCTCCCACGTCGGATAGTCCGTGTACGCTACTTCCCTGTCGGGGAAAGGACCGTAGAATCGAGAACGGTCGTACTTCCTGAGCGGATATCCCTTCTCTAACCGCTCCTTGATGTCCGGGTTGCTGGTAAACAGGCGTCCATACAGCAGCGCATCGTACTTGCCGGATTCGAGGACACCCCACGAGTTTGCATCGTTCCAACCGCCCGCAGAGAAGAAGGGAGTTGGCTTCGGCCCGGCGTTGAAAATCTCTCTGAACATTGACAAATCAACGTTCAAAAGACCCCACGATGCAAGGAAGTTATCCTTCTCCTCGGGCGAAAACACCTGCTCGTACCTCTATGTGTCTGTTAGATTGCAAATACTGTTTACTTGATGGAACCAGGGAACATACCGGCTCGAGAAAACTGACATACGAAAGCGTCGGGTGATTTTTCTTGAGTTCTCGGCACAGGTGGCCCCACGTTTCGACACGTTGCTCTCCACGAGCCTGGTTGTACAAACCGAACGGTGACAATCGGATCGCCAGATTCTCCTCCCCGATTGCAGAGGCGACCTCGGCCATCAGGTCCAGAACAAACTTGCATCTCTTCTCGGGAGAGCCTCCGTACTCGTCAGTCCTCTTGTTCGCGTTGGAAGACAAGAATTGCTCGGGAAGGTAGCCGTTGGCGCCGTGGATCTCGACACCATCGAAGCCGACCTCCATGGCCGTCTTCGCTGCCTTGACATAGTCCCCGATGGTCCGCTTGATGTGCTCAACGCTCAGCTCTATCGGCGGATACTCCCTGAACTTGACAGGCTTGTCCGCGCCGACGGGAGGGTAGGGATAGCACTCTTCCGGATCGTCCCAGAGCACAGCTGACGGGGCAACCGCGGGAGTGCCCGTGAAGGGCTCGATCGTGGTGCGTCCAGCATGCCAGATTTGGGCATAGATATAGCCTCCGGCGGCGTGCACGGCATCAGTCACCTTCTTCCAGCCAGCAGCCTGTTCGGGAATGAATATCCCTGGCACGCCGGGCATTCCGTTGCTCTGAAGAAGCGCATCAGTATAGCCCCAATCCGGGGATTTGTCCTGGCTCGTACCTCTAGGCTAGGCGGAAGCGCCTCGCTGATAAGAAGGCCTCCATCTGTGGTGCGCTGGCGGTAGTGCTCCGCAACCAGCTCGTCCGGGTACCATATGCGGTTTGGCTTCTCGGGTGTACTTTCAGCACTCAGAGGGACGCCTCTGTTGCGGGTCAAAGGAGCAAGGACGACGCGGTGTTTGAGGGTAATTTTGCCGTTGGCAATCTCGAGAGGCGTGAAGAGCTTCGAGGCGGCGCCCTTGGGAGTTTCTATTATGGAACCCATGGTCAGAGACGATGTGCAGTAGAAGCAGGAGAGCGAACGCTACGGAGCGGGAGGCTCGCAGGCGGCTCCAGTCTTAGTACTTCACTTGCCCCTCCCGCCGGGAACGCATGAACAAGGCAACCTTGAGCGCGGCAAGAACATTGGACCGGATTTGGTAGCGTAACGCGTTAGTGGGTTGATGATCCAAGCATGGTGGGCAAGGTGGTGCCCGGGGCCAGAATTTCAACCCTTATCGGGCCTAAAAAGTGTAGTGCCCAGACGCACACTGCGCCCACGCATTGCCCCATACGCCCTCTACAGGGATGGAGAAGGGTTGAATCTCAGAAGGTGAGCCGAGATAACAGCAGAGGAAAAGCATAGCCATTGACTGTAGCCATCACACTTGACATGGCAGTTACGGCCCCCACACCGGAGGATCCACACGCGGCCAGCAAGAGGGTCTGAACTGTCACGGTTTTCCGTATTAGCCGCCTTGCACCTTCACAAGACAGGTAAAGTGGCACTCGGCCCGGCATGGGCCTTGTTCGGGAAACCAAGAGCCTAGCATAGATTAGCATCCTGGCATGCATAATGGACGCTGCGCATGAGCGGGGAATTTCTCCGGGTAAGCAACGGGAGGCTGATGCCAGGGACGCGCCACCGAGGTTCGGTTTCACAAGCCGATAAGACTCGATAACGCTTACTGCATACGCCCTACGCTTGACAGGGTGTGCACACTTTTCTTGGGACCGATTTTGTGATCTGCCCCTGCATCCTCTATCTTTCCTTGACACTTTGGGGTCTGTTTTGCTGGTTGCAAAAATGGTCAGTACTCCTGTTTGGTGACATCACCAATCGCAACTGACACCTCAGGCAACAAGGCACGCGGCGCAACATCAACCAAACTCGTTTATCTGCACCAGGATACATTGCGAGAGTATGCGACAAAGGTTGTATCTGTCGAGCCCGTCACGAGTCTTCCAGATGCCGACAAGGCTCTGCTGAAGAACGCAACCGATGACGACCACGTGGTCATTACCGAGGAGACCATCTTCTACGTGCAGGGCGGAGGCCAGCCCACCGACACCGGCTCGATGACTGCGGAAGACTCGAGCGACGATTCTTTTGCAGTTGTGGCCGTGAGGAAGGCCTCCGAAGGCCGCGTGCTTCATTTTGGGCGCTTCTCCGGCAAGGCTTTCACGCCAGGCCAGACTGTGAAGCAGTCCATCGATGCCGAGAAGCGCGACCTCCATTCACGGATCCATGATGCTGGGCACGTAGTTGGACTGGTACGACACTTCTCCAAAATTTCTGAATTCGTCACTTATCGTTTGGTCATAGGCTGTGCGCCAAGTCGAGGCAGAAACGCCCGAACTGAAGCTGGAGGAGTCAAAGGCGCAGCATTACCCCGGGGCTGCCCATGTTGAGTTCATTGGGCCCATCGACGGCAAATATAAGGAGGCCATTCAAAAGAAGGTTGACGAAATGCTAGAGAAAGACTTGCCCGTAAAGACGTTCTGGTGGACGGAGAAAGAGTGTAGAGAGAAGTGTGTTTACGTCGCGCCTGAGATGACTGCGCCGGACGGAGAGTTGCTACGGGCGGTTGACATCGTCGGCGCCGGAGCATACCCTTGCGGTGGTACGCACGTTGCATCGACCAAGCTATGCGGAAGCATCACAGTGCGCAAAATCAGCAGGAAAAATGGCGTAAGTAGAATATCGTACGAGACGAAGTAGATTCGTACAACAGAACTCATGATAGACTACAATGCTTAGACTTGCTACTCGACATACCATTGCCGATATTCCGAGGAATGTAACACAAACTCTCTACTTTTGCGTTGGCACCAATAAATCCCACGAAGCCACCGTGTCCCATTGCGTGGTGTGAGGGCTTCCATATTTCTATGTGGATGTGCATAGATAACCTCGTGAGTGGTTTGCCGTATCACCTCTGTGGACTGTGGTGTCGTCTCAGCATTGAGGAGATGCTTCCGCCTGCCTAAATAGAGAGCGATAAGGGCACGTCAGCACAGGCCAAAGCACGCAACTAAGGTTTTTAAGGTTATCGGCTTCACCTGGAAAGCCGCCAACTAATATTAGCATCCGCTAATTTAACTCATAGATTCCCCACGCGATTGGACTCACCTAGCACAGAACAATCCGTCAGCACTGAATCAACATAGGCGACATGGCTCCTCACAAGAAACCCAACTTCCTGGTCGTCATTGCCGACGATCTCGGCTTTAGTGACACGGGACCTTATGGAGGCGAGATCCCAACTCCGACCCTCGATCGGCTTGCTAAGGAAGGCATCACAATGACTGGCTTTCACACTGCATCAGCGTGTTCGCCCACCCGCTCCATGCTCATGTCCGGCACAGACAATCACATAGCTGGACTTGGCCAAATGGCCGAATTCATGCGCACAAGGCCGGAATATCAGGGTCAGCCCGGATACGAAGGATACCTCAATTTTCGGGTAGCTGCTCTCCCTGAGATCCTCCAGGATAACGGTTATCACACTATTCTTTCCGGAAAGTGGTGAGTCCCGCAGACAAATGTTTGTTGAAATTAGGATCACTGACTCGAGATAGGCACCTTGGCTTGAAGAAAGAGCTGTCACCCCACGCCCGTGGTTTCGACAAGAGCTTCGTCTATTTAGCTGGCGCTGGCAATCACTACAACAACGAGCCTCAGCTGGGTGACCACCCTTTCCGCCCGGCCGCAGCGTGCGGAGACGGCTTGTGGATGAGAGACGACAAGTTCCTGGACAGGAAGAAGGACATACCCCGTGACTTCTACTCCACGCGCACCTTCTCCGACCAAATGGTCAGTTTCCTCCAAGAGCGCACCGACGCAGAGAAGGAAAAGCCATTCTTTGCGTACCTCGCCTACACAGCTCCCCACTGGCCTCTCCAAGCCCCGCAAGAGACAATCAAGAAATACCACGGCAAATACGACGCCGGCCCCGACGCACTCCGCACCCAGCGCCTCGAACAGCTCAAAGCCCGCGGCCTCGTCCCGTCCGACGTCGAGCCCGCCCCCATGATCGGCCAAATGCTCAAAGAATGGAGCGAGATGAGCGCCTCCGAGAAAGCCGACTCGGCGCGCCGCATGGAGACGTACGCAGCCATGGTCGACCTGCTCGACGCGCACCTCGCCACCGTCATCCAGCACCTCGAGTCGACGGGCGAGCTCGACAACACGTTCGTGCTGTTCATGTCCGACAACGGCGCCGAGGGCAAGCTGCTCGAGGCGCTGCCCGTCATGGCCGGCGTGCCGCTCGTCGAGGTCGTCCGCAAGTTCTACGACAACTCGCTTGCTAACATCGGTAATGCGGACTCGTTTGTCTGGTACGGCCCGCGCTGGGCTTCGGCCGCTACGGCGCCGTCGCGTGGCTTCAAGGCTTGGACGACCGAGGGCGGTATTCGTTGTCCTTGCGTTGTGCGGTACCCGCCGCTGACGGCTGCGGCTGGTGGTGGGGGTGGGGGTGCCATCACGCACGAGTTTACTACCGTTATGGACATCTTGCCGACTGTTCTCGATCTCGCGGGTATCCCGCATCCCGGTACTAGCTTCCGCGGACGTGAAGTCGTCACGCCGCGTGGCAAGTCGTGGGTGCCGTACCTCAAGGGTGAGGCCAAGGCGGTGCACCCGGAGGGCCAGGACGTCACCGGCTGGGAGCTGTTCGGGCAGCGCGCGATCAGGAAGGGGAAGTGGAAGGCAGTCTTCATTCCGGCGCCGCTGGGCAAGGAGGAGTGGGAGCTGTACAACATCGATGAAGATCCGGGCGAGAATCACGATCTGGCGGAGCAAATGCCGGAAGTCTTGGTGCAGTTGTTGGAGGAATGGGAAAAGTACTACACCGAGACTGGCATGTTCGATCCCAAGACTTTACCACAGCCCTACATTTAGAGTATTCTCTTATGGGGAAGGACGATGGTCTGCCATAGAAACTTTGATTCTTTTTTTTATTTACACTGCATCACTACTCCTTTCTTTTCGCCTGCAGAGTTTCAATCTGGTCATTTGACTCCTTTTGCTCCTCAGCAAACTTCGTTCTCGAAGTCCTGTGAAACATCCTGGTGGTTGAAAGGTCAGCCAGACTAAACGGTAGCTGCAACATCCGAAAAGGGGGCCATGTGTTTCTCATGGACTTCGTTGATCGCCTCTTCCTCATCTACACTTAACCTTTTTCCACGTCGCATCAACCCGGGGTCTCGCAACCGGGGACTCTTACCCGCTAGTATCTCCTTCTCTCCCCGGCCGAACCAACCCGCGTTCTCCCGTATCTCCGGCGCCTCCACCTGCTGCTGATGATGTTGATGCTTCTGCCTCTTTTCCCGCCACCGGCTCAATCTCCCCGTTACTCTGCGCCCTCTTCTCAGCCCCTCCATCCCGCTCCACCACAGCCGCCCCTCCTCCTCCTCCTCCTCCTCCTCCTCCCTCCCCTTCCTTCTTATACCTATCATGCGCCGTCGCCAGCGGCACATCAGTCAAAAACGCGCTACTAACCAAACAAGCGCCAATCAGCGGCGCCCCAAAATAAAAAACAATATGCAACCCCCTCATATACACCTCCACCACCTCGGCCCTCTGCTCCTTCGGCAACGTATCCAACAAAATCGACAACTGCGACGCCGCCGCGCGCGGCAAGCCCGCCGGCAAATGATCAACAAGCACGTTATTAATGACCGCCGCCGCACCCCCAAGCCCCACCGCGCCCCCCACCGTCCTCAAAAAATTCCGCAGCCCCGTCACCACCGCGCGATCCTCCTTGCGCGTGTTGCTCAGCAACGCAATCATGACCGGCTGCATCGACAACCCCAGCCCCACCCCCTCGACGACCAGACACCCCACAATCGTCCCCAGCGACGTCGTGGGCCCGAACGCGATCCGCCCGCCCGCGCCGGCCGTCCACAGCACGTAGCCGGTGCGGATGACGGGGTTGCAGCGGCCGAGGCGCGCGATGGCGAGGCCGCCGGCCGCCGACGCGAGCGAGAAGCCGAGGATGAGCGGCAGGATGAGGACGCCCGAGATGAGCGGGGACTTGTCGAGGATGACTTGGTAGTACAGCGGCAGGTAGTACAGGTCCGTGTAGTAGACGACGCCCGAGATGAAGTTGTGCGCGAAGAGGATCTTGGCCGAGGGGAGCTCGAAGAGGCGGAAGGGCATGGTCGGGTGCCGCGCGAAGCGGTATTGGACGATGATGAAGGCGAGGATGAGGATGGTGCCGATGGTGAGGAAGCTGATGACGAGGGCGGACGACCATTCGTACGTGGTGCCGCCGCCGGAGATGGGGATCTGTGGGGTGGGGTTAGCTGGGATTTTGTCTTGGGATGCGGGAAGGCAGCTGCTGCGTACTAGGATGAAGATGACGCCGGCTAGGCTCAGGAACATTCCTGGGTAGTCTATCATCTTGGCCTTGTCGATCATTCTGCCCTGAGATTTCTGACTCTGAGGCGTCGCGAGGAATACGGCAATGCCAGCAATGACCGTTACAGGTACAACGAACCTAGAGATCATGTCAGCTCATGTCATCACCACCAAAGCATGAAGTCTCGGCAACAGACCAAAAAGTCCATCTCCAACCCGCTCTTGACTGCGAGAAAGCACCCCCGATCAACGGGCCGATGCCGTTGCCCAGCGCAATATTCACTTCCATGAGTCCTTGGTATTTGCCCCGTTGTTGCAATGTTGTCAGGTCCGAGAAGATGATCATGACGAGGCTATTGATGCCGCCAGCCCCTATGCCTGCGATGCCACGAAACGTGTACAGAGCAACGGCTGATTTGGCAAACCCGCACAAGAGGTCGCCGATGGCGAGAAGAACCATGCAGATGCTATAACAATAGAGTTAGTGGAACGGAATGTGGGATGTTACATGGATGCTGCGACGAGGAATGCAGATTCAGGGCACCTACAGGAGACATGTTCTCCGACCAAAGATGTCGCTCAGCCTTCCGTTTATGAGCTGGAACGAAGTGTTCGCGATGAGGAAAGATGTGCCTGGTGACGGTCAGTATTCTGGTGGCGCGCCAGCCGGGCGTCTGCTAAACTAACCAATCCAAGATATAGTTTCAAAGGCGTTGAGATCTGTCGCAATAGCGGGGAGCGCGGTTGATACGCTGGTCTGGTCCAAGAACGACACGAACAAGGTGAAGGCTAGGGCGCTCAGGATAACAACCAACCGACCGAAGTTGAACTGGCCTTCGAAATTCTGGTTATCCACCAGTTCAGGCTCGGCCGGTTGGGGGCCGGTTTGTGCAGCAACTGTGGCGGAGGGACCCGCCTGCTGCTTCTCCTCGTCCATGGCAACAGCTGTGGTTCAGCTAAGGAGAATAACGGCCCCTTGGCATGTTCTTGTAGAGGGAATCGGTCGGGCGGAGTTCATGAGGAGGTGAGGTGCGAACACGCTTTCCCCACTGCTCTCGGATCGTAGACAGGCATTCTCGTTCGTGCATAACGCAGAAGTCCGCAGCCGCCATTCCCAGGGTAAAGTGGATCAAGAGAAGCGAGGCGCCCAACAAAGCGAGCTACCCTTGATACGTCAGAAGACGTTCGGTATTGGAGATTACGCAACCATCAGATGGCCAAGAGAATGGTGAAGGAATGGGTAGGATGGTGGGTATAGGCCTAGGCCTGACGGGAAATTAGCACTACTAAGTATCACAGCTCACCCGATATAGAGTGGCGGGCGGATTTGGTGCGCATCGTGCCGTACCTGGCTTGCCGCTGTGGATTATTCCCGTTGTCTCATTCCCGGCCGACGAGTCAGATGGACCTTGCAACAAAGTGTGGTACCCCACCCTTGCAGGTCCCCCGGTCGCTTGCTGCTGACGCTTGCGGCTCATACTTCCGATAATGGTCCTGTGAGCGGAGGAGTCCGCCCCCCGTCCAGCTGGATGGCGTTGTGTGGAGGGGATTGAGGAGGTGTTTAGATAGCTGAAAAGCATGTGGGCGCGTGCGCATAAATCCGAGGAGCTGGGCTGACACGCCGGGACGAGAAATGATCCCGTGTACTTAGCGTCGTGGCGTCCAGTAGACAACATTGTACTTTCCAAAACAGGATAAAGCGGCAAATCTCATCGTGACATCATGAGGGTCTGGAGGCTAACGATGGCAAAATCAGGGGGAAGAAAGGAGTGTACAGGTATACGTCGCATACTTAAAGGGATATTCTAGCCAAGGAAACAAAACATAGGAATACGCTCAAGGCTTTACGTCTTCACACTTGATCTCTTTCCAGTCGTATGCCTTTTGCCATGCGTGGCCGGCCCGGAGAACTTTTCCATCCTGCCACAAGCCGCTCACGATCTGCATAGCAGCAGGAAGCATGACGTTTGGATCCTCTTGGGCTGGTAGCCAGCCGATCGGAATACTCATGGCCGGTTGACCAGTGGCATCAAACATGGTCGTGTTGCTAGTCAGCCCAATAGTTGGAGATATGGTTTCGATCGGAGTTGTCCATTGGCCATGTTTCGGGGCGACAAAGCTTGTTGTTGGCAGAATGAGGACATCGTACTTTTTCAGTGCTTCCTCATACTCGTCGCGCAGCCTGCGGCCCAAATTCTGCGCCTTCGCGTACAGCGTGGGAAACTTTTCCATCAGATAAATTCCATTCAAGAAGATGTTCTTGGTGGTCGGGAAGAGCTTGTCGAATTTCTCCTGGGTCCAAGGGAGTCGGGCTTCCTCAAGCTTCGTCAAGCCCAGGCCGCGACGGCCAGCAGCCTTTCCCATCATTGATAGGCAGCCTGAAACACGCTGCTCAACTGTCCAGATGGCAGTGCCGAGGAGGTGATCCGGTATCGATACCTCTTCGACCGTTGCACCGAGTGCAGAGAACTTGTTGGCTGCATCCAAGACTGCCTTTCGCATCCTCGGTTCGACAATGGCCTGCTCGAAGGCTTCCTTCAATATACCAACACGGAATCCAGACAAGTTCTGGGCGTCATTACGGTCCTGTGAGGCGAGGTCTGCAGCAAAGGTGGTGCTGCCGTGTCTCGGCGCGCCCAGGCCTCGGTCATCGATGCCATCGTACCCCGAAATGGCATCCAAGCACAGAGCAGCATCCATGACAGTACGTGCCAGGGGACCGGCGTGGTCATTGTTGGCGTCGTTGGAGGCAATTCCGGTGTAAGGCACTAATCCGTGGGTGGGCTTCAGGCCAACACATCCACAGAGGGCAGCGGGGACTCGAATGCTGCCGCCTTGGTCGGCGCCAATGGCGAGGTCGACGAGACCAGCAGCCACAAGGGCGGCCGCTCCAGAGGTGCTCCCACCGGCCGAGTAGCCCTTTGCAAATGGGTTCTCGACGGTGCCATGAGAGCTGCTGAAACTCGAGGTGCTCTGGCACCAATTCTCGCAATTGGCGGTGCCGACAACCTCAACGCCTGCTTCAAGCGCCCACGTCACGACTGTGGCATCGGAGTCGGGTGTCCACGGACCTATGGAATCGGTGCCGAGCAGCTGCGGCACGCCTGCAACGGCGATGCAGTCTTTCAAGCAGAGAGTCTTGCCGGTCAAGGGGCCGTTGGTGGACGGGTCGTTGATGGAGAAGGTATGTGCCCAAGCAGCACCGAGGACCTGCTCTTCAGCGGATGGACGATGCAAGTTTCTGCGGGGGAACCTCTGCAGGTCGACTTGAGGGACGTAGTCGGGGAGGGCGTCGACGATTTTGGCGGCGTCGTGAAGGCCAGCGAGCAGCTTGAAGTAGTCGGCCTCCTCTTCCGGCGTCACCGTCACGCCGAGCTTGCCAAACGAGCTGCGCACATCCTCAACGGTGACGGGATTCGCGTCCGAGATGGAAGTGAAGAGGACGCTCATGGCTGGGCGACTGCGAGGGAGCGTCACGTGACCGGGGCACAGCGCGCTCGCTTCCGGGCAAAGGCAATCTCGAACGTCAGACGAGAGACTTGTCGGCGCAGCCGATGGTGTTCTTGAAGAACGCTTGATCGCGCGAACCAGACGGTCCAGTTCCGGGGACGGGTCTGCATCTGGACCGCTTATCAACGCGCAGAGCAGCGCCACCCAGGGCTCCCACCCGCCGATCACGGGCCCGGTCAATCGGCCGCGCCAGAGCTATCACCGACTCGCGCAGCACCACCGCTCACAGCCTCAATGCTCGTCCAATGCCCGCCATCCATTGCTCTATCGTGCCTCTCAGGCCGTCATCTGGTCGGCCTTGCAGCTGGGGAACTTGCCTGATCTGGCGCGCACCCGGAGACACGCACACTCCGGTTCGGCGCGCGATATGAGTCTTCGAAGCAATTGGCCGCGGGATGTGGGATTCTGGGGAAACTGAGACCAGCTAGAAATATTGAGTCGCGCCGGAGTCCGCCCCCAGTGGCCAGTCATCCGTTACCAAGCCTCTAGACACCTCTTTCGCGCCGGCCAGCGTTCCGTGCTCGGAAGAAAGACGCCTGCTGCATTCTCCTGCTCCCTCTGCAACAACTTTTGCATCCTTCATTCCTCGCTCCCGCGGCCTAAATCGGACAGATGTCGACTCCCTACAGCTTTGACAAGGATCCCTCCAAAGTCGCCCCATTCAAGTGGGATGATCACTACGACTTTCCGCGCGATTTGATCGGCTATGGCGAGAAATCCTTCAACCCGCAGTGGCCCAACGGCGCCAAAATCGCCGTATCCTTCGTCATCAACTACGAAGAGGGCTCGGAGCACTCGGTGCTGAACGGTGACTTGCACTCCGAGACGCATCTGTGGGAAGCCCCCGGCGGCGCCCCAAAGATCCAGGAACGCGCCGTGAATATTGAGAGCGAATAGTGCGTGCTTCTTTTTGCCACTTGGACTACGGCTAATTGCCTCCTAGCAATTATGGCTCAAGAGCAGGCGTGTGGAGGTTGTTCCGCTTGTTCAACAAGCATGGCTTCAAATACACCTTGTATGCCGTGGGCCAGGCCCTGGAGATGAATCCAGCCGTGGCCCTGTCGAGCGTTCAAAACGGCCATGACGTGGCCTCACACTGTTACCGGTGCGTTCACACGATTATTGAATCGTTACGAATCATCACTGACACCGCTCCAGCTGGATCGATTACCATGACATGCCCGCCGAAGAGGAAAAAGCTTTGATCAAAAAGGGCATCGAGACCATCCAGCGCATCACCGGCGAAGCCCCCAAGGGCTGGTACTATGGTCGCCTGTCGCCGCGCTCGCACGCTCTCGTCTGGGACGTCTACAAGGAGATGGGCCTCCCGCTCCTGTGGCAGTCCGACAGCTATGCTGATGACATTCCTTACTGGGTTGACGTGCCCGCCGAGAAGGACGATCCCAACCCCCAGGGCTTGCTGATGGTGCCCTACTCGTACGACTGCAACGACTACAAGTTCAACGTCCCCACCGGCTTCAGTGCTCCCATGGACTTTTACGATCACGTCAAGGGCGCCTTTGATGTGCTGTACGAGGAAGGTTCTGAGGGCATGCCGAAGATGATGACCGTCGGTTTGCACTGCAGATGCATTGGTAAGCCTGCGCGCTTTGCCGCGCTGAAGAAGTTTGTCGAGTACATCAGCGAGAAAGAAGGCGTGTGGGTTGCAACACGAACCCAGATTGCTGAGCACTTCAGGGAGAAGTTTCCGTACAGGAAGGGTCACTTGGCGTGAACAGAGCTCACGTGAATAGAGTAAAGAATGATTAGACGGCTCACATTTCCTCTATTGTTTAACGCTTCCGTAATGATCGAGACCAGCATCGAAATTTGCGGCCATTCATACCGTAGCAAGACTACGGAGTAAGCGCAATTTGTTGCTTGAGAGCTCCCGTTGTTCTCATTGTTGCATACGCCTCAATTTTTGTCGCACTTTCATTGTTAAACCTCTGCCACGTCGTTGGGACCTGGTGCCCTGTTTCTTAGTCGTGTCAAACCCAGCCCACGCAGATAACTTGGTATTGCCCTCAGAACGCCTCTTTAATGCAGCCTCAATCTTAACGCCATACAAAACCATGCAAGTCAAGACCGTGCGGAATTCACGGCCACTCTACTCCGCAACTCGTTTGACCGTAGGCCGCGGGAGTGATCAATTGCAAAGTACCAAATCCAGTACTTCGGTCTCGAATCCTCACTTATTTCTTCTTGTCGGAGTAGTCCCTGAAGACGTTCAACATGTGCGTGTTGGACGTCTTCATACCCTTCCGCGGCGCCTTCTTCTTCTTCTTTTGTGGCTGATTGTTGAGAGGCTTAGATTCCCTCGGAGCGCTCACAGGCTTCAGGCCAGCTGCTTCCAGTCTCGAGCGCATATCGTCGGGGTTGGCCGGAAGCGCGATGCTCAGGAACATGCTGCGGAACTCCGGGTCGATGTTGTGTGACAGAGAGGGATCGTTCTGCCAAACCAGAAGAGGCTGGCCCGTCTTCTGGTTGCGGGTGACCAGGATCTCCCCCTTCTTGTCCAGCTCATTGATGGCGTCAATCGCTCCCGTCCACCCATCCTTCAGCTCCGAGACCTTGATGCCCACCGAGCTTGTCTGTCGCTGCAAAAGGCCCTTCAACTGCTCGGCAGAGCGCACGTTGTGCTTGGGGCGGTAGCGGTAGGAACCTAACCCCTTGAAGCCGGTCGGATCGAATTCAACCTTGTCGTGGCGTTGCAGGATGGTGGTCAACAGCTTCCAGTCACGGCCGCCTTTAGGTGCCGGTCTAGGCTTCGCACCAGGGCCACCGGGCTCCTGAATGGACAGGTACTTGAAAACGTCCTCGAAAGTCATAGCTTTGTCGTTTTCCTTGAGGTAGTCGAGCGCGAAGGTGACACGGGTCATGGTCTCCAAACCAGAGCTTGTATTCTCCGGTTGCGAGTAGACTGGCGCGCTGGGATCGGGGCGCGGGCGCTTTTTGCCAGTCTGCGACGAGTTCGACGGCGTGGGCGAGGGCGCGGAGGTCGCGCTCGACGGCTTGAGGAAGGACATGGTGAGGAGCGGCGCTGGGCTGTCGCTAGCTGAACGCGATCGTGAGGATATTCGAGTCGAGCAGCTGCCTTGCCAATCGCAAGCAGTGCTAGCGGCCTTTGACGAGCTACCGAGGCGGCGCTGGCGATCCTAGGACGACGTGGGAGGAAGAGCGACGGGACAGAGTGGTGAGGTTGGAAGGTTTGAGTGCAGCCTACCTTAATGACGGCCTCAGGCAGGCGGCCCGGCAGAACTCCGGCAAAACCCCGCGCGCGTGCCAAGGCCCGCTTTCGCGCGAGCAGCTCATTGACGTTCGCCGCGCCTCCGTCACGGTCAAAGAAACATCACCAACCTCTCCACGCGCCCCGTCCCCACTTTCTTTCCATTGTGGGCCGCGCTTTACAATCCACTCCTTCTCCCCCTTTATTCCTCACCTTTGGTCAAAAGCCGCCTTATTCTCCTATTATGCGCTGATCTGAGCTCACTCAAAGACACCCTCTTCAGCCATGGCGACGGCGGCCATCGACACGGCCTACATCGCCGCGGCCTACTCGCTGCCCGAGCCAAACCTACAGACACTGCTCGATGCGCCCACAGTAGAGCTTGTCCAGGAGCTTTTAGCCAAGATTGAGGCTAAAGCGCGTGAGTTTGACGAGGTGAAGGCTGAGAAGCTGCGATCCGATGTTGAGCTTGAAAACGCCGTAAGGACGGGGGATGCTCGCGCTAGAGCTCTCAAGGCGTCCGTAGATAAGAACCTGAAAGAGTTGGAGGATGTTCGAAAGAAGTTGAATGAGGAGGGTACGTGTTGACTCTGCCAGCCAACTATTGGCCATTGCTGACACAGCTGCACTACAGAGAACGCGCGCGCCTCCCTCGAGTCCGAACTTCAAACCCTGAAGTCTTCATCCACGACATCATCTTCGGAAACGGAAGTGCTCCGCTCGCGTGTCAGCACCTTGGAAGCTTCGAACCGCGAGACCGTTGTCCTGTTGGAAGCGAAGACCACAGCACACGACAAGCTTGCGGAAGAGCTGTCAACTCAACACCAGAAGATAGTGGCGCTCCGCCGGGAAATTTCTGAGCTGGAGGACAAGAACCAGGCAGCACAGAATGCCGCTACGACAACCAAGTTCCGCCAGCAAGCCTTGCAGCAAGAGATTGACTTGCTGAAGAAGAACAATGAGTGGTATGAGTCGGAACTACAGACCAAGAATGCTGAATACTCGAAGTACCGCAAGGAGAAGAGCGCGAAGATCTCTGAGCTCCAGCGCATGTACGATGACGCGAACGAAACGATCGAATCGATGCGCCGGACTGAGGCTACCCTCCGCAGCCGTGTCGACGAAATCAGCCAGAAAGCCGAGGACTCACTCGAGAAGATCCAACAGCTTCAGGAAGCGGCAGCCAGGGCCGAAGAATCGTTCCGCGTTGAGCTTGAAAGCTCGCGTCGCTTGGCCGATCTGCAAAAGCAGAGCGCGGATACCGCTCGGGCACGCCTGCAGGAGGTTCAAGGCTCTTTGGAGAAGATAAAGGAAGATGCAGCGGAGGAATTGGGTCAGATGCATGCTGAGGTTGAGACGGAGCGCTCTGAGAAAGAGATGGCATTGAGGAAGATTGAGGAGTTGGAAGTTCAGGTCGAGAAGCTTGAATCGGACCTCGCATCTCGCCAGCAAAACACAGTGGCAATAACCGGAACTCCTCGGCGTGCTGTCAATGGTCTTGGAGGCGCCGCCACACCTGGACGCTCAGGATCGCCTACTTTCGGCACGCCTGGCTACGCTTCCCCATCGCGCGTGAAGGGTGGCCTCACTTTTACTCAACTCTACGCAGAGCATGCTCAGACCAAGTCCGAACTCGACGCCGAACGTCGTCGTAATGCGAAGTTGAGCAGCACAATCGACGAAATGATCCAGGACCTGGAGGCCAAACAGCCTGAAATCGAAGAGCTACGGGCTGGACATCAGAAGCTTGAGAACAATGTCCTCGAGATCTCAGAGCTTCTTGAAGAAGCAAACAGGGATCGGGATGCAGCCAGAAAGGAGGCAAGGAAGTGGACTGGTCAAGTCGATGGGCTTCAGCGCGAGGGGGATGTTCTGCGTCAGCAGCTGCAGGACCTTAGCAACCAGGTGAAGGCCCTCTTGTTCGAAGTCACTGTCCGCGATCAAGGCCTTGAAGCTCTTAGTGCCGCCGATCAAGCGGAGTTCGAGAAGATCGTCCGCGGCGAGATCGAAGTGGACGACAGAGTCACCGATACCAGCCGCTTCATCACTCAGCGTCTTGTCATTTTCCGCAACATCGAGGAGCTCCAAGAGCAAAACAACAAGCTTCTGCGTGTCACTCGGGAGCTTGGAGAAAAGATGGAAGGCGAGGAAGCAAGAGCCCAGCAGAACCAGGCAGAGAGGGATCGTGAAGAATTGGAGGAACTGAGAAGGAAGGCGGACCGTTACGAGGACGAGCTCAAGTCCTTGAACACTGTTGCAGAGAGCTACCAGCGTGAGAGGGATATGTTCCGTCGCATGCTCACACATCGTGGCCAGATTCCTCCTGGATCAGACCTGGCTTCCATGTTTGGCGAGTCGGTGGGACCGTCGACTCCGCCGCCTGGTGGTTTCTCTCAAAGTGTTGGCCCCGGTGCCTCACCACACGCGAAGGATCTCGCCGATTACGCCAAGCTTCTCAAGGAACTCCAGAGCCACTTCGATGCCTTCCGGAAGGAATCAACGACAGATCACGCCATGCTCAAAGAGCAAGCCGACCGTTTGGCTAGGGAAAAGAGCGACCTTCATGTGGAGATCAACCGTGCCAGCTCCCAGCTCACATTGGCACAGGAGAGATACGAGCTTCTGCAAGCTAACTTCAACCAACTGCGGACCGAGAATGCGGAACTACAAAAGAGAGGCCAGGCGTTGGCTGAAACTTCGGCGAAGCAAGATCTCAAGACTGCTCAAGTTGCGGAAGAGTTGTATGAGGCAAAGGCACAGGCCGACGGGCTGCGTCATGAAGCTGCCAACCTGAAGGCAGAGAAGGAATTGTGGAAGAACATTGAGACGCGACTGACGGAAGACAACCGTGCTCTCAGTGACGAGCGGACACGCCTCAACAAGATGATCGCAGATCTGCAGAATTTGCAGAACGAGCGGGAGCTTGCAGATTCAGAGAACCGCCGCCGCCTTCAAACTCGCATCGATTCTTTGGAGTCGGAACTGCAAACTACCAAGAGGAAGCTAGACGACGAGATTGAGGAAGGCAAGCGCGCTGCTCTCCGTCGCGAGTATGAATCCGAACAGAGCCGAACGAGGATCGACGATTTGGTCAAGAGCCTGGGCAACACAAGAGAAGAGTTGGTTGCTGCTAAGACGCAGCGCGACCAGCTTCAAGCCAGAGTGGACGAGCTCCGCATCGAGCTTCGCAACGCGGAAGAGAAGGCTGTGGCGTTGGCTCCTCGTCCCACGCCCCGTCGTGAGAGCATTGTTCAAAACGGCGAGGCTGAGTCAAGTGATCTCACTCGTGAGCAAGAGCTTGCTGTCGAAGTTGCTGACCTCAAGCGTGACCTCGAGATTGCCCGCAATGAGCTCGAGGCTGCGAAGACGCATGTTGAGCAATACAAGGCCATTGCTCAGGCTTCTGAGGAAGAGCTCCAGAGTATTAACGAGACCCACGACCAGTACCGCGAGGAAATGGATGGCATCATCGCTGAAAAGGATGCTAAGATTCGCGATCTCGAGCAGCGCGTTGAGGATATCTCCACGGAACTTGCTACTACCAACACCGAGTTGTCCAACCTTCGTACCGGCCACGAGCAGAACATGGCTCGGTTCAACGAACAGAAGGCTATTCTGGAATCTGAGGTCACTCGTCTCAAGGATGAAAGTGAGCGTTACCAGGAGACGGCCAAGCTCTGCCAGGAGGATCTCAAGGCTCAAGCCGCAATCGCTCAGCAAGCTCAGCAGAGCTACGAGACCGAGCTTGTCAAGCATGCCGAGGCTGCACAGAATCTCCAGAAGGTCCGTACCGAACACAACCAGCTCAAGACCGAGGTCGCCGAGATCAAGGCGGAGGCGCAGGCAGCCAAGGCGGCTTTGGAGTCAAGCGAGGACAGCTGGAACGAGACGCGCAGCCGCTACGAGCGCGAGCTTTCGGACCTCAAGATTCGCCGGGACGAGGTCAACGACCAGAACAAGAGACTTCACCAGCAGCTCGAGACAGTCAGCGCCCAGATCTCCGCGCTCAAGCAAAGCCGTGCTTCTCTTGGTGCGGAGCCTACCGAGCCTGGTTCCACCCCTCCGCCGGACACCGAGAATATGCAGGAGGTCATTCGCTATCTCCGCCGCGAGAAGGAGATTGTCGAGGTCCAATACGAACTGCAGATCCAGGAGTCCAAGCGCTACAAGCAGCAGCTTGACCATGTCCAGGCTCAGCTCGACCAGACTCGCGAGAAGCTCAACCAGGAACGCCAGAACCAGATTGAGAACCAGCAGACCAACGTCACGCACACGAAGCTCATGGAGACGATTAATGAGCTTAATCTCTTCCGTGAGAGCAGTGTCACTCTGCGCAATGAGGCTCGCTCAGCTCAGGCACAGCTCGCCGATAAGATCAAGGAGGTTGAGGGTCTTATGGCCCAGATTGAGCCTTTGCAGACCTCGGTTCGCGAACTTGAAAACCAGGTCGAGACCAAGTCGGGCGAACTCCAGCAACTCAGGGAGGACCGCGATCGCTGGCAGCAACGTACACAGAATATCCTGCAGAAGTACGACCGCGTGGATCCCCAGGAGCTCGCAGAGCTCAAGAATAAGATCGAAACTCTGGAAACTGAGCGTGACCAGCTCCTGGCTGAGAAAGAACCAATGAAGGCCGAGATCGATGGTTTCGAGGAGAAACTCAAAGCTCTCAAGAATACGATAACCGAAGAGCGTGATGAACACCACAAGGAGCGCCGCGAGAGGCTCATCGAGCAGTTCAAGGGTCGCTCGCGCGAGCTCTCTGCCAAGATCAAGGAGGCGAACCAGGAGAAGGAAGCTGCCAACCAAGCAAAGGAGCAGATGGAGCAGGAGCTGGTCGCCGTGAAGGAAGAGTTGGAGAAGGTCAAGGCGGCTCTCGAGGAAGCTCTCACGAATGCCAAGCCAGCCCAAGCCGACACGCAAATGCAAGATACTCCAGAGGAAGGAGAAACTCAAGAGGAAGGCGGAGAAGACTCTGGCGTCCCGAGCCCCGAGCTCGCCCTGTTGGAAGCTCGCGCTCAAGCTGCAGAGTCCAAGGCTGCCGAGGAGTCTGCAAGGGCAGCTGAGCTTCAAAGCCAAGTCGACACATTGCAAGGCAGAGTGCAGGAGCTCGAGAACCAGATTGTAAGTTTCCAAGGCCCTCATGTACACCGACATGAGCTGACGTGTATCCAGACCGAGGTCCAGCAACGCCTTGATTCCTCTACTGCTGAGCTTACGCAACTCAAGGAGATCCAGGCCGCCCAGCCTGCGCCATCCGAAGCTGCACCAGCTGAAACTGCACCGGTCGAAACTGCATCTGCCGAAACCGCGCCGGCTGAGAACGCTGAGGCTCCTCAACCTCCTGCTGCAGATGCTGAGACTCTGGAGACTCTCGAGAAGCTCAAGGCTGAGCTTGCCACTGCTCAACAAGAGGTGGAGGCTCTTCGGGCCAATGCGACGTCCAGCACAGCACCTCCACCGACCGGAGAGGTTCCCGAAGGCTCCGTCTCCGCGGAGAAGATGGCTGAGGAGATCGCAAAGGTTAAGGCTGAAGCAGAGGAAAGTGTTCAGGCCGCACAGAACAAGTTCCAGCAACGTGCGGATCAAATGAGATCAGCTCTTACTAAGAAACTCACCGAGGGCAAGCAAGCCCTCAAGCAAGAGAACGAGGAGGCCATTCAAAAGCTCAAGGAGGAGCACGAGCAAGCTATGGCACAGCTCAAGAAGGAGCACGAAGCCGAGGTCGAACGCATCAAGACCGCACACCAACAGGAGCTCGAGCGTATCAAGAGTGCTGCGCCAGCTGAGCAATCCGCGCCGTCTACAAGTGTTGCACCTACTGATGGCGCTGCTGAGGCCGCACCTGCCCCTGGACCCGAAGTCAAGTCCGAGCCGTCTAAGTTCGCCGATCTCACCGATCAAGAGGTCAAGGACTTGGTCAACAATAACAACACGATCAAGGCTATCATCACCCGAAACGTCCGGACGAAGTTGTCTACCGAGCTGGAGAATAAGGCGAAGGAATTGAACGAAAAGCATCAGAAGGAACAGGAGGAGTTGCAGAAGAAGGCTGATGGCGCCGTTGCCATGGCGGAGAAGCGTGTTGCCCTCAAGCTGAACATGGCTCAGAACAGAGAGCGCAATGCAACTGCCAAGATTGAAGTCGTCCAGAAAGCCGCCGAAGAGACACCTGAGCGTCCCGTTGGGGAGGTATGGGCCGTAGCTAAGGACGCCAAACCTGCCCCTGCAGCACCTCCGGCCGCAGCGCCTGCGCAGCAACAGGGCCAGCCGGCACAATCGCCCGCGGCTACTCACGCAGCGCCTCACCCAATGCAGCAACAGCCGCAACCTGGAAGCTTCGGTCAACCCGCCCAGCAACACACCGGCCTCCCCCGTCCGCCGGTGCCAATGAACCAATTCCAAGGCCAGCAAGGCCAGCCCCCGCAAATGAACCCCTTCCCCCCGCAGAACAACACCGGCATCCCTCGCCCGGGAAGCGCGATGGCTCAGAACAACCAGTTCCGCCCGAACTCGCCCTTCCAACAGCAGCAGCAGATGCAGCAGGGGCAGTTCCAACCGCAGGTTCAGATGCAGCAGCATCAGCATCATCCGCAGCAACAACAGCCAGGCGTCGGCGGCATGCCGAACCCGCAGCAGGTCAACAACAACCCTCTGCACAACCGCCCCGCACCCCAGCAGCAAGCCCAAGGCGGCCAACCACCCAACGCCGGCACCGGCCCGGCCGCTCTGCGCAGCCTGCAATCCGGCACGGGCATCCCCCGCGGCGGCGGCATTCCCAGACCTGGCCGCGGTGGCGGACAGGCGGGCGCTGGGCAGCAGGGCGGCCAGCAAGGTGCACATGCTCAGAGCAACTTGCCCACTCGTGGAGCTGGCGGAGGCGGCGGGCGCGGTCGTGGACGTGGTGGTGCTCAGGGTGGACAGGATGGAGGTCCTGGTGCCGGTAGAGGCGGCATGAACGCGTCGGCGAAGCAGTTTGTGCCGAACAAGCGGCCGAGAGAGGATGGCGCTGATGGTGCTGGTGATGGTCCGAAGAGGGCGAGGGGTGGGGGTAATGTCGGGAACTGAGTCGAATTCTTTTTTGACGACGAGTAGGGTTGAAGGTGTGTGATGGTGCATGGAGGGGGTGGTGGTGGATCATTGCCTTTGAGCGTTTTCGATCTTCACTTCGCTGTGTTTATCTTCTTCGCTTTTTTCTTTTCGCTTTTATTGCTTTTGCGCGGAGAAGTGCAGCAGGGAAAGACATCAACATCCTTTTTTTTATTCTTTCTTGAGCAGCAGAATCATCGGCGCGTGGGGGGCTTTGCTTTTCTGGTTTTCTGGGTTTACTCAAGAAACATTCGTCGATGTCCGCATCTTCTCTCCTTCCTCTCTCGGAACTAATGAGCAAGGAAATCATCGGTGGCATCATTTCTTTTTTCTCTCTCCTTTTTTTTTTCACATTCCACTTGCTTACAGTTGCTGAGTAGTGGATGTGTTCGTTTGTAGTACCACAATGGCTGGGCTGGCTGATGGGGAGGGCCGGATAGGGAAGGGAACTGGAGAAGAAGAAGCTAAAAAGAGATACAAAAAGTAATGGGTCTGCTTGTTTTTTTGATTCCGCGCCTGCTGCGACAGAAGATGGTTTCCTCCTTGCTTGTGCGTGCGTCACGCATATGTAATTGTATCGGATCGGGCTCTCTCGTGTGAATTGCCGTCATGGAGCGAGATGCGTGCGGGGAGACGAAGAGAGAGAGGTGAAGCGGGGAACGTTATTAGCATAGGGGAGTGGGACGACGGATTATGGGGGATGGGCTGAGTGTTGAATAGGTTGTATGTTACGTGGTTGTTCGGATGGGGGGCTTGTCACTATTCTCGGTTGTGAAAGTGGGCTTTGTAGGTTCTATATATACCCCCTTCTTTCCGGTAGAGAGTGATAACAGCGATGAAGTGAGAGAGGGGGTAGAGAGAAAGCGGATTGAGGTGGGTGACAGGAGCTTCACCTCGCTAACAAGCACCCAGCGCCATATGATGCAGTTGTCTTACACTTGGATGTACCGAGGAGAACTCCTCTGTACTAACCAGCCTGCCTCGAGCTGGCTGAAACAGTTTACGAAAAGAAAACCTCGCTGGACCTCTACTATTACTGAGCGCGCCAAACGTACTAAATATGCTGGAGATACCGGGTGCAAATCCTACAAGCGGCAACTTATCGGCTTGGCCCGATAGTTTTCTTTTTGGAGGGCCAACAGTACTCTGGATCATAATCGTCCACGACACGGCCGCAGGAGGGGTACACGCTGCCCAGGCCGACTTTCTCTCCGAACGGGCAGGGGAAATCCATCTCAGTCCCATGGATTGCGGGATCGCAGTACAGGAACTCGTTCACCTCTTCGTCAACCACGAGCCTCAGGCTCCGCGCATTCCTATCCATCTCCTCCACCATCCTTATGTGGCGTGCGTTCGGCCTCTGACACGAAAACACCCTTGGAGGCACCCCGGATAGTACCACGTCCTCCATGACCACCACCCTCGGCGCGTCCCTGCTCCACACCCCCTTCTCGAGGTTCCGCGTAGCCGTCTCTACGATGTGTCGGCGCAGCCGGTGCATCGCGTCGGACGTCGACGACGAAAAGACCAGCGTATCCAACTCCACACGACGAATCGTGGCGGGCGGCAAGCCGGCCAGCAGCCGCACCAGCGCCTCCGTGTCGACGACCAGGCGGCCCAGCCCGAAAGACTCCAGCTGCGGCCACCGCTCGACCGGGATCCAGGCGTCGAGGTGCGCGGGCAGCTCCTCGACGAGGTACGACGCGTCCGCGTCCTCGGTGTTGACGAAGGTCGACGAGAGGGAGAAGTGGCGCAGGTGCGTCAGACCTTGAAGAGCGCGCCGCAGGCCCGGCCCGAAGCAGTCCCACGGCGACGCTATTCCGTTGCTGCCGTGCAGGGCCTGCCTGCAGTGCGCGTTCACGGCGAGGTCGAGGCGGGTGAGCGGGAAGGCGGAGAAGAGGGTGAGGGTGCGCAGGTAGTCGTCGCGGTGCTCCTGGCCCGAGGCTGCGTGCGGTCCCGCGAAGAGCGCGTGATGGATGCCGTTGGAGCTGCGGTTGACGTCGACGACGAGCTCGCGGATGGAGTGGGAAGGGTGCTCGGCGTGGTACGCCAGCAGCTCCTCTACAACGATGGTATATCCGCGGAAGCAGCGGCGCTCGATTTCCCACGACCTCGCGAGGTGCGCCTCCCAGTCGAATCGATGCAAATTGCTTACGCTTTCTGGACTATCTCTAGGAGGAGGACCACCCTCGCCCGATGATGCCCGCTCCATTTCCCAGTTCCGCTGGTGCCGGTCGACGACGTCGCCGTGCCAAGCGCGCGGCAGCGGCATCCAAAAGTTCGCCGGCAGGCTGCGGAAGAAGGGCGTCTCGTAGCGGGGGAACAGCCAGCGCTGCGCCCACGCCACGGCTGTTACTGTCACGCGCGTCAGGTTGCAGAAGGCGCGTAACCCTTCGCGCAGCGCCGCCACATCCTCACCTGCGGCAATGATAGCTTCTTGCTCGCGCAGCAGTCGGAGCGAGTAGTGATTGTGCGCGGAGACGGCGTCCATCGGGAGCGCCGACTCCGCGCGCCAGAGCTCTTCGCGCCGCTTGGTATACACAGGTAGGGCGCTGCTCCGTGGGTCTGCCCTTGTGTGGACGTGATTATTGTTTCTGTAGAAGCAATGGTCTAGGGTGGCTTCTCTGTCGAAGCGGTCAAAGGTTTGGTAGTCGAGCAGCTGCGCATCGTCCCACACGATTTCCCGGACGCGCCTGCGGAAGGTTGGGTGCTGGGCTACGGCCAGAAGAACGTCAATGTTGGCACGGCTCGGTGAAATATAGACGCGGGAGAAACGGAGCGGAGCATGGTGAGAGAGGGAGCGGCATGTGAGGCGGACTCTTTTGATATCTTTGTTGGGCAAATAGTCACATATCGTAGGTATAAGCTCGACTGGAAGTGTGTGCAGGGACATGACGGAAAGAGGAAGATCCCGGGGAGCGCAATTGACTCAAATGATTGGCTGTGAAGTTCTAGAGAAGAGATATTGGCGGTGAGAAGTGATGAAGCTCACGTCAGGAAGCAGCTGACGTCGAGAGCAGGCAGCCGCCCTAAAGTCGTGGCCGTAGATCACTGGTTGCTTTTTCCATGCCCCACGGAATGCACGCTCAACCCCTTGTAAATCCTATTAGAGATCGAAAAGAAATAGTGCAATGCTAATGTACTTTTAAGAAGAACTTCAGTGGAGCATAAGATGCGTTACTTGGTTGATCGATACGACTGAAGAGGCAGAGCAAACGCTTATCTTCAACATCCTACGCCTACTAGCTACGACATCAACCACCAGGTTCTACCTGTGCACAATGTCACACATTGAGTCTCTTAATGACAGCAGCACGGTACAGCCGACCATGAAATCACCAGAGCTCAAATACTCGAGTTAAGCAAGAAGATTGCGATCGCAATCGCTCTCTAGCACGTATCCGAAATTTCATCAGCATCAATAGGAATGTTTGAAGTGGAAACGAGGAAAGGAAGAAATAAGACAGAAATTGGTATATAAAGCCCCTAGAGAAGAAGAAAAAAAAAAAGCTCATGTGAAAAGGTAGTTCAAACGATCAAACATGTCCCAACCCAACCCTGACCCAATCCTAGCCCAGAACCTGAATCTTTAATAATTTGGTATATGTGTCTGCTTTCGATATTTTAAGGACTATCGGGCCTCTGCTTTTGCGGGTGTTGGATAATGTGGAATGGAAGCATCAGCAGACGTGGCAGGGTAACCTTGCAAGAAAATATAATCTCTACTACACACATTGGCGCTTGTGCGCGCATCGACTCCCGCCTGCGCGGGCCTGGCATGATGGTCTGGAGAGCGAAGAGAAAAGTGGCGGGTGGGAGGAGGGCGAAAGGCAAGTCCACGAATTAAAGAAAAAAAAATTCAAACCCGGATGACATAGGGAAGAGACAGACAGAACGACGTGCCCTTTTTGATAAACCCTCCAAAAAATCCCTTGTCATCAGCGGGCAGCCACCCAGTGATGATCCATCCTGCCTTAAGCTTCATTCCTCCAATGGCCTGTTGATCCCTCATGAAAGCAAACACGGCGGCCGTTCCATGTACATGATCTACCCTTGCTCTGCTTTCCCTCACAAGTCGATCAAGCTGCCCTGCTGCTGCTGCTGCTGTTGCTGTTGACCAAAGCTGGCGCCGCCGAAGGGGTTGCCTCCAAATCCACCGACAGGGCCAGTTTGGGCCGGCATCAATCGGTTCTGGTTTGCGAAGCCGGTTTGTTGAGGCATGCCGGTGAATTGGCTGTTGAGGAATGGGTTGTTGCCCGTCGCGTTCTGCGTCAGACGAGCCGCACCCGCACCTGCACTGTTGACGAAAGTTCCAGGAGCAGTGTGCTGGGCCGGAATACGAAGGTTTCCAACGTTTCCGAACGTATCCTGGCCTTCTCCTGAGGCGAGAAGTGCATTGAGACGTGCTGCATGAGGATCCATGGGCTGTTCCTTCTGGGGGCTCTGGGATTGGAAGCTTTGCGTGGGGGGCGCCGAGAAGTCGCGGATGGGGTTGAAACCGGAGTTGTTACCATTGAATTGGGCCGTGCTCTGCTCCTGCAGAGTGCTGAGGGATGGCGCTGTCGAGCGGACGGGCTGAGCAGTGGCCGGCCGAGTGATGGCGGAGGCGAAAGGATTGTTGGAACCGGTGGGCATGGGTTTGATCGAGTCCGTGGTGTGCGCGCCCGACGACGAGGCCCAAGGGTTGTTGCTGCCTGGCTGCAGTGTGTTCTGCTGTTCCAGTGGCTGTTGCTGAGCGAAACCATTTTGCTGGCCCCATGGGTTGTTGCCCATGTTGAATGCAGTCTGCTGAGGTTGGAGGTAGTTCTGCTGCTGACCATACGCATCGAAGCCAGTGGGCTGCGGCTGCTGGAAGCCGCCGTATCCATATCCGTTCTGGAATCCAGTTTGCTGCGGTTGCATACCAGTCGGCTGCGAGTAAGCCGAGTTCAAGAAGCCAGTATTCTGGGGTTGCTGCTGATCGACCAGGTTTCCAAACCAATCCACGGCGCCTTGCTGCTGGTATCCCTGATTCCATCCAGTCGGTTGGGCGATTGCGGGTTGGGCGGGTGTGTCGTCGAACAGACTGTTGGCATTGGTTTCCTCGAGTTCCCTACGGCGCAGCTCTTCCTCCTCTTGGCTGAGCCTAATGGCCTTCTGCAGGTCCTCATCATCTTCCGTGCGCGCATGGCGTTCGCGACGCTTGCGCTCCTCCTCCATCTCATTCTTACTTGCTTCGATGGCCAGCTTGTACTCGAGATCCTCCTCCTCATTCCTCTGCCGACGCTGCTGGCGCGGCCGAGTGGCATCGGCTCCGCCGTGGGCACCGCCCGTGCCGTAGTCGTCCAGGCCGGTGACACGGGATTTCCATGATTTGCGATCGGCGCGCTCGGCACGCAAGCGCTCTTCGTCAAGGATCAAGGAGGTGAGCTCCTTTGCGGAAACGCGCACTGTACACATAGCGTCAGCGGGGGAGCAGTTCAGGAGAGGGGCGTGGACGGGGGGTCGGCATTACCGTTCTGGCCGACGTCGCGGCCATCCTCATCGACATATTGGAATTCGCGCAGGGTTTTGATGATGTAAAGGTTCTTGCGCGCCCAGGTGACGACGAGCTCTGAACCCTCGTGCAGGCAGTAATCGAGGACCTTGAGCGACTTGAGCACATGGCGCCAGTTCTTGCCCTTGTCGTTCAAGCGCTTGTCGAGCATGTCCATAATCTGGTAAAAGTCTTGACTGCTGCGACCATGTATCAGCGTCCTCTGCGACAAGCCCGCCGCGTCCGCTCGCGGCCGGCAGAGGGGCAGACACTTACTTGTTGAAGGTCAACTGGGCAATCTCGGCCATGTCGCTGCCGACGGGGCCCCAGGGGTCGTTACTCGTCGCTGCATCGCGTCAGCCATGGCGGTCCTGCAGGGCGGCGGAGGGCGGGCGCGGCGTACCATTTCGCACCTTGATCTCGACGCTCGAGTAGCCCTTGGTGACATTCTTCACGCTGCGCACCACCTTCGACATGTTGGCGGTGTTGAGCGCGCTGGGTCGCGGACAGCAGCGGGCTCAGGATTGTGTGTGGGTGTGAGGGTGCGCGGGTGGCTTGGTAGCGAGGGTTGGTTGAGTAGGGTGAGGTTCGAGGGGATGGACGCCTGGGCGAATGTCGGGCGATGATGCAACTTGGAGTCGCTAGCCCGGAGAACGTGCGGGCGCTTTAATTAGCAGGCGGGCGACTCCGCAAACAGGGCACGCGTGGAAGCGGCGGACGATGGGCGGCGACGAAACGGCGTGGAGACGGCGACGGCGGAGCGTGGAGGGTGTTCGTCGACGCAAAGGAAGGGAGAGTAGGGTATTAGGATCTGCTGGGAGGCGAGCGGCGCTGGTAGTCGTAATGCGCCCAGCCGTGCAGTTGGGCTCTCTCCGGCTGTGGCGTGCCTTGCACCGCGGCGCAGTCCTCGGCGGGTGCGCAGACGTGTCAGTCGGCCTCCAAAGCCGCGCTGCAACACCACTGCGCTCTCCTGCCTGTCCCAGCTGCTGCTGCACCCATGCTGCGCCCAATCGCGCGTGCCGCAGCCTGCCGTCTCACTCGCCGACAGGGGATCCGAGACCGGCACGGCGGCCTGCCGGCCTTGTCCTACAATACAGCCGTCCACCACGGCGACATCTCGCAGCCGCCGTATTGCCACTCAACCCAAGAGCACCGCCGCAACGCTGCGTCATCTCCCGTCGCGGTCCCTGGTTGTTTGGGCGCGCGCACGGGCGGCGCATCATCACTGTTCTCACGCTCCACATCAGGCACCTGTATTTGTCTAAAATCGTTTTTAATGCTCTCTTTTTAAACCCCAGTATAGGAAACCGTCCGCCAAATCCGTCGTGCGCAAGGAAATAAAATAAGTAACCAGAACCCGCCCATGTCAGCGCTGAGGGCGTTCGGACGCCTCCCGTTGGCCCCGCTCTCTAGAAAAAACGCCCGGTCGCAAGCCCGCAGAGCAAGAAAGCCAGACCCAGAGGAAAACCTTAGGATATCTCCATCTCCGCAACCGAAAGAAGAAAGAGACTAACACACATGCAGAACCCTGAGCCGAATTAGGGTAGTAAGGGAAAGACCGCCATCAACCGCAACAAAGGAAACAGAGGAGGAAAAACCAGAACCTGATGCTACACTCGCAAGATTGCTCCGTCACGCTCCGTACTAATGCAAGGGACATCCGTCATGGCTGCCATGAAACAACCAGAGAGAGGTGGGGAATTATCGCCGCTGCTGAATTTGGCGGCTGACCGACTCGCTTCAAAACCTCATCGTACAATTAAACGCGCGCAATTAAGTCGAGCCAATTATTGGACAGGAGGAGCCCACATGTTCTCGGCCATCCTCCTGCGCGGATCGTATCCGTCCGGCTCAGTGCTGTTGGGCCTGGCCATGTTCGGGTTGGCGTAGTACATATTGGGGGCCGACGCACCGTAGTGCGGCTCCGGGTACGTGTAGGAGTCGTTGCCGTTGGGCGACGGCATGTTCTGCTGAGCAGGCGACTGCCAGCCCATGTTGCTCATGTGCGGGCTGCTGTGAGCGCTGCCCGGCTGCTGCTGCGGCGCCTGCTGCTGCTGTTGCTGCGACTGAGCAGCGCCAGTGGGAGGCTCAAGCACCGAAGGGGGGCCGTAGCCGGTCGGGTGCGACGTAATCGGCGGCCTGGGCTGCGAGCTGACCGACGTGTAGGGCTGAGACGTCAGCGACGGAGACGAGCGCGGGCTCGGCTGCTGCATCTCGGAGCGCAGGTGCGCCGGCATGTTGGGGTTTTGCATGTAGGCAAAGTCCGAGACCTGGCGGTGCATGGCAGGCATCACGGGCATGCCGGCAGCAGGCGACATGGAGAGAGGACGGTTGTTCGGAGACGGCGTAGGGAGAGGGGAAGCCGTCTCAGAGTAGTCGTCGGCATCCGAGCGGACCGAACGCGCGGGCTGCTGCGACGCGCGAGACGCCAGAGCAGCGGCGGTAGCAGCAGCCGCCTCCTCGACAGTGCCAGTGTGGTGGTTTTGGTGGCGCGTGAGCGTCGTCCTGCGCGTGAACGTCTTCTGGCAGTCGGCATAGGGGCACTTGTAGGGGCGCTTGCCCGAGTGAATGCGACGGTGACGCGCAAGCGAACTGGAGTCGGAGAAGGGCTGAAAATTCTTACGTCAACATGATTCGACGGGTAAACAATGCGGATTCTGACTCACCTTGCCGCAACGCTCGCACATGTGGGGCTTCTCGCCAGTGTGGACACGCTGGTGGACGGTCAAAGCAGAGCGCTGGATGAACTGCTTGCCGCAGTTGGGGTAGTCGCAAACGTGGGGACGAATGCCGCTGTGAATCCTCTCTGTTGTGTCGTTAGCGCCGTTGGACCACATGCCAAGGGGACGCGTCGAGACTTACCGTGACGCGCCAGATCGCTGCGGCGGGCAAAGCCCTTGCCGCAAGTGGAGCAGGCGAAGGCCTTTGGCGGGCCGGTGTCGGAGGCGGGCCGGCCGCCAACCTGTTGTTGCTGGTCGGGCGCGACCTGAGGAGGGTAGGCGTGGTCGGGAGGAGGGTTGGGGAGGTATTGTTGGTTCATCATGGGCATCGGCGCGTTCATCGCGGTAGGAGAGGGGTAGCGCATGCCATTGGACATGGCAGCGGGCATCGGCTGATACGCCTGCAGAGGAGGGGGGGCGGGTTGAGGGTAGCGTGACTGGTAGTCGTTCGAGGGGTGCGGCGAGACTCCGCGCTCGGAATTCGTCTCCGACTTGATCTGGCCGTTTTGGTACGGCGCAGGGGCGTACTGCTGTTGCATCGTGGATTGCATGTCGTAGGACATAAAGGGTCTTCCTGCTAGAAGGCGTCCAGGCATCTTAGTATTGAGTATGTTCCCAAGTTCCATGTCCCTCAAGCCAAAATCAGGGTGAGGTCCACGCGTTTGCAGGGGCTGCAGGCGTGGAGGTGTAGGAAAGGCGAGAGTCCGAGGAGGCGGGAGAGGTGCGCACCAGTATAATGGGCTTTCGCTTTCTTGACCGCTCCTTGAGGGGGCAAAGATTTACACCGCCGCGAGCGACCGCGTTACTTGCGATTGGGTAGCCTGCGCTGAGGCTGCTCGCCCGCTCCACCAACACTGAGAAGGGATCGAGGTGTTGCGGAGGGTGGTCCGTCCGAGGGCGAGTAGTATGGGCCGGGCCACGCGAGGGTCAAAGCTGGGAGAGCAACACTACCACAGGCGAACGTCAGCTATCGTCAACCGAACACGGCAGAGGGCAGGTGGGCGACATTGAGGCAGGAGGGAGCGCGGAGGGCGAGCGTGGAGCAGGCGCAGCGTGCCGGTGTGGAAAAGGGGAACAGCGGGCGGCGGCGGTACAGCGCGAGCCGGGGGGCCAGGCGCGACTGGACGCGCAGCAGTGCGGTGCACGACGTACCTTTGAGACGAGGCAGGGCTGGAGAGGGCGAGGGAAGGTTGGGGCGAGGAGAGTGAGGTGAGAAAGTTCGAAGTACCTACGTGGAATACGCTTCTTTTCCTTCGCGTTTTGGATCTGACAGAGATACGCTAGTCCGGATTGGGAGTGGCGCTAAATCCAAGGGCTTAACCCGATTCAACCTGACAATTCTGACACCGCGCAGCAGAGTTTCACCAGTCCCGATGGCGCTGGCGGAATGACGCGCTTCCCTGCTGGGCCTGTCGTTGTGCAGCGTGCAGCGCGTTCTGCTGCGATGGTTGCGCGAGGATATGCGCGGGCGTGTGGCGCTTTCCGCGGGCTGTGAAACTTGTTGGCGGGCGCTGCTGGAACGCCAGAGATGGGATGCGTGCGTGTCGTGTCGCTGGGCGGGCCTAATAACGCCGGAGTAATCTCGTGCAAGCCGTCCACAACAGCCGTGTCGCGTAAATCTCTTCACGTCGTCGGATGAGGTCTTCGGTCGGCGTCAGTCGCGTCTCGAGTCGGGGCGAGGCCAGCGGGCGCGTACCTTCGGACTCCTGCGTGCAGGTACCAGACGTGCAGATGCAGGCAAACAGCGGGGTCAATGGTCGTGTCCTCGTAACAGGTACTGAGGAACGGTCCCAGGGCTGGCTGGGAATGTATAGATGTATAGTACAGAGCCGCCTTGACTCGGGCGATGGGCACTCGGGGACGCGGGAGGCTGTCTGGCCAGGGCACGCAGAATGGTCTCAGCAAGAAGGGTCACTGGCAGGTCGGGGCGTCAGGCAGTTATGTAGATCATGGGTTGTTTCCCATCGCGTCGACGAGGGAGCTAGCCGGCGTCGAGAAATGACAGCCTTGTGGGTTGGGCGACCCTGGCCAACCTTCGCAGCCGTGTCAATGCGCCGATGGAGGTTCGCAGCATGGGATCGCTGGGGCGCTCATGCTGTCGCGTCAAAGCTTGTCTGGAGCATCCACTGCGCTCACCGCACCGCTCCACGCTGGACCCGGCTAGCGGAAAGGGGGGCGCGCGCGCCCGGCCAAGGGGCCCTCGAGCAGCCACGCCATCCCACGCTGCCCCCCAGGCCCCTCCCCACGCGCGCACGCAGCGTCGGCGATGCTGGCGTGGTGGTGATGTAGCAGAGCCCCAGGGCGCTGGTCGCAGGGGCGGGCGGGCTGCTGCACGGCCCAATGCACGCATGCTGCCGCCACGTTTGGAAGAGGCGTCGAAGGCCGCTAGAAGCGACGCTAGAAAAGCCCCTTTGGCTTCCAACCCGACGGGCGCAGCCGGGATCACTCTGCTGTCACGCTGCAGGAAACGACTGGCCCCAGGATCGCCTGACAGAACGACACTCGCAGAAGGCCCTTCTCGCAGCATACAGGGGCGGCTGCAGGGCAGGCAAGCTGCGTCGCCTGCAGCCACGAAACGCGGCTGGATATTGCGATGGCCGTCGCCGCGATCTAATTAGCTGCGCGACAGGCGCTGGTTTTTCATAAATCACACCTGTCCAACCAGGGGCAGGGCGGAAGCCTATTCACAATCTCGGCTGGTGGTCGGAAATGCGCTTGGCAGGAGTGCTAGGCCCTCGCCAGCGCCCATTTCGTCACCAGCGGACGGGCTGCCGACAGCCGGGCGTGCGAGTTGTAGCATCCATGGTGGAGCGCTTTTGGTCATAGCCGGCCCACTGCCGCGGCCGCATCAGGCCGATCCCCGCGCCCCGAGTGGTAGCGTGGTGTGGTGGTTCGCAGCCGCCGTCAGTCCAGCAGCTTACGGAGTACACGTGCTGGCGATCCGCGAGCATGCAGGAACAGCGCGGCAGCGTCGCTTCCACGCCTCTTCTCGAAGCCGCGGCGAGTCAAGGCGCCGGAGCTTAAGGGGGCACGGATCGCGGAGTTCCGGCGGGCAGCAACGGCGCTGCAGAGGCGGCCGGGCACGCGTGACCTTCTGCGCGGCTTCGACGCAGCTTCCACCAGATCCGCCTGTGCGCCGCCTGATTCAAGGGCGCCGGGGCGCACGCCGCGGCCCACTCCTTTCCCCCTTCGCGGCTCACCACCAGGCGCACGAGCAATCTCCGAGGCCTGCTCGCCATCCAGAAGCATTCCTCTTTCGGCGGTGTAGACTCGCCACCTCACTCGCCGGCGTGCGTCGCGCAGCCCGGCGCTGATCGTCCACGCACCGCGAGTCATGGGCGCCCGCGCGATCTGCCTCCCAGCGCGTCTCCTGTCCCTGGGTTGCACCCTGATGCTGGGCGACATCATCTCGCAGCGGGCACCATCCTCGCTGCCAATGCGCGATTCGACACGGGGCAGTCCCTGACAGCGCTTGCTCCGGCCGCCGTCAGAGCTTGTGGCTGCCGCCTCAGGGGTGCGCGCCGGCTAGCGCTCGGGCGCGCATGGGACACAAATTTCCTTCTCGAAGCCTGCCTTCTCAGGCGTAGTCCGTCCAATTTCCGCACCGGGCGCCGCCGGGCCAGCGCTCGTTTCTCGAAGATTGCTGCTTCTGTCCTAGCCGGCGTGCGGAGCGGTGAAGTCGCCTGGGCAGTGCGCTGCCAGCGAACAGCGAGCGAGCTGGCAGCGACCCACAGCCCGGATGCGCTGCGACGCTCCCCGACCACCAACTGCGCGCGCCAAGCCCTCGATACTCGATCGGCCATCGTGATGCCTCGTTTGCGCCGCCAGCAGCCATCCACGTCCTCCCAACTCCCGCTCATCCGCGCGGCCCTCACCCCCCGGCGGGGCGCCGCACACCTTCCGCGCCATGATCTCACCGCACTTCTCCAGACGCTCTCACCGCACTCGTCCCCCAGAGCGGTCTGTCGCCATCCGGCCTGCATTCGCCGGAAGCATTGGGCAGGGGTTCCCATCAGGGACCGGGAACGTGCAGCTTCCTTCACAACCTCATCTCCCCATCCAAGCTGCGAGTCATTGCAGCGACACATGGCTGCCCGCCGACACGCCAGGCCGCCGCCTGCCCAGCAGTGAGATCCAGATCGCGCTGCCCGCTGTCGTCCGAGATTCTGGGGACGCATGCCTCGCCGACTGGTCTTCCGATCTTCCTGGGCGAACCCACTTGTACGCGAGCACCTGTGAGTTGGCAGTCTGACCGCCCGCTAGCCTAACCGGTCAGAGATTCTCTTCGTAACTGCTTCTTCAGAGCCCCAGCGGGGGGCCGGTCCGCCACACCTTGACGCAGAAAGAGCGGATACCATACTTTGTACGGCATCTTCCCTAGCCACTTGTGGCCTGTACCGGTACGTGACCCGACGCTCAGGACGTCCAGCAGCGCGTGAGGCTGGACGGACATTGGCTCGGCTGGCCACGGCGTTCGGACCCGACTGGGTCCTCCCGGCTTCTTTAGGTCTTCCAGAAGGGCCGAGGGGGCCTCGCCTCGCGCTGTGTGCTGGCAAGCGCTGCTGGACCCCCCTCTTTGGCTCTGGTGGCAGTTGGAAAGGGGTCTTGAAGGGGTCTTTGCCACCTCAGTGCTTGCGGGTAAGGCAGAGCAGCCGCACGAGAAGCATGTCTAACCCGGGTTCCCATGCATGAAACGCCGCAAGCCGCGTCCACAATCCGATCATATCGAACTCAGCCCTGCGGGAGAGCTGCAATCTTGCAGGCGTAGTCCAGTCTTTCCGGACGACTTGGGCGGCAAGGCGTCCAATGCTTCCGTCTTGTGGCGGCGGCCTGTCTGGCAATGGCAAGATGTGGTCAACGCCAGCTCACTGCCAAAGGCTAGAAGGAAAGTCCTTCCGCGCAGGCCTGTCTACAAGCCTTGCCTCGTGCCATCGCAGATTCAGCCCTACCAACGGGGAGCAAAACGGACATGCCAGATGACTAGCCACCAGCAAGCCGTCAACGTCAGCGTCTCTGCATTGACGCACCCTTTAATATCGGGAACCCCGCACCCATCCTCATCCATCGACATAAGCAGGTTTCCTATCACCATTTCAGCGCTTGGCCGGCCAATTCAGTACCACACAACCAATCTCTACGCAGGGCTGAACGTCACTGACGGGCTTATCGTGATTTACAAACTTCATCTCCCGCCACCCCGGCTCCTTGGCCCTTCAATCATCTGCAAAACATCTCATGTTTAACTTCACCACACAAGGCTGTTTTGTTGCTGCCTGAAGCCCTATGAGTCGGTCGAGACCGTAGATCAACCGTCGAAGAAATTAGCGATGTGTATGCATTGATACTGCGTCGTCAGAGCGCATGGTGAGCACCTACTTTTCCAATCAAACCACTCACATGATCCACATGATCTTGGAGAGCTCCACTATTAGTCGCTTGGGGTAGCTGCATTGCGATGCGGTGGTACGACATGACATCCCGCATTGCACGCCCGGCGGCAACCGGATGGCGGATGCTCCAATCTGAAAGCTAAGAGAAGATCCGTTTCAAAAGACCCCACGGTCGAAGGCCTGAGGGTACGTATACCGCATTCCGCATACCACCGTGGCGCTTCCATGATGATTGGGGCGGTTTCACGTCCGGCACTTCGTGCTGTTTGTTCAAACCACCGGCGCACCGACCTGCGGCGGTAGACTCTGCCTGTGGCCCGACTACCGCGCTTGTATCATGTAGGATTGCGCTCCGTGCTCGAAGGGTCCAGATGCCGGCTTCTTCGCTTGGCGTCAGTCCGGAGGCTGATTTACAGTCCGTTGTTTAAACTCTCGGCAGTATGGCATCCCCCGGCATGCGGCAGCCGGATGGATTCCACCCTCACGACCAGTACCGCATTGTGGCTCCTCCCCGACCGCTTAATCGTATTCATTCTTTGTTGAGGATCAACATCATCCCATACCCCACCACCATCACCAGTCCTTTTACGATTCAATTCTGGTGGGCTCCCGGATGGAGACCATTCCATATTTGATAGACAATGACGATAGGACAGTTCGAGGGTTGCAATACCGGTCAGACAGGTGAGGCAAGAGTTTGATTGCGGTGGATGGAAGTTGTTTCACAATGGCACACAAGACGAAAATCAAAGACTTCTCTGATAGGCAATGAGTGGTCATTTGGTTGACGTAAAGTCTGGGTCGCCTGCAAGAGCAAGTGGAACAATATGCACCAAGAGCTGCCTTTGGTTGCCTTTCATAGTGAGTGCCAGGCCCTCCACTCACACAGTGCCGAATTTCTTGTCCTCGAATCCCATTGCCAGAGAAAAGAACCTCAGGTTTTGCAGTAGCAGGCACAACCAAGATCCGCGAGTGCTCTGATAGCTGTTTTAGGACACAAAATTCGTCGACAGGCTCATCACTTGCGAATTCCGGCAGCTATTTCAGACCTTGCCACCCTGGCACTGAGCCTCTTCCTTTCAATGATGAAAATCTCAGCCGAGTCGCCCCCTCCACTTCCAACCAGACCAGATCACGATTATGAGAGACTGCCTGATAAAACATGTACAGATATCTCTCTACAATCCGACATACCCACAATCTATTCCACGACTCTATCAATCCCTGGTCACTGCCCATTCATGATTTCACTAAGCGGATGTGATATCCCCATTTTATTTCTTATATTACTCCGTAGGAGTTGATGTTTGGGTTAATGGACTCATCGAAAGCCAAGTATCAACAAGCCAAGTGATCAAAAGTTTCGACCCTATAAGTTCCAGATTCGACATGGGAGAACGATTGGCTTGTGTGACAAACATTGAACCCAAACGAAGATTTGGTTGCAGGTACCATGGCCGGCTCGACGTTGCAACGTTCTGACCTCATAGAACGTTTGAGTGTATCGGATCTTGCCGCAACGTGGGACCGATGACGGAGCGGTTACCGTCGACCGGCTTTCTGTCCGGTGTGACGAGTCGTGCTGGTCTGAGTTTTTTTGTGATTGCTTTTGATCCTACCCCTTCGATAGAAAAGGCAAAGAAAAAAAAAGAAAGCCTTCTCCTGGGGCTGAGTTGCAATGCTGGAAGAGCATTGATTGGTATGTACCATATTAGCCGGGTACTGGTGGATGCTTTTAAGTTTGTTGGTACTCATTCAGATACGAATGAGGCAGCGTTAAGGTACGCTGCAAGAGATCTAATGCACGTTGGCTGACAATATCCCGGTCCATCCGATATGCTTAGCCCGCATGTTGAGAAGCGAATTTGTCAGCAACCTTGAGCACAATGGCCAATGGACCATTGCTCCGCGTGTCAGTCTTTGGAGTTGAAACAGGGCGGCCATTGGTGGGTGCGCCACAGGCAGGGCCGTGGCAGCGGGCAACATCAAAATCGCAAGGTCAGGGCTCATCGAAAAACCGGGCGCCGGCGCCACGTGTGGCGATGGGCGTGAGCTGAGGGAAGCCCGGGCCCACACCCAACCACCCCCAAACCCGCACAGGGCTGAGGAGGGGTGTGCTCATTGTTTGGTTCAGGGCAGAGAGTGGGAAAAGAAGGCTGGGGCCCGTCTGGCGTCCGCGTCCGCCCTTCCCGCCGCGCGCCCCTTCGCCGTTGCCCGCACGCCCCAGACTAGCCTGCTAGTCAAAAAGAGATGCGACCGCCACCATTCTTGATTTGGTTTTTCTTTTTTTCCCTTCCTCCCTCATCACCCGCACCACCAAGTGCCGGATGCACGCGGTCCCCGCCCACGCAGACTACCGAACCTTATTCCGCCCCTCCCCGGAGCAGCCTTCCATGGGTGCCTGGCTCTGTGCGTCCCGCGTCGCTCTGGCCATCTTCTCTGCCGTTCGTTCGCGGTCAGCTGAACCTTATCCCCCCCGGCGTTGCTGAAACCTTCGACTATCGAATCACGACTCACCGGCCACCCCCGATTCACTCTCATTGCCTACTACGTGAAAACCATTACCTTCCACCTTCCTAAAAAGGACTATGTCATTTTAGAAAAAAAAGAACACCAGTAATGCCATCCGCGAATTCCGCTGAATGACTCATCCTCGTCAAATTCCTCTCACAATTAGTGGCTGGCCGTACTTCCCCCCTGACATATGCTTTTGGTACAGGCATCGAGCCGCATCACCTTCTATATCGGGCTCCAAACTTAGTAATATCGCTCGTGCCGCACCCAATCTAAGGCGAAGAGAGCGCATCCATGACTCCCCTCGTCCCTGCACAATTCCTTCCCGTCCTCGTCAAATTACCGTCAGGCAAAGTGCCATGTCAGCAGTATGCGAGGCATCTATGTACCACATGGATGCTTTGAAGTTATTCCAACGTCTAGCCGCTCGCCTTATATGGCAGGAACTCCAAATGCTTTATACAGGCTCTATCCTGGGACCTCGGCCCTCCCCGTCATCCTGGTCTTATTCTTTATCTCTTCTGGACCCTGAAAAGAAAGGGGCTGTGTACTTGAATGAGGCAGCATCCGCCACTCCTATGTCTCAGCGCCGAGCAGCTAGCGAGGGATAGCCTTCCTTTAAGATTTTCTTAGCCGTGGAGACAGTAAAAAAAGAAATGGTGAGTCTTTCCCTCGTTTATGAGGAGAAGTAAAGAACGGAGGTGTAAAAATATCGTCAATTTAAAGAATCTGTGGTATGCTCAATTGCCACCTACTAACAAGCACTCATGCAATGAGTGCCCGCAGAAATCAAGAATTGATAATAGCAAAAACACAAGACAATCAATTGGGTCAAGTAACTTCTTTGATATTCAATTAACTCTAGTAGCTATACAGTGGCGCGTAGAAAGACATTACACATTAGTAGTTGAACATGTTCACCGACTTGCGCGAGTAGGCGTTTGTGGTGGGCCAGGCGCTGTAGTCGGCCTGGAAGAGGATGGCGTCGTCGCAGGCGCTGCCCAGGCTGGTGAGGTTGGTCCAGGCGGGCTCCCAGTAGTGGACGCCGGTGCCGCGGCCCTGGGGCACCTGGCGGACGACGTCGATGACCTTGTGGACCCAGTCGATCTGGCCGTCGACGCTGACGGGGATGGACGGCTCGCTGAGGTCTGGCACGGGGCCCCACTGACCCGAGCACAGGACGGGGTAGTCGGTCTCGACGACCTGGACGGGCTTCTTGTACTTGCGCGACATGGTGGTCAGGCTCTTCTTGAGGTTCTTGAAGGTGGCGGCGGTGCCGTAGAAGGGGTAGAAGGAGAAGCCGAAGACGTCCCAGTCGGCCGTCGTCACGAGGCCCGTGTCGGTGAGGGCGCTGAACCACGCCTCCTGCAGCGTCACGTTCCAGCCGTTGTCGACGTGGATCATGACGTCGGGCTTGTGCACGCCGCCGGCCACGGCGTCGTCGACGCCGCGCCGCGCCGCAGAGTAGATGGTGGCCAGCCCCGTGAAGTTCTTCGCGCGCGCGCGGTCCGGGAACGTGTCGACCTCGACGTAGCCGAGCGGCCAGACCATGCCGTGGCGGATCTCGTTGCCGAGCGAGACGATGGAGAGGTCGACGCCCGCGTCCTTGAACGTGTGCAGCGTCGAGTTGACGTAGCTGCGGATCGTCTTGGACAGCTCCGGCAGCGTCGTCGGCCACGCCGCCGGCGCGTTGTTGTGCTGCGGATCGGCCCACGTGTCGGAGAAGTGGTAGTCGAGGTAGATGTGGTAGCCCTTGCTCGCGAAGCGCTTGGCGAGGTCGAGCACGTAGGGCAGGTCGTACTGGCCCGGGATGGGGTCGACCCAAAGTCTATTTCCTGTCAGCTTCGACTCTCATATTAGACCAGGGGGATGGACGGACCTGAGGCGAACAGTGTTCATGCCGCCATCGCCGAGGATGTCCTCAGCCGGCCGGGTCGCGTTCTTCTTTGCCGTGTCATGGTAGACAACGCCGCCCTCCTCCATGATCTTCAGAACAGAGAGATCATGTCCCTTGTAGAAGACGGGGGCGGGCTTCGGGGCAGCCGCCGCTCCGGAGAGCAGGAAAGAACCCACAGCGAGAGCCTTGGTGATGAGCATGGTTGTCAGATGTGGAGAGAAGCTTATGATCCGCGGTATGGACAAGGGCAGAATTGCACGCCTGTCTTATACCATTTGCTCCAGGCTCGTGCCCACGCGCCCAGAGCGGCCGCGAAAAAAATTCCTCCAATTGACGATGGTGTATCCGTATTCCAACGGCGAAAATGTTGTCTAGTCGTGCGGCTCACGAGACGGTAAGCCCGGATGTGGAGCCCCGCATTCGGGTGGTTGCCCAAAGAGGAAGCTGTCAAACCACTGCAACTACCCGCGTACCTGGATGATTCACACGAACCTGATCGCCGCTAGCAATCCCTGAGGACTTGCACTTCGTTCCGAAACCATACGCGGCGATCATCCGCATATCAAAGGCCATCCGCACTTCAGCGAAAAGAATCGATGTGCTTGACCTTCAGGCGCTCGAGAGCTCGCTTAGGTGCCGACGCCACAATCTCCACAGACTGCATTTACCCGGACGCTAGAAGCTTGGGCGTCGGCCGCTGCATGCTCGGCATGCCGTCTTCACCGTGCCCGTTCGAGTTCGGGTCTTTCCAGAGTCCCGTGACGGCTGCGAAGGCGATTCTGTACGGACTCGGAGATGAAGCCTGACTCGGAGGAAGCCGGCGATCAAGCTGAGAGCTTTCGCGAGCGACCATAAGGTTTTTCTGGCTGAGCCTTCTCCCTAGCGACATGCGCCGTCTGTTGGTGCCGGCCTTACTTTGAGGAAAATGCCGCGGTCCAGGCGCATCCAGATAGCAGCGGTAACCTGAGAATTGATGTTAATTATCGAAGAGTCGCATAGCCGAGAGAGCAACGATGCGATTACATTCCTGTGGCAAGCGATGTTTGCAATGCAGAAGCAGTTAGCGTTCGGAGAATAATATACTTCAGCCTTATGATTTCTCGCGAGCAAGGGCACTCGACTTACGTAGATAGTTGAAGCTACTACCCGAGGTAGATGTAGAATTACTAAATATACGTCTACGTCCTGACGATAGTTGCAACTACCTACGTAACGAGCTTAGATGTAATTAGTACGATAACCTCGGTCACGGCGCTAAATTTTGCAAACATCAGTATGGACTGCTCAGACTTCAACCAGGACCCAAAATGTTTGAAAAAAATGCCAGGGTCAGGAGGGAGAGCTGCGTCAACAATCCGATACTGTACTTGATCCATCAAACTCGACTGACTTATGATAGCAGCAGTAGTGCATCCCGCAAAGCACGCACTCGATTGCAATCGTTTGCGTTGCATCGGGAAATGGCATAGAGAGAGCTGTGGAGAGAAGACAGTCGGCCAGGTTCCGGAGTCTCTTCTTTGCTGGGATAGCGTGCATTCCCCTGCGTACGTGCCATTCATGGTGTTAGTTCGGGTCGCATTCCCAGATGGATGATGTTGAGGGTGTACTGTTTGGTGGTGAATGAGACGAAAGGTTGTGGTGGTTCGATGTGAGCAAAAGTGGTTGCCGCGGGGCTTTCCTTCCCCATCACTCCACATCGAACTCTTCAACATCAGCGCTACCATCATCATCATCGGTCTCTTATTCAGCGCCTGAACACGATGTTTCCTTCCGCTCGGGCCCGAGAAAGAGCTCCTTGACGCGTCGTCGGAGCCGCAGCTGGCCTCGGAACAGGCGATCGCTCTTCGCGTCTCCGCATCTCCGCGGAGAAGCTGTCCTTGCCGGCCTCATCTTTCCGCAGCTCTGCTAATCCAAGAGCTGCGATTTGCGCTGACGGACGCCATTCCGCCCTCGCCCTCCCGTTCCGCACCGAAAATCGCGTAACTACAATCGCTGCTATAGGTCCTGCGCTGTTAGGTTCGACGGCTGATCTGGCCGGTTGCTGAATCAGCCCATGATGCGTTTTCTTGCGCTCTTTCTTGTGGCCGCCGACGACTGCGCTGCCCAAAATAACGTGCGCTAACTGCGCCCGAGCTCCTCCTCCAATGGAAATGTTACGCCTGGTGGAGTGACACGATGGTCATCCGCATCGAAGGCTTGCTCTGCTCCTTTTCTGCATGTCCGCGGAGGTACTGACTATACTCGTGTATAAGAAGCCTGGAGAGTCTCCTCAGGCTGCCGGATTACATCACATCACAGCACCCAGAAAGATAAAGCATATTTCATCTCTCCCACCACAACAATGCCTTTGACTCCGGAGCAAGCCAAAATCATCAAGGCCACGGTGCCTATTCTTGCCGAGCATGGCAACACCATCACCACGCGCTTTTACGGCAACATGCTGCGCGAGAACCCCGATCTCAACAATGTCTTCAGCAACACGCATCAGGCCACCGGTCACCAACCCCGCGCCCTGGCCATGTCCCTGTATGCCTATGCCTCCAACATTGACGACCTCGGCGTCCTGAGCCCGGCCGTCGAGCTCATCTGCCAGAAGCACGCCTCGCTGTACATTCAGCCCGAGCACTACAACATCGTCGGCACCTATCTGCTGGCTGCCATGAAGGAGATCCTCGGCGATGCCCTGACCCCCGACATCCACGACGCCTGGGCTGCCGCCTACTGGCAGCTGGCCAACATTATGATCGACAAGGAAGCCCAGCTGTACAAGCAAGCCGACGGCTGGACTGACTGGCGCGACTTCCGCATTGCCCGCAAGGAGCAGGAATCCTCGGAGATCACCTCTTTCTACCTCACTCCCGTTGACAGCAAGCCACTGCCCTCCTTCCTGCCCGGCCAGTACATTTCTATCCAGGTCCCCGTGCCCGGTCTCGAGTTCAAGCAGGCACGCCAATACTCGCTGTCGGATTCCCCCAATCCGGCGCACTACCGCATCAGCGTCAAGCGTGAGCCGGGCGTTGACGGCGTGACGCACCCGGGCTACGTGTCTAACGTGCTGCACGCCGACAAGAAGGAGGGCGACGTGCTGCGCGTGTCGCACCCCTACGGCGACTTCTACTTCGACTCTGCCGCTATCCCTGCCGATGCACCCGTCGTGCTCCTCGCCGCTGGTGTCGGCCTGACCGCTCTGATGTCCATCCTCAACTCGCTCACTGCCAACACCACCACCCGCCCCATCACATGGATCCACGCCGCCCGCACCAGCGGCGCCCGCGCCTTCGCCGGCCACATCCAGAACCTCGCCGATGCCAACCCGAACCTGCGCAAGATCCTCTTCGTCTCGCAGCCGAGCGAATCGGATGTTCAGGGCCGTGATTACGACGCCACAGGCCGCCTGGACCTGGGCAAGCTGGACGCTGAGAAGGACCTGTTCGCCAGCGACAAGCGCACGCGCTACTACGTATGCGGCCCCGAGCGCTTCATGGTCGACATGCAGAAGGGCCTGAAGGAGCTGGGCGTCGATGAGGAGAGGGTGCATCTCGAGCTCTTCGGCACCGGTGGCGTGCCCAAGGCTTAGATTCTCACTCGCTTGTTTAGATGAGAAAGGAGTTGGATGTATATACCCTCTTTGCGCCTGATAGAGGAGGTTGCAGAGGACCATTGTAAGATAAGAAAGTAGAACATGGGTTTTATGACTGTGGGGGTGGGCGCATGTTGTTTTAGGTTCCCCCCTCTTGGGTCCTTTTCATTATGCTGTAAGGAAGCGCTTGATATTGCCTTTCACAAAGGTTTACTGGTGTTGATGGAATAATTGGGCTGGGAGAAGAAGTACTCGCTGTAGAAAGAAAGAGAATAGTATATGTCATTTTGTACAAGCATCAACCATCGGGCTTCGATTTTATATTTTATTTCTAACCCGCTATAGTACTGAAGCGTAGTGCGTAAGCAGCTATAGCTATACGGGAGGTGACTAAAGCTTTTCAACCCCGCCAAGACCAGATCACGAACAGCCACACGCCACGTTGTAAGTCGGCTATTTTCATGGGTCGATAGAGTCCGTGTCCCTTTCCTGCCTGGAGAGAAACCGAAAGCAAAAAAAAAAAAAAAAAGACGGCATAGATCTACGCGACCGAAACCCCACATCGGAACTTGAAGTACATATCCGGAGTTCGAGATGAGTCAAATGAACGGCAACACCGATGCGGAGACCAGATACACGACAGCAATGGGAGCCAATGCCGGCCAATTCGACTTTAACCACCTCCCAAAAACTTGCTAGAGCCGCCGCATATCCCCACTATCTTCGCAGGATGGGGCGGCTTACAACTGGCGCCACCGTCAGCCGGCATTCGCTTAAGGAAGAGCAAAAGCTGTTGCCTTACGCAACGCCAGCAATGTAACGTGGAGTCGCAATCCTTCTTCACCACCGTGTTGCAACCTTAGGCAGCAGCATAAAATAAAACTTTCCCAACTATGCCGCCAAATCACCACTATCTCCCTATCCTCATCCTCAGTCCCTCCAGTGTTTTCCCAAACGGGTAAAAACCAAAGGTCCAAAGAGACGAAAAGGAGAAGCGAAGAAAGAAAAGAGCATCAGGAAACCCAACCACAACCAATCCCACCCCCCACACAAACCCCCATCCAAAAACACAACAACAAACAACCATGCCCCTCACCCCACCCTACACCCTCTCCCCCATCACCGAGGCCGACTTCGACGCCTGCATGGCCAACGCCACTCCGGCCTTCGCCGCCGACGCCATCCGCCTCGCCACCTTCCCGCCGCACCTGGTCGACCCGCAATACCCGGACGAAGAATCCGACTTCCGCCGCCGCCGCCTGCGGAAACGTCTCGCGGCGGGCTGCGTCGCGCACAAGATCGTCGATCCGGACGATACCTCCAAAATCGCGGCGTGGGCGGTGTGGATCCCGCCGCAGGGGAAGGGGAGGAATGGGGAGGAGGGGGAGGGGGAGAAGAAAGAGGGTGTGAATGGGGGTGAGGAAGGAGGAGAAGGAGGGGCGAGGGGTGGAGAGGGGTGGACGAATGATGTGCCCAAGTGTGCGGTCAGGGAGCTTTGGGATGTGCAGATTAGTATGATGAAGGAGGCGGAGAGCAAGGTTTTTGGCGAGGATAAGAATTTTTGGTGTAAGTGGTCTTCTTCTCCTTCTTTGTCTTTTACTGGGGTGATGGTGTGGCTGATTCGATGGATTTACAGACCTCGCTACGCTGTCGTGCCACCCGGACTATCAGGGCAAGGGCCTTGGTGCTGCTTTGGTGAAGTGGGGCCTGGAGCAGGCTGAGAAGGACGGCGTCCCGGTGTACCTGGAAGCTACTCCGTCAGGCAAGTTTCTGTATGCGAAATTGGGGTTTGAGACTGTGATTGAGTATGACATGGCGCGGTATGTTCCGGAGGGTGTCAAGTATGTGTTTTCCTGCATGCTCTGGAAGCCGAAGAACAAGCTGCAGTGATCTCTTGTTTTGGTGTCAGAAGCGAGCTGGTCTCTTTTCTAGAGAAGGATACTATTTCAATGCTGAATTGAAGGTCTTGCAGACGATAAGCGTTGAGAAAAGGAATGATCATCTATTATATACTTCAAAATCAACAAGTTTTTCCCTCCAATGATTCAGCCTCAAACATCGCGTGTTTTACTAGAATTTCTTGGCATAAAAAAGAAAAACGTGGGGGAAATAAGCCAATATTGTCGAGGATAGCCATCTGCTCTGCCCCTTCAGTTGTCACAGTGTTGAAACCATAATGGATTGACCTTCTAAGGGGCCCGTGACTAGCAGAGACTATGTACACTCAGAGGTGGGACTAAGCCCAATCAGGCCTTTTATTCTGGGTAAATACTACGTGCGGCTCTTCGTACTTCAACACATAGCAATCATCTGGGCCGCACTTCTTTTTCTCCACTAAATACTAACAAATATGTGCTATTTAGATACTTGCAGTACTGTAATTACCTAGCCTGCACTTCCTCTGTGGATGTTATATGCTTATGTTACGTCGCCCCCGGATCGAGTACTAACCTATTTTTATCCGCCTGCATGCTCAGGTGCCGCAGCCTCCAGCTCAGCCTCGTGCACCTCTACATCTCCCCCGCAAGAGTGCCTCGTCATCGCCATCTATAGGTCCGCAAGGCGTTGAACTGATTCACATTCGTCAGAGATATTCGGTCTGTAAAGCCGAAAAGCGGTCCAAGACATCAAGCACACCCGTCGAACATCCGAAGAAGCACAGGTACCAGTGAGAAAAAGACGGAATGCTTCACCAAGGCCACGCTGGTGAACAGACACTCGAAAAGAAGAAGAAGAAGCGCGGACCAGCCCGGGCCTATCAGTTCGGAAACACGATCATCGTGGAGGACGAGGACGGTGAGCTTATCAAGAAGTACGAGATTCCGCCGGACAGGTCGAAACAGAGCGAAAAGCCTGCGGTCAGCGAGAAGATCCGTCATCGCTTAGTGCGCATGGGATCGTATCTTGGTATATCCTACGGTGAGACCAAAACCGGATCAAACGAAATGGAGGTCGCTAGCGAAAGCAGTGATGGTACTATCACTACAAATCCGCCGGGCCAACAGCCGCAGACTGTCACAGCCCACAAGCAATACCCCCATGGTATCGATGATACACAGAAAGATGATGCCAACCCCTCTACCGGCGGTCAGGTTGTCATCCAGGAAATTGATAGGGATGTTCTTGAGGTTGAAAGCCCGAAGGTCAGCACGCACGAGATCCCTCCCCTTCCACTACCATTTGCAGCCGGCCTCCTTAGTTACCATAGCTGAACATCACCCGCAGAACATTTCCAGCGGCCACAACTCCAATTCTAGCCCCGGTTCCAGTGTTAAGGAGCTCCCTAGAAGCCTGGAAAACAGGCAAAAGCGCGACAGGCTCCGCGAAGAGGAGATTAAGGACGAACCAATGAGCTGGCGCGCTCGCTTGGAGCTCTCGTCGAGCGACGGTTCCTTGCCCTCGGCCAACGAAGAGAACCACGACAGCCTGTCGACCTGGCGCGCGCTCTTGGGGCTCTCATTGAGCGACGATCTCTTGTCCTCGGTCAACGAAGAGAACCACAACCGCTTGCAGCAACAGCCGAAGGACCGCGCGAGAGACCTGAGCGAGGAAGAAGACTACTCCGAACGAGACCCCCGCTTCTTCGATGAGGATGACATCCTCGATACTCGGTATATACCGTGGGACCGATTCCCTAATACATCACGCTTACGGGTCTTCTCCAAGAGACACCTCGACCGGGGTGATGGGGAGAGGTTCACAGCGGACGAATTGGATCAGGTTGAAAGCCTGCTATTCCATACTTGTAGAGACCTGAGCTGTTCCCGTAGCCTTACAGACCACCAAACAAGGCAAATCACTCATCTGGGCCGCATGGGACGAATATGTCTGATCCTGGACCTAATAGAGCAGAGACAACTCCTACGGAATTTCATCCGGTTGAAAGTCGCCGACGACTCGTTGCCGCTACTGCTCCCAATACTCCAAATCATGTTGCCCCCCAACAAGGATGGAGAAGGCGTAGCAGGGCTTTTCTTCACTGAGCAGTTCCGCGCCGTGTCGCGAGACTGGAGCAACGGGGCACACCACGTAATGCACCGGCGGGAAGCTCTCCCATTCCGTCCCCTCCGCTCCATCGGCTTCGGCTCGCAAGGGTCGATCGATGAGGTCCAGCTTCCCGACACGAAAGAAACATGTGCGAGGAAGAAGTGGATCGCGGGCGCCAACCTGCAGAAGATAACGGCGCGCTTCGACGACGAAGTGAAGATCATCAAGAAGATCGCCGCGCACCCGCACATCCTGGAGCTCCTGGCCAGCTACACGCGGGGACGCGAGTTCGGCCTGCTCCTACCGGTGGCCGACTGCGACCTTTGGCACATCCTCACGATGAACCCTTCGGAGAGAGAGGACATCATCCCGAACCAGAGGCTGATAAAATCGTGGGGCTGCCTAAGCTCTGGACTTCTGTTCATGCACGACAAGGGCATCAAGCACAAGGACATCAAGCCGCGGAACATCGTCCTCCGCCAGGGAGACTTCCAGTTCACCGACTTCGGCCTCTCCAAAGACGTTTCCGACCTCTCGCACTCCGTCACCGACGGCGCTGATCGCGGCACTTTCAGATACATGGCGCCCGAGGTCACCGAGTACCAACCTCAAGGGCGTGCTGCCGACGTCTTTTCCTTCGCCTGCGTCCTATTCGAGATTTTCAGTGCCTGGGGAGGCATCTCGGTCGACGATGCCGATAGCTTTTCCGCGCTTGCGCCATTCCATAAGAACTTGTCGGCAATCCACACTTGGATAGGGGAATTTGCACCGATAACCCCCCTGAATCTCTTGCGATACAAAAAAAGCAAGAGCATTTTCGGGGCCATGTTGACCCACAACCCAGTGGACCGACCCCAAATGCGTGATGTGGTATTCAAAATGACCATGGTTTCTTATCCTGGGGACTTGTTCTGCAGCAGATGCCTCGACGTGGCCCTAAGGCGCTCTAATGTGCCTGAGGTGCCAAATATGCCTGAGGTGCCAAAGGTGTCTAAGGTGCCTAAGGGTATGAGATTCAGGTCGTTCGGCTCGATGTTTGCCTAGTTCAATGTCCGTTGCTCAAATTTTCGAGAGACTGGCCTTTCTTGACGACATCCGTTCCTTGGAACACGACAGCCGCGGCTTCTACCGGGTCTTCAACTCACACCAGCTGTGTCTCGTGCGGGCGGTACCGTTGTCATACTCCGGTGGTGGCACTGAGCGATGGACACTTTGGCCTATGTAGAATCTTTCAAGGGCAACTCGGAAACAGATGGCCACGAGAAGGCTTGTGTCTGCTTTCCAAGGTCTACTGGGACGACCGTTCCGTGGGAAAAAAAAAAAAAAAAAGCTGGGAGTGGTCTGACTCTTTCTTGGGACACTATTCCTTAGATGCCATGCATTTATGGCCAGGTGGATGCTTCAATTGTTTGTAGAGCTTTAGCGTACGGCAAAAACCGAGTTTCAGCACCGAAATTCGGGCATATATGGGTAGTTGAAGCTATCGTCCGGACGTATATGTATAATTATTTCCCAGCATTCACATCACTACAGTAAATAGGCACACGCACAAAGGTCGTTGAAATGATTTCATCTATTCATAACCACGCCCATATCCGTCTGCGCTCGAGACCCTTGCTGCAAAAGATAGAATAAGGGAAGAAGCCAGAGGAAAAAACACAAGAAGCTAGTCCCTATCCTACTCTCAGCCAGCCTATCGAAACACGCATCCATGGTACCAAACTTTTGCCCTTTTTTTTCCCATTTCCCCACCCATGGGACCCACTGTCGTCATCGTAATCGTTCCCGGGTGAACCAGTCTTTCCTCTCATGCAGACCCGACCAGAAAAGAACGGGATGCCTGATCCAGCTGATTCACCCACCCAGGGAACCCGTCCCCAAATTAACCCAGAACCCATCCGCATTCCGTCGTCATGAAACACACAAAAAGCCCCCAAGAAAGAAGAAAAAGAAGCACATCTACTGCCACCCAGGAGAGAAGCAAATCAGCCGTAGTGTAAGAGAAAGAACCCTGGCGAGCGCACGAGATTGCTCCCGGCAGGGGATCGAGGTGGTGTTGCCCATTGCCATCATGCCATGCCCGTGACTTCTTGCTGGACAAGGAGAGAGGATAATGTTGTCTCTTCATCATCAGAATCTTTGGGCAAGTAAAGCAAATAGAAAAGGACAACAACAGCCTGACCGTCTCATAATACATGCTCATAAACGTGTGGAAACTGGTGGCGCAATGAAGAAAACGGGGAATCAACGGGGCTGAGAATGGCTCCTATCGATGTTCGGAAGAAACCATAAAGGGGGTATTCGGAGGCGTCCGGAATAGAAAAAGAAAAGAAACGAAAGTAGACTCAATTGCCGGCGAAGCCGTTCCACGTGGCCCTCCATACGAACGACGGCCCCGGGATGGCCGGACCGGTGAGCCAGAAAGAAGAAGACAGACCCTAACTTTTGAGCACCACCAAGCGTGAACCCTGGAGCAGCGACAACGCCTGATACGCCATTTGAGGACCTAAAGACTGAGAAGTTGAAAGGCTAAAGGTAGCGGATACGACGCTTAAGCCTTGTTCTCAGAGGCCTCGCCCTCCTTGGCGGCCTCCTTGGGGGCAGCGTTCTCATCCTGAGGAGCATCACCCTTGCTCTGGATGTACTCCTGGTACACACCCATAGCCTCGTCAACCTTCGCACGGAGAGCGTTCTCGTCGGAAGTCCTGTAAGGGCTGGTAAGTTATCTAACAGTATATCAAACCGTCAACGCGTTGGGGAGGGACACTTACAAGTTGATCAGCTCAGCATTGTCCATCTCCAGGAGCATACCGGTGATCTTGCCGGCGAGCTCGGGCTGCATGGCGTGGATCTTGGGGTAGAGAGCCTCGCCGAGCATCTGCTTCTGCTGCGGCGGGGGAGCGGCCTGGAGAGCGCTCATGTCGACACCCTCACCCGGAGTGGGAGTCTGGCCGGGAGCACCGCGACCGCCGGGGAAGCCGGGCTGGTTGCGGTTGCCGCCGCGGTTGTTGGGGCCACCACGGTTGTTGCCGGGAATCTGACCGCCCATCTGGGGCATGTTGGGCATGGGCACACCAGGCATAGGACCACGGCCAGCACCACGGCCGCCCATGGCAGCCTGCTGCGCGAGCATCTGCGCGTAAGCGGGGTTGAACTGAGGCGGGATGCCAGTCGGAGGCATAGCGCCAGGGTAGGGCATGCCCATGGGGGGAATCTGCTGGGCGTTGGGGCCACCACGGCCACCCTGCATGGGCAGACCCTGAGGGAAACCGGCGCCACGGCCGCCGGGCTGCATACCCTGGGGGAAGGGCATCTGGCCACGACCACCCATGAAAGGCTGCTGGCCAGGACCGAAGAACATCTGGGGCTGGACGAACTGCTGGGCGGGCATGCCAGCGGCAGCAGCGGCCTGCTGCATGCGGATCTGGTTGCGGGCCTGGATCGTCGCCTCGAGCTGGCTCTTGCGGACATCCTTGCGCTGGGCCAGGGCAACGTAGAGCGGCTTGCCGTTGACCATCTTCTGGTTCATCTCGGTGACGGCCTTCGTGGCCTCATCGGGGTTGCTGAAGCAAACGAAACCGAAGCCCTTGCTCTTGCCCAGGATCTTCTGCTCACCCTTGATGGTAACCTTGTCCATCTCCTTGGTGAGCTTGTCAACACCATCCTTCTTGTCATCATCGGAGCCAGCGTTCTCCTCAGCAGGCTGCTCCTCCTCGGGCTTCTTCTCCTCCTCTTCTTCCTCCTTCTTGGGCGACTCGCTGCCAGCGCTACCGACAGGCTGGGTATCGCGCATAACCTTGGCAGAGGTGATGGTGCCGAAGGGAGCGAACATGTCGCGAAGCTTCTCGTCATCAACATCGTCCTGCAGGTTCTTGACGTACAGGTTGACACCCTGGTACTTGGACTGCTTCTCGGCGCGGGCAGCCTCGTACTGCTTGCGCAGCTCCTCCTCACGCTCGTGCTTCTTCTGCGCACGGCCGACGTACAGCTTCTGGCCCTTCCACTCCTTGTCGTGGAGCTCGTCAACGGCCTGAGCGGCGCTCTCGTGCTTGACGAAGTTGACGAAACCGAAGCCGCGGCTCTTGCCGGTCTCGTTGTCGTGAGCAAGCGAAGCAGAGGTGATCTGACCATACTTCTCGAACAGCTCGCGGAACTCGTCATCAGTAGCCTCGACGTCAATGTTCTTGACATAGACGTTGGTGAAGTTGGCCTTCATCTCCTCGAACTTGCTCATGCGGTCCTTCTTGGGAATGTGGTGGCCAACGAAGACCTTCTTCTCGTTCAACAACATGCCGTTGACGGCCTTGATGGCGTTGTTCGCGGCCTCGGCGGTCTCGTAGTGAACGAAGCCGTAGCCCTTCGAGTTGCCGTTCTCGTCCTGAGCAACCTTGCAGCTGAGGATGTTGCCGAAGGCAGCGAACGTGTCGTGAAGAGCCTTGTTGTCAATGGCAGAGTCCAGGTTCTTGATGAAAACGTTGCCCTGACCAGTCTTGCGGAGGGCGGGGTCACGCTGAGACCACATGATACGGCAGGGCTTGCCCTTGATCAGAGTGTAGTTGAGCTCCTCCAGGGCCTTCTCGCCGTCCTCGGAGCTGTTGTAGTTGACGTAGGCGTAGCCGAGCGAGCGACGGGTGACGGCGTCGCGGCAGACACGGATAGAGGCAACCTGGCCGATCGAGGAGAAGAGCTCGAACAGCATGGCCTCGGTGACGGAGGGGTCGAGCTCGCCGACATAGAGCGAGGCGGAGTTCTGGTGGGCGGAAGGTGCGGCGGAGGTAGGCGTAGGGGCCTCGGTGGCGCCTGCGACGTTGGCAGTACCGTTCGCGTCGCCGGCGACGGGCGAGGTCGGGTTGGCATCAGCGCCAGGAGCAGTGGAGTTGGCAACCTCGGCGGACATGTTGGTGGTGTTCTGCGCGCGGGTCAGCAGACTGGAGCTTGGTGGACGCGGCGCACGACTATTTTTCGCAGGCGACACGCGCAAAGGTGGCTCTTGGAGCGTGGAGGCTCACCAGCGAAGAGGCGGGGAATGGGTATTGAGGATCTGCGTGTGTCGCCGGTCGGCTGGGACAGGGAGTCGCTCGGAAAGCAGGGAGATGCTCCGGGCGATGAGATTTGGCGGAGAGGGGCTTTGCGGTGAGGCAGCGGGCTGGGCGACTGTGCGGTTGATGTCGACAGGTCGCGTCTGCAAGAGGTGGCTTCGCCGCGGGTTTTTTGTAGGTTTTTAACTTTTTTTTCTGTGAGGAGAATTTTTTTCTGAAGGGAAGTGGGCAGAAGGGAGACAGAGACTCAAGGAGAGGCTCGCTCGGGCAGTTGCGTGGGCGTGTGTGGGTTTTGTGAGCGAGAGCTTTGTCGCAGACAAAAGCCAAAGGCTATGAAATAATTTTGTGCCAAGCCGCCTCACCCAATTCGGCAGGGACGAACCTTGGCGCACAACGGCCGCCGCGTGCCTCAGGCAGCCAGCACCCGCTGCAACGGCCGCGACGCCGCTCGCTGGTCGCCCGCCATTAATAATGAGCCTGTCCTCTGTGTGCGCGCTCACTCGCTCTGCTTGGCCGCCGCCTGCCGAGCGTGCAGCTGCGCCGTCGCTTCGATTGCCTTCCAGAAGCCAGCGCACCACAGCGCACGCGGCGCACACAAAGACCCGCTGCACGACGACAGCCAACGCACACGAGCACGCGCATAGCAGAAAAACACTGAGATCATCATTGCACACACAGCTAGTCCGGCGCCTCCCGCCACCGTGATTCGGAGCAACCAAGAGCCAGACATGCCACGCGGTGGCTTGCGCCTGCAGGTACCATGGTAAGACGGATGTGGCGCCTGAGGCTGCAAGCCCTATCCAGTCCATTCTGCAATAAACGAGTCTTCGACCCTATTCGTGTCCCAAGAGCCCTAGACGCCTTCCAAGATATACAGAACAGATTACACAAAGGGGTATTTTCATCACAGTCGTACCGGCGGCTTCCTAATCTTGCAAACTTTCGTCCCAGCCACCCCTCTCCAACAGGAACACCTGCACCCGGTTCATGCAGTCTTCTATGCCTTTCCCCAGGGCCTCCCTCCACTGCTCCTCCACCAAGTTGACCTTCTCCTTGAGGTCCTCCGTCAGCCTTTGCTCTTCGTCGCGACTGATCATGCTCATCTCCTCGTCCACAGCCTGCCTTTCCTCACCCTCCAACACTCGTTGCGTGCCGAGGAGCTTCGTGTTCGCTGTCATGACGCCAGTCTTGACCTCGTGAAGTAGACACAGCAGGTTTGTCTGGCTTTCGATGAACTGGTAAGCAGATTTTTGCGCGTGGGAGAGCAGGCTGAAGAGGTACTGCAGCGGGTGGTCGTGGTAGCTCGGGTTCTCTTCGAACTCCATCGGCGGAATCAAAATTTCGAAATCGTCTGTCAGCGTCTCGGGAATCTTCTGGACGATGTCCAAAAGGCCTGGCCCAATGTCCCAAAACGCCGAGAGCTGATCCTCAACCCCGCGAGTGACGCTTTCTTCCACAGTCGCGTGGAAATCCTCAAAGCGTTTCAACGACTGTTTTTCATGTGCAACCTTACGCTCATGAGCGTCTTTGGCAAAGAAATCTTCGGCCTCGCGGACCTTATCGTTGTTCTTGGCGGCAGCATATGGTGTGACGACGAGTGTCTTGTAGAGATTGTTCCGCTGAGCCTCAAGCTCGAAAAGCTCTTTGTACAACTGCTCACGGCCTTCGAACAGCCACTTGAGGAGGGTGAGTTTTTCAAGAAGCTCAGGCTGCTCATCTCCCTCTTCTTGTGTTTGGTTCGGACTCGTCGCCTGGGCCTCATTTAGCAAGCCAATCTTCAATTGCTCGATTGAAGCTGTAGCTTTCCGGATACGCTCTGAGAGGAGGGCATGCAAAGGAGTCATAACATCCTTTTGGAACATGTCAAAGTCTTGCTGAATCCGTCTCTGCGTAATCTGAGCTTCGGTGGTGTCGAACTCGGCCTCAGCCTTGGCTGCCTCTCCGAAAGACATCTCGCCCTTGACAATCTTGTCTTGTATTTCGGCCCTTAGCTCGGCGCGACGGCTCCTCTCCCCATTCGTGCCCCTTTCCCTCAGCGAATCACTACGAGTTCGGTAGTTCTCTTTGATGGCGTTCGCGTCTTCGGGGTCTTGTAGCGCACGCAGATTTGCTCTGATAGACCCAAGTTCGGGGTGGCTATTGTTCACGGCTGGGTGGTGTCGCGGATAGGGTGGTGGCAAGGTCACAAGTCTGGAAACGTCCAGCTTGAACGGATCCGGTGTGGCGGGCGCAGAATGAGTCCAGTACCCAAGCGGGGGAGGGGGAGGGATTTGCCCCCCCAAGTCCTGTTCATGCCAGCCGACCTTCTCAGGAGGGTACTCATTTGGACCGTAAACCCCGACAGGAGTCGTGTCGCTAGGCCCAGGAGTACCACCTCCGGAGTAGTTGTCACTCTCCCACTGCATGTATTCTTGCGCCTCGGTAAGTTGAACTCCCATGTACTTGGATTCCCGCTTCGACCGTTCAATCTTCTTGCCGCGACCTTGAGAGCCATTCGCACTTCCCTCCCACCAGCGGCTAGCAGACCGGCCTCGTGAGTCTTCTTCGTCTGGGACTGTGCTTACAGCCATGCTAGGAATTGGTGAGAGACAAGGCTGCCACGAATTACTGTCCCCACGTGATCGTCCAGGTGGGCCGTGGCTCGATGCGCTGCTGAGTGGCGATTCCGAGGCCACCCTGGGGCTAAAGGTAGCAGAGGAAACAGCAGGGCTAGCGTTGGCAAAGCTCTCTACAGATGATATGGAATCCTGTCGCTCATGCTGAGACACAGGGGTGGTGTCCATCTTATTTGGTGTCGTTGAGCGCCTGCCAGTCGAGTTACCTGTGTAGCTCCGCCACATGTCCCGAGTCAAGTCGAGGATGTCGCTGGCCATAGCCTCAAATGCTGCAGAATAACGATCGCGACGCAGGCGGGATTCGTGGACTATGAAGTCAGCAAAGAGCTCCAAACGCTCTTGGTCTGTCATGGCAGCGCTTTCACGCTGAATGAATTCACGGTGCCGATCAATTGAAGACTGTGCGAAGAGTTCTTGATCCGTTGGTAGCCTTGCTTTACCGGCGGCGACGCTCGACGAAGATGAAGGACGAGAGGGGTGGAGTGGCTGGACCATCGGAACGTTGTCGAGGGGAGTATGCAAGATATGAGAGATAGGTCGCTCATTTCCTGAAGAAGTCGTGGAGGTGCTGGATGGCATGCCCGCAGAATGCGGCGGTGGTGTCGGCAGGGTCTTTGCGTGAGCACCAGGGGAGGGTTTGAACCGCGAGTTTGGCTCACCGTAGCCTTCGCCAGCCGGACTGAAAGGTGGAGTCGGGGCGAAAGATTCGGGGGACATAACCATTTGTCGAGGCGTGGAACCAGTCGATTCTGCTTGCAGATCCCCGAATGACTTGTTAGACCTAGCGCTTGGCTGCCCGCTTGAGGGCGAATTCAAGGCGCTTCCGCTTCGGGGTGTATTCTTGCGCCGTTGACTGATGGCACCTGAATCAGAAGTAAGGATAAGGTTTTTGGGTCGCTGCGCAGCCTCCAGCTCAGCCGCCCATGGATTGTTGCTCGGCTCGATGGCACTTTGTGTCTCGGTGACCTTCTCCTTGGCAGCGCGGCTTTCGCTTCGCCTTTCTCGAATGCCTCTTGCGCTGGGATCTCTGCGCGCAGGCGCTCTGGAAAGTCCAGAAGCCGATGATGATGGATATGCCGTCTGCGGTTCCGATGGCCCAGAGGAATTAGTGCCATCCAAGTCACCTTGGACTTGTGTTGTGAGGCGCAATGCCCTTCCCCAAGGCGACTTTGACCTGTTGCGTGCATCTTCTTCACGCCAATCGGCAGGCGTTGGCGGAATAGGGCCGAGCGAGCTACCAAATCCTGCTGCCCTCCGGGGTGCAGGCGCAGCCAGGGAGTTCATTCCTGATCGCGACGAGAGTTCGGAGGTTCGATTCATACTCTGTGACCGTGAGCTGCTAGGCGGCGGACCAGGTGGTGGCGGAGGTAGTGGCATGCCGGGTTCCCAAGCCGCGGTTCGGGAAGGAGTGCTTGAACCTTCATCACGAAGAGACATGCCAATACCACCGGTCGAGGCAGCTCTTCTTGCTGCCGGGGGGCGCAGAGCAACTTCAGGAGTCCATTGAGCTTGGCGATGGGGTGTTGCACTAATTTTCAAGTCAGCTTACGTGCCGATGGCCCTTGGGCAACGCTTGCGACTTACGGTTGGCTGGGACCCGCGATTGCTATCGGGTGCTGTGTCTGCAACGGGCCTGGTGTCCTCGCCAGTGCCTCGGTCGTCTGCAGTCTCAATGAATCAATTGCGCTGCGAGACTGCTCCGCACTACTTCCACCCCTACTTCTGTTAGTCAGAGCCGAGAGGCCGAAAACGGAGCGCTTATCCCGGTTGCGGGAGCTGGACCGATCGCGTGCATTCGCAGGTGGCGGTGGAGGGAAAGACGGCTGTCCTGAAGGTGACGATGTATGGCCAGACGGGCTTTGGCTGAGCATGCCGATACGTGGGGAAGAAGTGCTTTGCGGCGTAGCAAACGCACCACTCGAAAGAGACGGTGAGCTTCCCATGGCAGCGGACATGCTTTGTTGCCCGGGATTCGGAGAGTACGGAGGCGGCGGAGAGGGCATGTTCGCTGTCAGAGAAACATTAGTGACCTTTCTTGGTGACAATCATTGTATGAAGGGGGCATCTGGGATAATTTGCGCAACTCCGAAAGGATTGAAGATGAATAGAAAGTATAAGATAGCTAAGAAATAGAAGAAAGCAATTACCCTCCATGCCCGTCGCCTCTCTAGTGCTCCCTCTCAGCAGGCCGCCTGGCGAGGAAGTAGCATGCGGCATGAACTGGCCGCCGACATGTGAGCCATGTCTTCCCCATTCCTGCGGATTGTACGAGGAAACGGCAGAGGACGGGCCGCGGAACGCCATCGGGCTGGACACTCTGGAAGCACTCGTAGGGGCAGTCGACGGTTGTGAAGGAGGGTTGGAGGAAGCGGCATATGGAGAAAAGGGCAGCGCGGAGGGCGGCGACACAGCAGAGGCGGGAGTCTGCAGATAGGGTGTTCCGGCGTTGCTATGGTGCAAGGACGTTGATATTGCCGGAGGCTGTACAACCATGCGCCGGGGAGGGCTCGACACTTGCGGCCGTGCCGGAGGTGTCGCAGAAGCTGCGGACGGGCCTGCTACCTGCGGTGGCGGAGGCCCAGGAGGAGGAGGGACCGGGGCGTAGGAACTCATGCTGGCGCGACGGAGCCGTGCTCTTGATAGCCAGCAGCGTGCATTAGCTCGGACGCGATGTGCCTGGTCGCCTGGGTCGCGCAGGGCAAGCTGGGAGGCTGTTCAGTGTCTCAGGATGGGGCCCGACCCAGCGGCTACTGCGAGCGAATGGAATGGAGCAAGGCGCGAGGAAGCGGCGCGGGAGGAAGCACAGCTGCAAGCCGCCTGGACATAAGGATGGCGCCGAGTCAGACCACGCGCGGGCGGGAGGAGGAGTGTTTGCGCATGGCGGCGTGAAGAAGTTGAAGATCGTGTCCTAACGTGATTTTCGCAGCGGCGCGACGTCGTTCATTCGCCCAGGCCGCCGAGATGTGCGCTGAGTAGAGAGGGCGCTCGGACGGGAGCGATGCGCATAGCGGCGTCCGCGAGGGCGTCGCCGGGGCCTAGCACTGAAAGCGGCTATCGACTGTGCAGAAGCGACCGCGCGAAGCAGGGGCGTCGGCGAATGAGGGCGGCCGATTGTGGGCAGAGCGCAACGATGCGGGAGGGGGCACAAGGCCGGGCGCTTAAAATTCAGGACCCTCGCTCGCCGTGTCACCCGGCTAAGACCAAGCTTTGGGGGCTGCTGCGCTCGCAAAGAGCCGCGATGCGGCTACACAAAAGCACTGGCGCGGAGACTGAGCAGCAAAAGCACGCAGCTGCCCGCCCAACTTATGTACCATCCAGCTGCTGCTGCGTCGAAACGTGGAATACGTTCGCTGGGCACGACAGCTGCAGAGAGGGCTGGCGCTAATCGTGACTGCTAAAAATAGGCGGCCAGTAACGCCAGGCTGCCGAGCCTTGCCGTCCTGTCGCGGCGTCTGTTTGGAGCAGTGGAGGTTTGTGGGGCCCGCGGTCGGATCAGAGCCTAAAAGTGCAGGTGAAGAGTCGTTCATTCAACCGTCAAGCTTTGCTCCAAGAGACACTACTGCACTAATTATATACAGAAATCATCCCATCGTCGCCTTGACCTGTTAATTTTGGAACCTTATTTCTTGTGCTTTGCGTGCACGTCGATCACCTTCTGCACCTCGTCGTAACTGCCGAGGAAGATACCCGACCGGTCGTGAATGTGTTCCGGCTTCACCTCCAGCATGCGCTCCATCCGACTGTTCACCGCTTGGCCACCCGCTGTTCCTTGTCAGTAACTGTCTTGTCTCTGTTGGAGGTGGCTGGCTTACCGTTCTCGAACACCATGGCCATCGGGCCGCACTCGTACATGATTCTGAGCTTGCCCTTGGTGCTCTTCTTGTCGGCCGGGTAGGCGAAGATGCCTCCGTACAGCAATGTTCTGTAGGCATCGGCAACCATGGAGCCGATGTATCTTGCGCTGTACGGCTTGCTGCCGTCCTCGGGGAACTTGAGACTGTTGACGTACTCCTTCACCGGCTCCTCCCAGTACTGCATGTTACCCTCATTGACCGAGTAGATCGAACGCTTCTTCGGGATCCTCATGTCCGGGTGCGTGAGGATGAACTCGCCGAGAGAGGAGTCGAGCGTAAAGCCGTTGACACTGCCACCCTTCATGGTCATGACCAGCTGCGCCGATGCGCCGTACATGGTGAAGCCGCTGGCAACCATCTCCGTGCCCTTCTGAAGGAGCTCCTCCTTCGTGCCCTTGGCGCCCTCGGGCAGCTTGAAAATTCCGAAGATGGTTCCTACCGAAACACCAGCATCCAAGTTGGAAGAACCGTCGATCGGATCACATGCGACGGCGTAGCGCGCATCGGGGTGCTCGTCGAACGCAATGGCCTCCTCCTCTTCCTCCGAAACCAATATCCTGACCTTGCCGCTGCTCTTCATGGCGGCAATGAAGATGTCGTTTCCAATGACGTCAAGCTTCTTCTGGTCATCGCCCGTCGTATTCGAGGATCCCGCCAGGCCGGAAAGCTAGGCGCGGTCAGCTGGGCTTCCCAATCTCAACAACCCCTTTTGACTTACGTTGATCAGGGAGGCGCGACGAATGTAGTACGAGATGCTCTTGAATGCAAATTGCAGGGCGTGGCACAGGAGACTGGAGGGCGCAATGCCGTTAGCGCAGGTCGCGCAAGAGAGCACAAAGAGCGCGCACTTACGTGAAGTCACCAGTTGCCTCCTTGACCTTGGCCTGCTCTTCAGTGAGGAATCTGGTCAGGGTGATGATGTCGGTGTTGATCTTCTCCTGGCCAACGGCGCCGCCGCCGCTGTTGATTTCGGTAGACATGGTGAGGGTGGTGCTGGGAGGGAAGGCGGATGGATCTGGGGTATCAGGAAAGTAGTCTGGAGAAGAGTCGCACACGGCGGGAGGTAGGCTCTCAAGTAGTAGCCAGGAGCACGCAGCAGCAACTGTGCTTATGAAGTAATTGAGTGGGTACAGCTGGGGTCGGGCACGCGGAGGGAGCACGGTCTAGAGCTGGTGGCTTATGGTTGGACGCTGCTATCCCCTCGGCACCATGTGGACCAAGGGATCCTCTATTGATGTCAGTTTCCGCACCCAACTTCGTCACTTCGCAGGCAGATCCAGATGAAGGCGCAAGTTGCGATCGTAGATTGCGTGCAGGACCACCAGACTTTAAAGGCACTCGCGTGCGCTCGGTATGACGCTGGGACGCGCCCACCCACGGATCGGGGGGATGAGGGGCACGCTGGGGGCGGGGTTCCTCCAGAGCTTCGCGCATGCCCTGCGCGGCCCGAATTCTCCCGCAAAACCATCGGGCAGCGCAGGAGCGCCTCAGCAACACATGCAGCCAAGCTTCACGAGAGGTGGAAAATTGCCGTGGTTTGTCAATGGCTTGCTGCTATCGAGGTATTCGGAAAAAGAGATAGCCGTGCAGCCGCAAGCTCGGGTTAAAGATACCAGTCCTTCAGGGGCGCGTTTCCGATCACCTGCCGAACGTCTTTTCCGGAGATTTGACACACCAGACTCCTGCCCAGTGCATGCGGAATGCGATTGAGTCGCGTGCCGTATTGAATTGTTCGATCAGTAAACGCATCGGGCCGTTGAAGGCGCGGGCTGTGGCAACGCGGATGCTGCGGAACGATATCCGCAGGAATCTCGGGGATTGGGCCTTCACCTCGCCCACCCGAAGTGCATCGTGAAGCATTGACAGTGATGATCATGGTGGTTGGGCGAGCCAGTCGTAGCTTTCTCCGAGCCTGGGCTGATCACGTGCAGCTCCGCCGGCGGGCGACCCCCGGCCCGGTAAGCGAACGGACCTCCGCCGCCCTTCAAAACTTCATCGCGCCGAAAAATTTCCTCGACATCTCAACAACGCGTCCACCAACGCGCCATCATGCTCAGCGTCGCAGGCGCTCATGCTGCGCACTCTGCCATGTCTGTGACATGAAATATCACGCGCTTCTGACGCGTTCTCAAGGTAAGGAAAAACGTGCACCCCCCTCCCGTTTCTCTGATGAATTGGCAAACCGCATTACAAACTAGAGTCTTTGATCTCTATCGAGAAATGAAACTCGCACTTGCTTGCACGTCAGTCTGAGAAACATCGCATTCAGCACAGTTAGTCTTGCGCGCAGCTGGAACCGTTGCTAACCTGGAAATAGTTCTTTATTCCAACTCCATATCATGACCTGACGGTCCACAGCCTCCCGGCCTCATCAACCGTACGTTTCCCACACTCTCTCATACATTTCCCACATGCACAAAGATGATCATCGTATACTTTATACGCTGGAAATTACCGGCTGAGGCCTTAGGCCGCTGAAGATACAAATTGGCTGTTTTCTGATCCTGCTCTCAACCCGCATTTCTTCGAGTCTCCTACTGCAGAGTAGTAGCTGACAGTTCATATAGGAGTCTGGATTCTCGGTCACCGTAGTGGTACGCCGTCTCGACTTCTTCATCCCTTCCACCTCATATGATGAATGGCACTGGGCTCCGACAAGCATGACGGATATGCCACATTGCGGCAGGCCTAGAAAACCTCGCCCACTGATTCGGCGAAAAATGCTTTCGCATCTCAACAACTTCCGGCAACTCTTACTGAGACGAAATCAGGTGCTTGGCGAGAACATTCAGCTAGGCCCTGTGGTTACCTGCTCTTACAGCGAGCAAGTCAACCCCGCAGCCGTAGCTACTGTTTCGCGAATCGAGAGCTGGGTAAGTAAACAAAATATTTTCTTGCAACCTGATTTTCGTGATGAACACCTAGATGACGAGTCTTATTGGGGTTTCCCATGCAGACAACCTTTTAAAAATACCATTCATGCCTAACTGACATCATTGTTTTCTTGATTAAATTTGGATTTAATCTTCCGAACGCTTTCTAACGTCGCATCTAGTAATAAATCATGCTTGACGAGGTCCAATCATTCATGGGCGAAGTGTTTATGCAGCAATACTTTCTGGTATTTGAGCTCATGGTAAGCTTTCCTGCCGTCTTTCCCGCATTTATTTCATGATGAAACGACATTACAAATTGACAAGCATATGTCCAAGCACGCCTTGACCGGCTGCGAAGACGAGACTGTCTTGTCTGAATTATTCTGGATCACTCGAAAAAGACGCTTGTATGCGATTGTTCTCATACTGACGCCTATCAGATTATGACTGCTCTCCCAGGCTGCTGCGGTAACCTCGTCCATGGATTTTCCTCTCCGGCAATCGGCCTCGACAGTTCTTGTAAGTTCCTTTTTACTATTTCTGCACATTGCACATGTTAAATGATGATCCTTTTTAATCTCACGACGGTCGACATAGCTTATGCATTGATGAGAATGCCTTCTGACAAAGGCTTTGGACTGAAATTCATTGTTACCGCTTCTTTCTTACAACACTTGCTTAGTCGAAGCACAGCGCTAACGTTGGTGTTGTATCTAGGTTGGCCCATTTGATAGTGGAGATTTGGCACGTTGAAAAAGATTTTTCGTTGATCGTCCCGCCTTGAGCGGGACCTCGAGGAAGAACACGCGCCATCACAATTTGTCAATCGACGAGCTATTGACATGCTTTTTGCAAGTCTCCTTAGTGCTGATTGCCTGGTGGAGTATCAAAGACACCTTCATGGTGCCAGCTTCTGAGAATCCCAGAACTGGCGACTTTACCACTCAGTTATGCACATAGTTTGGCCATCTAAATGCACGAAAGCCCCGCAGGGTTGGTGATCCAGCAGCATTGTTAAACGATGTGGTCATGAGTGTCGTTCTTACAGGATCTGTTTGGGGATTCCCAGATTGCCCCCAGGCCCATGTGGAGCTACCATTAACGCATGGACATATAAACCCGCATGACTGATCATCTACTGGTGCCCAATTTCATTCAAATGCAAATATTGCGAACCCTTAGCGTCATACGCTCGTGTCTGGGTCTTCCAAGATGCTTCTGCAGCCCCTTCTACCAGATTCGTACGCAAAACTGACGTCAACAGTCCCGTTGGTGCTCATTGCTCACCCACCTGACACCCACAGCTCGGCTTTCCTTCCCATGTTCACGGGTGGGTAAACATTTCCGGCCCTTAATTTTGTGTTCCCCTGGCGCGCGTGTAAGCGCCAAAAGGGGCCGTCTTTCGAGGTGACGTTCCCTTTGCTTTTTCTCGCCGCCACCAACACTGCCACCAACTTGTTTTCCTTCGCGCTTCAGTTCTTCTTCCCTGGCACGTCAGCCTCGACCGGCAGATCCATGCCGACCCGCCGTGCGGTCAGGCGCACGCGCTCCTCCTCGTCCATGTTCATGCCCGGGTTGTAGCGCTCGAGCAGGGTGATGTAGAGGCGCTGGGCCTTGACGTATTGCCAGAACTGCTCCGTCTCCTCAAGGGTCGGGGCGCGCGCCGCGTGCCCGGCAGGCGGTGTTGCAAGCTGCTTGCGGAGGTGCTGCTGGAGTGGCGACGGGTTGGACAGCACGGGCTGCGAAGAGCGGGTCGAGGGCGCGTGTTTGGCGTCGCGCGCGGGCAGCTCGCGCAGAAGGCGGCGGTAGAGGGAGCGAATTTGCGTGGGAGCCGATGTCGCGGACATGTCGGTAGATTATCGATTCAATCGATTGGAATGCCTCGATGAAGATGCCGGGCGGTGAGTGGTGATGCCTGCGGGGAGGAGGGTTTAGAAAGCTGGAGTGCAATGCGGGCGAGACATTTTGCGCGGAGGTCGCGGGCGGCGAAGGCTTCTCTCCTCCGAAACCACCACCAGCCATCATGTCGTGAATTTTTGCCGCACCACGTTTCTTCGCCCTCACCATTTGCCAATGATGCCGCAATGGGGTATCACGCCCTTCACCTGCACACGGTGCACGCGGCGATTGCTCTCCACCGGCCGTCCCTTCCTTCCGGGCCATGGCAGCAGCAGCGCCAGCGGCATCCGCGTCGCGACGCCGCGCATTGCCGCCCGCTACTTCGAGACTGAGCAGCCAGTCAACTCCCTGCTCATCCGGCGACACCTCAGCCGACCTGCGCGACCGCAGCCCGTCCGAAATCACCTGCCCTCGTCGCCTCCTGCCGACCTTCTGACGACCGATGAACTCGCCGAAGAAGAACACTCGCGCGACGCCGCGGTCGAAAAATACCGCGAGGAGCACAAAGAGGAGATAGAGAAGAAATTGGGAGCTCGGTCCAGCCAGAGCACGCCGCTGTCGATGATACACCCGTGCTACCCACGCCCGTACGAGCCGCACCGGTACCTCTCGACGTTCATGCCGACGGACCAGCAGCTGCAGCTGGCGCGCCTGTTCTTCGCCACGGGTGACCCGCACTATGTCTTCACCTGCGCCTCGTTCCGCCAGTTCCCCCACGACAGCCCTCTGCCCGAGGTCGCCTTCCTCGGCCGCAGCAACGTCGGCAAGAGCAGCCTGCTCAACGCCCTGTTCGGCCGCCGCAGCCGCGGGTCGCCCGACAACCACGACACGGGCACGGCCAAGGTGTCGAATCGCGCAGGCAAGACGCGCACGATGAACGTGTTCCTGGTGGGCAAGGGCGCCCAGGGCGGCGCCAAGGCGCGCGAGACAGACATGCATGGGAAGGTGATCAAGGGCAGCGAGAGGGAGAGGTGGATCGGGCCTGGCAGGGGCGTGGCGGTGGTGGACATGCCCGGGCACGGATTCAAGAGCCGGGCCGAGTGGGGAGAAGAGATCGTCAAGTACTTGACAAAGAGGAAGCAGCTGCGCAGGGTGTTCGTGCTCGTGGACTCGGACCACGGCCTGAAGCAGACGGACCTTCAGGTGTTGGATCTCTTGCAAAAGCATGGCGTGCCGCATCAGATCGTGCAGAGCAAGGTAGACAAATTGCTGTTGCCGAAGTTGAGGGGCAATTCGAAAAACAGGGTACAGAAAGGTCTGGAAGTGTTGAGGAAGAGGCAAGAGGCAATAGAGAAAGAGTTGGCTAAGAGGGAGAAGCAGGGAATGGGGATGCCGGCCTTGGGGGAGATATTGTCAGTCAGCTCCGAGAAGGAATTCCCGTCTATCGACGCGCCAGGGAAGTTTGACAAGCTTGGGATCAATGGTCTCAGGTGGGCAATTATGCAGGCCGCCGGTTTGACTGAATTCTTAGAGTAGACATTAGACGGATTGAACCATCCATGCAACTCTACTCATAAAAGGTAACCAGACTCGAGGCAACTTCTGCTTCCACGATCGATACTTTATACCACCTATTCCCTGATGCTCGAAAATGAGAAAATAACTTCGTGCTCCCCCATTATTTCCGGCATTAGACATATTCCAATTTTTTCGTATATTGCCGCATATCTGAAAAGAGACACCGACACGGAGAGCAGTGCTACACACCCCACACAACACAGCCACAGCGCTCACAGCAAATCACCTGGAGCTGCGCCTCGACCGGACTTGTGCTAAGAACCCCTAGCCTAAGAACTAACCGATACACCAGAAGATTGAAGCATATCAATGAGTCAGAAGACATGTCGCTGCAATGCTACTTATATCTCCGATTCCTCATTACGGTTTGTATGCCACACACGCAACCAGTTCAACTATTCAACTTCAAATCCAATTACCGAGAAGTAAGTTCCTCAGTCTCGAAAATCAAAGCACAAATTGATGTTTTCCAACAGACCACGGTACCACGAACACAAACAACAAAATGTCTGCTCAGACACGGCCACCCGACAGCCTATTGGCCAACCTATCTATCCCGATGAACGACGACGACAGCAACGACGCGCCAATAGTCGCTTACCTCACGCCCCTCTCTGACGACAACGTCTCCCACCTCCTCCCAGCCCTCATCCCCCTCCTTTCCAATTGGCGCCGTGACGCCCTGCACTCCCACCTCCTCCGCCGCCTCGCCCACGCCTCCCCAACCTCAGCACTCACCACAGCCCTCGCCACCATCCTCTCCGCCCCCGACGCCCCCAACGCCTCCTCCACCAATCCGCGCACCCACGCCATCGCCCTCAACCATCTCGTCCAATCCCTCCCCCTCCGCGCCCTACCCCCCTACATCCCCGCCCTAACGCACCTCTCCAACCCACCCCCATCCAGTACCTCCGACGACGACGACGCCGCCCGGATCGCCGCCGCCTGGACCGCCTCCACGGCAACCGCCGTCCTGCGCCTCGCCGCGGGCGACGTCTGGACGCCGGAAAACAAGTTCGACCACCTGGCCATCCGCTCGCTGCACGCGGGCGCGCGCTCGCCGGCGCTGATGGCGCCGTTCGTGCCGGACCTGCTCCGCTGGCTGCAGGACTACCACTGGCCCGTGTACGCGGCCTGCGCGGCGCAGCTGGCGCGCTTTCCCGAGGTCGCGGCAGAGGGGGTGCGGCACGTGCTGCGCGTGCAGGCCAACGGCGACGACGAGTGGAGGCGGAATGTGGTTAACTTTGTGGCGGAGGACTTGCCGGGGGAGGTGAGGGAGGGGTGTAGGGGCGCGGTGGTGGAGGTTTTGGAGGAGGTGGAGGGGAGGGTGAGGGAGATGGGGGAGGGGGAGGAGGCGGAGGAGGCGGATGAGTTTGAGTTGAGAGAGGCGTGTAGGGAGTGTTTGGAGGTGATGGATTGGTGGATGGGGAGGGAGAGGGTGCTGGGGAGGGTGGGGTGGTGGTTGCCGAAGGAGGAGTTGGTGGATGAGGATGAGGACGAGCTGTGGTGAGGGTCAAGAACATGGAATTGTTCCCTCATTAATATACCCTTTCTCATGGATATGATATGTGCTGTAGAAGCCAAATTATATCCCAATTGGAAACTGATAAGGCGAAAACTTGTATCTTTTACTCTTATCTGCTTTCCCGGTGCCTCCTATGGGCCGGTAACTCTGCTGGTAACTCCGCAAACATCTGACTGCCGCTGTTTCCGTGACGGGTCTGCGCAGGTAATTCAGCTCTCTGCTCGTCATGTAGTTCCGCAACAATTGCGCTGCCATCCTTCTCGTGAGCCATAGCGTCTTTTCCGCATTGAAGCTCGGCTGTTTGGCTCTGTCCATGTAGCTCCACCCTCTGAGCGTCATCCAACTCCCCTGGGAAATTGCCCTGGCTTGAGAACTGCCTTTCTTTGTCCGGGTTCTCCTGGCCCTTCCGGTTGCGGCGCCTTCGGTCGATAAAAAGCACTCCACTACTCACAAGAACGATGCCAACGACACAGCCAACTACAATGCCTGCAATAACGCCAGGAGTTAGGGGAGGACCGGAGCTCGACGATGATGATGCTTGAGAAGCACTGGTCGTGGAGGAGGGCGTTGATGACGAAGTAGACTCAGAAGCGGGAAAGTTTGTCGTGGAGAAGACTCGTTGCAAGAGTGTGTTGTTCCACGTTGGTTCTCGATCGCTGAGGACGGTTGAGTAAGTGAGACTTAACGGAGGGGAGTCGACGGCTTACTTCTGCAAATAATAGTACTGCACGAGTTCCGATGGTTTGTACACCGAAGTGTTCAGGGCGCTTGCCGAGTAGTGATCTTCAAACTCGAGACTCGTCATGTTGAAAATTGCGATGCCCTGCTTGAAGGGATCCGCGCTGTCGAGCATACTCTGGTAGTTCGATCCGCTCTGATCTGTGGTGGATGAATCGAACCCGCCAAGTGTCAGAATTTGGCTCCCGCCGACTGCATTGCAGGTATGCTCATGTCGAGGATGTGCAGCGACGTAATCAACTTGGATCCAGTGAAATGCGGGAAGTGTGAGAATGAATATCTGGTCGTATGGCACCGCGCCGGATCCCGTTGTGCCCGGGTATCCTCCGTACATGAAGATTTCGTAAGTGCCATTGTCCGAGGAGACACCAGCGAGGCAAAAGCCCTTTCGCGCGTCCGGGGTGTTGCCAGAAGTGGATTGATCCCACCATTCGTCAGACTCCGGGTCGTAAATCGAGACAGTGTCGAAGCTGAAAGATTCCGATTCGTCCTTGAATTGCTCGGGTGCTCCTCCCATGACCACAAATATCCCCGACTCCCCAAAAGCAGGAACGTAATGCATGCGCCCTTCTTCAATTTTGCCATGAAAGTACGGTCTATCCACGGTCTTGTTAGTCAGTGATTTTGTTGTCATGTTAAAATCAACCATGCCGCTCAAGGGCAGGATGGTCTCGCCCAGGTCCTCGGTCTCTGTGCTTGATTGAGACGTTGATGCCCCTCCAAGCATGAGGCCTTTGCCGCCTCCGTAAGCAAAGAGAGATATGTAGCCACGGGTGATATCATCAAATGCAGAGTCGGTGGATTTTATTGCAACATCCCAGGTACCGCCTCCAGACCCGTCCGGCTTGAAGGACCACAGGCCCATTGGATATGGGTCTCTAGTCGCAAACTTGGAGAGAGATCCGGCAAATCCGGAATAAACGATGTTTTGATCTTCATCATACCATAAGCCGGTCCCTGTCAGGTCAGGGACATCGTCTGGTTTCGCGGTCGACCTGTAGCTGAGAGTCTCGTTGGTCCAATCCTCTGACAGATCAATAGAGAGAATGGTAGAAGCTTTCGGTGGAATTTTTTGTCAATACAAGTCCGAATTGACACACATAACAAGCGCATACAATAGTAATATGAAGTGTTGCCGTCAACTCGTCGTGAGAAAGATCCACCGTCGACATATAGGTAATTTCCGATGAGCGCAGCTGTTCAAATTAGCCTTGTAACGGCAGAAAGATGAAGAATGGTGCTTTGCTCACTCCCGTGACCTGCACGTCTCCTGAATGTATCTGCCGTAGTTGCACCATCTGCAGCACCGTCTGCAGATACCAGCTTGGCCAGAAGTGGAATTATGCTACAATATACCGGCGTAAACTTCATGATGGATGGAGGCCGCATCGTGAAAAGCAAAAAGAAGAAAAGAAATCACAGCGGAAAATAGTTATCCGCTGCAGAGCGACGGAGAGAAGAGAACGGCAGATTTGTGTTGCTGGGACCGGCGATCCCATTAGGAGGTGGGGCGCATGCGGCACAGCACGACTTTAAGCGCTGTATGCCCGAAAGTCGTTGGATCACCATCCACTCGGTAACGTATGAGGCAATCGGGCGGCTAGGCGGTGGGGATCGCTTTCTGTTGAAGCTCGAAGACTCGCTGTATGTTATCTCAATATTAGGCTCAGCCGCAACTAAACATATCTCGCGGCGTAGCTTCCTTCCCTCTGAGCTCTAATCCACACGGCTTTAAATACGCATTCCTCGAAAATGTAGTCTCCTGCTGCCAAATTCTAGCTTTCAACTTTATTTCATCGTGCTATTTCCCATCTCTTTGTACTTTACCTTTCGCCGCTACTATACTCCTTCACTGCATCAACTCGATCCCTCGTATTCGCATTCTGGTCGAATGCGTCCAAAGCCTCAAACTTTCGCTTTGTCTTGTTGCGGTCAGTGCTATTACCAACCTTCGCGGGATCCTGCTCTTTTGGTGAGCTCTTGTGCTCTTAGGAAATGATTAGCATGTAAGTGAGGTGGGGGCGTAGTGTCACCGACACGAAAAATCCGGTCCTCACCGCCGTGCATCCACCACCACAGTCTTGACGCCTCTCTACCGCAAGGCTTTGACTCTGTTGATGAATAATACAGCCAAACGTGTAGTGCTGAAGGTTTGTCTCTTGAAAATGCTGGCACCGGTCCCACAAATTAAAATGCTTTTTTATGTTCTAAAAATACCCCCTACAGCATCCTGGCGCCTAAATGATCGCCGCTGCGGTTGCTGTGCCGCAAAGGAATGGCAAGAGCCTTGGGTCTGCCATGACCCTTCGAATTCCTCTAAAACGTGTTCATTCCTTCTGATCCATGGCTTCCTTGGTGTGACATTTTTTCTGTGGCACCTTGTCTAAGCAGACTTTCCCGTTACGGTAATCAAATGAGCTTCCTACCAGGATTATGGCACCTCCAATGCACTCTCATCGCATTTGTGCTCATCTTGATTGATGCCAGTAACGCGAACACGCTTGTCGCCCGTCAGTCCGATGGCGCAACCGGCGCGTCAGCCTTTTTGAGAAGGGGCTATCACGCATGTATGTAAGCCAGCCGTCCACTTTTTCTCGAAATTCACTCACACGCGTGGCAAAAGCTCTGGTAGTAGGGGACTACGTGTACATTGATGGCGGAGAATTCGCGACATATGACAATGGCAAGGTCCAGCACGAATTCTGTAAGTGCATAAACGATGATTCACTCGAAGAAGACTACTGACATGATTGCCGCGAAGCAAACACACTCCTCTCCATCGACCTCTCGAAGAACTGGACCAACTCGACCGTAACGCTGCACTCGACCAGCAAACCGACGTCGGTCCCCTCGCTCGTCCAAGGCGGCCTCTGGTACGACTCATCCGCCAACCTCATCTACACCGGCTTCGCCGGGCGCACCTCCTTCCTGAACACCTCGGAGCTCGACCCCTGGCCGCTAGGCATATGGACCTTCAAGCCCGACGGCCTAGGCAGCGGGACGTGGGGCACGGCGCTCGCCTCGACCGACTCGGCCTTCGACAGCATCACGCGGCCGCACCTGGCGGCCGTCGCGCACGGCAACGGCGTCGGTTACGCGCTCGGCGGGTCCATCAAGACGGCGCAGGACGACATCGTGGGCAGCGACCTCGTCAACCTCGACGGCATGCTCCGCTTCGACATGGCGACCAAGGAGCTGACGAACGTGACGGTCGAGGGCCCGCGCTTCCACAACGGCCACCTGCAGCACGCGCAGATGGTCTACGTGCCGAACTTCGGGCCCGACGGCGTCTTCGTGGTGCTGGGCGGTGTGAAGACGAGCCCGCAGACGGACGCGTTTGACTGGGGGACCGTGTCGGTGTTCGATCCGAAGGAAGGGAAGTGGTATGACCAGGAGACGACGGGGAATACGCCGCTGGCCAGAAAGGAGTTCTGCACCACGGGGCTGGCGTCGGACAACAAGACGTATGAAATGTGTGTCTTCCCCCTCCTCCCGTCCTGGGATTTTACAAAAAGGCTAACCAATATTGGCCAGATTTGTCTATGCGGGTTGGGGCGGAGACCTGGGCACAGCCAGCATTCCGTATGATCAGATCTACATCCTGACGCTGCCGGCCTTCCACTGGATCAAAGTCGACTACACACCGACTCACACCCGACACGCTCTGACCTGCCACCCTGTAGGTGGAAGCCAGATACTTACCATCGGGGGTGTTAACTCCGCCTCCGAAGACAACAGTGGCACTATCTACCAATCGACCTTCGATGACAAGGACGAGTATACCCAAGGACTGGCCATCTTTGACCTGAGCACGCTGGAGTGGAAGGATGAATACAATGCGAATGCCAGCCCATATACCCAAAGTAGTTTGGTCCGGACGTTCTACTCGCAGAAGCATGTCCCTCCCACCACAGAATGAGCAGAGCATCTACTAACCAGCAACAGTTCCCGCAATCCCGTCTTCAACTCAACCCAACTCAAGACAACCTTCGACACAACAAACTTTACCAAAACCTCCACCATCGCCACCACAGGAAGCAGCTCCCCCAGCGCAGCCGCAACTACCGCTGCTGCCCAGTCCTCCAACTCTCTCAGCAAGGCAGCCATTGCCGGCATTGCCGTGGGCGCAGTGGCCGGGGCTTTGGCACTCATCGGTGGCTTGGTATTCCTCGGGTGCGCGAGGAGCCGGCGAGCAAAAAGAAAAGCAGAGGAGGATGAGCAAAATCAGCCGTTTCATGGTGGCGCCCCAATGCCGGAAATGCATGGCCTGGGACTTTCTGAGCTTCCGCCCGGTGAGTGGAGACATGAGATGCAAGGGGACCGGGTGGTTCATGAGAAGCATGCGTCAACTGTTCCTGCAGAGTTGCCTGCCGACGAAGCAGAGCGGAGGAAAAGTGGGAGGGTACGATAAGGGACAGGGACTTTGTTTGGTCATGACTTTTCTATTATTGCTTCTTGATACCTCTGTTGCATTCTATATTTTATTGTCTCGGTAAATAAGACTCGGTTCGGAATATGGTATTCTTTCAGTTCGTGATAACCTCCGTACAAGATCCACCCTGCTATCCTACACTGTAGCGCGGCGAGCGAAATGCCTCAGTGTCAGTGGGTATCATGTATTGACGACCAAAAAGCCAAGATAGACTATGTGTATCTCAGTCAGGGTAGTAAGGAGTCCATAGATGTACACCTCCATGCCAAAAGGAGTAGGTCAAAACGATCACCCTCCACAAATCCAGAGCAGCAAAAAGACTGGAGCACAACGGGCGCAAAAGAAATTGTCCCTACGCAGAATCGAACTGCGGACCTTCGGATCGCCACCTCTAAGAGGAAGTCATATTGTTGTAATATGAGACCGACGTCATAACCGACTAGACCACAGAGACAGGATGACTAATGCATTTGACCGCCTTTGTATAAGACTCAATTTTGCAATGGCTCAGATCATGAATGCTTTGCCAATCTCTCCTCTGTGGTCTTGAATATCTCAGGAATGCCCGCTCCCGTCTCTTCGAATGGCACGTCTTCCAATACCATCTTTGCAACACCCTTGGCACAGAGATATACCAACGCATTACCGCCGCCATTGAACCCTGCAAGAATCCATTGGTTCTGCTTCCCAGGAACTTTTCCAACATGTGGAAATCTATCAGGGGTGACGCCCATGACTGCACTACCCTGTCAGTAAACCGAAAGACCACAACATCCTCAGACACGTATAGCCTCCGGGAAGGGCGAAACTCACTTCCGGTCCAGATCCTCTCTAGCTTAGATCCACTGTCATCCCATCCCGTGAAGTTCCTCTGCATATAGCCCTCGAAGTACTTAGCCTTAATGACAGGCTCCATCAAGGTTGAGTCATCCACGGTGTTGTACCACAGCTCCCTCTGCCCTTCGTACAAAAACTTGCCACCCCCCACCACGATGCCACCGTCCGGCCTGGGGTTCAAGTAGTCAACCGTCTCCAGCTTCTGCCGGCCATACTCGATATTGTAAGTATGACTGAGCCGCGGCTGCGCCGGCTCCCTCCCATCCAGCGTCGCCAGATGCGCACACGTCCCCTTAAACGGCGTAATCACGCCGCGATACTCGTGAAGCAACCCAGCCGTATACGCATTCGTCGCAAACACGACCTTCCGCGCCCTCACCGTCCCCCTCTCCGTCCTCACCAGCCACTCCCCCTTCTCCCCCTCCCCCTCCTCCCCCTTCTCAACCCCCACCACCGCCGTCCCCGTCTGCACATTCAGTCCCTTATTCCACCCCATCGCCCTCTCCAACAACCCCGCCACGAATCGATACGGCCACAACGAGCACGCGGGGCTACTCACCGCCGCCTTCGCTCCCTTCACGCCCGTCAGCGCCTCCACCTGCTCTCCCCGCACGAACTCCCTCCCCCGCGTCCACTCATCCCCACGCTCCACGCACCGCCGCCACTCTTCCTCCAACCACGCCGCGTCGCTTTCCTGCACGAACGCGTCCCAGCTGCGCCGCAGCTGGAATTCGCATTCGGCGGCCAAACCCGGTTCGCGTGACGTGACGACGTCGGCGAGGGCGTCGATCTGGGCGCGGACGAAGGCGTCGAGGGCGTTGGCGGCGGCGATGGCGGAGGAGGAAGAAGAAGATGATGAGGAGGAGGGGCTGGAAGAGGAAGAAGAGGACGAGGAACGGGCGATTATCGAGAGGAGGGTGGCCGTCTTGACTTTGACGTGGCCGCCGTTGCGGCCGGTGGCGCCGGAGCAGAGTTGGCGGGCTTCGAGGAGGAGGGTCGAGGGCGGGTTGGGGGTTGAGGTGGCGAGGTGGTATCTGTAGATTTTGTCAGTTTTTTTTTTTTTGCGTGTTGTATAGCAGAAAGGCATTGAGGTGTCTGAGCCTCGAGAAGCCGTTTGAAGGAAAGGGGGAGCGCGTACGCAACGGAGACGCCGGCCAGGCCGGAGCCGATGATTGCGACGTCACATGAGGTGGGAAGGTCTGGGGTGCTGCGGTGAGAGTCGAGACGGTGCGGCTTCTCGCGCCAGTAGGAGAGAGTGGAGTTAGGGACGGGCAGGGTGTCGTTTTGGTGCTCTGCTGCAGCAGAATTGTTTTCGGCATTCGTTCTGGATGTTGTCACGCCCATGTTTCTCATCAATGAGGAGAGGTTTTGTCAATGTGTCGAAGAGTGGGATATTAGCAGTGGAGAGCCCCTCGTAGGTTTGAGGGGTGCTCGGCACCAAGTTTATATTCAGAGCATGCTGCAATGATCATGGAGATCTTGAACTGCGGAGTTGAAACAAGCATTTCTGCCTAGAACCGATATCAACTTGCAGGATGGCGTTGAGCTAGACCCACGCCCAAAAAATTGCCGATTGTTAATTCCCCGCTTATGCGCTGGTCTCCGAAAGAAAATGTGATATGCGGAGATAGGCGTTGGATTCGTCAGCGCTAATGCAGGCTCAATTGCGGAGTTGGAAGGTGGGCATCACGCCGAACTCCGTACTTAGGTCCTCATCCTGATCAGACACGGAGCTTGGAAGACGAAGTAACAACGCAAGCACGGAAGCTGGTGTTAGTACAACGGTAGCTCAGTAGTTTGAGTATACCCTAGGTTCAGTGGCAAGTTCTGGGGTAATTGAGCAACCATGGACATGCGCTACCCCAACCAACTGCTCGGGATCAGGAGTCGAAGCCCAACCCCATGGTATCCTGATTCGTGGGACTCAGTTGCAACAAATTTCAGGATCGCTTGTGATGGGAGAGTTAGATGGTTGCAGGCTGCTGAAATTTGAGTGCACACCTATACGCCCTGAGACTGCGGTGGCCATTTGACAAAACCAACTGCGGACCAAGGTAGAATGTTAGAAAGGGAAGGAATGGCAGTGGTTCATGTTCGACTCACTTACAAATATCAGACGAATGTTTCTCAGCTCTCAGGTCGGATCAAGAATGGTGAAGTTGACACAAGAATACGCAGGGAATTTGTCCATATCAAAATCAATTACTCGGTACTATCATGTGGTATGTCGTCCCCAAGCGAACCTGCAACGTCTGCGGAGTATAGAATAACGCAGCAGGATTATAAAGGGTCGATGCAAGCATCCATCTTGGTCTTCTTTAAAATGTGGAAAGCCAATAAGGCAAAGTGACAACCCACGGGTATATTTGAGACCGATAAAGAGAGAGGCAGGAATTGACGTCTTACCATGTTGAAATCTGTATGTTTCAGACCCTTGAAGATCAACCTCTACAACATTGTGCAGCACCCGTAAGTCTGGATTCTTGCAGAATCGTAAGACTTGAAATCGGGTCTCGACTTGAGATATCTGGGAAGAGGCAAACGCAGCAACGTTGCGGCCCAATTCCCCGCTCAAGTGCTACCACTTTCCTCCTGATGCATCGAAGGCAAACCGATAGCTTGGGGTGAGATGGTAGAAAGGGTAGCGGGGTTCGACCGGTAACTCCCGTTTGTGCGTTGCCGTGCTGTGCAAACAAGTACGACGTCGTACGCTGCCGCCGTCTCTCTTGACGTTGAAGAAGGCAGACGAAAGGAGTATAAAGCGGACGTCGACCGGCGACGTTGGCTGTCAACAAAAGCCACCACGCGGTTTTTGCCCTACCAAGCATCTCCCGAGCAGTTCTTTGCCCGCTTGTCAGTCACAATGTCTCCCACCTACCTCAAGCTCTTCCTAGCGATGCTGGGCCTCTTCAGCATTGCCACTAGTGCACTGCCAGCAGATCCAGAGGTCAGCCCAGCCCCTGTTCTGAGCAACCCGTTCAGATCCATTGACCGTTCCATGTAGAGCATCACCATTTCGCTCCAGGATCCACCAACTACTTCATCCATCGCTTTACCCTCGCCCACGATCCCAACCTGCGCCGGCTCGAACACCGAATTCACTTGCCCTGTCGGCAACGACACTCACTACGTAGCGCACGACTGCCAGGACTTCGTGATCGAGTGCGGCACCGACCGCACCGGCGGCGACCTTCCCAACAGCCCGCAGTATCCCGGATCATTCTTGGGCTGCGTCGACGCGTGCGCGAGCGACGAGGCGTGCGTGGCTCTCGTCTACACCGACGGGCCGTGCTACCTCAAGGGAGAGCTGGTGGCCACAGTTGAGCTGCCGGGCGCTACGGGCGCGAGGAAGGCGACGGCGTTGGTATCGGCGACGGAGACGTCATTCTTGGAAGCGCCGGTCGTGACCAGCTCGGTGTGGGCAGAGCCTGAACCTTGGACCACTTCGCTGAGCGCACCCATCGTGGTGACTACATCGGTCGTGTTTAGCGTCGCGAGCTCGGTGGCTGTGGCGACGGTCACCACGACGATTCTTGGAGTCTCGTCGCTTGGAATTTGAGGATTATGCGAGAGCAAGGGATGGGGTTGTGAGAGACAAATTGCTGAATGGAGTTGGGGAGTGACGAGAGCAGGACGTTCGTTCCTCGAAATTTCTGTTGTTTTAGCGGGAGCCTGTGGGGCGCACCGCGCGCGGAGCGGCTGCGGGTAGTGCCGGGACCACGAGATTAGGTAGCTCGACCTCACAAGATACGCGCACGCTCTTTTGATTCCTCCTCAGCTCAGGTCGTGTACTGGTGATACGTCCGCGTGCGCCACCGATTGTTGAACTGGATTGTTTGCACACGGCGCGCGGAGGATTGAGGCAGAAGCCGTCGGCTATGCAGAGGTCGGGATAAGCGCTAGCCGACTAGCCGCAACTGGGCTGGCAGGTGTTGGATTAACTCTCTCCGCCGAATCAGCGCCTCCCCCGGTATCCAAACTCTCGCAGAAAGGCAAAATGGCCGCGCATTCGCTGTTGCCGACCTGTCCGCGAGTCCGAGACAGGCAGGCCCGCTGGCCTGATGCGCATCAATACCCGCGTGTTACACCCCCCGGCTAGCTTTCCGTGGCGCCCGTTGGCTGTCTTGGGTGGCACGACCAGGATCTAGATGAAGGAATGTGGGAATGCTGTCAAACCCTTGTCCTACCGCATGCCCAGCCATGGACCCTGGAGCCGAGGCTACCGGGGTCCGTTTGCCCTGCAACCCTATCTCTCCAAGCTGTCTTCATCGTCGCCGCTGCCCTCACTTCCGCTTGCGACCGCTGCCGAGAGCGATGACGAAGAGCGGGTCTGCTAGCCGACATGGATGACGTTTCGCCGCAACACCACGCTGGAGAGAAGATGGCCGCTCACGAGGTGCATAGCGACGCGCCGCTCCGCGACGGCTCAAGAGATGAGGACGGCAGCCGACCGAGCGGCCAAGACGCACATGCTGTGCGCGAGCAGCACAGCGACAATCAACATGCGCATGGCCATCATCGCGTGTACCGACGACGCTGGTTCGGCCTGCTGCAACTAGTACTCCTGAATGTCATCATCAGCTGGGATGTAGGTCTCGCTGTCTTCTATCATTCAAGAGAGAATGAGAGATATTAACAATTCGGCTGCAGTGGCTGACGTTTGCTGCCGTTTCCTCCGACTCTGCCGAGTACTTCCATGTCACCGAGACCGCTATCAACTGGCTGAGCACGGCAGTTCTGTTCGCCTTTGTCGCCACCAGCCCGTAGGTTGTCTCGTTTTTTTGAATATCCGGCATGTCCACTCACATGCATTTAGCATTGTCCTCACGACTCTTCACCGCGGACCGAAACCCGCCATCATCACCGCTAGCATCTTCGCTTTAATCGGGAACTGGGTTCGCTATGCTGGTACGCGGGCTGGCTCGCACGGCTACTTCGGAGTCGTCATGTTCGGCCAGATCTTGATCGGGATAGCGCAGCCGTTTGTGCTCGCCGCGCCCACTCGATACAGCGACCTCTGGTTCACCGAGCGCGGCCGCATCTCTGCAACGGCATTGGCATCGTTGGCCAATCCATTCGGCGGTGCTCTGGGCCAGCTCATTGACCCTTTCTGGGCGACCAAGCCGAGCGAGATACCGAACATGGTGCTATACACTGCTATAATCGTACGTCTAATCCCAATTACTACCCAATTCTCAACCTAAGAACTTCAAAACTGACCTCAGAACCTCACTAACCCCCAGGCCACCGTTGCCGCCATCCCCTCCTTCTTCATCCCAGCCCGGCCTCCGACACCGCCCTCCGCCTCGACCACGCCCAAACCAACCGCCGTCCTCCCCTCCCTCCGCTTCCTCGCCCTCAACCCGACCTTCTGGCTGATCCTCCTCCCCTTCGGCGTCTACGTCGGCTTCTTCAACGCCTTCTCCTCCCTCCTCAACCAAATCCTCTACCCCTACGGCTTCACCTCGACCGACGCCGGCATCTGCGGCGCGCTGCTCATCTTCGTCGGCCTCGCCGCGTCCGCGATCCTCTCGCCGCTGCTGGACCGGCGCCATCCGAAGCCCTACCTGCGCACCATCAAGCTCTTCTGCCCCGTCATCGGCGCCTGCTACCTGGCCTTCATCTGGGCGCCGCCGACGCGCTCGCTCGCCGCGCCCTACGTCGTCTCGTCCGTCCTCGGCGCCGCGTCCTTCGCCCTCGTCCCCGTCGCCCTCGAGTACCTCGTCGAGGCCACCTGGCCCGCCGCCAGCCCCGAGGCCGGCTCCGTCCTGTGCTGGACCGCGGGCCAGCTGTTCGGCGCCATCTTCATCGTCATCATGAACGCGCTCAAGGAGCCCGGGTGTAGCAGCACCAAGCAGTGCGAGGAGAGCGGCAAGCACAGCACCGGCTGGAAGCCGCCCGGTAGCATGTGGCGCGCGCTCATTTTCCAGGCTGTCGTGGCGCTGGCGGTGCTGCCGGCGCCGTTGTTGCTGGGCGTGAGGAGGCTTGGGTTGGGTGCGGGGCATAGGAAGGGGAGGATGGAGGCTGAGGATGCGGAGGAGAGGGGCGAGGTCGAGGAGAGCGGGGAAGGTGGTGGGGAAGCTGGAAGGTCGTAAGTTCGGCAATGTAGTTGGGAATAATGTAGTTCATCTGACGAGTGGGATTTTGTTCTTTATGGAATATGTACTGGCGTTCGATCGGAATATGGGAGGATTGTGACGGAGGTTCCGTATGCTTGTGTGTTTGACAGAACAAATGACTTTGACCCCGCAATGTTCCACATCAAAAGCGGCCATGGCCAGCACCGATTGCATTCACATGCACGTTTGTACCAATGACTTGGAACTACAGCTCTTTTTTGATTGCTGTGGGGAGGAAAGAGACGAATCTAGGATCATAGTACATGTCGGGGTGCGGAGTGAGAAAAGCTGTACAGATGCCGAATGGCTCTCTGATCGTCTCTGGGCATATCTCGTGTGGAATTGTCGGATCGATCTACAGTATGGCAGCCATCCTACATGCAAACCATATACGGCGGCGGTCGGGGATCTTTCTCGCGCGGGTCGGTTTACTTCAGGGAAGCGAAGAGCTTGGGGGCGGCGCATTGGGTGGCGCAGTGGGCGAGGTGGAAGACTGCGAGTCGATCCATCAGTGGGGGCGCCTCCAGCGAGCGGAGAGCCGTTGTTCGAATGTTTGCGCGGGATTTCTGTCTGCTTACACTCCTCAACGCAGTCCTCGTCGGCCTTGCCGTTGTCGTCAATCTGCTTGGTCACGCGCTCAACGCACTCGTCGTAGTGGTGCTTAGCCGGGTGGCATTCCTTCGACTCGGCGCACTCTGTAGCGAAGACCGTTAGCAACGTGCTCATGGACGGACAGCCGCACGATGCAATGCCAATTGCGCTCCAATGGCCCAGCGATGGCGGCGCAATGACAAAATCGTTCGCATCGGCGACGCATTCGGGAACCGGGCAACCACTCACCCTCCTCGAGCTTCTCCTTGATATCTTCGGGCTCCTCCTCCTCCTCCTCCTCTTCTTCTTCCTCCTCCGCGGGTTCGTCTTCAGACTTGTCGTCCTCGCCTTTCTTCAAATCAGCTTTATTGACTTCGGCCTCTTGCGGACTCTCCTTGGACGCTCCGGCGGTGGCTGGTGTGGCGACGGGGGAAGCCCCGCCGCGCACGCTCGCTCCTCGCTGCTGCGCGGTTCCAGATCCGTAGGTTCCTTGGTTCTTACCGCTCTGGTGCTCGTCGCCCGTGTCGGCCTTGGGCGCCTCGGCAACGACGTCGGGAGTGACGACGGACGAGTACAGGTCCGCGAAGAAGTCGGTGATGCCCATCTTGAATGCGAATTGGGATGGATGCGGGTTGGTCGGTGGCGACGGGGGCGGAGGGTCGTCTGCGGCGTGAGCGTTGACGTCGGGCTGAAGGGTCGTCGGAGCGAGGTGGAAGAATCGACGAGGTCAACTCGGAAGCTCCCAGCGAAAATGCGCTAGGGCCATTTTGTAATCTGATTCGCCCGCACATCATTCGCTGCAACCCTCCGCTATGTATCTCTCCGGCACTGCTCTTCGCTTTGCATGGTTTGACGCCATTACTCTTGCCTGTTCGTCTCGGAGCACTTTGTGAACAGCGCTTGGTCCCACACTGGCGGATGAACACCTCGAATTTCCACTTTACCACGTTGAATCCGCCCTCCGATTCTTCTCCGCTTGTCCGCTAGCCGGAGCCAAAAACCAAAAACCGTAGTGATTCAATTGTCCCCAACATTACAGGGCCTGAAAAAAGTCTCCAGAATCTGAAACGTAACTTTACTTCATTGGGATGCGGAAAGCTAATGTGAATGGTTTGCAGCTACTATATTTTGCTGCTTCACGTGACGTTTCCTTTCACCCACGACCGTCTTGGTCTTGGTCTGAGGCGGAATGTGCTCAAGCTAAAATCCAGTCTGCATCTATATTTCTTACAAGGAAGGATGGTTTCTTGTTGGCAACATAAAGAAAACGCGCCTAATGTTGAGTGCTGCGTGAATCTAGTCCTTCATGCAGACGAAGAGCTTTCCTTGGTGCTCATTATCGTCCAGGTATGCCAGCATCCTCGCTTCCGCATCCACCACATCGCCTGCCCAGTTGTACAGCTCAGCGCCGAAATTGGGATCCTGCCAGATACCGTCGGCATGCGCACGCAATTGCCGGACGGGCATTGGCAGGTGTGACTCGGACTCAGTCTCGTTATACGGGTGGGATTCTAGTAAATCCTTGAGCCACGTCGAGATACGAGACGACTCTTCGACACCCATGGTAGCTGGTGGAAGCATCTGTCAGCCAAGTAAATTGAGAACTGAGAGAAAATACTCACTGAAGGTAAGCCATGCAGCACACAGCCAAAGAATCCACGCCTCTCGCTCCACACCCTGCTCCCGGAGAGATGCAAGATCATCCGTCTTGAAGTTGATCTCCAACGCTGAGATCCAACTCCTTCCACCAACCTCCTCTTTATCCTCCTTCAGAGCCTTGACGGCATCGTCGAGACTTGTGAAGTTGGCTTTCTCAATCAGCTTTTCAACATCGGCGTGGTTCTCCTTGAGGATCTTCATCTGGCTGTCCCGATAGATCTTGGCATATTGCTGCTTCAAGTTCTTAGGACTTTCTGGGAGGTAGTCGCAGAATTGGTCGATGTTGTCGTACTTGGTAGCCAGGATCTCGAATAGGTCGCACCGCGCTGAAAGCGTGCTACGCCACTTCGCACGTTGTCCCTGTTGCTCGTCTTGGAATTTCTTGAGGACTTCCATAACAGTCCAGATGGTTTGTGGCACACCCGAAGAAGTGACTTCTGGATAGTCTGGCAGAGATACCTGATACGGGCCGAGCAGGTGGTCACGGCCTCTGATGTAGTGTGTTTGAGCGGGGTCCCATTTTCCAAGAAGCCTTCCGAGTTCATCAGTGATGGGAGGAGGCAGTTGTCCAAACCGAATAGCTACTACGTCGCAAGGGTTGTTGGGAATGCAGAAGCCGTATCCATTCAAGACTGGAGGGATCAATCTACGTTAGACTCTCAAAACTAAAGGTAGCAGGGCAACCTACGCTCTTCATTGTCTTTACCGCCATAGTTGTTAAAGATTTCCTGACCCTTAGCAACCACCTCTTCTGTTTTGAATTGGAAGGCGCCGTGGTCGAAGAACCAGAACACCTTGGCAGGGAAGCGGTGGTTGAGTAGATCAATGACTGGCATAAGGACAGCATGAGCCTCGTTGTTTTTGCTCATGCCGGGATCGGAGATGAAGGATCTCGAGGTGAAGATAGTGGCAGCCCATTTGTACAGCTCCCATGTATACCCTTCAACATCGACATCCTGCTTCTTCAGAGCCTGGACAGCATTCTCCCACTCTTTTTTCCATTGCTCGGCCCGGGGACGCCAGGCCTTGTCAAGGTTAGTTCCGAGAAGCCAGGCAGTGTCGTTCCGCTTCTCATTGATGGCTTCCTGGGTCTTCTCCTCAGAAAAGAAGATCGGGGTGTTCATCTGCTCGCTCTTAGGCAAGCATTCGATGTACGGCGCCCAGAGAGACTCCTCCCCGAGGAGCGTCTCTCTGATCAGAGCTATGTTACGGAGAACATGTTCTGGTAATTGGCCTTGGATAGACTCCGGAGCTTGGAGATGAGAGAGCTGCAGTTTCAGCGGACACGTCATGAGGTGCAGTCCACCGGCGGGAGGGTTTGAGATGTCCTCAGCTGCGAAGCCGGCCACGCCTCCATAGGCGTCCTGAGCGAAGCGCAAGCTGGGGTGCACATAACCGCCATGCTGGACGAACCAGTCAACAAGACGGTCGATGGCCTTTTGGTCTGGTTTGGCCATGTTTCCGGCTTTATCTTGGCATCAAAAACTCGATTAAAGAATTGCCCAAATAGGCGTTGGCGGACAAGGGTAATAGTGCGTGCGTTGTTTCGTTTTCTGCGTCAACCACTCGGCGCTTCGTGGTCCAGGTGAGCCGTGCCGGCGGGGAGTGTGTGGATTGAGAAGAGTCTGCTCCAATAGACGGCGGCCATGTTGACTCGTGCATTGGAGATGGAAGGAAGGGCCGAGGGCAAAATGACATCAACGCACGGCCCACCCTCGCGCGCAGCTCTCGCTATCTTCCCAAACAAGCAGGTCCTCAGCCTCCATCGCTCACCTCCGACCGCCTCGTGCTATCTCGTACCTGATCGCCGCCGGCATTCGTCGCGGGGATTGCCGAGTCCGATAATGTTTTTAAGCCAGCCAGGTACAATGGCGCCCTCGGCCCTTCACCGCGCTGCTCCTCTTCCGCCAACATGCTTGTCCCCCGTCTGATTCTGGGCGCAGCCGCCTACCTGTCCCTTGCCGCCGCGACGCTGCACTCGCCCCCGAACGGCAATTGCTCGAGGCATGATTTGAACGTGCTGTCTTGCTCGCCCGAGAGCCTGACGACTGACGCCTGCTGTGTCGAGTCGCCCGGCGGCCTGCTGCTGCTGACCCAGCTCTACTCCAAGACGGCCGGCGGACCCGAGAACACCTGGACCGTCCACGGTCTTTGGAACGACTACTGCAATGGCAGCTACCCTTCTTCGTGCGATGCGTCCAGGAACTACGTGGATATTGCGTCTACCCTGGAAGAATACGGCCAGGACAGTCTGCTGGACTACATGAAGGAGCACTGGAGAGTAAGCCATATCCTGGCATGCGGGGGAAGATTGCTGTTCTAATGACTCTCATAGAACGACCCGGTCATTACCACCTCGAACGGCACGGACGAAGAGCTCTGGGAGCACGAATGGAGCAAGCACGGCACCTGCATGACCACCCTCCGCCCGTCCTGCTACACCCACTATACCCCAGAGCTTGAGCTCGTCCAGTTCCTCCACGAAGTCGTCCACCTCCACAAGCAGCTTCCCACCCAGGACTATCTCGCTTCGTGTGGAATTGTGCCGACGAGCAACAGCACATACGCCTTGGCGGACATTGAGGCATGCTTCATTAAGGTCACAGGAGGATACCTGCCGCACATCGGCTGCACAAATGGCTCACTAAGTGAGGTGTGGTATTATCATCATCTGGCCGGTAGGGTCAACGGCGGGCGCTACGTCCCTACGAACACCACGTATGGAAGCAATTGTCCCAAGACGGGCATTGTCTACCCACCGAAGCCGGCCTCGTGATCGATACCTGAGTTAGAGCTTCGTAATTCATTGCATTCTCTGTTTCTACGATTCAGCATCTTTGTGTCTATGCCTCCAAGGTTCGTCTTTCAAAGACTGCTGCAGACAAGTCTACCATGCAAGACATGGGTGAGCGACTTTCGAAATCAACTCTCACCTGTGTCACCTGCAAGTTTCTCTGTACTCTGCTCGTGCTTTCCGAGTACCTGCCTCTTGCCATGATCGTATTCTCTTCACGTGAATTCTCTTCATGTGAAACCCTGATTCGGCCATTGGTTCCTTCCATATTATCTAACTTATACCCCGTGAACGTTCAGAATCAGGGTCCAGATTTGCTGCTTATAAGCCCTCCATCCTTACCGGCGCCCTCCGTCGTTTTCCTTCAACCACCACCACCCTTAGCAACCACGGAGAGTTATGCACTGAGCTCTACACCGTCATTACTCTTGGCTACCGCCGCGCTCAGAAGATAAAGCAGACGAACAGCGCATCTTAGAGGTCAGTTTGGTACCCAGCACGTCTCACTCAAGCTCGCCTTCACAGTGATACTATTGAAGCTTTTCACTGCTTACACTTCTTCACCAGCTCACATGGATCGAAAAAGCGTTGAAAGAAATACATCCTCGCGAGAACGTCCTTCCTCACCCCCATCCAGCGCATGCAGCGAGCTAGTGCTGTACCAACCCACGATGATGGGTCCAAGCAAACAGGATGCCGTTGGCACTGTTACGATCATCAAGCAGGAGCCGGAACATGGTGAAATCAGCGACCGCCACCCATCCTCAATCAACGAAGACATGGCACCGTCCTTGTCAGATACAATGCAAGAGTCCCAGTTCACCTCTGGATACTTGCCCTCACCTACACAGACAACTGCAGCAAGCTTGAAAACTGGCATGAAAAGAGGTAAGACATGTCATTAAGTCCAACTGAAACACGAACGCTGATCGCAGTGTAGACTATGATACAATGAACGGCGAAACAGACCTTAAAAAGTGCGCTCAGCAGGACAGAAAGCACGATCAGCTGACAGAAGCGCTACCAATGACGGCTTTGACTCATAAGAGTTTCCTTTCTGCGGAGAAAATTGCCCAAGACATCCCCGACAATATTCTACGCATAATTGAGCAGAGTGGATTCATCGACGAAGATTTCGAGTTCCTGAAAGGACAGGCCGATTGTGTCAAAAAAGTATACACATCCCGAGAGATCAAGATCGGTCTCAAAGGCGATTCCGGCACGGGCAAGTCGAGTCTAATCAATTCGCTACTTGGATATGAGGGAATTGCCCCATTCGTGAGTGCCTGGCTAAACATGTTATGAACCGCGTGCTAACTTTGGTCTAGGGCAATGAAGGCGAAGCCTGTACGGCGGTTGTCCAAGAATTCCGCAAGCCCCGTCCGTCACAGCAGACGCCTTTCGAAGCAGAGGTAACGTTTCTGTCCCCGCCAGCTCGAGAGGCTGCTTTGAAAGACTGGGTTGGAGATTTCTGGGATAGTCGTCAAGTGGGTGCGGATGAGGAAGATGGCGATGACCTCGACGGCGAGGATTTTGACGATGAGGTCAAGAGTGGGGAAGGCTCTGCAACGGCTGTCGAAGCCATCCATTCCCTATTCTCGGACCATGACGAATGCAAAGGCCTCGAGGAGACCAAGGCATTCTTATCCACCGCAAAGAGCCGCGAAGACTCTCGTCTAGTGGCCAAACTCAAAGCCTGGATGGAAAGTTTTTTGAAGAAGCTTGGAGTGGAAATGGGCACCTACAACATTAGTGCTGCTACTCCGGACCTACTTCAAGATGAGGTTGCTCCTTTTCTGGCGCAGGTGAATGATGGACGTCCTTCCCCGTGGCCACTAGTCAAAATCGTCAGGTTTGTCTACCGTCTGTCAGCGAAGATTTCGCCGTACTAACGAATATTTTTAGGACTTATTTTGATTGTCCGCTTCTCTCCCATGACATCGTCCTTGCAGATCTCCCCGGAACTTCAGATATAAACAAGACTCGTGTTGAGGCCACTAACGTCTACATGAGAGGAGTCGAACACACTGGAGTCGTTTCCAAGATTGACCGTGCAGCATCTGACTCCGTCACGAATAAATCCCTCATTGAAGCTTACAAGCGCAAGAGGGGTCCTAATGTCTTCATGGTGGCCACTCACTCAGACGTAAGTAAACCATGGACATACTGTTTCTTCGAAGCTAATTGCATAACAGTCGATCAATACCAACTCACCTGGCGTCATTGATAAGTGCATCAATATGTCAGGTGCGAGTCCAAGTGATGTGCAAGAGCTATCTACCCTCAAAGACGAACTTGACACCATCAGGCTGGACCTCAAGAGCCTTGAGTTAAAGGAAAATCAAGCTAAGAACTCGAGAGATTTTTCGCTCATGGGTGAGCTCAGTAGCCGTTGCAATGATCTACGGTAAGATATCAACTAGATATACCCTACACTGTCTTTTGTGCGCGCTGTAAGGCATGAACTAATGTTTGGATTTTTTAGTGCCCAAAAAGTCACGAAGCTCCATCAAAGCGCCGCGATATGCATCAAAATTCGCAACAACAAGGTTAGGAAGACCCTCATTGACCGCCACTACAACATGATGAAGCAAGAAATCCTTCCCGTGTTTTGTGTCTCCAATTCGGAGTACATGGTACACATCGTAGGATACGATGAAGAGCATCCCCCGAAGATGAATGTCGAAGCCACGGAGATTCCCAAGCTTCGTGCCTACATCTATTCTTTGCCGGCCAAACGAAAGGTTTCAGCATTCAAGCACCACGTGAAGTACGCGCTACCATCATTAGTCAACAGTCTTGCTATGACTTGCTCTCAGAGCAAGTTGAAGAGGCGTGATGAGCTCCAGAAGATCTTGATCAATGCACAGAAGCCCATCCGTGATGATATCACTCAGATCTTCAAGGAATTTCTCGCAACTGATGTGCTAGCTAAGCTGGCGAAGATCAAGAAAAAGAAAGCAACGTACATTGCTGCAGCTACAGCAAAACTGAGGACGTACTCTAAGTGGAAATCCTCTACGCAAAAGTCCTTTTGCCAGCACAGAGGCAACTGGGAGACTCAAAAAGTGGGATACCATGATTGGAATTCCGAGATGCTTGAGCCGATGATCAATGACCTCAAAGATGATCTTCATCCATGGGAAGATGTTGGCGAACCTCTTGCTTGCAAACTGTCGGACAAAGTCATAGGAACGCTTCAATCGCTTATCGAGCAGATGGGAGAATCTGCTGGACCATCTCGAAACGTGCTGAAGCCTTTCTTTGATGATCTGGAGCTTCAAGTCGAACCCTTTGACGACTTATGCAAGACGGTGGCTCACGAGATGGAGAGGGAGCTCTGTCTCATTAGGGACCACACACTTTTGGCTGCAGAGGCAAAGGATTGTTTCTTCATTCAAATCCTCGACAAGACTTACGTCGAATGCGCTGCGATGACCGGCCCGGGAGTGAGCCGGAAGCGCATGGACGTATTGGAGAACAAGATCCGTGAGAAAGGACCAGCAAATCCCTTCCATAAGGTCCACGAGAAGGCCAAGAACGCGGCTTTAAAAGTTGTCGATCACTCAATTGAGCGTTTGGTGGTCGACGTCGTGGGACGCTTCGACAATTTCCACCGCACATTCATGAGGGCTTTCAAGACGGATGAAAGTGATGCGCCTGAGGCGAAGGCCCTCCGACACGAGCTCCGGAGTCGACTCCCCAACTTTCAATACATGATTGCCGAGTGTGGACGCCTCATCCAGGAGAGCTGCGAAAGCGAGACCAAAAGCAACATTTAGACTGGTCATGCGTCCATGGACCACTCGCGACATCCGCCTATCACACTCGGGAGCGTTCGGATGTCATTCAGCAGCCCTTTCTATGGCACATTCCATCTGCGTCACTCTTTAGCAATTTCATCGACGATTCTCTGCCAACTTTTCCGAAGCAGCATGCCCACTACCGTCGAGATCTGGAGCCATCATCGTTTATTGGAAATGATGATTAAGTTTTCCAATATCTTATTTCCAGCAAAATCGGGATCTCCTCCTACATCTTGCTATATCCCGGATTCTCTCTCCGACGAAGAGGATTTCTCTTTCTTTTCCTTTCACTTAAAGGTGGAAATCAATTCGTTCTGGCTTGGTCTTGGCGTAAAAAAAAAGCTCAGTCGTTTATTGAGCAGAAGGTGGTGACTTAAAAGGGGTGATAGCAGCAAATACGTGAGACGGTGGGGGTATTATTTTTCAAAGCATATATATATCCGAGCATCAATAGAGACAATCATCATATGACAATGTTCCAAAATATATTAGAAGAGGCCGTTTAGACGTGTCTCATCGCCAAACACCATCTATTTCTTCATCTTCGCTGGCAAGAAGCACGTGGTCTGCAGACTGACCCAGCAAGCACTCACTTGAAGAACTTCGGGAAAAGCATGGGTGTGTTCTTCTTCCACTCCTGGTAATCCTTCCGGTCACCGTACCTCTTGTCATACTTGTTCTCGCTGAGCGGGATGCCCGAGACCTGGTTTCCCATCAGCTCCGTCGAAAGCAAATGATACACGCAAGGAAAAGACGTACCTTCAGCAACAAGAAAGCCACAAACGCCGGGCTGACGGCACACATGCTGATAGCACCCAACTTACCCGCCAACCCAGCACTCAAACCCAACCCGCTCAAACCCGCCTTACTCGCAACAACGCCGCCCGCCGCAGTGGCGATGCCAGTCCACAGGGTAATCTCACCAAAGTAATTCGGATGCCTGCTCTTTCCCCAAAGACCCTTCGTGATGAAATCCTCATCGTGCTCCTTCCGCTTCTTCGCCTCCATCCACGCGCTCTTCTGGCGGTCCGCCGTGGCCTCGAAGACGATGCCGAAGACGTACAGCGCGAGACCGAGGACATCAGTCAAGACCAGAGGACCCAGCGCGGCGAAGGTGCTGGAGGGTAGCGAGTTGAGCAGCACGACGGGCAGGGCGCACAGCGAGACCCAGGTCGCCTGCGCCATGAAGGCGCCGAAGAACTTGGGCGGCGAGACGCGGATCTGGTCGAAGCGCGAGTCGCGCCCGCTCTCGGCCGTGATGCGCTGGAGGAGGAAGGATCCCACTGTTTTTTTCTCAAAAATCAGACACTATTCATTTTTCATCTGTCTCCGCTTGAAGCGGGAAACCGGGTTCACAACAAAACTCACATCTCAACGCCCACAACCCCACCGCCGCACTCAGCGCCACCTGCCGCCAATTCTGCGCGCGAAGCACTTCCATCAGAAGGCCACCGGTTCCCAGCGTCCCCGCCGCATACCGCGCGCGCAGCACCGGCAGCACCAGGCTGGCCCCCGTGCAGGCGAGGTAGGTCAGGCTGCCGCTGGCGTCGTAGAAGCGCTCGCTGCGCGCGGCGATGGACGGCGCCGCGACGGCCGCCTGGATGCCGTACGCCAGCGCCAGCGTCGGCACGAGCGTGCGCAGCAGCGGCGTCTTGAACGCCGTGGCGTGGAGGAGCGTCGGGAGGAGCGGCATTCTGGTCGCGAGAGAAAAAGAGAGTAAGAAGGAGGAGAGAGAGAGAGGGAGAATGGGAGAATGAAGACTGGGCGGAGAACGGTTTGGAGAGGGAAGGTGGTTACGCAGGGGCGTTTTGACTGAAAAATACGAGAGTTCTGTTGCGGCGTAGCTACACGCGAAAACTGGAAAGCTATGCGCCTGGGATAAATTTATTGAATCTCTTCGACCTCGAAGCTATATGCGGTACCTTATAACGAAGTACTCTCGGGTCGCCGGACAGTTTGAAAAGCCCGAACCAGACCAAGTGATGATTCAATGGCTCGCGGGGCTGATGGTGAAAACGAAACGGGAGCGCCCGTCCAGGGAAAAGGCGGGACGCGGCGGTTGCTTCGTGATCCTTCACATGCTCGACATGAGGGATGACTTTGTGCTGGGATCGAGAGTGCCGCTTGCGGATCGATATCGTCATCGTACTCTTGTCAAACGCCGATCCTCCGACCACCCTGCGTGTCGTCGGGTTCTTTCGCAGCGCAGGAGCTCCCAGCCCTGCGGATCATTTTAGACGAATCCTGGCAATACCATCTCCTTGAATGATTTGAAATGCGAACTCTGTGAGCTCTGATGAATTATGTGGATGTCTTGCTATTGTAACAACATCGACACGTATTTCCAGCCGACATTGAATCATCAAGATGAACCCTTGGTACCAGTGACTCTAAAGCATGAAATCTTATTTTCATTGATGCTGGGCCCCTGATGCTCATGCTGGGATGCGCCCAAGGAATATATGCAAGAAAAAAACCGTGTCTATCAACAGTGTCGGCTCTCATCAATCCTCAACTCCAGCCATTTCAAGGGCATGTGATTTGGGTTGTACCCTTTCTCTTTGCCCAGCGTGAGAAGAATCGTCCAGTGATAACGCCAATAAAACCGCATCCCTTTTAAGTACATTCCATCGCATTATACCGTGTCATCCATTCGTTGGGCCGGAAAAGGAGACACACGGCTCCTTCAGCGACGGTCCGGCATCTGGTGCTGTCGACGGAGATACTCCTTCTGCAATTGGGTCACCAAATTAGCGTGGGGCTGCACCATCCGTCCAATACCCGTCTTCACTCACCTCATTAAGCTTTTTTGACAGCTGGCCGTTCTCCTCGACCACCTTGCGGATCTCCTCGTGCACGTTCCCTTCCAATTGCACGAGCGTGTTCTTAGGCAACCAGCGCAGGATGTGGAAGGCGTTGGCGTACACGTTCGTCGTGCTCGAAGGAACGTGGCGCTCCTCCGGAAACATGTCCGGCAGGCTTATCGTAAACGTCTTCAGGCCCCAGCAGTACCGCAGCCCGAGGCGCACCAAGTCCGCAAACCCTTCCAGAATATCATGATGTGTGGGAATGGCAAGTCTGACATGCTTGATTAAACTACGGCTGCGCTGGTGTAGCTGCGACAGCGTGCACAGCGCGCTGGGTAGGTGCAGCACCAGCTCATTATCAGAGTATAGCACGGGTCGGGATTCGCGGTAGATGAGCTGCGACACGCGCAGTAGCGCAGGCACAAGCGGGTCGGTGTTTATGCCGTTGTCGCCCGTCGGCAGTTGTCTTCTCGATTCGCTGCGGCGGTCTGGAACACCGCGACGGGGTTGGAGGAGGAGCCCGTCGGCATCGTTATTCGTATTGGCATTGGTGTTGTTGCTCGCACGGTCGTCGGGCAGGCCTGACTCGGGCGTTTCCTCCGTCTCCCATTGATAGTCGCCTTGGTTCTGCTCCTTTTCGGACGGACGGGGCATGTGGAGAAGTATGGGCTTCGGACGCGAGAGGGCCATGCGGTAGATCTCGAGGCGCAGTTCTGATGCCCAACGAGTTAGCATCTCAGCTGAGAGTTGCGGCGTGTGCGCGCTGCTCACCTGAGGGGAGTTCCATGAAAGGGAAGTAGTCCTTCTTGTGTCGCCGCTCCGTTTGCACGTTGCGCGTAGGCGCCTCACTTGCGACTTCTGTCTTGTCGGCGTCTTTTTCTAACGACGAAGAGTCCATGGTGTGGATCTGGTGGGATTCTGAGGGCGCATCAGCATTCGGCGGCGGCGACGGGCGTCGAGGGGCCTGCTCACCAGTCGAACTCCTGAAGTGAGAGTTGTCTTGCTGGTGGCGGTGCTCCGGTCGAGCGTCATCGGTGGACGCCTCGTTTGCGGCGTTGGGGCCGGTAGCCATAGGTACCGCGGGTATCGGGTGAGGACGGCCGGTGTCGCAAGCAAGTCGACGGCTGCAGTGTGGCGGAGAGCCAAGCAGGAATTACGGTCGTACTGATGCAAAGAAAAAGATGTTGAGGGGTGATTCTCGGCGGACAGCGACGGGCTGCAGCGGAGACGAGGGCCAGAAACAGAAGGGTGCAGTAGTTAGTCGTTGGACTAGACCAGGCGCAAGGATGCTAAGCGCGGGGAAGGCGTGATGTCAATGCGCGGACCCGCGCGGAGAATTCTCGTAGGGCTCCTCCGCGTGCTGATTTCATTCGCTCCGCGTCTGACTGGAGGCGGTGTTCGTCGTATGATCGCGAGCCAAATCCGCGCCGGGACTTCTTCTTGGGCGGCCCGGGTGGACTGACTACAAGCTTATCTAGACCGCATCCGCTTCCTCGTGCTTTGCCTCGTGCTTTACCTCGTGGCAACGGAGCCGCCTTTCCCCGGACTCTGCTGAGTTCCTGGCGTGACGGTTCGCTTACCGTTCCAGTCCAGTCTGCGCCCAAGACACACCCTGACATCTAGCCCTTCCCCAGCGGCTCCCCACACGTTCGCAAACAGCTTGCTGCATCTAGTTAACATGCTGACGCTACTCAGCAGTCTGCACGATCGAGAACTTGACTAGGCACGCATGTTCGTCTCGACATCCACCAAACGTCGGGGAAAGTATCATTAATTTCCAATGCTACGCTGTACATTAGGGGTAACCTTATGCGACCCCGCCGACATCCTTCCATTACTCGTTCGCCCAATTCCTTTCTGGCAACGTTTGTTTACTTGAAGCGCTTCTCGGCCGCCTTCCAGTTGATGACCTCCCAGATGGCCTTGAAGTACTCGGCCTTCCTGTTCTGGTACTGGAGGTAGTAGGCGTGCTCCCACGCATCAACACCGAGGATCGGACGGAACTGGCCAACAACAGGGTCCTGGTTCTGGTACGTCTTGATGCCAATGTTGCCGGTCTGGACGTCCTGGACCAACCAAGCCCAACCGCTACCCTGGATGCCAGCGAGAGCGGTGTTGAACTTCTCCTTGAAAGCGTCGAAGCTGCCGTAGCTGTCGTTGATGGCCTTGGAGAGGGCGCCCGACGGAGGCTCGCCGCCGCCCTGGGACTTGGGTGCGAGGTTCTCCCAGAAGAGAGTGTGGTTGATGTGACCACCTATAGCAAGACTTCGTCAGCATTCGCTCTCGTGTCATGTACTTCACCAATGTCGCGATTGGAGTTTTGGCACATCTGTGCGTCAAAACACCCCCACTTCCTTCGGCACGAGGTTCTGGACTGAGCGGCTGACTAACCTCCGTGGAAGTTGATGAGCGGCTGCAGGGCAATCTGCGCAGCGATATCGTCCTTGGCCTTGGCCTCGGCAAGCTGCTCGGAGAAGTTGTTGTACGAGGTAACGTAGGTGTTGTGGTGGTTCTTGTGGTGAAGCTCCATGATCTTGCCGGAGACAGCCGGCTCCAGCGCGCCGTAGTCGTCTGTATGCGGCAACACATTAGTAAAATGCTCACGCCGGCCAATTGACCCAGAGGAAGTGCACGGAGATGAGGATGGACATACAGGCCAGGTCGGGAAGGGTGGCCTTGGTGCGCACGAAGCTGGTGCCGGCGAGACCAGCGCGGCGGGAGCCAGCAGCACGAAGGCCGGTGCGGGCGACGGAGTTGCGGAGCAGAGTGGCAGACATTGTGATGTGAAGATTGGGGTGAAGAGGCTGATGGATGGAGGAAGGATGGTGTTTTTGGGTGCGGGCGCGCTGCAGAAGGCCTCGGACGCTCGGGCGGAAGCTGTGAAGCTATGATGACTTCAGAGCTTGGCGTGCCGAAGTGCGGCGAAGAGCGCAGCAGCCGCCAGCAGCGGGAGCCAATGGGCTGCGCTGCGAGCTACGTGACTCGGACGGTCGGACAGCCGACGGCCACATCTTCTGTTTGCATCCCTTCGTTTCCGCGCGGAGAGGTTCCTATGACGCAACCAAAGCGGATGGGCTTGTGGAGGGCTGCTTCTGCTGCAGATGTATGCAATTATTCCAATTTTATCATGGACGTGGGTGAATATAGCTCAGCGCAAAAATCGTGCAGCGGGCTGAGACGGCCGACCATCAATCACCATGCTTGGGGGCACACCCGCGCGCTCAGGCCTCAAGGTGCGGCCCTGAGCGTCCGCCCAACGTCATCGGCTACAGGCGCCCACCAACCCCACCGCGGATAAATCATGTGTCAGCTTGAAGAAAACAAAATGCCTTTGCTGCCACGCGCCCAAGCCCGCAGTGTCCAAGACTCCGTGTCCTCACGCCATCTAGTCTGACGCGCTAGCGGCCCCAGGCGACAAATTTTAGGAAGCACGGGGAAAGTAGGTGTGGGCATGGCAAAGGTCACTTTATAAGGGAATGCACGCTTTCTCCTCCCCAGTCGCATCGCTCGCTTCGACGCAGGTCTTCTCTCTTCTACCAACCCCGCGTTGAGCAAATCATGACCACCCAAGGCCTTGTCCACCTGCCGAACGGCCAGAACCTTACGGCCGTTCCCGTGTTTGGCGGCCTGCAGTTCAAGGTTAACGACCTGAGCAGCCACAGCAACTCCCCCCTGCCTCCGGGATGGACCGTCGTGCTCAACTCGCAGATCGATGAGCCCGAAGACGAAGAACCAGACCAGGAGAAAAATGAGGATAACGATGAGGACGCCGAGGAGCCAAAGGCCAAGCGTGTGCGCCGCTACACGCGCCCGACGCTGCAGAACGACCATCTGTACATCTCTTCCATCTCCAATCCGAGCAGCACCGAGTTCAAGCCGGCCTCATCCCCCACGCGCCAGATCGCCATGATGTTGTGGGCGACGCTGTACTGGTACTTCCATCAGCCCGAACCCGAGCCGCAGTTGACTACGGCCGCCTCTAAGAACACGGCCCAATTAGGCAAGCCTAGGGGTGATTGGCGAATCAACATCAACCGCGAAGGCATCTTCAAGGGCCGCGTTGTGTTGCCCAAGCTCGAGCGCATGGGCCTCATCGCTAGTGAAGACTCCAGCGTGGGAATCGTCCAGGATGAGAAGTCTGGTGAAGGCTGGACGAACATGTTCGTGAGCCGCCGCGCCTTCTGGCAGATGGACCCGCGTCTCTATCTCTTCACTCTCCCCGCCCTCTCCATGTCTCCCCACGGCTCGGAATCTCCCTTCAACTCCAGGCCGAACTCGCCGACCCCGGCCCCGGAGCACAAGAAGCGCGAATCCGCAAGCATCGACGGACTCCCGTCAGGCCTCTGGTCTCCTACCGCGCCGGGTCCTTTCCATTCGAGCAGCCACCTTCCAACCTACTATCCCCCGGGTCCCACTCAGTACATCTTCTCGAACAACATCCGGCACCCGCTGCGGCCGAAGCCCCCGCGCCAGGGCGAGACGTTTTACACGCGCTACATCCCCAGCGTCGGGCAGTACCTCTCCTTCCGCGTGGCCTCGGCCTCTCCCAAGCCGCAGACGCACACGGGCCCCATCTCGCACCGCAACAGCGTCTCCGGCGGCGCGCAGCCGAGCATCGAGACGCTGGCGCTGGGCGACTCGGACACGGACCTGCTGCACCGCTGGATGAACGACCCGCGCGTGTCGCACTTCTGGGGCGAGCAAGGGCCGCGCGCGCACCAGGAAGCCTTCCTCAAGACCGGCCTGCAGAGCCGCCACAGCTTCCCCGTCATCGGCTGCTGGGACGGCAAGCCCTTCGGCTACTTTGAGATCTACTGGGTCAAGGAGGACGGCCTGGGCAAGCACCTCGGCGGCGACGTCGCCAACTACGACCGCGGCCTGCACTGCCTCGTCGGCGAGCAGGAGTTCCGTGGCGCCCACCGCGTGCGCATCTGGCTCAGCGCCCTCGTCCACTACTGCTTCCTGGCTGACATGCGCACTGAGACGGTCATGTTGGAGCCGCGTGTTGATAACGAGAAGTAAGTCTCCCCCTTTTTTTTCCTCCCTACATTCTTGTCCCGCCTACAACAGCATTTATGAACGGAGAACGCTGACGGTTTTGGCTAGGCTCCGCAAGTACCTCGAGGAAGTCGGCTTCTACAAGGAGCGCGAGGTCAGCTTCCCGCACAAGCAGTCGAACCTCATGAAAATCAGGCGTGAAGCATGGAACGGTCCGGCGTTGTAAAGAGAGCATGTGTGAACACTCGCGAATAATGCCACTCTTCCTGTTTTGTGATTTGGATCATTCAAAGTTGATTTTCTGGGTTCAGCAATGGTTTCCCAGCTTCATACCCATACAGCCGTGCAGCATTTGGATACAGGGCGGAAAGTACACGCAAGGCAATCAAGCAAAGGGTTTCATCGGTGGGTTTTCATCCCTTGTCTCCTAGCTATCGAAAATATCTGCATTATACTCGATCAGGAATTCCTCTGCATTTCTCGTAGGATCTACCCAATCATCGTGTTTCTCCGACTCAAGTACAGGAAGCAAGTTGATCGACGCGCTCTAATAGTATGGTCATCGCGGCACGTAGGTAGAATTTTTGGCACCGTGCTAAAGTAAAGTTCCTACTCATTATGCATTACTCGTATATCGGCCTACCTATGCTGAAGTATCGATCGCCTGCTCGTAAGCGCCCACCACACGGGGATATCTGAACCGACCTAATGCCTGATATGCTGTCTTTTGACAGCCACAGAAGTGAGCGAAAAGAGACAGAGAAGCGCCAAGCCCAGCAAATGATCCCTCAACGCCCGTGTGCCTCCCCTTCTTGTCCTGTACATGTGCCGAAGCGGAAAAGGAAGAGAGAAAAAGGATTAAGAGGAAACCGTACGTTTTATGCAAACGCCATCCCCCAAAATGATATCGACGCATTCAATAACTTTTTTTTGTTCAGCCATTCTCCTATACCGACCTCAAAGCACCAACCCAGCCGCCAGAGCAACAACAGCAGCCACACCAGCGCCCGCAAACCGCGTCACCTGGGGCTTCGCAGCACCAGTGCTGGTCGGGGTGGCGGTGGCGACGTACACGCCAGTCGGCACGACGGTGCTGCTCTCGACGCCGCCGGTGCTACCCTTGGCCGTGACGACGCTCGCGCTGATGCTGGCGCTCGGGAGTGGTGTTCCCGGTTTGCCGGCCAGCACGCTCGTCGCGGGCGGGTCGAAGTCGTCGTCGTCCTCGAACCACATGCCGTTCAGCACGACGCCCTTGCCATCCTTGATCTCCTCGATCTGGTCCGACGAGCAGCTGTCATTGATCTTGCGGATCCAGCACGTCGGCGACGCCGTGCTGGACGTCACGTCGTTGGTGTGCGTGGCGTTCTTTGAGCCGTGTGTGTAGAAGGTGTTGACGTCCGCGATGGCCTTTCCGGTTCCCAGATCCATGCCCTCGATGATGCGGGTGAAGAGGGTGAAGGCGGTCTCGGGTTGGTAGGCGGGGACCATGTGTCCGGCATCGTAGATGCGTGAGAATGATAGGTTACTGAATTGGCGAACTGCGCCGCCAACGTAACTGTTGTTTACGATGATGTCCGCGTAGCCGGCGGCTTGGAACGCACTCGCGTACGCAGGGACAGATGCGGCCAGCTGCAGGGATACGGCCTCGCCACCGAGCCAGTTGGAGACGTAATCAGCATCGCCGTTGATGATGGCAACACGAACACCATTTGAAAGGAGGTAAGCGAGATCTTCGAGCTGGTTGCCACGGATACTGTCGCCTGTTGTGATGAATCCCTTCTGCACGTTGAGGTTGCTCTCTGTGTAGTTGATACGGGCTCCTATACTCTTTTGCACGCTGGCGTAGTTCAAGTACTCCATATAGTCTCCTGATGGTATGACATCCGGAAGCTCTTGTCTGATGTCGTACACGCTGCGCCCGGACTTGCTGTAGGTTGCTTGGAGCGCGTTACATGCGGTAACGGCGGAGGAACAGGCTTCGTTCACGCTGGTTACGTCACCTTCACCTTCTGGGTCGTAGATACTAGAGACATTTCGGCAAGCCTTGATCTGGGCGGAGCATCCATTTGGCTTGTTAAAGGCATAAAGTAGGTTGAGCTTGTCGGTGGTATCAAACAGCTGTATGTCGTACGTGTTATTATTACCGAAAGAAGCATAATAAGGCGCTTGTATCATCATGTCAATAAAGCCATTGATAATGCCGAGAGAAGTGAGTTTAATCTAAGTAGTGTTCCCGCGTTAGCCATAGAAATGGATCGTCTGAATAGAAAGATAAGCATACCTCAAGAGTGTCGGCGGATGATATGGTGCCGTTGTTCCGTTTAGCATTTTGATCCTCAAATAATCTTGCAAAGGTAGGGCCATATTGACCACCGTAGCTCTCAGCAAAGAGATTGATTCCTGCTGCTTCGACTGAAGAGCTGTTTGATCCCACTCCAGGATTGTACTGAGGGAAAGTGCCTAGGAAAGCCTGAAGAAAATGCCAGATAGCATGCGCCGCAATTTCAGTAGTGTTCGCAGTTGCATAATTATTGCCGCTACCAAAAGAGCCGTTGATGTACGACCAGGACGGTTGTCCGGCTGGAACATCCCCAGGGGGGTAATTGAAGCTGCCAGTCAGCAGGTCCTGTGAGGCCGGAGTTACGTCGTCATACGAAAGGCCGACGAGATTGGGTTGATCAACGTAGAGCATATTAGAGCTCCTGTCCCAGCCCCAAGCCCTAGCCTGAGTACCGTATGAACCGTCGGACATTTGCACGATTTCACAAGGACCTGATTCCTCGAATAGGCCGATCATGCTGCTGCTTCCTGGGCCGCCATTCAACCTATGCATCTGTTATTAAGCCTGTTTTGCGCCAATGCGCTGAAGCACCCACCAGACAGTGAGCGGCGCCGTTTCCGGCTGCTCACGGGCTTCTATGAACCAGAAGAAGGTATTAATCGAATAATTCTGCTGAATTGGCGCTAACGTGTAAGGCGGAAGGCTGATGTAGCCGGAGTACTGCTTCTGCGAGTCGAAGACGGTGGTGCATGTTCCCGGATCAGGCGACTTGAACGATATTGTAATATTCGAATTGGCGGGTGAGCGGGTGACGTTCGAGAAGACGATGTCAGGCGTGGTTTGCGCGGCGACGAGCGAGTGGAAAGCCACCAGCAGCAGCGTACGAAGCTTGCGATGGGTCAGCGTTGGTTGCGACGGCGCGAGGCGCAACAGGCCGGGAAAGCGCACCATGGTTGCTGCAGCTGCCGCGAAACCGCAGGTCAGAGCAGCATTAATGAAGCGCACGGTGCAAGGACAGCACACAAAGAGCGCAGCAGAAGAAGAGACGCGCGTTGTCTCGGAGGAAACGATTGTGGGACATGCAGCTGAGCGAGTGATGGGCAAAGAGTGGAGGCGTCAGCGCGGGTCGGGGACTTCTGCAGGGAGCACGCGGTGGCGCGAGAACCTGGGGTCGTCGGGTTTGCACTTGGCGCCGCGAACGGACGCAAGGACGGACGTCAAGTTACTGTTCTGCAGTACCGGTGAGGCACTGCATTTTTATTGCTGCCGGCTTAGTGCAACTCGTCCGGAACAGCGGCACTCGGGACGTGGCCGAGCCCGAGCCAAGCGCGTATCAGCCTCGGCCAGCCCTGCAGCTTCGTTTCGAGGGTCGTGTCTGTCTCAAGTGATTCGTGTCTAATCGTGCCATGACGCAGGCACCGATGTCCTCGCACCGCTAAGGACGGATTCGACGTCGCTCCGCTTCCTATGAGGAATGGGGAGCTGAAGGGCATGAATGCGCAGTTCCAACTATCTCAACTTTGTTGCCTAAGCGGACTGACCTCGTACTTTTTCTCCGTTTAAGCGACTCACCGCGTCCGTCACAATTCAAGTGGGCCAAGAGGTTACCGAGATTCAACTTAATTCGACAAGGGGTATTTCTACTACTAGCACAGGCCACTTTCTTTAAGCCTGGCAAAAGCATCTGAGCACATTAGTATGTGAATCATCATCCGCCAAAAGCATTGCAAATTGAGAAACATGTTGCGCCCATTCAGACAGACTTGTTTCCTGACGCGCACAGTGCAATCCTCCTGGAATGAACGCCGTAGTCATGAGAAGACTTCTCATCCTGCCTTCCCCACCATATTGGTCTGCTGCAGAAGTGCTAATGCCTGCTCCATAGAGTAGCCAATGAAGACTGGACCAGTGAATACCATTTGAGGGGAATGTGATGAGCTCTGCCCTGGCTTGATGATGTTTGGTCCGGGGATTGTTTCGTCCTGAGGCGGCTGAATCGTTGGAGCGTCCGGTCGAAGCGTCTTTTGCTCTGGTTCAGGATCTGGTTTACCCTCCACTTTCGGCGCAACTGGCGGGCCTCCACGAAGTTTGGTGTGGTCGAAAGGACACTTCCCAGGCTTTCTGTTTTCTGCAACAGGAGGAACGGGAGGCGCGGGAGGTGAGTCTTGCACGGGAGACGCCGTAGCAACGCCATCAGTGGCTATGCTGGGAGGCTTGTTGTATGCTGCTGGGACCGTGATTCCCCAAGGCCGACTGGGGGATTCGCCGACGCGGATGTCTTTCAGAGGCCTGTCGAAGTGCGGCTGTCGCTCCTCCTCCTCCTCTGGCAGAGGTTGTTCTGGATCTGGGCTTGCTTCACCGCCAGCTTGAGCACTTGTGCTGACAGCCTTGGCCCAATCCGCAACTCTGCCGCCAGACTCAGTCTCGACTACTGCATCCTCATCGGTCGGCGATTCCTTCAGCATTGGCTGGTGCTTCTCCCCCAGACCCTGGATCATGTTGACCAAGTTGCCATATTTTGCATCCAACTGGCGAATGCTCTCGGCGTTGCTCTGGAAGCGTTTGATGCAGACCTCGTGGCTACGAGGCAGTTCATGCTTGTGATTCTCAAAGTATTTTGCTATTTCCTCCGGCGAGTGATCATCCATGAAACGGATCGGACACACTGCCTGAGCCGAGCCTGAGACTGATGGGTCTGGAGATTGCGGTGGCTCGATTGCACATATGTCTGCCCTGATGGGGTCATTAAAGGACGAACGCTTTGACCGCATGGCATGAGGAAGTATTCTGGACTGAGAGCGGCTAGGTGTGCCCAGGCTTCCTCTTCCGCTCGTCGACCGGCCTCGCATGCTGGATGCGCCGAAAGGACAACCAAGTTTCCCAGGGGTGCCAGGAGTGGTGAAATCTCTTTCTAGTCCCGCTGCAGAAGCAGCCTGCCTCAGACTTTCGAGCTTTGAAATCCTGTCGGACGCTCGATCGCCTGTTCGGCCGTTCCAAATCTTCACGCCTTCCGCCTCTTTCAGCGGACTTTGCAATGGACGATAATATTTCAATTGGTCGCGAGCACGCTCGGCTTGTCGGATGATGTAGGCACCAGTCCTCCGGTCACCATCATTGCTTTGCGCGAGGGCGTCAAGCCAGTCCAACGGTCCCCCTTCGCCGTGTCTTTCGACTTCCTCCAGGCTCTGAACGAACACTTTGTGATCTTGGAGAGCAATATCGGGAGTGAATCGCTTCAGGAGGTCTAAGTACTATTGTTGTGGTCAGCATTATGACGGCAACAATGGCGGAAGCGTAATAAGGGCAGAGATGAGATGGGCGATCAGAAAGTGAAGAAAAGGTCGACACCGCTGCTATGCAGCTGCAGTTCTAGAGCTAAAATTTTCTTTCATCATGTAGGGTGTGTGCGACGAACGCATGGAAGAGGATCGGGATCTTGCAGATCGCTGGTTACTCACCTGTTGCTTTGCCCAGACGAGCTTGTTTTCGAGCTCGCGATGTCTATCGTGCAGAATACGATACTCCGAAGATAGAGCATCGAAGCCAATGGCGAGCTGCTCGACAAGGTGCCCGACAGTCGGATCTCCGTGGGCAGTCATGGCTGGGAAGGAGCCTGTGATGCGGAGCCGGGCTTTGAGTTCAGCGGCTGCCTTGGCTTTATAAGCTGTCGGGTGTTTCGGGCCCGACAAAGGCTGCGGTGTCGGGATTAGATGCGCAGATAGCGAAGGATCCGGCACGGTGCGCGACGGCCGTCACATTTGGACTACCTTCCACCCCGCGAGTGCGAGACACGACGGCGTGGAGAGAGGACAGGCGGGATCTCGTGATGAGCGCACGAGAGGGGGCGGGAGATGAAGGACGTGGCGGCGAAGCGGACGCGAAGAAAAAGCTGGCGCACGACCCACGGACCCTTCGTCCGCAGCCCGAGACTCAACCGCACAGCAGCAACACATCCTGGCAGCTGCGTCGGCCAAGTCCCAACGATCGACTGAGCCTCGATGTTGTACGCAGCTCCCCAATACACATGCACACTCTTTAGAGCCGGCCTGCGCGCTTGCTGGGACTGACTGTTCTCCGCCTCCCGCCTTCCTTCTACTCTGTCTGCGTCTGCCTGCCCGCGTCTACCGTCCCGTCGCATTCCTAGCTCCGTCCGCGCGCCTCAGAGCTCCCAGCCAACATGTCCTCGTCCTCCCTACACCTGTCGCAGTTCCGGAAATGGCTTCTCATGTCGCCACCCATAGTCTGGAGCCTCCAACGCCTCCGTGAGCTCCTCATTGGATCTCTCCGGCAGGGTCCCATTCCTCAGCACATCGCATTTGTCATGGATGGCAACCGGCGCTACGCTCGTACCCACCATATCGAAACTGTGGAGGGGCATAATTTAGGCTTCGAAGCTTTGGCCAGAGTATGACATACTGCGTACTACGTTTGGTTGCGCGCTAACATCCCCAGATCCTGGAAGTGTGCTACAAGTCTGGTGTCAAGGTCGTGACAATCTACGCCTTCAGTATTGAGAACTTCAAGCGCTCCAAGTACGAAGTGGATGCGCTCATGGATATGGCAAAGTTCAAGCTGTCGCAGATTGCCCAGCACGGCGACCTGCTTGATCGCTACGGTGCTAGAATTCAAATCCTGGGACAGCGTGATCTTCTGAAGCCCGACGTAATTGAGGCTATGGACCGAGCCGCGGAGATGACAAAGGGAAACAAGAAGTACGAAAAAAGAAGCTTTATTCTTGGTGACATGCACTGACTGAGTGACACTAGGGCCGTTCTGAACGTCTGCTTCCCTTACACTTCCCGCGACGAAATCACCACTGCTATCCGCAACACTGTTGTGGACTACAGCAAACCTCACCCTCCTCCTCTCCGCCGACCATTCTCTGAAGGCCACATCACCCGCAACATCCGCGCGCGTAATCTTGGGACTGTCTCTGAAGAAGATTCCCCTGAGGCTGGTGACAATACCCCTGCCTCCCTGAATGGGGACAAAGCTTCCGACGCACCCGTCTCCGACGTTGCTTCTACAAACTCCCTGACCCTGCACGAATCAACGGACGGCTTGAAGGAGGAGAAGGTGCCGGACAACTACCCTGACCCGGAAACCATCACGGCCCAGACACTCACGGACCATATGTTCACTGAGGGCAACCCGCCCTTGGACTTGTTGATCCGGACGTCGGGAGTTCAGCGTCTTAGCGACTTCATGTTGTGGCAGTGCCACGAGGATACCCAAATCGTGTTTCTGGATACCCTGTGGCCCGAGTTCGACCTATGGCAGTTCTTGCCCGTGCTCGTCGAGTGGCAGTGGAGACAGAGGAAGATACAGAGCGAGGAAAAGGCGCGACTGAGGCTGCAGGTTGCCTGAGGAGAGTTCACATCTGCTAGACGTAGATCTTCTTGAAGAGGGAGCACAGTGTTGATACCCATATTCAGTTTGCAAACAAGAACATGCCGATGCCACACGTAGCATTTGCAGCCTGGAGAGCCGGAGTTATTGTTTTGTTGAACTTAGACCATAGAACATCAAATACTTTTTTTCTTGGTATAACTGGCCGTGCAAATGCTATCAGCCCTCTAGAACGCCGATTTCCTAAACTTTTCATGGTGAGCAAGAGAAATCATCTCTTCTTATTCTCAGCAATCCAGGCGCGCACAGCCTTTGCACTGTCATGAGCAGCACGGAACACTGGCCCCGAAATCAGTATAATTAGACTTTGCATACGCAAGGTCGAACACTTACACCGCCTCTCGTTCTCGTCCAGCCCCCTCAGAAAGTCTGCACCCTCTCCTAGTGCTCCCCGGGGATTGTGAGCTTGGTCAGCGATCACTTTTGCTCGTGCCTTGAAAGTCTCCGCAAGGATCTCGCCCATCTCTTCCTCTTCGAAGAGCTCGAGCATGCGGGCACCTAGAGCATAGAAGTGAGGTGCAAGAGCTCTCAGATCCACAGTCCGCGGATCCGCCTTTAGGGCATTCATCACGCGCGCAGAAAGGGCGGCGGGGAGGTCGAGTGTCGCCATGCTCGTATTTGCCGCAGGTGCACTGTGGGGGACGCGTTAACTGCACAGCCTCCCATTGTGGCGGTTCCGGAAGTTAGGGATGGGCATGACTCCATTCAGCCTTACCTAACAGCTAACATCTCTGCTAACCACAAGGGTAACTCAACCTTGGTACCTTGCTTCATCTGCGGTTCGCCCGGTCAGTCTCCTGTCAACATGTAGACAAGGCGCAGCCTACATCCTGACCGGCATTTCCGTCAAGGTAACCCAGACCGGGCACGGTAAGCTCGAACGTGCAGGGCACTTTCTGTGTGACGCATTAGAGGCTTGGAAACCGGCTGACGGTGATGTGGGGCGACGCACCTGCGCGTCCGTGAGGATCGCGTCGATATCATAGTACGAACTCATGGCCTTTCCTGCTCTTGTAGAGTTGGGAGACAAGGGATCAAAAGTTGTGGCCGCAAGCAGGCGCGATACTGTCCGGATGGCTTTGTCAGTAGATGTTGGAATGAAAGTTTGTGGCCGAAACGGGCAATACGCGCTCACGCGACGCGCTCCGCGATGCTCGAGGCAGCGATGCGGACGATCGACGCAGCACCAGACGCAAGTGTGCAGGTCAGAGTTCTCTCGGGCGGCATGCGAAGACACGAGGCGGGCGAATGTGAGAGGTCGAGCGCTGCATGGCTTACCTCTAGGCGGCGCGCGGTCAGGGTGATTGCGTAGTGACGATTGCCTAGAGCACGGAAATAAAAGAGGTGGCCGCGCGCTGGGTGCAGAGCCTTGGACCAACACTGCTACACTCCACCTGGATCGGGACTCGACTGGTGCCAGCTGTCAGGGCTTCCGTGTGTCTTGCGCCCTCCGCCTGCTGCTGAAGCGCCGGTCAAACGCGAGGTCGCTGATTGGTGATCGTGGTTAACGGCGGCTGTCAACAGAAAGAAACGGCGGCGCAGCTCCACCTCGCGCCTCTGCCTCGCCCACCCACCGAGCTCGCCCACCCCGTCGTCATAGCTTCTGCCCGTACCTCGCGCGGGTGCATCTTACTAACTTCACACCCACCCACCCGCAACGTAGCCTCCCGTCCGCCCTCTCCGCCCCGAAGTTGCAAACCAACGGCTGTGTGCACGCGGTGCGCCGCATTCATTCTAAATTCGAGGGGCCCCTCGTCTATGACGCCGCACCGGTCGAGCTCATCGCCCCGAACAGCCCCAGCCCGTCGTACAGCCGTCAAGCGCTCGCTGCGCCCGCATCCTGCACATAACTAAGCTCACCCAGCCACCGCTCCATCTGCATCCGCATTCTCCATCTCGCTCCTCACGCGACACCGCCCGACTGACCTCTGACGAGGCCGACCACCCTCGCCAACGACCATGGCCGGCTACGAGCGATTAGGGCAGCTGCTCGGCGGCGTCGATGGGCCCAATGGCGCAGACGTATCGCGCGCCACCTCGCCCGGCGCAGATTGGGAAGATAGCAACGGCGATGCCAACGCCAAAGGACGTCCCAACCGCGTCCGGCCTCGCACGTTCCCCTACACCAAGTACCTGCCTTACGATACCGAGTCCGACGCCGAGCGGTTAGAAAATCTGAACACCTGCATAAAGCACCTCTACGTCGCTGTGTCTGCTGGGGACTTCTCGCCCGGTGCTGTGCACTGGACCCGCGAGATACGCGGATGGCTGTCCCTCAAGTTCGATTTGCCCCGCGACGTCCGCGTCAGGCTCATCAAGCTCTACTACGAGCTTGCTCTGGCGCCGGGTTTGGATATTCTGGTGGCAGAGAGGTTCGCCAGCATGTTCATGGTTCTCACCAAGTGAGTTCCCCTAAGCGCTCGCCCCCACTGAGCTCCGGAAGCTTCTTCTGCTAACCGAAAACAGGCGCAAGCACTACCTACGCCCCGGTAAGGACCTCATTCTCGATTGGAGGCCACTTTATAAGGAGCTTAAGAACTACGTGCTACCCTCCGAGTCTGGATCCTCGACCATGACCAACTTCAGGAGGAACATCCGAACTGTCACGAAGCTATGTACTTTCGCACAGTTATACTTTGATCCTCAAGAGATCCCAGCTATGCTGGAGGAGTTCCTGCCTTTCTTCAGTACTTCTTTCTCCGAAGGCGCGTATGTGGTTGTAGGATTGCTGAACTTGATTCTGCCCACAACACCCGCACCCGCGGATCGCCCAGACCTCCAACCACAACATTACCTGCCAACTTTCTTCCACCTTTGGTCGCTCGTGAACCGGTCTCGCCTGTTCGATGTCCATTTCATAGACATCTGCTCTAGGCTCGCCCGCGACTCTCTCTCCTCCAAGTCCATACCTTTCTCCGAGTATGGCTTATTCACCAGGGATCAGTCGCAACTGATCTTCACTGCTATTCTCCGGCTGCTCGAGATCCCGGTGGGCCAGTCGACTTCTCCATACAGTTCAAGCGTCGATGCCGGTGCCGGGTTAGCGATTATGCTGGATAGAGATCAACGGAAGCATCCCATCGCGCACCACGTCGCTCGATGGATTGTAATGTCGCTCTCTCCAGCTTGTCTGGACAAGCCGGATTCGATATTGGCAAGGTTAGAAGGACTCATCCAGGCTGTGGAAACTTTCTACCATCCATCAAACTCTGGAAGTTGGACAAAGACATTGTCTCAGCTTGTCTACTACCTTGCGGATTTCTTCGTTATGCGGTGGAACCGGGAGCACAGCGGGGAGATGGAGGTCCCGGAGGAGAGGCGACTCAATGATGCGATCAAGAAGAGGTTTGTCCTGTGTCTTCGGGACGTCATCTTCATGGGAATCTTCGCAAAGAGCGGAACGGCAATCAATTTCTCCTTGTCCACGTTGCAGTGCCTGGCGTATCTTGAGCCCAACCTTATCCTACCCGGGGCTTTGCAGCGCATCTATCCCGCAATGCAAGGCTTGGTCGAGGTCCACCGAACCATCTCATCAATCAGAGCCCTGCACATGCTTTCGAAGACGATGGTGAGGACCAAGGGTTACCGCTGTCACATCACAACTCTCCTCGGTCTTGCTCTTCCTGGTATTGACGCCAACGACCTGGAGAAGACTCTGCATACCCTTAGTTACATACAGTCCGTCTCCTACATTATTCCCTTTCACGACCTTACCAAGGAGAGGAGGCCACACCCAAATGGCGCTCTCTCCATTGAAAACGGTGGAATAGTAGAAAAGCGAGGCTCTGGAACCGTTACCCCCATGCCCGAACAGGAGAGCACCCCGGATCTTGCCCTGCAATGGATTGCTTCCCAGGTTGACCGTCTTGAAAGGGAAGGCGCTGGCGTCGAATTTGATTACGAAAAGGAACTTTCTGACCAGGAAGAGGAGGCTATTTTGAGATCATCGACCACCGGATTCGCGGAGTTTGTCATTACTTTCCTCGGCCGTGTCTTTACTCTCCTCGAGAACCTTCCCGATGCATCCCGCGTTAGGAGTGGTTCGCCAGAGGAAAACGTGGTTAACACTCTTCCGGCTGCCTTTACGCCTTTGCTGGCCGCTCTTTCTCCTGAACTCTTCGATATTGCCTTGGACAAAATCGCAAATTTCGTTACGAACCATGTTATCCATCAAGCGAGGGATGCGATGGCTTTCATCTGCAACGGACTCGTCAAGGTCAACCCTCAAAAGACGCTGAAGAGACTTCTGCCTGACCTTTTGGCTGGCATTCGCACAGAGATTGGGGAGAATGGTGCAGGATCATCGAGGACTACTGGCTCGGAGGTCCTCCCCAAGGACAGAGCTCTGGTCTGGAACATCAGCTTGCTGAGCATGTGTGTTGTTCACGTCGGTGACGCCGTCCTGGAGTACAAGGACGAGCTGTTCGATATTGCCAAGTACATGCAGGAGCACTGTCGTGGAATCCCCACTGTGCACGTCTCAAATTTCATCCACCACCTGCTCCTCAATCTCACCTGCATTTACACGGTCGATTATTCTCTCTACGAACCGACTGAGGCTCAGCGCGGTCTTACCGTCAACGATTGGGGATGTATGCCGGATGCGAAGGACATCAGCGTCAAATGGCATGTGCCCAACACCGGTTGCATCACTTTTGCGGTCGAGCTATTCCAGTCACAAGTCAAGAGCGCCATGGAAGCCCTCAACGCACTCACAGGGGATAGTTCGCCTGTGAAGCGTGATGGTACTGGAAAGGAGTGGTCTGACGAGGTTTCACGAAACCTCGTATTACTCCGCCTGATCATCTCTGGCGTCTCGGTACTCTTCGACTCCAAGTACCCCGCACCATCTCCACAGAAGCACAAAGAAGGGAGCGACGTCGACATGGACGACGATTCGGAAGAAGGCATCGATAACGAGCTGGGAGAAAGCGAGGACGATGAGTCAAGACCAACCTTCCAGTACGAAGTTGGTTACCCATGGATTCGCGACAAGTCGAACGAGCAGTACCGCCTCCTACACGAATTGCGGCAGGAGGTTGGCTACACTCTCCATCGCATCCACCAGTTCCTCGTTGAAAAGCAAGAGGACGACGTTCCCTGTTTCAATGCCTTGTACAATGCCTACCGGTCATGGTTCATCGACGTGGGGATCGAGAGGTCCGCACACGTCCTAGACCGGGTTACTCGACTCCTTGCAGCCGATGTTCACCCATTCAAGGTCAGCGGGCTCAGGAAGGAATACCCGAGGCCTCTTCTTGTAAGACGTGCCTATGTGTACCATCTGCAGCGTTTGAGGCACAACGCAGCTCCACGTGAGCGCTCCGACGTCGAGGAACTGCTTCTGATGGACTTGGCCCACTCAAGCGTCTCGCTGTATACCGAAATCCGTCGCACAGCACAGACAGCCAACGAGTCTGCGGTCAAGTGCATTGTCGGCTCGAGGCCCCTCGTGATTCCGCCTCTTCTCAAGGCTTTTGATGAAGCCGTCAAAAAGAATGACTACCCTCGCATCAAGGGCGCTATGTTCTCATTGCTGTTTGGTAGTCTGGCAAAGACGATCTCGCGGAACTGGAAGTTCACACCTCAGCTGATCAAGTCATTCATTGAAGTCACCGAAGCAGACAAGCCCTCCGTACAAAAGCTCGTATCCAACGCAACGTTCCAAATCATGGATATGGGCAAGCCCCTCGAAAGGATGGTGATTCTCGATGGAGAGATCGTAGAAGCAATTGTGGAGCACATCGACAAGAGCCAGATCGAAGAGTACAAGCCAAGGATACCGAAGAAGCGCGATGCTGTGAAGAACAAGCGGTCAAAGGTAGAGGCTAAGAAAGCAGAGCTATCGGCAGAGCTTGTTGAGCAAGCCCGATCATCCCACTGGAAGAAGGCGATCCGCACTGCAACCGTGGTAATCAACCTCGGTATGCGCTTCGAGAACATTGCCTCAGAAGCCATGATTGAGCTTGCAACCAAGGGAACGATCGATCCTCATCCGACTCTGCGTAGCTTGTATCAAGGTGCGCTTCTTGGATTCTTCCAGCTCGTGCAGACCCGAAGCCTTGCACATCACAGCTACGAGAAGTATATCCTAGGTCAGGAGGATGTCCCGGAGAAGATTGCCGTACCAACACGCGCCGACGAGGACCCGTCGTGGACGGATGACTATCTTGCCAGCTTTGGCCAGCCTGAGGCCAAGTACTATGTCGATTTCGACTATCCTGGCTGGTTGGTTTGGAACAAGACTATGCCCGCTTTCTTGACGGAGACTAAAGGTCTCGAGTATGACGAGGTTGAAACTAGGGTCAGGAAGCAGATTGCATCCATTTTGGATCGCAACTGGTTCTCAACATACTTTGCGTATCTGAAGCAAGAGCCGAGAGACTCGGGACAAGATCGTTTCCGTATGACTAGCGCGATGATGCTCACACATGCGTTCGACCTCATGTTCTCAGGGCTGACGGAGGTGTCATTCGATGACATCAAGGATCTCACAAAGTCCGTCTTTGCTGATGGTACCGACAAGCATCAGCATCGCGCCACGTCCGAGATCATGGGTGCTTTGCTCTGCTGTGCTCCTGACTTGCCGACTAACCAGCGAACCCAGGTCTGGGAGTATGTCTTCCCGCTGGTTCGCGGAATTTTCCAAGATGGGCTCACCCCTGAAAACTCTTCTTACTGGACGACCTTCCTTCATATTGCGCTGCAGGGTAAGGATCCCAGACGGAGCTGGCCTCTCGTCGACGGCTTGGCTGCTTTCCGCTTGGACATGACTTCAAGTCAGGCATTCAAGGAAAGCTCCAAGATCAATCTGCTCCAGCAAACCGTCATAGACTGTGGCTGGCACTTCCAGCTTGAGAAGCCCATCCTTGAGGACTTTGTGAAGCATCTCGATCACCCTTACAAGGCTGTGCGTGAGGCCATCGGCCAGACGATTGCCAGCATCTACCGCACCAGGTACCACGAGTCATACCCGAATGTGAAAGCGCTGGTCGACGCGCAGAAAGCCTCATCTTCGATCGGAGTGCGCCCCTACCAGCCTGATGAGAAGTTCAGAGGAGTCATCAACGACGTCTTCAGCAGGCTGGAGAAATGGCGCAAGGAACGGCCCGCTGGTGAGCAGCAGCCGACATCGTACACTCAAGCCGGCAAGACAGTCCTTCTTTGGCTCGATTCAAACCTTTCATCGTACGAGTGCACTCAGCTCGTGGAGTTCTTCCCGAACCTATTCATGGAGCAGCTGCTGCACATGATGGATATCAAGGAAGACCCTGAGCTTCAATCTCTGGCCTACCACGTTTTCCGGCACTTGCCCAACATTCCCCACCGCGCGGGCGAAGACCAGGAGTTCATCAACTCCATGATCCGCATCGGGCGCAACGCAACATCGTGGCACCAGCGCTTGCGCGTGCTGATCAACATTCAAGTCATCTACTTCCGCCGCCTCTTCCTCATGACCGAAGAGCAGCAGCAGGCCCTCTTCGACTGCGTGTCGGCCATGCTCGGCGACTCGCAGCTCGAGGTGCGGCTGGGGGCGCAGACGACACTGTCGGGCATGATCCGCTGCTCGCCGGTGGCGTTCCGCAGCCGGCAGGTCGAGGACCTGCGCAACCGCTTCACCAAGATGCTGCGCGACAACCCGCTGCCCAAGCGCCGCGTCCCCGGCACCCCCACGCCCGAGCAGAACCGCCTCATCCTCGTGCGCCACGCCGCCGTGCTCGGCCTCGGCGCCCTCATCTCGGCCTTCCCGTACACGTCGCCGCCGCCCGCTTGGCTGCCCGAGGTCTTGGCCACGCTGGCGCTCAAGGCCGCTGGCGACCCGGGCACCGTTGGTAAGAGCGTGAAGTCGATTCTTGCGGACTTCAAGAAGACGAGGCAGGACACCTGGCATGTTGACGTCAAGGTAAGTTTAAACAATATTCCGTCCTTTCCCATCCCGAATCGTCGGTTGACTAACTCGGCTCGCAGGCATTCGAACCGGAACAGCTTGAAGATCTGGAAGGAGTGTTGTGGAAGAGCTACTTCGCGTAGAAAGACAAAGAGAGGAGCAGAGAAGGGCGAGGGTAGCGGCAGTCGGAGAGTCGGTTTCGGACATCGTGACTGACACTCATTCATCGATATTCCTGGTTTCTCAAGGATGGAGTTTTCTCCCTCAGTCCTCTTTCGTTTTCATCCATAACTGCCTTTCCCTACTTTTGCGGTCTCCCATCGGTCATAAATGAGGTGCAATCTTGTTCAAAATAATCGTGTGGGCGAAGGGGGAAAAATGAAAATGACGGGGCTTTGGCAATGGAAACGGGTAGGAGGTCAGTCAGCCGGGGGTGGGTTCGGTGGAGGACGGCGGGATGGGTTTGGTGAAGGTGGAGGGAGGAGACTTGGTTGCTTAATTCTCTCTCTTTTTTCCTTACTTCGGGAGGGATCAAAGTGTTTTTGCATGGACAGGCGATGGTTGACTTGCATAGACGGAGTGCTGCTCTTCCCCCTTTTTCCTTTTCCGTCCCATTCCCGTATTGAAATAGCTGTTCGATTGCTTAATTAGTAGGAAGATGAATTCAAACCTATCGAAACAAAAAAAAAAAAAAAGAGAAGAAATGCCAAGTGGTTTGGCGCAAACAAGCGTTGAGCGTGGCGCGGCGGTCTGATGCTTGGGAGGTGAAACAAGCGACCGACGACGACGTCGTCTGAGCTTTTGTTTCTCCGACGCTGAAACACCACCTCTTGTCCACGACCAGTTACAGACTTCTACAATATGGTGAGAAACTCGAATACGCTGCAGTATGTCGCCCGTTCTTTTCCTTTTCCATGGGGATGAATTGTTGTACATACAGGAATGGAGAGATAAAATGGCCGCTAAGTGAAAATGTGCAGCTGCTTTTGGTCTCGTCCATCGAACAATGCTGAATCAGTGGCTATATTGGATTGTCATTGAGTGGCACCAGAGGGCACTTTAAAGAAGGTGCTTGACTCTTAGATCTATCTGCCGACGCAAGTGATCAACTTGTCGATCCAGTTCTGGCGGCCTTGCCAACACATGCACCCTTCTTCCAGGTTGATCCGGGGTGAAGTGCAGAATGTTGTCGTGGAGAAAGCACACCACAGAGACGACACGACATGCCCGGAAGCTGCGGGCCCCCTGTTCAGGTGTGCTTCCTCATGCCTTTTCCGTATTCAGGTCGAACCTGCAGCAGTCTTCGTATTTGGCCACCCCAATAGAAAATATGCGGCGCGGCAAATAGGGATGGCCGTGGATTTGGCATGGAGCCCTTCCTAAAGCGTACATTGTCGAAGCAGGGGGAGAAAGCACCTCATCGCGGGAGGGATTGTTGACGCGTCACCCTATTAATAGCAGTCGCCAGCAGACAGCTCGCGCTTCGCATTGTTGTTTGATCGCTGGCCGCACGACGCCGGCGTGTGCCCGTTCCCGCGGGCCCTTAGCCGCCTTGTCTTAGCGCACTGTCGGCGTCCAATCGCAATTTTCGGTGCCTGGAAACCTAACACCACCAGCTCTATCCCTGGACGCAAATGGAAGAAGGGACGAACGAATGAGGGCGGCACCGATCCATTGCGGCAAGTGTGGCAGGGTGAAGCAGCAGGCTCCCGCTTTGCTGTCCGGAGGATCCACTCGGATTTCGCTGCGACAGCGGTCCAGTTTTCCCCGACGTCATAGGTCGACAGGATCCACTACCTTATTTCGAATGATCGTCCGCTGCTTAGACACCTCAAAAGGCTTACTCAACCTTCTTTCGACGGCCTGTACTCGGCGATTCCACGCGTCTGGGACGTCGAATGATGCGGGAAAAGACTGCCGACACCAGAAAAGCCATGCGCGCGACGACGTGCAGCATATGCCCGTGTCGTTCAACGCCATACGAACAGGCGACCCGCAAGCAAAATGCCAAGAGCTCTTGGCCCCTTACCGTCGCCTTGCAGGCTGCCTAACAAGCGATCTTCCCAGGCGGACCCGCTGATAATCTCTCCTGAAGCGCTGAGCCGTTGCCCAGCAAGCTTGAGCCCTCTTCTTTTCAACATGACGTCTCGTCGCCCGTCCTGCTCCTCTTCCCCATACACTCGCTTTTGAACCACCCTTTCGCCAAGATAAGATATTCGATGTTGGACCTGGTCCATCCACTCGCTTTGAGATCCACCATTTTTCCTCACACTCCCTCTCCGCGCTTGACGACACAAGGCTACGGTTGAATCCACGATGCGCTTCTCGCTAAGCAGTTTATTATTACTCTCCACCGGCGTAAGAGCTCTCGATGTCAGCTGGGATGATGACGGTATGTTCACCCGCTCGCAATGCTTTCACTGTTGCTGACCAGCTCTCAGAATCTGTCAAGAAAGGCCTAGAGGCCGTTGCCAAGGGCATGACTTCCTACTACACGGGCTACCGGCCCGGCGACGTGCCCGGTAACCTGCCAGACCCGTACTACTGGTGGGAGGCAGGCGCCATGTTCGGGGCGCTGATAGACTACTGGTACTACACGGGCGACGACCAGTTCAACCAGATGACGACGCAAGCGCTGGTGCACCAGGAGGGCGAGGACTACGATTACATGCCGGCGAACCAGTCCAAATCGCTGGGCAACGACGACCAAGGCTTCTGGGGGCTGTCGGCCATCACGGCAGCCGAGAACAAGTACCCGGATCCGCCGAGCGGACCAGGCTGGCTGGCGCTGGCGCAGGCCGTCTTCAACGAGCAGGCCAGCCGCTGGAACGAGGAGACGTGCAACGGCGGCCTCAAGTGGCAGATCTTCACCTTCAACCAGGGCTTCGACTACAAGAACACCATCTCGCAGGGCTGTCTGTTCAACATCGCCGCCCGCCTGGCCCGCTACACGGGCAACTCGACCTACGCCGATTGGGCCGAGAAGGCGTGGACCTGGACCTACAACGTCGGCCTCATCTCAAACGACTACCACTTCTACGACGGCACGTCGGACGCGTCGGGCGCGAACTGCTCCAGGAAGGACCACACGCAGTGGACCTACAACGCAGGCATCTTCCTGTACGGCTCTGCCGTGCTATGGAACCTGGTAAGTTCCCCATCCACCCCCTCCAACATCGACCAACACACGCTCACATCCCCCAGACCGCCGAAGACTCAGGCAAAGAAGACAACATCTGGCGCACCCGCACCGAAGGCATCCTCTCCAGCATCCGCGTCTTCCTCTCCCACGACGCCCCCAACGTCATCACCGAAGTCGCGTGCGAGAAATCCGGCACCTGCAACATGGACCAGCGCTCCTTCAAGGCCTTCCTGGCCCGCTGGATGGCCGCCACCACCAAAGTCGCCCCCTGGACCATCGAGACCCTCGAGCCCATCCTCAAGGCCTCCCGCGAAGCCGCCGCCAAGGCCTGCACCGAGGCCGACGGCAAGACCGTCTGCGGCCTGCAGTGGACGACGGGCTCTTTCGACGGCACTACGGGTGTTGGCGAGAACATGGCTGCCCTCGAGGTCATGGGGACGGCGCTCGTCAAGAATGTCGAGGGCCCGCTTACCGAGAAGACGGGCGGCACGAGTAAGGGTAACCCCGATGCGGGCGCGGGTGCGGCCGGGTCGAATACGCCGAAGCGGAGGGAGCCGATTACTGCGGGTGATAAGGCTGGTGCGGCGATCTTGACGGTGTTGTGCTTGGGTGGGACGCTGGGGGGTGGGTTTTGGTTGATTAAGCCGTAGAGAGGAAGAGAGAGAGAGGAAGAGGAGGGTGGAGTGCTTTCTTTTTTCTTTTTCTTTTTCTCCCCTCTTCGTTTTCGCTGTTTGGCCTTCGGAGCATGCATGCCCCCCATCCGGAGATGCGATGGGGGCGGTAATCTGGGACTTCATGGGAATCTTCTCTATTTTCCCTTTGCTTCTTGATGGGGGAAACCCGAGCTGATATCTTCTTTCTTGTTTTTGTTTTTGTTTGAATACTGGATATACCATGGGATAGGGAAGCGCAAGCGAACTTCTTCACTTTCGAATTCAAGAACGGATCAATCTGGATGCAAGATATCTTTGTTTTTCTCCTCCCTACTTTTGTTTATGAAGCTAATTCTAGGTACCCTGTAGGTTACAAATGGGTCTTCCCCTTCCGTATCCCGAGTGAGAAGCCTTATGCAGCTCACCATAGTCCGGCACGCAAACTGAATCCATTAGGAAACAAACTTTTTTTTTCTCCCTTCTTCCCGTCATTTGACCAGATTCCATCATCCTAATACGGATCGATCTTAGAAGAATAAGCCGCCCTGTTCGACGCAGCCTGCTTGCTCCTCTGTCGTATCCTGGAAGAAAAGGGGCGCCACCGAGATTCGAAGATCGCTGTCCTTTTTTCCAAAGCACATTGTACCGGAACCCCGGACATTGGAAATAGAAAGGGAAGAAGAGCAAAAAAAAAAAAAGAAATAAGCCACCGATATGGACCCGGACCCTTGAACCTTAGTGGCAAAAAATTTTGAACCAAGCCGTTCCCTTTCATGTTTGACCACGTCCGTCCGCTGACAAGCGCGGATAAAAGAGAGGTGATGTGCTTGATACTCATCATCTGCCGGCGAAGCGATCCCCCGCTCAGATATACTCCGCATCATCTCCCATGGCGTCCTTGAAGAACGACGACTCGTCGTCGCCGAGACTCTCGCCGAGGGGAGGGCCGAAGAAAGGGTTAGGCAGGTTCTGCGGGACGCGGTACCAGTCGTCGTTGCCGCCAGCGCTGCCGCCGCTGAGGCGGCCACTGCCATTGTTGCCGATGTTGACGCTGACGTTGGCCAGGGAAGGCTGGTTGGCATCATCAGCGTTGTTAGCGGTGGCGAAGGTAGCAGTAGCAGATGTCATGGGGTTCGTAGGGGTAGCTACGCGGGACTTGCTGCTGCTGCCCTCCTTCTCCGCCGCCTTGATCTGCTTCATGCGCTGGCGCTCCTCGGCGCCGCTCGGGCTCTTCATGGCCTCGTCGGCGATGGCGGCGAAGACTTCGTTCACCGTGTGCTTCTTCTTCTGCTGCTGCTGCTTGGGCGGCGAGGCGCTGTTGTTGTTGTTGTTGTTGTTGTTGTTGTTGTTGTTGTTGTTGTTGTTGTTGTT